GGGAACCTACACGTCTCCACTGCGTGCGATGTACTCTTATCTTGACGGTCGCTTTCTCTAAATGTCACTGCTGCCTGCGTCTCGCGCTTTCGCTTGACAGTACACTCTGGACGCCTGAAGACATGGCCTCTCCGAAGATTGCCGCGATGGCCGTCTTTGTGACGAGTGGGATGTGGACCTGAACATGGAAAGCCTTGTGCACGACCCCCATCCATGATCGCGGGCGCTGCGAAACTTTGCCCGACTTCAACTCCACATGCGTCCGACACGTCCCAATCGTACGCGCACGTCTATGAACCCAAGTCAAGAGTCGTGAGTGTGAGTCTTGAACGAGTCTTGAGTCTTGAGTGGTGGAAGCGTGATGCAGGGCACTCGAATCACGTGATCTTCTCTCGCGCGCGCGAGTCTGATGAGATGAGTCGAAAAGGCACGAACGAGCCTTGAGTTGTGAGTTCACGAGTGTGAGTCATAGATCGCTTGGTGGAGGGCAGCTAAGGAGGGAGGGGGCAAGCGGCACCCTGTTTGTTTGCTCTTCACAAGCAACATCGACACCGCAACCTCACACGCATCCAAGACATCCAAGCGCCGCACGACGCCATGTCCCAACCAGGCGAGGCAGAAGTCAAGGATGCGGCGACCAAAGCGTTGGACAGGGAAGCTGCAAAGGAAGCCAAGAGGTTAGCAAAGGAAGCCAAATTCGCCAAGAAGAGCGCCGCGGCTGGTGCTGCTGCTGCTGCTGGTGCTGCTGCTGGTGGGGCAGGTGCTGATGGTGGTGGGGGAGGTGGGGCCAGCATCAGCAGCGGTAGCAGCAAGAAAGGGGAAAAGGGTGCAAACGCAAGTGTCAATGCGACTGCGAGCCAGACTGTCAAGGGTGGCCACGCTGCTGCTGCCGCTGCTGCTGCTGCTGCTGCTGCTGCTGCTGCTGCTGCTCCTGGTGGAAGCTCGAGCGGGCGCAGCAAAACAACCAGCAGCGCGCCAGTTTCGCACCCAGATGCGTCGCTGCCAACCAACACTCCAACAAACTCCCACGCCGCATCATCGTCATCCTCTGCTGCTGCTGCTCATCAAGCCCCACCAGGCGCCCCAATAGCGTCCTCGGAGGATTCCTCGCGAGAGAGGAGGGACGGCGTGTACGAAGAGCCGAGCCGCTTGTTCAGCAACGTGGTGGATCGGCATCCGCGCTCCCACGACGCTTTCTTCGCTTCAAAGATTGGCAGTACGCACGCTCAATTGCATCCCAGCATCATCCGACTCTCTTTTCTCATCTCCACCTTCAACTTGATGGGCGCATCTGCGCGTACCATTGGCGTGCTGGGCGCATTCAAGGATGTGGTCAGGGATTACAGGACGCCAAAAGGGGCGGTGCTCAGCAGAGACCTGATCGGCAAATTGGCACCGCAAATCAATGCGCTGGTCCATGCCAGACCTTTGGGGCAGGGTGTGGCTCACGCTATCCGCTATCTCAAGTACGAGGTCAGCCTGCTCGATCCCAGCCTGGCACAAGAGCAGGTGAGTGAGCGTGTAGGCGTATTACGTGCCACGTGCGAGGTGCGCGCCGAGGCTGACGTCGAACGTCTTGATGCGACTCGTGTTGCAGGCCAAGGAGCACATCATCTCTCGCATAGACCACTTTATTCGAGACAGGATCATTTTGGCATCCACCGTCATTCAAAACGTCATCTTTCAAAAGCTGCGGGCAGCGGGAGAAGTCGTGCTGACGTATGGCAGATCCAGCGTGGTGGAAGCGTCGCTCATCTCTGCTTCATCGCGTGGCAAAAGCTTCAGAGTCATCGTGGTGGACTCGGGTCCACTGTACGAAGGCAGGAGAACACTGGCCAGGTTGCTCGAGGCTGGCATTGAGTGCGAGTATGCGCTGCTCAACAGCTTGCCTGGTGTTATTGGGGATGCGAGTCTGGCAATCCTCGGCACCGCTAGTCTACTGGCCGATGGCAGTCTGTACGCTAGAGCAGGAACGGCCAGCGTGGCTCTGATTGCACGTGCCAAGGGCGTGCCTAGCATTGTCGCTTGCGAGACTTTCAAATTTAGCGAGAGGGTGCAATTGGACGCGCTAGTGGGCAACGAAGCGGGTGAGTGGGGTCGGTCAGCGGGACTGCGATGACGGCTTCCTACGTGCTGATCGCGATCAACCCACGCGCTCGACAGGCGATCCTCTGAACTTGCTCAGCTTCGACAGCGCCGCTGCCAACCCTCAATTACGGCCGACGGATCTGCAAGCACCGAACTTGGGCGTCAAGAGCCTGCTTTACGACCTCACGCCTGCCAGGTACATTACAGCAGTGGCTAGCGAAGTGGGACTCAACGGACCCGAGAGCGTAGGGGTCATTTTGCGGGATTACAAAAGCACACCTTGGAATTGAGAGCTTTACAAATCGGTGAATGGGTGCGCATCTGACACGAGGGTCTTTCGAGAAGCCAGCTTTGGGACGCCCGGGTAATGCTCAACGCAGACAGCTGTCTACATACGTCGCGAGATGCTGAGCACGGCCGCACACGCGACGCGTCGATGAGGTACACCTTTCACCAAGCGGCGTTTCTACCAGTGCGGCGCAGGTGGCATTGTGAGGTGTCTGAGCCTCGATGCGTACGACGAGGGAGATTGCACAGCGTGGTCGGGCAGCGCGACGTTCCGTGCGTCGGTCTCGAGCGGAGCAGGGTGGTCGATGCTTTGCAGCGCGCCATGCACTGTGCTGGGAGCTGCAATACCGCCATCTCGGTGCGGGGCAAAGATGCGCTCATTGTGCGAAAAGAGCTGACGAGGCGAAGTGACGTACCGCACCGACGGGCCGGAAGCATGCTGAGCTGCACTATCATCCATCAGGGGCCGATGCGCCGCGAGGGTTTTGTGTCCTTCTGTACCATGCACTACAGAGCTAGGCTTGTCAAAGGCCGCGTACATGGCAGGTTGAGCCTCTGCGCTGGATGCGTGGTGGTAAGCATGGAGCGACTCTTCCGACCAAAGGTGCCTGTGGTCTGCTTGGGCTGGAAGCGGTGCGCTGCCAAGCTGGACAGGTGGATCGTTTTGGGCATGCCCATAGTGCTGCGCAAGCAAGAGGTGCGCCGGATTCGATGCAGATGCGTGGCCGGCAGGCCATGGCATCGGGCGGTGCAGAGCATGGCTCAACGGCTGCGATGCTTGGGGATGATCCAGGTAGGGCAATTTTGACAAAGAGCTTTGGCCCATGATTGACGGTGTAGGATGGTGCAGCATCTGATCATGGGAGCCAGATGCGTGCGGGTCGCGGTCTTGCTGGGAGCGGTCTGAACGCGTATGGCTGTGATGGCGCTGAAGGCCGGATTGATGCCGAACGATTGGCATCTCCAAGCCCAATCTAAAATCAGGTCGTACCATAATGCTCTTGAAAGAGGGCAAGCTCTTCATCTTGTCGTTGAAGGCACGACCTTTGATGATCCACGCGCCTCCATCATCCTTCATCTTCTCCATGCTCTCGACCTGCAAATGATGCACCTGTGGGTGTTGCTTGCCCCACTCGCGCAAAGCGCTGTTCATGTCCTCGATCGGATATAGCATCAAGGATGGAGGCAGGCTGTTGATGATCGCTGTCACGTGCTTGCCATAACCTATGCCCATGACCTTCTTCGGCTCTGCTTCTGCTGCGGATGCTCGAGACGGACCGACTCGAACTGCTCCACCTTGACTGCTTTGACGCGGGGACGGGAAGAGGATGTGTGCAAGACCGTGTTCAGCGAATTTGGGTTCGATGAAGATCCTTTTCAGACTCTTGAGACGATATCCTCGAAAGCTTTTGGCCTCGCCTCCAACTTCCCATACTTCGGGTCTGTTGTTGACAGGTGCGAGCTGATCCACAAAGTAAGTTTGAACGTGACGGAAGGATTTTTGCCAGTGGCGCATAGCGCCGTTGATGGTCTCGAGTACCAAGGACTGCTGCTCTTGGCTTGTGATGGACTCTAAGGTTCTCAAAGCCGAGGTACCGTAGTGGATCTCAAAGGCTTCAATGGGCCCTACGTAGTATTGCGGTTCGCGAGTGCGCGGTCTCCCACGGGGTTTCGCAGCAGCCTTTGCTGCTTCGTGAGCGGCTGCTGCCGTGAGGCCATGGGTCGCCGCACCAGCAGGCTGTCGAGGGACGTCGGGTGGTATAGAGTTGGATGCACCACTGCCGGAAAGCTGCGCATGGCCAGTCGAAGAGGAGCGAGAATTGTCTTCTGCTCCTTCAGCATCCGCAGAGTGCGCAGAGGCTTGGAGATCGTCGGCACGACGAAAGAGGAGGGAACCTGTTGGCTATGTGCAGGTTTCCGTGGGGGCGCGCAAATGAAGCTCCTCATCATTTCTGGTCTGTGCGCAGCTAGAGGAGCTTGCACTACTCACCGCTGCGTCGAGGATAGCCACCTGGCGGACCAATGCGAGTGCAACGCCTGAGTTGGTCAGCAAGAGAAAAATTCGAGCGACGCGCATCTTGCTTTGCTGGCTGGCCAAGTAATCAGAGTAAAGGGCCTGTCACGCTTTCGCGTACACATCATGATGGCGAGGTGACGCACTGAAGACTTTGGCGGTACGGAAGTATGCTTGTCGCGTACGAGCACGTTTATAGGACAAGAGGGAGTGGTCGCGAACGGGATCATTGGGGTTCTATGAGTGGCGATATGCAAGTTTTCGTGACGGAATCCTCAGCGCTAGGCCAGCCGCCCGACGGGGTGGGCGCCGTCATTACCGATGAGTGGTGAGCAAGCAAAGCAGGTGCGATGCCGCATTGCATCCTTCTTCTCGACAAAGTACGCAAAGGTCATGTGCTGTACCGGCCTAGCTGTGACACTCTACCTGCGAGTACCTGCTGGACTGCGCCCAACAAGGGCCACAGATGATGTCATGGCAAAGTGTTGTCTGCCGTGCGCTACCTCTCGAGCACGTACGCGAAGAGCGTGGCGCTTTTATCTTGATCATTCGCGATCATTGTACTTTGGCATGAACGTGGGCATGACCTGCTCCTCTTCCTGGCTTGAACCCCCGCGCTGTGTTTTGATCAAGCTGATGCACATTGGCACCAACTCAGAGTGGAGGAAGTGGCAGGGACGAGACTCGATTATTGATCGCTTGGAAGATGTTCGGACGCCGTTGTAGCCGACTTCGAGGCTGCTTTACAATGGAGGCACTTGTGCTCTGAGAAGGAGGGATCAAGTAGCTGTCGCGAGAGAGAGAGATGTGAGTGGCGAATAGTGCATGCCGACTATTCACATTCCCACTCACAATCACAGCCCACGGTCATCGTCGTTGCGATCGCATGCCGAGCAGCTTGCTGAGGCGGCACGAATCCCGGTGCACACATTAGCCCTCGAGCATTCTTGCGCTATCGGATCCTGTGGCACGCCTGCCGTTCAGCCACGCGAAGACCTTGCCGGCTTGATGGTCAAACTCTGCCATCGTATACGGATATAGCCACACGCCTCCACCGCGGATGTTGTGGATCGTGTCTCTCGGCGCCCACGCTTGGACCTGTACGGGATGACAAAGGTTTCCCGTTGGGTATGCGTTCGATTCGGAAATCGATTCGCACGGGTAAGGCGGGAGAATTGGGCCGGAAGGTCAATTGGATCAAATTTGGCACGGCAGACGTGATGCGTCGCGAGTCCTTGCCGCCATTACCAGTCGCGAGCGCGCCCGTCATCAAGGAGTCCAATGTCCTGCCGCTCACAGTCACCGTGCCGAAGATGATCGTATTCGGTCAAATAGCGTTGACAGCTTGCGGACCAGCGGCACGGTGTGCAATGTGTAGCTTGCACTTCTTTGAGAGCGTACCTGATCCTCAGTGGCAGAACGGACGAATGACAAATGCGAATCTGAATGAATCTGAATGTGAATCACAATCGTGAATCACCAATCTGAATGTTCGATCAAGTCGTAGATCCTCTTTTCCTCCAAAGCTCCAACTTCCCTGTGACTCGAACTCGATCGCGCAGATCAAGAGTCAGAGTCGCATCCAATCGAAATTCACTTCAAAATGGGTTCATCTGATCACGAATCGTGAATTCCAAACTTCTCGACTTGCAACTATGCGCCACCCTTTGAGCAATAAATAACTTTGAAAAAGGATTCAAGATTGATTGCTCGCGCATTCTGTTCCAAGCGAGCGCCGAAGTCACGTGAATCGAGAATGACCAGCTCTGCTCGCACGAGAAGCTCCTGCATTGCGCGGATGCTCGCGTGATCGAAGCGCGGGCGATGATGCACTCACGACTGTGGGCTGACGCAGACCCGCCACTGCGCCCCCCGCCGCATCACGCGGCCGGGGGTCGTGAGGCGCGGACGCCGAAGTGCGTGGAACGATGACGAGATGCGGTGCAGCAAGCGCGCGTGCTGGAACTTGGACTCTGATCTGGTCTGAATCGTGTTCGATCGAATCACGAATGGTGGAGGTCTTACTCGTCGTGAGCAGGAGCATGCAAGATGGCGAGTCACCGAGTCGCGAGTCACGAGTGTCGACGATTACGAATCACGAATGGTGAATGGATGCTCTTGCTCATTAGCAATCCACCATCACCATCGCGTTCACGATCGCTGTTCATCATCGCACCCAATCACACGTTCGTGCCTCGCTACGACAACTTCAAAGCACGCTTGGGCAGCCACGTTAAGCAAGCTAGTCCGCTTCACTCGCCTTTCAAAACACATCAACATGGCGGACGGTGAGTGATGGTGCACCTCCTTTTCCTCTGCGATTGCTTGCACACTGATCTGACGCTTTGCTGCTCACCATTCTTGCAGAAGGTACTACTGTCATCGGCTACAAGACCCGTGGGGGTCAGTCTGGAGGCGGAGGCGGAAGTCAAGGACCTACAGCTTACGAGCGCGCAAAGGCTGTGGGTGCCATCACTGAGAATGACCGAAAGAGTGAGTCGCGCTAGACTTGATGGGTGTGGAAAGATGCAAGTGCGAGCTTTGCGCGACATTTCAGTGTCAGCCAGCGAGCGAGCGAGCGAGCGAGGCGCCATGATAGAGGGGCGTGCTTCGAGTGCATCTACCGCCCTGCATCGACATCTTACCCGTGTATGCCGCTTGCATTCTTTTTTTTTTTTCGCAGCTGCTGCGGGTCACAACAAGGGTCATGCAGGGCCAGAGCATGGTCACTTGGCCAAGCTTGACCGAGAGAATGAAGTTGCGCCACCCTCCAAGGTCGCCCCAAGCGTGGGCAAGGCCATCGCTCAAGCCAGGCAAGACAAGAGCTTGACTCAAAAGGAGCTGGGAACGAAGATCAATGAGAAGCCTCAGGTCGTTGCAGAGTATGAGAGCGGCAAAGCTATTCCCAATCAGGTCATTTTGGGCAAGCTGGAGAGAGCTCTGGGCATCAAGTTGAGAGGCAAAGAGTGAGTCGCGAGCGACGTGTTGATGCGTTTGCAGGTCGAGTGGGACACTTTCGTGCAGGCGCTGAGGCATCGTTGCTGACACGATGTCCAAACCGCCTCCCCCCCCTTGTCTTTAGCATCGGCTCTCCTCTTGGAGGACCCAAAAAGAAGTAGAATACTCTTGATAATGTCTACCAACGCTCAGCTTGCACGGCATATGCTCTGACACGCGACATCGACGCGCTGATAATGTGATGAGCTTCAGCCTAGCCGGCATCAGCCGTTGCCCTGGGATGTACCACTCGCGATTTGGTTCTGCGCTGTAGGTGAACACCCTTCCTACTGACTCCTCAGAAGCGCACAACGGCCTGGAAACCAGGAGATTTCTAGACCTTTCTCTGCAATGTCTTGTCGCATCTTGACCCCGGGTCGCCGTAGCGACTATGTTGAAGCAGTGGATATTGCCCATGCCCCGCTGCAAAACCTCTTGAAGATCACAGCCAGATGAAGGACACGACATGCAGGCGTCTGGGTCATCAATGACAGCGACCGCCTGTACGGCAGCTTCTCATCCTCAAGGCGTGATAGTTCAGCAGGAGCTGGTACAGATCCAGGTGAGTAGAAGCCTTGACCAGACTTTTCGTGTAGAGTGATGTGCGCACCGTCGCCTGAGGACGAAGCACGTAGAGGATGGCGCTTCGAGATCTCCCATCAGGCTCGCGACGCCTGATGGGCACCATGAACGGGTTCGCCCGCAAATCACGAATCAAGCGTCAGCAAGTCACCAATCACCAACCACGCATGCTGTGGCTCAGCTCATGCATGGCTGTGTGATGTCTGTGCTAGCAATCATCAGCCTTTGCGTGCGTCGGATTGGTCGAGAGTCGCGAGTCGAGTCATGACCACAAAGGTGGCATGCAGACTCGGGGAGCAAGAGTGGCTGAAGCTGTGGGTACGCGACAAGGCGAGTCAAATCACCGGGGGAACGCGCAACACAACACCTACAGCGATCGAAGACTCTTCAATACCAGCTGCTGCGGCTTGATGCGGTGTGTGGTGGCGCTTTGCTCGTGCATGCACGCCTCGACTGTCCGCCGAGTCCATGCAGTGCTCGGCGCAGCTTACACGGTCGACCAGCCCCGATCACGCATGGGCGCACCACGGGCATTCGTGATTCATGAGCGATCGAGCGGCGACACTCAGACTCGATCGACTCGGATGGAATACGCAAGACGGCCTGTTCAAATAGAGCAACTTGGCAAGCTGCTGCAGCTCACGTCTGCGCAGCCACGCCCGAGCTCGGAAATCTTTCCTCACCAACACCCACCACCAATCTCCGCTATATGCTCGATTGAGCATGGCACGGCAATCCATCACCGAATGCGATTAAGGAGTTGCTGACAGCAGCAGCAGCGTTGGAGCAGCATCTTTTGCCCGCCCTGATTCACATTCTGCGTCGTTGATGCGTGCACCGCTACTCGTCAGCCCCGATGGGCTGCGCGTGCATGGTTCACGCCTTGGCACGCACCCACCAGCGGCAAGGCTGAGTCCCGCAGCAGGTGGGGAAGAGGCTACTGCCTCTACTGCACTACCGCCGCGCACCGTCTCCTGGCCCAAGTCATCCCTGCACTGTCCATCGAATACTGGCTTGAAGCTTACGGCGGTCTCGCTCGGCGAGCAGGTACCATCATCATGTAGGCCGCACAAGCGCCTCCGGGTCTGGCGAATGGCAGGGACACGCATGCGCAGCTGTTACGGACTGACGAACGCCAAACGCATAAAAGCCACGCTCGATCATCTTCTTCTTCTCCTCCCTTCATCTTTTTCCTCATCTTCGCTACCTCACCAGCCCTAGGTGGGCAATGCCTCTCTCTGCCTGATCTGCGACGCTCTTCGCTATCTGCGCAAAGCAGCTGCTCACTGTCAAGCATCAGGCACAAACCTATCATCACCCCCATCACTAGACCTCGCCATGCGCTCGTCGTTTCTCATCTTGCTGCTTTGCTTTGTGCTCTCAGCTAGCGCAATTCCCGTCGATTCAGTCGCTATCGGGCCACGTCAGGTCGTCTCCCCTCGACACGAACCGGTCGCTCTTAGAGACGGCACGGATGCCGGCTCGACCTTGCGCAATGCGCTCTGGGGCCTGCCTGCACTTACCAGCTTTCAACCGCCGTGGGAGCATCGCAAGCGTGCAAACGTGCAAGACCTGAGTGATGAACTCAGCATTCAAAAGCAAAAAAGAGTCGATGCATTCAACGATCTTGCCATCGAGTGCCCAGGTTGCGTAGCAGAGGGTTCCGCTCTACCCGCTTTCCAATTTGACATCAACGAGCAAGGCAAAGTTTCTTACAAATGGATCGATTGGGGCTTTTGGGGCGATCCTATCGCAAAGCGCTCGTCTTTGCACGACGCGCCAGAAGGAGTTCTCGCAGCGGACCATATCATCGGGAAGTCTTCGACCGAGGAGCCTCTGTGGAGACCAATCAAGATCAGCTATCCTATCTGGCCTCAAGGATCCGATGGTGGACATTCGTGGTATGGCCCACGTGGAAGACGCCCACGCGCCTTGAAGGAGAACATTCTCGAGAACCGCTCGGGCACGTCAGAGACCATCCGACCAAGAGCTGCAGAGGCTGCTGTCCTCGAGAGCCTTCCTAGCGGCACCATTACCCGCAGGCAGGTCGGAGGGACTTCGGACAAGAAGCGTGCAGAGGTAGCCGAAATTTCAGGATCCCAAGTCAATGAGCATCGCAGTATCGACCTCGGTGTCACGCAGAGCGGACTGCGCGTCCACAGCTCGAGATCGGAGCTTCCCGACTTCAAGGAAGCTCTTCAGGAAGCGGCCAAAGGATGGGGACTCTTTGGACAGAACTGGGGCAAACGTGGACTGTTCAAGCGATCGTCATTCCCAGAAAGCACCACGACGCGTGAGAAAAACCTGAATGGCAGGCGGGCGGACTTTTCGGATGAAGAGGCAGAACTTGGCTTTGCCCAGCCAGCTTTCGCTGCAACCATCTACGGGCGCAATACTGCGACCGAGGAAACAGAGCTGGGGGCCGCGCAGCCTGACTTTGCGATCCCGATTTACGGACAAGGCGGAGCGCTGGAAGGACGCGACCCCGGATGGCCTCTGGTGATTGGCAACGCAAAGAAAGGAGACAAGGGTCAGACGTGGGGACGCCAAGACGTGAGCTCGACACAAGACGCGAAGCGTTGGGTGTTACCAGAAGATGGTGCAGATGTGGGCCGTTCCACGATTCAGACGGCAAGGAGTGGTGAGTGACAAGCCGTGGTGCAACGCATCGGTCGAGCGCAAGGCTGACTCGGTGAGCGCTTATCTACAGCGCAAGATGTCAAGGACAACCAAGCTACAACTCGAGCTCCGTCACCCGCTCTAGACCTAGACAAGCGTGCGAAGGAATTAGCCGTGCCCATCAACGGTTGGGCCAACACTCGTGGGAGGCGTTCGCGTCCGCGCAGCGCGCACATCACGCCTCGAGAGCTGGACGGCGAGCCACGCTTTCCTTATCCTCTCGGCACTCCTTGGGGCGAGCGCTCGATGAATCAAGAGGCTGATGCTGCAGTCTCCTCTCTCCTTGGGATGAGGTCCGACTCTACGGTCGAGGATGCTCACCAGTCGCAAGCAGGACAGCCCATCAACGCTTCAAACCGGCTCAAGGGTCCGAAGTGGGGCTGGTTCACATGGGCAGGAACGAAGCCCATCAAGAGTCGCGACTCTGAATCAGCTCCTGGCCTTGGTCACAAGGTTGTTGAAGAAGCGCGCGAGCGCGACGATGATCTCGACGATTCGGACGAATCGGCTAACATCAAGCCCGAAATCGATCTCCTGGCGCCTTGGCCCGGGGTCAAATACGCACAATGGATCAAACCACATCCGCACACGCCCTTTGGACTCCCCGCAGATGATGGTTCGGGCTGGGGTAAACGCAAAAGATCACTGCGCAAGCGCGAAGTGCCGCAAGATGGTCAGGTAAGGCTCAAAAGGTGGATTTGGGGCATGCCTTGGGGATGTAGCAATTGTGATGACGACGCTGCAGTCATCTCGCGCTAGAGCTCCGTTCGTTGCTCTCCTTCCGCGTCCCGCTTTAAAGGTACGACCAGCTCCTTCAATACCGCGCACTCGTCAGAATCGACACGTCACGTAATTCTCCGATCACTTGCCCCTTTCTCGATGTTATGTAGTACTGCGTTCTGAGACTCTGCGTGTAGTAAACACTTTACAAGGATCAAGAGAATGGTGTGAACGTGGGCGTGTGCGTGGGAGCACGAGTGAGCAGCAGCGACGGTTCAGATCAACGGGTGGGTCGATGCTACGGACAGCACCGCGCGAATGTTGTCTACCAATCGATTAGTATCGAGCACCTTTGCAGTGACTTTGTACTTGTTATTCTCGTCCGGCTCTACGTGCGTGATGTGCATCGCAGCAATTTCGGGCTCGGCTGCGGCGAAATCAGCGACCGCCTCGGTGATGTCCTTTTGAGCGTGGACGTTGGTAATGCCCTGCAAAGTTGGAGGGTGCCACGTCACTTCTGCAGGAGGATTCGCTGGTTGGTGAAGAGGTTCGCTATTCTCAGCTGCGCCGCTGGTGCTTGCGCTCTCGTCATCCGCTCTGCTCTCGAGCTGGTGAACGGTGACGACGTCTTGCAGGCTGCGTCTGCATCCATTCGGGCAGTTTATGATACCCACAGTGCCCAGAGGCGTCTTCTGCCCAGGCACGTCACCGCAAGTGCTCCGGTGGATGGCCTTGCTGACCTGCAAGAGAACAAAGCTAGGTTGGGCGAGGGACGGAGATAATGTTACGCTCTGCTTGCTCACCAAGTCATCCGACGGCAGTGGAGCTGCCAATGCCAGCGTGACAATCGTAAGTAGGGTCATCACGATCAGCTTGTGTGACGCTTTGGGAAAGGAGCAACGCATGATGTAGAGGGGCCAGTGGGCAGGTCGGTCAATGGGTAATTTTGTTGCTGCAGAGGCTCGATAAAACTTGCTGCTGACTAATGTGCGGCTGGCGAAGACTTGCTTTTGAAGCTCTTGATGTTTGCTACCGCCAAAGAAAGCAAGCCAGCATGTGCTCTTCAAGTTTTGAGACTGGCTGTCGTGTCTCACGCTGCGTTGCGTTTGGCAAGCGGACGCACTGTTGCAACATTTGCCACATTTTGCCACGCGTTTGAAACAGTGAGAGGACCTTTCGGTCATCTCACAACGAGCCAATGAAGACTGCGCTTTGGCTAGTGGGGTAGCTGAGATGACTCAAGAGGTCCAGTTTGGAGGACCATCGCAGTCGTGACTCACAAGTCTCATTGTCAAGTGATGAAAATAACGAAATAGTGTCCAACCTTTCCCGGAGTCGCACGACCCACCTTGAATAGGCGTCGTTTCTGGGCTCTCCCATGATTCATCAAGAACGTGACGGTGCCCACAACCCCTGCGCGCTCTGCCAGTATCAGACTGACGCTGCAGCTTGAGCATGGCACATTGTGGCAAGCAGACTTTCCAACTAGAGGCGCATGGTGTTTCAAGTGAGAGAAGAATGGGAAGACCTGCCCACACATTGGCTCAAAGGCCAACAAGCTGCATGTTCATATCATCGTCATCCGCCCTTGACACAGAGGGCTGCGTGTTGGAACGTCGAAGTTCCAAGACAACGATGCGGGACTATTTGCCCAGACCTGCCAGTCGATCGAACGCGATCGAGCACGTACTGGTGGCCGATGCACGAGGTCCAGCAACGTTGCAACTCTTTCTTTCGATTGACCATGCTTGACACACTTCCGCTTCCGAGCCCGTTGCCTGCAAAAAGGTCAACTTGTTCGGGAGAAAGCCCTCCATGGTGGGACTGAATTACGGATCGCATTCGGTGAAGCATGAACTTTGACTGTATACAGCCCAGCTAGGACAAGCATCAACGCGCGATGATTGCCTCGCGACCCTCTCGCCCCTCCTAAGCCAAGCCTTGCCTCTTCCGCACTGTGTACCTTTGGTGAATGAGTTTACAAGTGCAGAGGAACCGACGTCTTGAAACGAATGGCGTGATTTCCAAGGTTGTTCCAGTTCAAATCGTACACATCCACCAAAGCCTCGTAAAAGTGACCACTGCTACCTCCAGTAGGCTCGATACTCTTGATGTGAACGCCGCTGATGCGGGTTCTTTCTGCACTCCACTTTCTGACTTTGTTGTTTATGACCTCGCGCGCATCCGGGTTGGTGATCCCTTCAAGCGTTGGCGCATGCCAGGTCACTTGAGCTGGGCTTCCTCTCGGCTTAGCCACTGGCTGACTTGGCTCTCCATTATCTGCGCGCGCATTGAGAGTGGCGCGAACGCTGTCCTTCTGTTCCAAGCCTCGGGAATGGACGAGCTGCGCAAAGAGAGATCCACTTGAGTGCGCAGGTGGAAGGATATGAGGCACCACCAAAAGACTCACGCCCTGCGACTTCGACCAAGCTGGCAACGTGCCCACAGGATGAGCCAGGCAGAATGACGTAGTCCAGAGGACGACGGCAAGCTGAGCAAAGATTCCGCCAGCGATCATTTTTGTTCGACTTGTAATGTGAGTGTCGTGTTCGTCGTTGCTGTTATTCGCGACGCAGCTGCGCTGTGAATACTTGCAGTTGATGATGGGAGGCAAGAGGGCGTCTTTCTGATCCACGGGCCTCTTATTTGTATGCTGTAGGAAGTCGAGTGTGGTAAGACGACGGTCTCGCACGCGCGCTCCCTGCTCCCCTTCGAGACAGGTCACCTTGGGTGATTCGATAGAGCAGCAGCGCCGACAAAAGGAGCCTCAAAGGTCAAAGCTTCGCTGGACGAAACGCACCCTACGACCAGAGGGTGCAACAACACAGCGGAGTTGTGACGTGCCACGATTCTGGACAGGTAGCAACCTTCGTGGCTCTCATCCGAGAACGCGACCTGGCTGTGCCCTGCATGCAAGCGCCTTCAAACGCTAATGACAACAACACCATTGCGTCAGGTGCCCAGCGATGACTGATTGTGGTGTACTTGATCCTCGTCGTGTAGAACGCGTGGCCATTCATGATAGTCCGTCATTTTTCAGTCTTGATGCGAGGTTGCATATCAGCAGCAGCTTCTTCGGCAATGAGCGTCGATGTCATGTGATGCGACCGTGTATGGTGTTTTTTCGCGTCACCTATCAGGTGCTAGCTGGCGCGAGTCAATTGGTGAGCGTACATGTCTGATTCGCCTCGATGCTCTAGCGTGCAGCGATCCTCTCGAAGGCGAGCTTCCGCAGCGGCGTGTACTAGTCGTCCATGGTGTTTTCGCGTCACCTGTCAGGTGCTGATTTGCGAGTCTCGGACCGTGAGCGCACCCTACACTGAGTTGGCCGCGAGCAAACGTCTTCAGCTTTGAATTACACTCCACAGCATGCTCCTTGTTCGAGGCCGGGCGAGGCAGCCCTCCAATACTCCTCGCTCTTGCTGTTGACGACATGTGCTGCGTGCTCGGTTCTGAGACATCGCCCATGGCCGATCGGCGCCAACGTGTTTCGCTTTGCCGCACGAGGCGCGTGTTTTGTGCAAATTGGTGCGAGGCTGAGACAGAGCCGACCTCTGCGGCCATGGCCTGCTGCACGTTGGCCAGTGGAGCTTTGTTTGGCCGGGAATGCAAGGAATTCGAACGCACGCCAGGTGGTGGTCGTGGATCACGCCGACAACGTCAGCCGAGCGCGTTGGCAGCGAAGCGGCGCCAGGCATGCCACGCCACCCAGACAAATCACTTCGGCGCCTCGCCTGGCCACTCAATTGCGGCGCTCGCCATGTATGTCCCCGTCCCCGTACCTTCAAGCAATCACTCAGTCACAGTGTTGGACAGCGTGCCACACGTGGGTCAGCGGCAAGAATGTGCAACCCAGCTGAAGGTACCCACTCGTCTTCGCGCCTGCAGCTGATGTGTTGTTGGAATGTCGATAGATGCCCGACAAGTCCCTCCCTGCTCCCTCTGAGCTTCCATCACACCACTTCTCCTCGAGACGGACCGCACTGCTGGCCAGTGCAGATCATCAACGACCATTTTCTGATTCAACTCCACTGCCAAAGCTTTGCACCCCGCTTCGCAAAAGCCGCATCGCCACTATGCGCGTCTTTTGCCATAGCGTTGCACTGCACTTCACCTGCCTCTTGGCTGTTGCTGTATACCTTGCGTCTGCTAGGACACACACCAGAAAGGTGAGGAGCAGGGCGCCCTGCACGAGGAGTAGCACTCACAATCCCTCTTCGCCTCCGCTTCCAACACGCCGATCCGCAGGCGAGAGCTCCTGGAGGCCCAGAGTACCATCGCGTCCATCTGAAGCTGCCAAGACGTGAACGCAGTCGTTACCTTCCCAAAATCCGCTTGCGTGGGCACGAGACGAAGGTTCGCCAGGTACGACGTGACTCAATAGTCGCCAGGTCTGCTGCTGCTGGTGCTGTGGTGCTGGCGACCCGCGACCTGAGGATCACCCACGCGGATGCAATCAACACGGCCCTAAATGGCGTTCCCGAGGATGCTAGGGAGGCTCATAGAGCGGCCCTGCACAGCGCCATCCGACATGCATTCTTGCAGGATCATAGTGCTCAGCACTTTCGTCTAGAGGGCATCCACCGTGATCGTCAAAGCGCGCCCCGCTTTTTCGTCAGGGGCGTCGTCTGGAATGATGAGATGGAGAGCATGGCCCACTCGGTTCGCAAGCTAATCTTGCCCAATCTGAATGGGCTTCATCATTGGCCGTGGTGAGAGAGGCGCAACTGCGGTACAGATGGCGACAAAAAGGCAGGATAGGATTGGTGGTATGGTGACGACGCTTTCAGAGGTGGATGCCAGCAGGGACTTGCTTGCTGAAGTGCATCATCACGTACGAGAGGGAACGACCGCGCCCGTGCATCATCGGCAGGCCTGTCTCAAATGAGATCAAGTCGTGCAGGTATCGAATCGAGTTGTTCGGCTCTTCAGTCGTAGCGCTTTGGATGTGCTGTGTGTGTGACTTGCATGTGATGAAAAGTTTGAGAGGTGGGGTTTGAACAAGTCCCAGTCGTGAGTGAGGGCTGTTCAAGTCTTGAGTTGCTGGGCACAGCGAGTACGGATTGCATGAGTCAGAGTAGAGAGCACACGAGACTTCGCGCCGGCAAGCGCTTGATGGGAGACGCGCCTCCACATTGCATTGCGAGCGCGACTTCTTGACTCTTGACCATTACGCCGCCATCCGCTCGAAGTCGGCAGGGCGCGCAAGGATGACTGCCATCCATTTGACATCGTCTCGTGGCCGCATCCAGCTCTGTCAGTTCAGTCTGAGTGCAGGTGATCTTGCATCTTCGGCGCACTCTCCGAACAGGAGTTCAGCAGTCCGGAAGGCGGGGCGCTAAACAGATGCGACAGCTGTCACTGCCACTGCTCGGAATGTCACAATAGTCAAAAGCAAGAAAAAGGGAGGGAAGGGGGTCCGGATGACGGCGAGCCAATGACCCATCAGGCGGCAGGACATTCCTCTTGCGTGTGTAGATGCAGCAAGAAGCTCTCGTCGTCGCTGCCAAGTCTTGCAGACCCTTGGGCGAGAGAATTTGGTCGAGCCGCACACCAGTGCCAACGGAAAGGACGCTCAATTCGACAAGACGAGTTCATGCTTGAATCGCTTCATTGTACAACGCTCCTCGTCGACCATTCGTGTTTGGACATCCTTCACAAACTGATGCCGGCGATATTCGGAAGACACGTAGGGCCCCGGAGTGGGAGGGTTGAGACTGGGCCTTGCTATACGAGTGCATGCGCTCGCACTGCAAGGCACCTTTGTTCCACTTTGGCCATGGAAAGCAATCCCCCCCTCCACTGCGTGTGGGCGCCTGCCTACGCATCCCCTTGACATTGTGGTTCGCCGGCGCATCGTTTGCAGCAAATGCTCTCGCCTGGCTGGCCACAGAGAGTCCCTTCCTTTACTCCACACACTGGAAAGGTGCAGCAATCGGGAGGGGGTCGCTTTTGGCGCGTACTCAGCCTCGACGACTAGAGCAAGCAAGCAAGCAAGCAAGCAAGCAAGGAAGGAGAAAGCATCTCAGTCGTAGACCCTCTTTCACCGCGTGGATGCAGCTCACCGCATGACACTGGGGTCCGTCGGCGCATCGTTTACAGCAAAGGTCCTCGCCGGGTTGGCCACAAAGAGCCTGTGCCTTTGCTCCACACACTGGAAAGGTGCAGCATTGAGGAGGGCCTGGCACGCGCCTTTCCAGCATACCCAAGCTCGACGACTGGATCGAGCAGGCTCATGTCAGATAACGACTCTCTCTCTCTCTCTCTCTTTTTCCACCGGACCGTGACCTACGTCGAAGGAGCGACCAGCTGCGTCGCCGACCGATGGGACTGCGCCGATTTGGAGTGTCGCGACAGCGCACACGACCACGAAAGCCCGAAGGACAGAGCGCATTTCAACTAGGTGAGGATCGAGAATGTTATGGAGTGTCAGCTCAGGGTTGCGCGCGTTGGTGGCCTGCTTGGCTCGCTGCGCCGCTCACCTTGAAAGTGTGGAGAACGAGGTGCGAGGATCGTGTCGAAGCGATGGATGAGGATGAGGAGGAATGCGCGATCGGGTGATGCGCAAAGATGGCGCTTTTTATAAACTTTCGAGGTGCTGCTGCGTGTGTGAGAGGCTTGTGAGTGCGACGTGTCAAGACAGCAGCCAAGGTGTGCACCTGGACAATCAGCAAGGAAACCGAGACGCAATGCGTCAAAGTGTAACCTTGCACATCGCGGTACGAGGACATTCGCACTTTCACGGATTAGCAAATGAGTGAGAAGCAAGGAAAGTGGTAGACACATTGCTTTGGCAATGTGTGCGTCGAGGTACCTCTTCATATAGCTGAGCGGATAGCAGCGATTCTGTGGGCTGAAAAGGGGGGTGCGCTGTCACGCAACAAAGCAGAGCAAATTCTTTTGGGGACCTACACCGACGTGGAAATTCACATTTCTCGGGAGCTAAGCGCATCAAACGAAAGGATTTCTTGATCGGAGTACATCTTTGCGCAACGCTTCAATGGACGGTGATGTGCACCGAGGTGCAAAGAAGGTGAGAGGCGCTCACTTTGATTGGAAATATGCGCAGATCGTCCCTCATCAATGCTGACCTGCGAAGAACTCCACAGACCCATGCACGCCTCGAATAGTCCCAACGCATCATCCTGCTTGACTTGCAAGACTGCCTCTCGAGGCACAGGAAAGCGGCAAATGCTGCGTCTTGTGGCTCGATCCGAGGTGCTTCGTCACGAGTTCTATGTACGAGGCGGTAGAGCACAGCTTCGCGGAGCATGAACGATGGTGCTCATGATGAGCAGCTTGCTCCCCCACCCAGCTCACAGTGCTTTCGAGACACACGATTCGAACCTTCACAGATTGTGATTCGATTTCGTTAGCTGGAGCTCATGTAGGCCTTTTCAATTGAAATACGAGTAAGTCGAGCATCCTGTGATTCTGGGATTTTTTTTTCTTCTAGATTTATAATTCTGTTCGCATTCGTTCGCACCTCGTTCGTGGCTCAAGCTCGAGTCTGGCATTCTGATGCGCCATCTCTTTGTCGAGCGGAACTATTGGTGAAGGCCCACATGAACTTACGCGCCAGCGCACGTCGTCTGTCTTTTGCAGCTAAGGCAGCAATCAGAGCCGGAGCACGAGACCTCAACCGGGCAAGGATCGATTTGGCAACACAAGCGAATGACCCTGCGCTTCAAGAGGAGAGAAGGATCTCTTTTCAGTAGGTTCCGGTTCCTCTGACTTCTCGTTGGGTGGAGGCAGCAACCCCCAGGAATATCCGGCACTGCCGCACCGGCTTGTGTCTCCTCGACATCCATCGCAGCAAGGGGGTTGCCCTTGCGTTCCGCACTTGGTTTGGTCGCCGGGACCGCAAGTGTCCACAGTGCAGCAGGGATTCTCCTTTCTGGGCAACAGACTCGCCGCAGCGTTCTCTCGAGCGGTGATGGTAGAGCGTTGATGAACGTCGGCCACAGCTGCATCCCTCTTCGTATTGTCGCTCGTGGAAGCCCCGCTGATGGCTCTAGCGCCAAGCTCCACAGCTTCCGGTAGCTCCAAGGAGCGCTTCAACGCGTTTGCTCCTCTGTGACATCTTTTGTCTCCTTTACACGAGTCGCAACAGTCAGGAGCGTCTGGATCTCCACAACGCTGCAAGTAGCCAGGCGAACACCTGTCGACGTTGCAGCAATGAGGTGTCGTCTTCGGTACTCTGACGAGCGCGTCAGGCTCCGATGACGCCCTGGAGAGCAAGTGGAAATCGCTGCTTTCAGATCGCTCGTCGACGTCGTCATGCTGATCGCCCTCGCTTGAGCGTCTTTTCGCGTCTGACTGTCGGAGAGCCCTTCCGCACTGGTCAGGATCTCCGCGGCATGAGTCGCAGCATGCCGGGCGCTCCTTTAAGCTGCATTGAGGCTGAATGCTTTCATCACAGCGGGCGAGCAAGCAACAGGGTGCCAATTGTCGTGCGACCAGCGTGGAGGTCTTCATGATGTCCCTAGCGAGCAAGATTTCGCTAGCTGTTTGAGCTTGGCTCTTCACGGTAGACCTGTGGAGGATGGTGATTGCAGTGGACTCCAGAGATCGTTCGTCATGGTGCCGTTTGCGCGGACTGTGCTCTGCGTTGCATCGTGGCGATCCCTTGCAACCAGAGCAGCAGCTCAGTTTGTGCCCTGGCAATGTGCACCTCGACTGCTCGTTCAGAGTCGCGCAAGGCGCGGTATCGCAGCAAGAGTCCGCTCTTCGGGACAAGTCAGTTTCGGCCGACTCGAGGGCGCTCCGCGTAACATGAGTGTCGTCGTTGAAGCTGTCCGTGGTGGACTCCAGAGATCGTTCATCATGTTGCCGTTTGCCTGGACCATGCTTTGGATTGCACAGTGTCGATCCCTGGCACCCAGTGCAGCACGGAGCATCTTTGCCTGGTCCGCACATAGCTTTGTTCGTAGCGCAAGACGCCGTTTGGCAGCAAGAATCTAGCTGCCTCGGAAGCAAGCGGTCTTTTTCAGCCGAACCGGCAGAGCTGCGGGAGAAGATGCGATCGTCGAAGGATTCGACAGCAGAGTCCAAAGATCGTCGAGGATAAGGCGGAGGGGCTGGTTTAAACCGTCCCTGCCCCGGAGACTTACCACCTTGACACGGTGGTGTTCCCTTGCATCCGAAGCAACAAACTGGGGGACTGTTCTGAGAGCATCTATCATCAAATCCACAATAGTCGTAGTTGCAACAATTGAAGTCGTCTCTTGCAAAAAGCATGCCAGTGACGGGATTCATGGCTCTCGAAAGAAAGACTTCACGATGCACGAGCGATTCCGGCGAGTCCAAAGAACGCTTGCCAGGCGGCTTCTTCTTGCATTTTGACTCCTTCTGGCATGAATAGCAGCACTGGTCCTCCGGAGATGGATCGTTGTCACAGAGCGAAGGAAAATTGCAAGGGGGAATCTCGCAGCAATTCTCGTACGGTGGTGGAGGGATTTGCCTCGGCAGCAGCATGCCCGACGTGGCTTGGGCTGGAACGCGTGGAAGCAGACCGCTACCGACGTCCGCAAGTAATGAGTCCTTCGTAGATTCCAAAGAGCGCTCGGTGGAGAGCGTCGATTTGGGGCATTTCTTCAGGTCCTTCTTGCACGAAAAGCAGCACTGATTCGTTGGAGCTTCCGTTCCGCAATCAAGTGGCCAGACGGGGCAAGGATCGATCTCGCAGCAATTCGTGTAGGGTGGGGGCGGAGGCTGCCTTGGCAGCAGCAAGCTATCCACAAGCTCGTTGCGAGGCTGAGCGGGAGATTTACCGCAAAGCTGCGAGTTGCCCTTGCAGCCGTCGCAGCAAGGCAACTTCTGCGAGCTCAGGCAAGACAGAGCTTCTACTTCGTTTTGACAGGATTCAAGAGCACAGCAGGGCTGCTGTGCTCTTGGCAGCAAGCTATCGGCAAGTTGGTTGCGAGGCCGAGCAGGAGCGTTACCGCAGAGTTTCGGGTCGCCCCTGCACCCGTCGCAGCAAGGTAACTTCGACCTGGTCGAGCAACTGAAAATTTCTTCCGCGGTATGACAGGGATCGGTGTCACAGCAGGGCTCGGGCCTCCTTGGCAGCAAGCTATCGGTCAGCTCGTCGCGACGTTGAGGTGGAGGTTTGGGGCAAAATTGCGAACCCTTGCACCCGTGGCAGCAAGGCAGTGGTAAGTCCGTGCTGCAAGTTTGAACCTCGAGGAGAATACGGCAGGGATCGATGCTGCAGCATTTGTCCTTCTTCCTTGGTAGCAAGCTATCGATCAGCTCGTCGCGGCGACGAGGAGGAGTAGGAGGAGGTCGACGAGGAGGTGGCGTTCGAGGTTCCTCGCCGCACTGACTAGGCGATCCCTTACAAGCATGGCAACAATCGTCTGGCGACTCCGTCTTGCAGGTGTCCTTTTGCTGCGAGGTCTGACAGTAGTCGACATTACAGCACGACCTGGGCCTGCCCTGCCTGGGATGCAGAGTAGATGGAGGAAGCACATGAGCCCGCACCCCGCTACTCGCGTGCAGAAGAGTGATGGCACATATCACGATCGAGACGACGACGAGAAGTCGCATCGTGGCTAGCGACCCCTGTCTGCAGAGTAGAGAAAGGTCGGCACAGCAAGGGCAGGGCGAGGTGGATGATGTGTATATGCCCTCGAACTCACGGGCAGTTGGCTTGCAAATCAAAAGGTGCCCTTCGCTTGACCAGGAGAGCGAAAAGTGGTGATGGGAGAGGAAACGGGTGAGCTGGAGGACAGAGAGCCGTCTCTCGATTCGGCTCTACATCTCCTATTTATAAGCGTGAGCGTGCAGCAGACGAATAGCGCAGGCTTTGGGACAAATTCGCTAGCACCGGGTCATGCAACGTTTTCGACTCCTGTGCAGACGAGCCTATCCCATCTTGCTGCGATGTGCTACCTCAAAGAACATTAAAAAAAAAAAGACATGACCTCTGGTCCGTTGTGTCTGACTGCGCCTGTGGACCGTGGTGGTGAGAAACAGAGTCTACAGAGGTGTCCATATTGGTAAGAGGCGCACTGATTCCATGATCACGGTGCTCAATACCGCGAACAAAGGACATCAGTCGCATGCACGCGAGCAGACGCAGATTCCGCGCGGAGCCCGCGGACGCAAATGTGTCGCATGTTTAGCCGTCGACCCCGCCCGGATATTGAGGCTGTACGGTCTTCGCGGTCCATATCGAAGAATATTCCCTCTACAAGCGCAAAAAGTGTTGCTTTGAGTGCTTAATTGTGCGAAAGGCTTTGTGCGACTCGCCGCTGAATGATTCCGAAATTGGGATATGTCTGCGTCGACTTATCCTCGGCGCACTTTGGCCCGCTATCTTTCTTGCACTTGTTGGTGCAAAATTGTTTCACACTGCCGCGGAGCTGATGCTCGAGAGTCTAGGCTCTCCCCTTCTAAGAATGGATGCGTTCCGCCTGCGTGGAGACGACAAAGACAATGAGGGTGCTTGCGGTCCGCGGACATTCCAAGGTAGCACGATACGCGATAGTATGCGGGACAGGCCAATGAAGCGTCAGCTCGCGCAACAATGGATCCCTCGACCGACCAATGAGCGCCTTGATGACAAAGAACGATCCGCCTGTGCTATAGGTCCTTGTGATAACTAGCGCCATTGAGCAACAAGAGGAATGAGGGGTGCACCCAGCCATCTGTCTCACGCTAAGTCATCGCATTCTTGAGTATAGTGATGGTGGATGTAAAGGAGGTTGCGCGCGTCGCGCGTAGGGTGTTTGCATGCAGAGTCACGTGCGACCATCTGTGGCTCTCGCTGCGGAGGGCGTATCCGGTCATGAGGACGAGGGCTCGAGATAGAGGCATCTTCCCGCTTTGCGAGTGTGTGAAAGGCGCAGTAGGAGAGTAAATGCACGGATTCGGTAATCATGTCATGATGAATCGCGTGTTGCCAATTCGACCTGTGTCACTGCTTCATGTCCCAATCCCCATTCGTCTTGCCCATATGCTCTCCTTCTCTCTCGATCTCGCCGTCAATGGTCCGAGCGCACGATGCGCGCGTCCTCCCCGCACGTTCCAGCGTCACAGGTGGGGTACTGCATGGAGGCTAGGGAAAAGTGATATCTGCTTGTGTCTCTTCAGCCTCTTGCCAGTTCGATCAAAAGCCTCTCCCTCGACCTGCCAAACGAGATCCATCCCATCTTTCTGAACATCGTGCACCTGATAATGGCCCACATCCGGCTCCGCTCGTGCCCAATTGCGCAAAGCTGCATTTGCGCGCGATATGGCCGGCAGCTTCTCTTCGGGATGCAATTTGTCGAATTCTGCAGCAGCAGCTTTGCTGTAGCCGACCGTGGCAGGCCATGCAGTGTTGGGAGGGTGTTGCTTCACGTGCGTCTTCTCGTCGATCACTTGGGCGTCGAGCAGCTCCGATTCGGAAAGGGGAAAGCCGTGTATGGGCTTGAAAGGTCTGCCTACGGGATTTGAGGATCCCGAATTGGGATGCGGCGGACGAGATTGCCGCACCAGAGACGTCGCTTCTGCTTTTCCGCTCGATGCAGCATCGTGCGCCGAGATGATGACCGGACCAGAGATGATGGGATGATGCTTGAACAAGCGCACTCTCGGTGTCGAGCCTGTTGGCACCCTGGGAATCTCTGGATTCAGACGTGGTCGGCCGCGCTTTGGTCTAGCGGGAGCTGAGTCGATTTGTCTCGTTGTGCTCGGTCGAGACATTGCAAAAGAGCCTGCTACGGTTGGGCTGGCTGCGTCGTGCTCCGAAAGGGCTTGTTGACCCTGCATAGGTATCGCCCCAGCAAGCTCGACAAGGTTCGCAGTTATTAGGACTTTCATCGCCCACATGGCTACTTGGAACAGCACCAAGCGGCACATCGTGGAGAGCATATGGATGAGACCACTTTGCGGAGTACCTTCCTGAGAATGAAGAGTAACTTCGAGGATGCTCGTGTGTGCTGATCCTCGGTGCGCCTTGCAATCGATGTCGCTTGGATGAGCTAGCCACCTGGAGAGCAATGTGGTGAAAGCTGCAAGAAGCGGTCCGCCTCGAGCCGCATTCAGCTCCGGCCAACTTGGAGACTCTCCTCGCCCACGCCATTTGCAATTGCACCCAAATATCTAGGCGGCAAGAGCCCTGCTAGAAGACGCATTGACGCCACCTCAAGCGAGGATAGAGTGGCGATGCGCCGTTGACGAAGGCGTCATTGCACGCCGTCCGTGTTGATCGGCATCGACGTGGCCGGCAGGTGCCTATCCCACTGCCCACCACACATCGCGAAAGTACCTAGTCAGTATCCTCAAGTAGAGGGGCCGGTCTCGATGAAACGAGCGGGGGTTGATAATCGGCGCCCGACTGGGTTGGGTGACGAGGCGAGGGCGCGCAGCAAGAGCGCGTCGGCTTGAGCGGTGAGCGGCGGCATGCATGCCTCGACATGGAGCTCCCAGATCGTGATTGGGAAGAATCGGTGCTGTGTGAGAGGCCGGCGGATGAGCCATGCAGGCGAGGAGAGTTGATCGCGACGAATTCTCACGACTCGCCGCGCGGCATCTTCCTTGTGCGCTCCCCGAGCAGGCGGGCCGACGTTCCTTGTCTCTGCGCTTTGAGGATTGTGATGCAGATTTCCTGTCTCATTCCCTTCGAGTAGCCGCATTCTGCTCGGGAAGCGGCGACCGCGGTCTGCGCTAGATTGCAAGTCACCTCTTCGACTGCAGTCCAATTTGTGCTAGGAGCGAAGTAAAAGCGCGCAGCCTAAGACTGCGCCACCCGCCAATGAGCGAGGGACTCCAAGAAGCGTTGTCTCCAACCGGCAGCATGACGGCGATGAAGCCGGCACTTCGAACCTATAAGTAATGCATGCGCTTCAAATTTTGAACGGTCTACAGTCACCCCTTGCCACTAAGCACGTCAGCAAGACCGAATCCCCGCACAAGGAACGACTGAATCTTCTTGCAAGCATCTGGACCATTACGCACACTTGAAGCGCATGTGAGTGCTGAATTCAGTGGAACAGGCTGACCACCTCGGCTGACTCATTGATTCCTCCTGATTCACAGCCATCATGAAGCTTGTCATTCATAGTCTTGCTCTGTGTGCTTTGACGGTTGTGATGCGTTGCGTGGCCTCGCCGGATGTCTCGATGTCGCCTGTGGAGGTACGTGTGCTTGTCCCCCCCTCATTGCTCGTCTGACAGCCCTGATCTGCAATTTGTGGTGTTCTGACTCTTCCCTATCCACGTTGCATCTTTTAGACGCCAAAGCTCCAGAAGAGGCTTCCAGCCTGTTGCGATGATCCGCCTTGCAATGCCAAAGAAATGATTCGCTGCGGTTTTGCGGGACCCAAACCCGCATGTTGCGGCTGCCAGTGCGATTGATGCAGCTCAGATGCTCTCAGAGGTCGCTGCTTTGCGATGTCAGAGAGGAAAGGTCGATTGGGTCTTCAGGGCTCTCAGGGTATCGACCGCTGAGAGAGTCGGTGGCGAGCCAAATATCGGGGGAATTTAATTTTCACGTAACCCAAACAAGCAGTTCAAGTATTGCAGTTCAGTAAATGAAGTGGGTCTCGATACCGAATGAGTGCTTCAGTCGTATGCACGCACCTTGCAATTCTCCATTTTCCGCTGCAGCCAGGGAGTGGCATGTTGAGACAGTCTTGCGCTTGACTCGCTGATGTCGTACCGTGCGCCATCGGTGACTGCTGTCGCGCAGGTCATCTTCAATGATGATGGTGGCTGCAATGAAAGTTGCAGAACAGTCAAAGTACCGGTACATGCATGAGATTTTGCGCGTGCGGACACTATGCGAGCCAGGGTCACGCGCAGCGAAGACTGTTCTTGCGAGGCAGCGCCACCGACCTGATCGCTGAGGTCTTGTTTACTGAGTCGCAGCCAGCATTGCATGCGTTCTTCACGTTCACAGAAACACACGCCGCCCAGGTAGGGCTTCTCACTTCCGTTAACCAGGACTAAGTCACAGGCACAGCAAGCTTGCAGGCGCATTTCTTGCGTATTGATCGCACGCATAAGACTTCTCTACCAGTAAAGGTGTCCTCTCAACGCTGCAGTCGTGAGTGCGGCGAAGAAGAGACTTGGACGCTTTCAGGTTGCAATCGCGAAAAGGTTCTCAAGACACTCTGCGAGGTCTTGGTGTTTCGTGACGACAATGGTGTTGTCAGAGCAAGCACGAAACAGAGACTTTATTGCAGTGAAGCATCACTGTTTCGAATGCTTGTTGTCGTGCCGTGCCACAAACATTTCACCGGCCGCGGCAGGGTATGGATACGCTCTGTTTCAAAGGGGTGAGCTCCTGTCATGCATTTGCCGATGCTCAAGAAACATTCTTGCTTCGACGAATGACGTATGGACATACATACGGACACTTTGCGAGAAATGCTTTTCACACGACTCACACGGGACATCTTGCGCATGAGACAAATGGCCGGTAAGCGCATCAGTGCTTTGAAGACCTTTTACATCTCAAGAGCTTAGGAGTAGTGCAAAGGACTACGGCAAAAAGTCTGCGACCAAGGCTTCAAGCGCCCAATGCGATGCTCATAGTCGCTCCCATCAGATTGCAGTCGAGAGCCTCAAGCCATATGCTTGAGCATCCTTGTATCTTCAAACACCACTCCTGTGCGGGTAAGCCAACATTGTTCGCCCCACCAACGACGAGGGCGGCTAAACTCGGTGTTGTGGCTTAGCGGCGGGACTGTATGGATGTTCTGAGTCAGGTTCGTCCCATGTACATACTCTCAAAACCATTTCGAACTGTGATGATTGACAAGAAGGGTACTTAAACCGGTAATCTGCACTCACGTTCATCGCAAATCGCCACCCAAGTGATCACTGCTACGGCGACTTTGCAACAAGATCAGCACAAAAGTCTTCGCATCTCTCTGAGCCATTCACTGTCAGCATGGCCGGTTCTCATTTTGGGGACCTGATCTTCATTGTGTTCTGCGTCCTACAACGCATTTCAAGTGCTCCAGCTGGCGCGTCTACCATTGTGAGTCTGACCGCAGCCCTGCGATACTCGAAGCGCCAGAGAACTGAGGTATCGCTGCTCGATGGATGGTATAGCCGCCTTCTATTCATATTCGCGTAGACTCCGAACGCGATGCTGGACCTGAGACCACCGAGCGAGTGTCCTACACAGCAGCACTTGTTACACCTGTGCAGCAGCAAAAAGCGCATCGCAAGAGGACGTTCATCGACCGACGGTCCGCAGTCACGCTGACCACCGCGGGGTCCAGAGTCTTGCGCCGAGAGGTCAACGTTCCAGTAGTCCGTGGAGCTCCTCCAACTCTTCATTTCATGCCTAGCATTCTCAGCGCGACGATGCGTCAGCCCATGGAGTGGATCTCTCTTGCACGCCGCATCCAAGATTGGGCTTTGAACGATCCGCAAGTCGGAAGGGTATTGGTGACCGAGGTCGGCGCGCGTTCGACCAACAACGTTCGTCGTGTCAGACTCCAAACATTTGATCACGATGGAGGCTCACTTGCGAATCACTCACTGAACATTCCGCACTCGCCTCCATCGCCGAGTCCGCTGATGGGTCCTCATCCTAGACAGCCCCCGCCACCGGCTCCTCCTGCTCCAGAGCATTAGACTACCGCAGAGATACTTTGATAGCGACGTGCTTGAAGAGAAAGCGGTTCCTCGGGATGCTCGAGCTGTGTCGGGGTGGAGGAAGTTATTGGTCTTCAGTCAGTGCTGATTGATAGGTGATCAGTAATTCATGACTTCTTTGAGAAGATGGCACGCCTGCGAACGGAGACGGTCCTTCTTTGCCGAGTCTTGACGGTGATCAGCAGCTTGCCGGCGCAGCAGACGGATGAGTGTCATGTAAACGCCAAAATTCGCTGCGACTGTCGTCCCGGAGCGAGAATCCTTGACATTGCTCAGAGCATTTTTAAATCTTGCTCGCTTGTGTCTAGCTTGTAAGAGCGGCATTCGTGCCATCGCCGTGAACACGCAGCGATTTAGGGGCATTTACTGCTTCACCGTGTCGTCGAGACACGCGATAGAGGTTTTGCCAGGCGAAACACCTGTCGAACACGCACTGCGCCCAAGGCTTTGTTGTGACACCGATGTTGTACAGCGTGGGACCTGTGCAGTACCCAAAACGTGCACAGCAGCGCCCCAAACATACCGTACTGGCATTCCTCGCTGTGATTCACTGCGGCGCAATATTTTGACTTGCTCTTTTCCAGGCTGCCTTTGGCATTTTCGCCTCGTCTTGCGCAGTCAGCTCTTTCTTGCCGTATATAAGGCGGTCAAGACGAGATTGCGACGGAAGAACCGCTCGCTGATGTACAGTAATCACTTGATCATTCCAGAACCAGAGAATGACCCCATCTCGCCACAATTTGCCATCCGCAAGACAACAGAGCTCCAGCATGACTCCTCATTTCATCACGATGCTTTGGGTGTTGGCTGCTGTGCTTGCCATGCTGCAGGGCGGTCGGACTTTCCAGGTGCGTGCCAAAGGATTCCGCTTTAGGCGATGACCTGCCGGCAGATCTCTGTTTGACCCTGCAATCCATTGTTCCATCCAATCCAACAGATTCCGCCGCATGCCCCACCAATTGTCAACTTCAACGATCAAGCTGCCGACCAGATTCACAATCAATACAGTGCCGATCTTGACACTTTTCGCGGTGCGCTGCACGACTGGTGGAGGACGCAAACAGACCAAGATCCCAACATCGCTCGCATCGATGTGCATAGGATGATCCGCAGGCGAGACGGTAGCGTGGTGCTGCATGGCATGGCTTACAACACGAATGGAGAAGCGCACGCGTCTCCACAGCGCTTTGTTGTGTGGCCTTTCGGCACATAGTGGCACATCTCAGGTGATCGGAAAGCGCCAGCTCATTCAGCAAGGTGGGAAGCTGCCCCGGTCCAGCAGGCGAGAGTAGGCAGTGCTGAGTCATCTTGAGCGGCGCCGCGACAAGGATGTTTCTGTGTCCGGCTAGAACCATTGAGCAATGTTTGTGAGAATGTATAGCAATGATGATGGGTTTTTGTTTGTCCTTATCGTTGTTCGGCGCCATGACACGCAGCGACGACGTCGGCTGGTGTCGCGCTGATGACGGATCATGCGCAAGTCTTGCTACAATTGATGTCCAACAATTGGTGTCTTCGCACTCTTCTGAGAGCAATGGCTGCTGGCAAGAGGCGCTCCAGTGTGTCGATATATCAACATTGGTACGCTACACAGGCATTGTGAGAGGTTTGACGACACTGGCAGAGTGCCAAAGGCGGCCTCATGCCCCTTGCGAGATACTCACGCAAACAGTACTTGGGCGAGTTCGTGATCCGCGCAGAGTCCATAAAAGGCGGCATGCCCCGGAGCTGGTCTCCGCCAAATGCACCGCGACGCTAATTCGCCACAGACCTGGTTCCGCAAGCAGTGCGCCAGCTACTACCTTGCGATGTGCCGAATGAGTGCCGTTCGGTCCACAGCGCTTTGGGCGCTACTCACCACGTTGCTACTGGCCGCTGGAAGCGTGCCTGCAAGACAGGGGAGCTTACACTGCGAGTGTTTCAGCAGCCGTTTGCGTCTGAATAGCTTGGAGCACCGAGGCCCTCATTCCTTCCAAGTTTTTCACCAGCACTCGCCTCCATCCCCCAGCTGCAAATGCTGTGACGAGAGCAGAGGCGTTAATTGCTCGCAGCGGGCAAGAGCCTGCAGAAAGAAACGAAGAGCCGAGAAGACGAGGGGATCGAAGCAGCCAAAAGAGCCGTCTAATTACAGCTATCCTCACTGAGAGGCCAGGAGCCACGTCCGGACAAGGTACATCACACGGTGAGAATGATTTGAAAGAAGAGGACGACACCGGCTGCATCACTACTCACCATCCACGCTCTTGACAGGCGCATCAGAGGGCGCTGTCCCTCGTCGCGTCAGATCGCAGCGACGATGCAATGCTCCAGCACACGCTAGCAGCTCGTCAGCAGTTCCGACACCAAGAGCGGGCGTATCAGCGCGATCAGAGCATCAAGCGCCTGCCACTACATTCCTTCCGGTCAAGCAACGCGGTGGCCAAAGCATGGTGATGTGGAGTCCGGTCACCGACAACAATTTCCGTGGCATGCCTCCAAAGGCTAGAGAAGATATGAGCAAGTCGATCGCGGCATGGGCAGAAGCGAGCCAATCATCAGCGAATGTGCACGTGCTGGGTATCGGTCCTAGCGTGCTCCCTCATCACGTTTCGGTGCACCATCAGCTGTACGACGAGGGTATGAACAAGATCAGCAATCCAAAGATCAGCGAAGTGCCTCATGTGATGACTCACTTCTAGCCCGAGGGCATCGTAGTGCGCCAATCTAAATCTATGCCACTGCTCGGGGCGTCCAATCACGAATGTTTAGGAGTCCTGCGCTAAGAAGAAGGCCCAACAGGGGCCTCGGTGCTGCCGAATAGATCCATGCTCTTTAGATCAAGAGCCGCTCGACATGCCTTTGAGCGCTGATCCGTCCTTTGATGCACACCTGCGCGTCGCTGCTGATTCGATGACCCCGCCCTGCCCCTGGAGCGGCGGACGATGCATGTAGGCTTGCTCACCCCACTCCGTGATCACTCCCATGCGAAGGGTGGACATCAAGCCGGCATCGCCTCGGCACGTACACCTGCCAAGGTGGAGGTGCACTTCTCCGATGCCGCCGATAGGGCGCTTGCGCTTGACCCTTATAGAAGAGTGGTCCTCGCTCTACAGTCGCGTTTTCAAGATTGGGCCTCACATACTCGAGCCGTTCACAGCGTTCACGTCTTGCGCGTAGGTCCTCATCGAGCCGACAACTAGCCAGCCGCCATGTCCAACTGAAAAGCTTCGATCACAGCTGTTCTCCTCTCGACACTCACACTCATTCCCTTCAACGTTCATCATCATCCCCCTCCTCCTGTTGTGCGGATTCGAGAAACACTGGTCTCAGGCGCAGGCGCAAGGAAACCACTGTTCCAATCTGATCCTGCTCATCCCATCTTGCGGAAATCGCAATCACAGTAGACAGTCTTGAGTGAATCAAGCCCAACGAAACGCAGCCAGCCCACGCCTGCAACGCGTCGAATCGGCTGCTGTGCTGCAATCACGTGCCGCGTCTGGCGGACGCGCAGAGAGGATGAACATCCGCGCGACTTGACTCACAACTCAAATTCTCGACTCACCATCACTCAACTCTCACTCTCACGACTCTTGGTTCGCGATCTTATGCAGATCCATGAGTGAAGCTTTCATCGCTAGACTCAGACTCTCTTCTCATCAGCAGCAGCAATCGCCAACCATCCTTGACTCCGCCATTTCCATCTCCCGGTATCATGCACAATTCCGGGAAAATGGCCGAAATTTGCCAGTGCTAGCTCGACCGCCACAGCCATAGTCAGTCATGCGCCCAGCCCATTGCAATCCGCGTGAACCTTCTCGGTGCTGGCGAAATCTTGAGATCTGCTTGGGGTGCCCATGATGTAGTTGGACCCAATTTTCAGTCTGTCCAAGAGTCGCAGTCACGAAAGGATGAGCATTCAGGACCACAGCGAGCGCTACGTCTTGTCACAGCTTCGCAACTCTTGTGTGGATGCGACACTCTCTGACGACACATGACTCTCAACTTGCATTCAGCTCTGCAATCAACTTACCGACTTTACTTGGAGTGCGCAGTGAGGGAGTCGGACGTTGATGCTGAGACATTCGCACAAGAATGCAGAGTCATAGAGTATGTTCGTGCATCTATCATCGCGTTGGCCATGCATGCGCATGGATTGCCATATCCGCGCATCTGATAGACGGCAACGGCCGTGGCGCGCGCCCCACGGGTCCCATGTTTGATCAGCCACCGCGCACCTCATGTTTGTTTGATGCACGTCCACGGCGGCAACGCCGGGTTGGGCGCAGCTGGATGCCGCCGCTCCACTGTTTCCGCCGCATGGGGGAGCAGCCTCGATCTGGAGCTGGGAGAGGCGTATACGCATGGACACACCTATCTAGCTACAACACTCGTGGTGTGGTGTGTTGTTCCCACGGGGTGGACGCATCAATGGGTGTTGAACTTCCCGCAACGCCTCGAGAGTGCTTGTCGTCCACACATCCACACGATCCACAACAGCAGCCCTAGCACATCACGCTTGCTCTCGCCACTTCAGTTGGCTTGGCAGCACCCGATGCCGGCTCATCTCGCCCAAACAAGGTGGCGTGCTGACGTGGCAAATGAAGCCGTGTCAGACCCCACAGACACACGTATAAGCGTAACGGCATCCGAATCATCGGTACCGAGACCGCTGTCATGCATCCAGCCTGCTTGGCGATCCAGCAACATGGACTCTGTTCGAGTGGTAGCAGGCATGAAGCACAAGCTACGCGCCGTGTCGGCTTCGGCGGGAGGTGGGTTGTGGGGTTATGCACACTATCCATCAGCGGCTTGGGTATCTGTTGATCGCTCACTAAACATGGATGACGCTAAGCTGGAGCAAGGGCCACACTCCGTCTGACTGCCAGGATCTTTGGCAACGCGGAACTGCATATCGAGTCTTGAGGCGCTTGTACCTTTAAATGCCGCACATTGATTCGTCTCAAAGTTGCGGAGCGGCAAAGATGAGAAAGTGCTCATGCTCTCTTCAAGTGTGGCCCCACGAAAATCTTCCCAGTGGTCGGTACTGCACCAGGAAAACACTCCCGTGACCTCAAGTCGCAAGCAAGGCCCACTCTGCATCGCAAGCATGCTGTGTGCGAACACCAGAGCTGACAAGCCTTGGCAAGGCACTTTGGCGCTCCACTCTCGGACCATCTTATTCTCGCTGGTCGTGAGTCTTCTCCGATGCCTGCTTGAATGGGATAACGTAGCCGGTCACTCAATTACCCACTTGTCTATAGGTATCGTTGGCCAGCTTCGTGATGCACGGCTCCGCGTCGAGCACTGCGCCACCAAGCTTGGTGTTGAACGGCACTTTGCACATGACGGGAAAGTCCCAAGCAATCACGGCAAGTTCGAAGCGCGCCATCACGCCCGATACATCCGTACGGGGGACCGACTCCAATCTCAAGGCTCTGCAGATGCTTACCAAGCGCTCCGGGGAGCACTCGCCACCTTTCGTCATTATCGATCAAAGCATCGACGAGGTGCGCTCAGGAAGTGCTGATCACGACAGTCTGACACGCATCATCCGATCGAATGCGCGCCAGGATGCCAGGACGTATTGGGTTCGCGTTTGGTCCGTAGGCCCGCGCAACGCACACGCATATCGATGGGTTCGATGGACAAATTCCAATCGCGACGGCAAGCACCTTTTCCACACGATCATGAAGCTGCATCATCCCCTTGCGCTGCGTCGTCGCAGCCAAGATTGGGGCTTGCACAACCTTGGAGTCATGATCCCATTGCGTAATTTGGAGGATCCGGTCCAAATTCGTTGGCTGCGCAATACGCGCCAGGCCGTGCCCGTCGGTAGTGCGGAACGTATCAGTCTGGAAGCCAAGCTGCAAAGACGCTTTCGCATCGATCGAAACGTATTCAGTGTTGTTGTTCAAAGTGTCGGAGAGCGCAACGCCGAAAATTTTAGGGACGTACACTTTCTCGCTGCTGATGGCCCTGGCCACGCTGCGCTGGAGACGTCCATTCGCGTTTTTCATCCACCGCCGCCCGGCACTGCAGATCAAAGCAGCACGCGACTTTTTTCGCGAGCCGTGATTCGAGACCCGGTCCTCGGGGAGACGATCCCCCTCAGACCGCCCGGCACGCCAGCATACGTGCACTGGAGCCAAGAAGCAACAAATGTGGTGCCGTATTACCATCCCGAGTGGAATGCGCTCAAGGAGAAAATTTTGAACCACGTCAATCAAGATCCCATGATCCACCGAGTCGTCGTCGAGTCGGTGGGCCCTAGGAACGCTCATAATTATCGGCGCGTCAGCCTCACAGGTCTCGATTACAGATGGCGTGCTATCATGACAGATACTCAAATGTTTCACCATCCCCCAATTCGCACGTAGCGAAGGCTGCGCGTCGTAGAGCTTCGAGCTGACCGAGGCTAGCCGGGTCGCAAGAGGGGCCACTTCGACGAGCGGCAACTGATGTTTCTCGTTAGGAGGCTTGGGTCCCTTCCGCACCTGCATTTGCATTCGAGCACGACAACGCCAGGAGGCTTGGGTCCCTTCCGCACCTGCAATTGCACCCGAGCACGACAAGACCAATCTAGATTGTCGCATCGTCGCCTAGCTTCGCAATGACCCCGCCTACACCCACGCAGACATCCTCTTTGTAGGGCCTCGCGAGGCTGGACATGCACGACAAGCGCGCCTGGGCGCTTCACGTTCTGATGGTAGGCCTGGTACAACAATGTCCACATTCGTCACCCGCCACCATGCCGGAATGGTGTGTTCGCAATGGCCAAGTTCAAGTCTCGCGCTTCTGGGACGGCAGAAGCAGTGAGAACGTCCAATGAATGCTCTTCACGCTCTGACGCCGGCTCGAGCAAATATACGATCGAGTAGGTCCACAGCGCAGGGAGCAAGCGCAGGTGTGGCGAGCTCGATGCCGCGATCCAGAGCAGTCAAATACACCTGATGTTGCAGAATCAGGGCGGTGGCAAATAGACGCGCTACATGGTAGTGTTGTCGAGGCTCTTCTCTGAAAAAAGCGGCGCCGAGCAACTTTGAGCTATCGCCACCGCCTCTGATGTCTCCGACTCGCGCAGACAAGAAGAAAAAATCGATCTCGCCACTATTGCTGTTGCCGCTGCTGACGTCGCAAAGACTCCTTGATCAGAGCGCTCACTCTCTTACAGACCCGCTGGCCTCACCTCAGAAGTAGTCCGCATTTGCCACCATCGCCAACTTCCGGTCAGCGCTCTTGCGATGATACTTGCTGGTGAAGGGACCAAACCACAATGTGCACTTTATTGATATACCCCGTGGTGCTCGCCGCAGAGAATTTTTGGAACGAGGCATCGAGGCAATCCCTCTAATATACTCCGAGCTCCTTTCATCAGGTATCTTCTAACGCGAGGTCCTACTCGCAAACTTTATCTTCAACAAAGCGTCGCCTCGGAAGTTCAGGATGGCCAATTTCCAACTCAAGATACTGTGCATGAGCGCAATGGTCTACGCGACGCTCATCAGCTGCACGGTATGTTGCGCATATGGGCGACGGAGTTGTCCGCGAATGTTCATCGAGTTTTGGCTTTCCTACCAACTTTCTAGAGCGCGAGAGGCAAGGATGTTGCGTCGGTCGTACTCGCACAGCAGTCGCCGGCACCGCAAGAGTCCGTGGGTGCTCCTTGGCTCGGCATTTCGCGCATATATGCCCGCTTTCAACGCCCGGTGCAGTCGGACACTTCTGAAGGTGCCGTCAGCACATTGTCTGATGACCACGACTCTGGCTCTTCCCGGAGCGGGAGACTTGCGAACACCGTTCATGCTCACCGCCCGGCACACTCCGACGCTTCTGAAGGCGCATCCGGCACAGTGATCGATGATCATCGTCGACTCCGTTCACCAAGTCCTCGAGGCAGGGCTTCCGAAGGTCCCGTTCTCTTGGGCCCGTGGCCTCCAGTCAGACTGAGCAATTCGGCCCACGATACTCTTGGCTCTCATCACGAGCGCCAAACTTTTCTGGACATCGCCTCGGACTGGGCTCGGGCGGACCCGCACATCAGGGCCCTTGACATCCATCATGTTGGGGATCGTCAGCCGGACGGCTATCGTACAGTCAACATGACTGTGCACAACGGCACTATTTTCAACGGCAGAAACAACAGGATCGCCGTGGAGATGCTGCACCTGCCTCGGTCGATGTAGCGAAGGGTGACCCTCGAGCTAGGTAGCGTAGCAGACACTCACATCCGTTCACGGCACTTCACAATTACATCAACGTACCACGATCAGGGATTGCGGAGTCGCGGGTGTATCTGCGGGCTGTGTGGCTCACACCGCGTGGCGAATCGATCGTCCCCCGCCTTTTCTGCTCGGGTGCATCTGAGCACTAGGACCTGACGTAGAGACGCCTGCGCAGATGCGCTTGCGCTCATGCCGCTACCATGTGTCGCAGATGGGTTATACGAGGATGATGGTATCCATGATGAGCAGTCATAGGTACAGTATAGCTGGCATATGCACGAAATGACGTGTGCGCCACGCGCGTCCCTCTTGGCGTCACCTCGGCATCCCCCTCTCACAGAGTGGTATCAGTGTGAGTACGATGCCGTCGAATTCGCCGCGTCAGCTCAGTGATACTGCGCTCGGTTTGTCATTTCACTTCAATATTGTTGCTAGACAAGGCTTCCCTACGCTGATTTCGGTTCAGAAAGGCCAGTGCGGTACATGCCTGAGATCAGGGCGCACATGAATCATGTTCAAGTCGTGGAGCACAGCTCCGCTAGGATCCAGTCCACTTCCCTGGACCCAGTACCCAGTCCCGGACCGATGTGGCGTGATAGCAGAGACTATGTAGCGAGCGTGCGTGTCATGGTGGAGTCTTATATCGATGGCCTCACGGAGCGCTTGATGTATCGAGGCACGCTCTTGGGCGTTGAAGGTCCTAAGGTAGCTCGACATACCGTCGTCGTACTCGATTGCTGCTCTCGAAGCCGGACGCAGGCGATTTGCTCGGGCTGCCTCATCCAGGACTTGCTGCTCCGCCTCGGTCGGACGACGAGGAGTCGTGCTTCCTGTTACGCCTAGCGGACCTACGGGACTGCGGGGGATTAGTAGAGCGCTTGGCATCTGAAACCTCACGCCGGGAGCTGAGCGCCTGTCCAAGCGCCTCAGTCTGAAGGGCCAGCCTGGGGGCAGCTCCGCTGGGTTGATGCGCACGATGTAGTCGGAGTCCTCGCCGTGCAGATGGCGGCCGGTGCTCGTTCGTGCTTCTCCAGCAACGTGATGCTCATTGTTGGCACTGTAATGCGAGGCCACCGGCGTCACCCCTTTTATATGAAAGCTCGCTACATTAGGGTAGCGAGTCTCGATGCTGAGCTCCACGTTGTCCCGAAGGGTATTCGCGACGTGCACTCGATAGCGTGGCGGAATGTTGTTCAGAAGGAAGAGTATGTTCCTGCTGATGGTCACTTGGGCAGGCCTAGCTACTTCCGCAAGCAATTCTGGCGCGTCCGCGCGAGCCGCCAGGTGCTGAAGGTGGAAAATCACAACTGAGCTGCATCAGTCAAGAGCGCAAGATCATGAGAGTATCTCGGACGTGCTTGACTCACTGATCCTGTTCCATCGACGGGCATGAAGGTCACCACGAGCGCCGCCGCGCTAAGCCAACACAGACATGATACGCGGGGCGCCTTCATGGTTCCAATCAGACGCAATTCGCAGTCGTAGCACGTTGGGTCCTGGTAGCCAATTCTGAGTACTGACTGCAATTTTGTTGAAGAGATGTGCTGGAGCAGGATGCGTTGGAGCCTTGGAGATGTTTCACAAGTGCTCTGACTCTTCTTATACGATACATATTGGTAGGTATCATTTGCTGAGGAGCATTCGCGTCAGCGCATTTCGAAGCATGAGAGACGAGCGACGAAGAAACGCATGCAGTCTACCTTCCGAAAAGCTACTCTTTACTATTACTATCCTGGCGTTTGGTGGTGCTGCGTATTGTCATACAAGCACGACGACTGGCTCTCAATACCACCAAGCGTTGTTTTGTTTAGCAAACTTGGTAGACGCCTAGACAACACAGGAATGTTTTCCTGTCATCAAGATGGTCGAAGCACCAACTCTGCACTAGCTGACCTCCTGATTAGGGCCGATGGCCCGACCTTGCATGCTGGTCTTATTTACAGCTGCCATGTCAAGAGTGGCACCTGTATACGCCTAGCAACGTCGGTGATGACCCGCGAGTGCATCCAAGCGTCGCCTGCAATGCAAAGCACCCGTGGTGTTTCAAAATTGGTGTCCCGCTAGTCAGGTCAACAGTGGTGATTGTATTGTGGGAAGAGATCGAATTCGCATTGAGCGAGAGCTCGTCTGAAGGAGCCGGCGGGAGACTTGTACACATGCACAAGGTAAAGACCTGTGCGCCCTGCAGACTTTGCTGCTGCCTCGAGCGTGGAAAGGGACTGTGCGTTGGCCGCACGCACCGCGCACGCGCCTATAACACGCATGTACACCAGCTTCGCGCATCGAGCTTGAGAGACACTCTGACTCACGACTACTACAATCGCGAATGAATGCTTCATTCGGGCTGTGCGCCCAGTCGCAATCGTATTTGATAGATTCAACTGCACAATTGTTTAGCACTCGCCATCTTGCTGGGTTCGCAGACACATTGATCACGCCTGCTGATACAAACGCAAACACAAGCACAACAGCACTGATGAGCATGATTGCATTTGATTGGCACTTGTTCTAGGACACTTCAGCTTTGAGATTCATTTCGCAAGGGAAAGTCTGGCCCATTGAGCTTCTCAGACCATGCCTTCGATCGTTTTCATTTAGTGCAAAGCGCCGGATGTGGCGCGTATCCAATTTGCGGCAACAAGCATGTCCGGGCGAAGGTGTAACTCGGTCGGTGCGGCGAGAGGGACTCCTCTAGCGTCGTGAGCTGTGCCAGAGAACTTGAAGCCGTTTATCGCGTTGCCAACCTTGTGGTCTCTCATGCTGGTCACATGAAAGTGGCCTACCTGAGGATGATGAGCAAGTTTTGCCGCCATCTCGCGCTTGATGGTCTCGAGGGCAGTTCGCCTCGTAGCTTCGCGTGCTTGTGCAAAATTGACTTCAAAATGATGATCGAAGCTGATGCGCGGCTTCACCGAAGCGATAGTCTTCGGCTTCAAATGTGAAGCGTTCTCGGAAGAAGCGTTGCCCTCTGCCCCTTTTGATCCTCCTGACTGACGAGCGTCCAGCTAATAAGAGGTTGACAAGCACACCTTAGCGCGATTTGAGGCTCCAACGCGTAAAATTTTCTCTCGTGTGACTGGCTTGTGCACTCACGAGGCTAAGCTGCGAGATGTTCATTGGTCGAGTGCGGACAACGTGCGAGAAAGTCGCAATGATGAGAGCCACTCCGATCCAATGCGACGCGCTGAAGGGCAGATAGCGGTGTTGCATCATGCAGAACCGCAGAGGTGCAGTCTATGCCTCTTGCACGAACTTGTTGAAGAGTGCAGTGCACCTTCAGCTCAAACTGTCCATCGGACGAGTTCGTGCTCTTTTTACTTCGAAGGTGCGCTGCTCTCGATTTAGGTCACGGTCCCTTCTGGACATCCTTGCTAGTAGTGGCGAGCACGGTCGGGAAGTCGCCCATATTGCAACTTTTGAGTTTACGAGCGTGCGCTCAAATTGCGTCCGTCGCCCGCGCTTCATGTTGGTGTTATTAGCTCTGAAGGGTTCGTCGAGGAAATTGCAGCTCTGTATTTAGTGTATGCAACCTACGAGTGCACACGTAAGCGTTTGTTGCTGGGCGGTGTTTGTGGCTTAGCGCCGACTTTCTCTGGGCGTCTTCCGCGGCAGAGTCCCGCCGTGCCAACATCCGTCGACCAGAAGGTCTTCAGGACGCAAGTGACGAAGACCGCGCCAGGTCACGAATGGATGGATGTATAAGAAAGAGAGAGAGAGAGAGAGAGAGAGAGAGAGAGAGAGAGAGAGAGAGAGAGAGACTATAGCGAGGGAGGGCATTTACATATGCATGAATATGTAGGGGTGATGGATCACGTGGTTAAACAGCAAGATGGCATGTGCTTGGAGATTTTCAAGCCAACACAACCAGATCAAGACCGTTCGTACGATTGTGTGTAGCCTCCGTGTCGGCAACACTTCTTGAACGCTGACGAAGTGACGAAGAGAGGCTAACCTCTCACCGAACCGTAACATTCGGCCGCTTACCACGTCTGCTGGTCGTTGCATCCAGGCGCAGTGCGCAACGCTTGGGCCGAAGTCGACCGAGTGGCGAAATGCATACCTGAAAAGCCAAACTCACACCAGTTGTTTGGAGGACGTTGCTCGTGCCCGGATGCGTTTTCTGGATGTCTGAGCGACTTCAAGCCTAATCGAGAATCACCAATGCGAGCTGATCGCAAAGGCCAAGTTCCATCGCTTACTTACCTCGCAAGGGAGGTCTCGACTCTCATGGAAGCAAAGCTGGCACGCATGAGCTGGCAAGAGAATCAATCTGGCACGCTTCTCGCGGTAAATTTCCAGCAGGCTGCTTTAGCTCAATTCTGCCACAATTGCAGAGCTTGAGCATCGCTGGTGTGCTCACAACGTCGCCGGCCCGAAGGGCCAATGGGGAGGAGGCGCAGGATGCGAGACTTGTACGACGTGACTAGGGCTTAGCAGGCTCTTGTGCGCAGAGTAAGATTCTCCCGTCGCTTTGAATCCTCGACCAATGTCCAGGCCTTCGCCCCAATCCTCGACCTCGTGTATTTTGTAGCCATAGACGCCGCCATGCCATTGATTTATAGTGTTGCCGACGTAGTTGTGCAGATGCTCGATAACAGCTTTGCGATGTGGCTCCGGAACGGTCTCGATCACGCCGTGTATCGCGTCGTTGTGTGTGATGGCAAGGTTACCGAGCTGGGTCCAGGGTGGTGCACGAGCCGCCAAGTAGGACATTCCCCGAACAAGAGCCGCGGAAGCGGATCTAGCCCCCGTCGCGAAGGCCTCATGAGGAGTGATCTGGTGCCGAAAGAAAGGTAGTATATAGGATGCGCCAGCGTTGCGGGGCTCTGGTGGTAGGTGTTACACTCACGTCTTGTGCGCCGGCTGGCGAGCTCAGAGGCGCGCTCTGTACAGCGGACGACAGCGTTACTGCACCGACCACGAGTGCTTGAATGCAAAGGAAGCGCTTCATCTTTTTCTAATCCGGACCCTCAATGTCTGCTAAGAGTGAATCTGAATCTTGCGCGGGTGTCTCATCAACTTTGCCACCTCGTGTCTTGCAAGAGTCGCTAGGCAAGCTGAGCTATGTGGTTCAAGACGCGGGCGTGACAATTAGGGGCATCTTTATATCTTTGTCCCTTGGAGGGGCAGCCTCGCCCCCTGAGCAAGGTATTTTGGACGAATCCAAAAGTCGCCACTGATTGATGTCTGAACTGCTAGGGTACGCGTTACTCTGCAGCCAGAAATGCGGTCAAAGCATGGATGAGACTGGATTCCAAGAGGTGAGGGCTGCGACGAAGCGCCGCCTGAGGGAACACCTTGGAAAGCGTCTTGCCAGGTGGACGGGCAAGTGCGTCTGTTGCCCTGCTGGCGCATTGGTGTCGCGCATCGATCGCGGTGTCCCTGCGAAGTCCAGAGTGCATAGGAAGCGTCTCGTGGTACCCGTGTTGAGAAACTAAAGGCCTTCAAACTACTCAAGAGGGCGCCGTCTTTGGTCGAGTAGTACCAAGTCGGTCAGGTCCGCGAACTGGCGCGCAATGGCCGATCGAGGCTGTTGCGGGTGCTCAGTAGCGTTCTGCGTCATACCGCCTCAGAACATACGCACTCATCGCTTTGGCCAAGCTGGCGAGTTTGCGAGTGAGACACGACACCTGAGAAGCGATAAAGGCAGCACGACTCACGCGATAACACGCTCTCGACGCCAAAATACGCTGTCCGGCGCAATTATGTCTTGCTTAGTTGATCGCAGGAGGTCCTGTTTGGAGCTGAGTCTATCAGCAGGGATGAGTTGACGGAGACGGATGCAGGTGAGATGTCTTTGCCAATCGCCACCTCAGAGTCTCAAACAAGCAGCGCCAGTGAGTCACGTCGAGGCAGAGTCGTCAGTCCTGCTGGTCTGCGCTCGATAGAATCGACGCAGGGCACTGACATCGGAGCTGCGTGCCTCTCACTCTGGCATCACGAGTATGGAAACGAGGCGTGATTGGGAGCGCATACACGTAGTCGCGAATCTGGCATGAAACCGCACGCCGCTCTTGAAATCTTGCAGAGCGCACCTTGTGATAAGAGTGGTATCGTCTGGCTGCCTTTGTCAGTTGACCTCGTTGATCTAGGCACTGCTAGCCAGCGATCACAAATCCGTCCTTGCCGACAGAAGCCGCAATTGCTCGGGACTTCGGCATTATCCTAAGCTCAGCACCTCTGGACAATGTTGAAATTAGCTTGGATCGTGCTTTGGTGGGCCGTCAACACTGTGCACATTCTTTGTCGACTTTCTCAAAATGAGCACGACATGCCAAGTGTGAGTTACGTCGAGCTCACTGCGTTCTCACCATCAATGTCACTTGGTCGGCATTGATCCTCATCATATCATCTTTGGGAAGCTCTCTCCGAGAGCGTCTAGTCGGGAAGACGAAGCAGGGCCCTCTGACTCTCAGCCAGGAGTTGAGGACCTCTCACGCCCTCGTAGGCGGCGAGGAAGACCTTCCGGTAGAGCTCCAAGCATAGCCTCTCAGCCGCCTCCAGCCGATCCAATACCACTGGAAGCTCTTCAAGTCGGCTATGCCGATCCGATCTGGGAGATCATGCATGTGCATGTGCCTGATCATCATAGACCGAGGACGCAACAAGCCCTCGACGGCGCGGTCAGCACGGCTGTGAGGCAAAGGTTCCCAGATTCGACGCGCTTTCACGTCAGATCTGTTCAGCCTGACAGAATGGGCTGGTACTACGGTGGACACGTGTCTGGCATAGTCAGCGGTCGAAGCATTGCAGGGACACCGTACGTGCAGGAGGTTTGGCTGAATATCCCCGATCTCAGCCATCTGCCGTGGTGGCCCTTCATCGACCGTTCGTTGCGGCGAGCACCCTAGCCCACTCATCAGAAAGCAGAAAGCCATGTAGCCGGGAAACGAGCCAACCTGCACTCACCTGGAGAGCATACGGCTGATGGTGCACTTGAGTATGGCAGTCATTCGATCATTCGTCGCAGGGTCAAAGTACGCGAGAAAGTGACGAATAGAGATGTGTCATTCGAGCTGTTCTGGCATACCTCCTATCGAAGCTGGCATGCAGGATCGGCTCGCAAGTTCGCCAAGCGCTTCTCCCGTCTCGGTGTGATATTGCCGCGCAAAAGCTGCAGACTTTCCTCTTTCACCGCTTGGACATGACGAACAAATAGTAGGGGAACGTTCCTGCAGTGCTTTCAAGAGTTTTGACCTCCAGGTCCCACCCAGGCCGACTGAGGTAAGGCGTTCTGAAGTGAGGCTGCGCAAAAGTGAGGTAGATGAATTTGCCCGTGGCTGGTTTGAGAAGGCTGGGAAAAAAAAAAAAAAGAAATCGTACGTTGGCAAGGAAATCAGCAAACGTTCCTGGCTTCAACACCACTGTTTTCGTTTGTCGCACGAGCCTTCGCAAGACGCACCTCATTACGCCATCCACTTCCAGCGCCACATTTCTCCTGACCTCGGGCGAAGGATCCCAAACGCTCTCTCCAGGCCCGGTGGCCATCAAAGCATCCAAAGTGGCTGGATACGTGATCGCTGCTGTTTGAGCTTCCGAAGATCGACAGGGCATCAAGAACGGGCTACGTCTCACCTTTGTCGATGACGATGTCCCAGCTGCCGATTCCGCCCAGTTCGGAAGCTCGAGAAGCTAGGTCACGCACGTCCATGACCATCCACTGCGTCTCTGGCTGTCGCGCTCTCATTCGCTCGACCAGCACGGTACTAAAGTCGATGTCTGTGTGCTCGCAGCCGAGGCGAATCAGGAGCGGCCTGCGCCAAGGTCCGACGTCGCATACACGCACTGGTAATATCTTTGAATCCATCCACATACATATCCTTGCTCAAAGTCGAGTTTCCAGTACCGAGCATCAGAATGCGACTGCTCTGATCAGGAATTAGAGTTCTAAAGACATCTCTGCGCGCGATGCACTATGCGTCAATATGCCGTGCAGTAGGTGCGCTGACCGCAGAGAGGTGCAGACAAGGGGACAGAGTCGACTCACTTGACTTCATCTGCCAAAGGCGCGAGATCGCCGACAGACTCGAGGTACTCAGCGCTCAAATGTCCCTTTTCGAAACTGCGGCAGCATGCCATCCGCTCACCGTACTTTTTGAACCTGTGGCAGATGATGCGACGACAAGGTTTCGGTCATGGTGAGCAAAATGCAAATCAGCAGCGACGCCAGGCTCGCTCCCGCAATTCGCGCACCAGTCAAAGTCCTCATCGCCTGTACGTGGCAAAGACGCGCGAAAGGATGATCGCTCAGCTCAAAGTGCTCGATGGAGGCTGATGAGCGCGATGACCGCTTGCTTCAAGATGACCGCTCACCCTCCAGAGCGTACCTCTTGTCCCAATACGCCCTCGTCTGAAAATCCGCATTATTTTCAGGCTCTGTTCTTGCTTTGGAGCTTGGTCTTTGTGGAAGGTTCGATGGCCCTGCCTCGGTGTCCGACATCTTTCGCGGCTTCCTGCGATATGGGCCCTTGCTGAATTCGTGACTCCTGACTCCAAGCCTCTCGCTAGTTGAGAGCGCCTTCTCGCTTTCGCGCGTGTCTTCCCTGTCAAGTTCCCACGCCCGCGATGGATGTGGTAGCTATACAGACAGACAAAAAGTCAATCACAATGAAGTTATTGCTGCAGCCAGCCCAGGCCGGCCAACGCGATTTCAATCACAAAAAGATCCGCGGCCATATGCGCGCGGGAAAGCGCACGCAGCATGCATGCCAAAGAAGCAATTACGAAAAACGATTCAGCTGCATGGAAATGCGCGCACGGAACTCTGAAGGCGCGCACAGACAGACTTGCATGGAACGAGAAGTTGCATCGAATGCGACTGTTAGAGCTTGCTTGCAACTCGTCATCAGCTCTTCGATGAAGCAGCGGAATCAGAAGCATGCCCCGTCCCCGTGCCTTCACACTTGACGCAAACGGCCCTTCTCAAAGATGATCAATCGAAGAAAGTCGTGGGCAGTGCGCGGCCATGCAGATGGGCCCAGCTTACATCAAGCCATTCGACGATTCTGATACCAAAGAAGCCGTGACATGCGATGGTACTCTCAACAAACTTGGACATGCAGTCGTCCAAGGCCGCCACAGCCTTGCTTTCGAAGACGCAACATCCAGGCAAATTGCGCTTCGGTGTTTGTACTGCTGCTCGCTGCGATCGCCTCGCATATAGGAACAGCATCTGCGAACGATGGAGCTAAGCTCGATCCCTACTCTGGGGGCCGCTCAGTCCCACCGGCTCTTCTTGCCTTTCGCTCCAGCGTAAGAGGTCTCCTCTTTCTCCTGCCTCGTCTTGCCGTGCCTACGGTCCCTACTCCTCTCCCTCACCGGACTCCTACTCATGCTCCTGCTGCTCTCTCCACGTGTTTCCGGGCCGCGCTCCGACCTTCTCGATAACCTTCGCGGCGGAGAAAGGCTATATGTTGGGCTTCTCCTCCTTCTGTAGACTGGCGAGCTTGACGAGTCTGCGTGGTGTCTTCTTGGAGTGACCGAGTCATCTTTCCTTGGCGCACGTCGTGGCGATCTAGACCTTGACCGCGTCCTCGATCGTCGTCTGCTTGACCGGTCGTGTCTGCCCGAGTGCGATCTTCGCCTATCGTATTCAGGCGTGACGGACATGGATCTAGATCTGGATCTCGGTCGATCGTACGATCTGCGACCATCTCTGTGTCGCGGTGGGCTGAAAGATCTTTCTCTTCCTCTCGACTCGTACCGTTCGGGCTTGTCACGAGACCTGTGCTCCCTCGCGTAAGATCGGCCACTGGATGAGTCATCATGGTAGCCCGACCAGCCTCTGGGCTCATCACGCCAAGATCGTCCTTCGTCCCTCGCAAGTCCGTCCCACCTCGAACGAGATCTTCGATCGCTCGCACCCGGTTCTGGCGGTCCCTGTCGAACTGACTCAACATTACCTCGAGCTCGCGCACCCTGCAGGAAGGTTTTGTCGAAGCTTCAAGGATGAGCGCACAAAGCGCATACATGTATGCCAGCAAAGCGAGACGCTGAAACAGCCACTCACCCAGCCGCTGTCTCGCACTTTCTCAGTCAGGTTTCCAGACTTGTCCTTGAACGAGGCGGGGCCAACTCTTCGATCATGATCCCTGGCCGAGCCCCTGCCTCCACCTCTGCCACGTCCTGCAGCACCTGTCAATCCAGCTCTGGATAGAGCTTGAGCATCTGCAGCCCTCGCCTGAGCGAGCTCCGCCTTCTTTTGCTGTACCAGAGCGGACGGAATACCTCCGATGGAAGCTTGTGCATCCAGCAGGAGGTCCCAAAGAGAGGCCATGAATTCGGGCGTCTTGGACTCTAGAAAGCCTGTCAATGAAAGCTGAAGCTTCTTCGGGTCTGGAATCTGCAACAGGTCCGTCGCAGAGAAGACGGATCAGAGCACAAGTCACGAATCAGCTGCCATATGATCCTGAAACCGCTTGAGAATGATGGCGAGCCTGATTAGCATGCGAGTTCCACCTTGAAGCCTTGCTAGCGGCTCGACGGAGAGATGCGCTATCTGCGCGCAGAAGGAACAGCCAATCTTCCTCACACTCACCTTTTCCTCTGTATTCTCCAGCATCCCCATGGCGTATTCCGCGACGACATCATCATCGAAGCCCAACAGCTCCTTCGTCTTATCCTCGACCCAAGGTCTGATCACTTCCAAATTGACCTTTCTCAGATCCACTTTTTGAGCAAAAGAAGCCGGAAATTTGCCTTGCGATTGAAGCAGAGAGATAGCTTTTTGCTCCTTGCCTGCAAAGCGCGCATCGGCGTGAGAGGCGGAGATGCCTCGATAACCCGAGTCGCCCATACTCTGGCAAGAGCAACGAGCGCTTGTAGGCGCTTTCCGGATCGAGCAGCAAGGCGAGCGATGTTCGCTTTCGGACGATGATTTGGCTTCGGGATGGCTGTGATGGTAGTGACAGTGACAAGTCATGAATACATTCAGCCAAAGTCGTGAGCTCCGAGCTGTGAAGTCACGAGTATGAGAAAGCTCCGCGGTGCACGGAGCGCCCGCGTACACTTTCGCATAAGAATCAAAAATTCAAGATTCACGATTTGTGCTGATGATCAACTGATGAAGTGCGCGGCCGACAGCCTCTAGTGCACGTCACGTGTACCGAGCGCCATGCCAACACGCACTGCCCAAAGTCGCGAGTCAAGAGTCAAGAGTCAACGGTCGAATCTTGAATCGCAAATCACAATTGTGAATGGTGAATCTTGAATTGATGAATGTGTGAATCAACCTCGACTCACGCATCACTCCTCAGATTCGGCACTTTCCCCTCTTGACTCGACCAATTCAATGACTATGGGCGCACGACTTCCGAATCCCCGAATGGCGCCAAAGGGTCCCACACTCGCTAGGCGTGAGATATCAGCGTCAAGACCAGCTGGTTGGTCCCCCCCCAAAACAAAGGCATGCCTGACCTTGCACCCCTGAAGGAGGAAAGCGCGCAGCCATTGTTCACACTGAGGCGTGATTGAGCTCAAGTTTCTGCTCATTTCGCTCGATGGAGGTCTCTAGTCGCCGTTAGCCCTCAAGTGTGGAAGATGAACCCCGGCCTTTGTAAACATGCTTGCTTACCGCGTTGCCTGTACCCTTCGCCCGAGCTGAGCAGGCCAGGGCACACTCTGCACTGGACATCGCCACGACGACTTCCGTGGCAGAGCTGGGCTTTGCCTTGGTCCCATCGCACATCATACTTGCTCTTGCGTGAGCAACGAGGCGGAATGAACGCGCCTTCTCTAGTAGCGCAGGCCGACGCCTGCTCAAAGACTAAATCTGCATACAGATTGTGTGACGTTTATGCATTGCGGATCACCAGAGTGAGCGAGGTACACGAAACGAGGGCGAAATGCGTGAGCGTGATTGGAGAGAATGGGAGCTGCAAAGCGCGAGCGGTGTGATCCACCTCAAGCCTGAGCATCGGCGACAACGGGAGCCTGGGCGGTGTGCTTAGGAGGACCAAAAGCCATCTCGTCCTTGATGGCTGCAATGGCCCTGGCAGGGTTAAGACCCTTGGGGCAAGTCTTTGTGCAGTTCAGAATGGTGTGGCACCTGTAAAGACTGAAGCTGTTCTCCAACTTTTCCAACCTTTGTTGCTTGTTCTGGTCGCGCGAGTCATTGAGCCATCTGAAAGATTGCATGAGCACTGCGGGACCCAAATACTCGTCCTGGTTCCACCAGTAAGAGGGGCAGGATGTCGAGCAGCAGGCGCAGAGGATGCACTCGTAAAGTCCATCCAGGCGTCGACGCTCTTCGGGAGACTGCAAATGCTCCTTGCCATTGCTAGGCAGGGGCGCCTTGAGGAAAGGCTCGATGCTGCGGTATTGCTTGTAGAACTGTGTGAGGTCCGGTACCAAGTCCTTGACGACGTACACTGTTGAGGAAAGGGAAGCGCGATTGAGAAGGGCCGGACCTCTCAGAGACAGCATGACGCCAATGCTGACTCACTGTGTGGCAAAGGGTAAATCTTGCTCTCTCCCGCCTTCTCGATACGGCAGAGACAAGCCAATGTGTTGACACCGTCAATGTTCATGGCGCAGCTACCGCAGATCCCCTCTCGGCATGAACGTCTGAACGTCAAAGAAGGGTCCACCTCGTTCTTGATCTTGATCAGCAAGTCCAGAACCATAGGGCCGCAAGCGTTCAAGTCGACCTTGTAGGTCTGCAAGTGTGGTTTGGATGCAGGCTCCTCGGGATTCTGTGTATGAAGACGGATCCACAGTCAGTCATCAAGCGCTTGAATCACGCTACAAGCACTCGTAGCTTGCAGAGAGCCGAGCGTTGCGGCAATGGCTGCACGCCCAGCGCCCCGCCCCGCGTGAATGCGCCGCGTATGACACTCACCCATCGGTAGATGGAGACATCTTTGTAATGAGGCTGCTTTCCCTTAGCCCCTTGGTCGGAAACGCTGGCTTGCTCCTGGGCAGGTGTGGCGAGCGCACGGGGAGCAGTTGTGGAGATAGAGCGAAGCACGGCCGAGCTGGTGCTGGCTACCGTTGAGCGGCTGCCCAAGCCTCGGAGAGATGTGCCCGCGAGAAAGGACATGTTGGCGGAGATGTGTAAAGCTGGCGACTGCTGTGCTTGTGCGACGTTTTAGCACTGAGAAGTTGGGCGCAGTGCAAATCGTGAGTGATGGTGCTTAAAGGGTATGTTGGATCGCTGTATGGTGTGAGAAGCAGTTGCACACGGCGAGGAGGACGCGCCGCTGCTTGCTTAATAACCACTTCAGACCAAGAAGCGCAGAAGGGCGCGCGGAAAGTGCCGGCTGGGGCGCGTCGAGCTGGATGAGAGGCCCGGGCCTTCTAGCTGTGCTGTAAGCCCTCGCGTCTGATTCGCTGCCCCGCACTCACAACAGATTCCTCTCGCTTTCGCGCGGTCTCCCCTTAGCGCCACCCTGCCCATCTCGTCAGCAGCAGCAGCAGCAGCAGCAGCAGCAGGTCACCGCGAAGCCCGCCGCGCATGCACCAGCATGAGTGCAGCAGCAGTCGTGAGTATAATAAGCCATGGCATGCATCAGCAGGAAATTAAGCGCGAAGGCTCCGCGTACGCGCGCTGCAAGAATCCCGCCACCGCCGCGCGCGAAGGCTTTCCATGCTTTTGAGGCAACCATGCGGTCGCGCCACACGTGGCCATGCAAAGCCTAATAATCGAGAATCGTGATATCACCAGCCACGCCGATCCATCGCGGTGAGGCTCTCGGCCGATTGAGCGCGCAGGAACATGGTTCATCACGTGCTGATACTTTTTTCTGAACGTCAAGCCCGCCGCCTCGTTCTTGCTTCTCGAGCATCGCGCGCAACGCTCGCCGAATTCGCACGCTTACCCGACGCTCCCTACTCCGCCATTCTACAAATCAATCCGCTCCTGTGCTGGCAGGGAAAGAGGGCAGCATCAGAGGTCTCGAGATGTCTACGACGTACACGGAGACGAGCGCAGCCGCAGGACCAAGCGGGCGACCGGCTGCCTCGAGCAGACAAATTCCCATCGTCCTCACAACGACTCTTGGTGGTCTACAAATTCCACAGCAGCCGTACTTGGTACCCACAACTTGGAAACGAACTCACCTCTCCAGTCTAGTCAATAGGCTACTGAGTTCCAACAGAGAAGCGGGGGATGTTGTATCTGCAACGGCTGCAAGCATCCCATTCGACTTCATCGTCAGATCTACGGGCGAGATTTTGAGGAGCAGCGTGCAGGACTGGCTGGATGCGAATGGTAGGACAGAGGAAGAGACGCTCGAGCTGGAGTACATCCGTAGCACACTACCACCGCGCTTTACAGCTGCATTTGAGCAGGATGATTGGATTTCTTGTGTCGATGCGAGTCGGGACGGGTGAGTGACGTGTCCTGGCGATCCTGCAGATGGACATGCTGCTTCATCGAGCAGACAGCTCAGACTCTCCCGCCTTCACACATCCCAGGTTATTTTTGACAAGCTCGTACGACGGAACGTTGCGCCTCTTTGGTGAAAGTTGCATCTCGGCACTGATGAATCATAGGATACCCTCTGGTGTTGCCGGTCTTGGGTTGACAGGAGCCCGCTTCGTCGTCTCCCACCCTGCCTCGTCTAGCGCTCAAATCTTGGCGAGCGGCATGGACGGGAAAGTCCATCTTTTGGTTATCTCTCTGCCAACAAGTACCGAGGTGGTTGAGGGACAAGTTTCATCACCTCAGCTGATCGCTAGTGGTGTCACTTCGAGCTCTTTGGGTCAGTCACCTATCTCCTGCCTGAATGTGGCGCCCTCACAGGACGTGGCGAGCTGGAAGGCCTTGACGGGCGCGTGGGACGGCAGTGTGTCGTTTTGGGATTCGACTTCTCTCGTCGATGCGCCAAGCACTTCCATCGAGCTTCAGTCCAAGAAGAGACGAAAAGCTGAGAAGGGGTCTATAGCTGCTGGAGAGAACGTGGAGCACACTGGCAAGATTCTGAAGTCCAAAGCTACGTTGTGGCACGCCGCGCCGAACCCCGCTCCGCCCAGCAATTTACCGCCTGCAATCGCATCCAGCGCCCCCTCGGCTATGCCGAGCTCAAATGCGCGCGTCGGTGGAGTAGCTTTCGACAAGAACAGGGAAGGCTTCGCGTACTCTGCGGGGTGGAACGGGTCAGTCAGAGAGTGGGATCTGGAAATTGGAGCTGCGGTAGGACAAAAGGTGAGTCGCTCGAGCGCTACCCTCTGACCTGTCTTTTGGTGGAATCTCATCGATGTCCACTTGTCCTTTTGCTGGCAGACATGCGATAGACCCATCCTGTCCATGACGCACCTTGCACCTTCTGGTAGCACGGCAGGTCTGCTGACGGGTCACATGGATCGAAGCATAGCGCTATGGGATCCGAGAAGTGGTGCGTCGTACTTGATTTGGCTAGCCCTGCACTCTGTCTGAACTTACACGTTTCTGTCGACTCGCCTACCTTCAGCTTCGTTGTCTGCGCTCAGCGTCAACATCGCTGGCGCGGCCGCAGGGCCGATTTCAGCTTTATCTTCGCATCCTACGTCCCCACATTTGTTTGCCGCAGGCTCCCACGATGGCGCTCTGAAGTTGTGGGACATACGAAGTCCCAAGAGCGCGCTATTCAGCCTCAAGACCTCTTTGGGTGCAGCGCCGGGACAAGAAAATTTGACAAAGGTCCTCACAGTGGATTGGGACAGGTCAGGTCAGGTGTTGGTCTGCGGTGGCGAGGATAAGAAGTTGACGGTACACCGAGGCGAGGGAATTGGGAGAAACGATCTTGCAAAGCAGTAAAGGCGGTCTGGCGTGCTCGACCAGCATGCTACTATTGTTGCAGAGATGCTTGGTATAATGGCATGGCTACGCGACTGCGTCGACTGACTCTATACGTAGGGTGCATGCGTAGCTCGCCGTCTTCTCATCTCTTTGCAAAAGTCCTCGGAAGCGACTGCTCAGCTGTTTGACTTGAGCCAAGATCTACATGTCCATGGATATGAGTCGACTGCGACTTGCCCGATCGAGACTGGCCAAAAGCTTCTCTCTTGCAATTCAACTTGTGAATGAACATGACGTCGTGATGACCTGTGAGCAAGGATGCAGTAGCTCCGTCTCCAGACGGAGGCCTTCGACGCGTAGCGCGCCTCGGCGTAAAGTTTGATGGGCGGAGTGTTTCGAGCGCGTGAGCAAACGCGTGCTTGTTGTGTTGCGGCGCACTGCCGCCTTGCAACCTTTGCGTTGGCACAGCTCGCGCTGAACAGAAGTCACGAGGCCTTTAGAGGGTGAGTCCCGCTTCTCAATCCCCTTCATCACGACACCCTCGCCGCCTTGTGCAGGTCTGTCAGCGATGATGTTCTCACAGCAATCCAGCAGCTCTCTTTCCTCTGAAGAGCAAGAGCTATCACAAACTCCTCGCCCCTCTCCTCGGCGCAAAGACCCTGCCCGAAAACGATTGCAATCTTTCAACTCGAACGCTTCGCCTTCATCTTCTGCCGCTCAAAGCTTGAAGCTTCCAGCCTCCAGTCCGCTCACTGAGCTTACTCAGAGCACACAAGAAAAGCCTCGGCGGGGTTTGAAGCGCATACAAGCGGGTGTGACGACTTGTTGGAGCAGCAGAGAGTTGCCTAAACACGCGGCTGCTTTGTTCGATGATGCTGTAGCGGAGGAGCAGCATGACGCTGCGCTGCAGTACCTCAAGTCCCTACAGACTCCCATTTGGCAACCTTGCACGCGACACATCACCTATCTGCTGGATCTATCGCTCAGAGGTCTGGAAGAAGGACGAGCAGAGATCAAGTCTGGAATGCCCGTTAATCCCGCCAATCTCAAGCTGGACGCTGCAGTCGTTCAAAGCGACGAGAGTGTGCTTGAAGCTACTGCTTTGTTGAGACAGATTGCGATTCGACATGGATCTTCATCAGTGCTCAAGGTTTTCCCGGCCAGGACGGGAATGCATGAAGAGACGGAAGAGGAAGGGTCGGCATTCGAGACTCCGAAGAACTTGCGAGGCGCGAATAACATCTGGAGCGTCGTCAAGGCGGCTGGGCCTCGATGTAAGACGGCAGAAGAGCATGACAGCAAGCGCCTGAAGACCGATCGCCACGCTGACGCCCATGATCTGAAGATGGAAGCGGTCTGGAGGAATGCTCGATTGATGTTGGATTTGTGGCGCTTGGAACGCTCAGAAGCGCTATCTGCATCCTCATCAAGCGCTCGCGATGACGACCGTGCGGCAAGCGCTTTACATCTCTCGCGCCAATTTCCGCTGCAAAAAGCCCCGTCACGCTCTAGCCGACCGCGATTGGACGTTGACGAGGGATGCGAAGAGGTCGGCGATGCGCTGGATTTCGTCATGAATGGACTGGCCGACGATCCGCCGGGAGATTTGCAGATCGGAAAAGTGGGCACCAGCGAGGAGGCTCGGCTCGAAATTTCTGTTGGGATGCTGGACGAGGTGCGTGAGGGTCTGTGGACCGCGCTAGTGGATTACATACAAGCTTACCCCTTTGATCGTTTAGCTCTTTCATCTCGCCCATCACAGAGTGCTTTCGAAGTCGGCCCTTGTTCGAGGCATTGCGCAGCGCTTAGAGATGGTGTCAATTAGGGGCATTCGATTCATTCACGAAGTGAGCTGTCCCGCATTTATGCATCGATTTTCCGTCCAGCCGGACCTCATCATGTGACCTTGCTGCTTGTCACAGTACCTCGTCCGGTCCGAGGAGTCAGCGGTGCCGCTTGCTCTTGCCTTTGCTCAACATTTGCACAGTGAAAGCTACGAAAGAGGAGAGAATTGGCCAAGCGCTAGCGCGAGGCAAAGTCAAAAGGCACAATCGAGTATGATCGATGATCTCGTCTCACGACTGCCTGACAGTCATGACGACCTGCTCTACATAGATCCAGGAGAGCCTCTACTAGATCTGCATCTCACTCGCGGGATCATTGACGAAGTCGAAACTGCGAAAGGCAAGTTGCGGAAGGAGCTGCGAGCGCTCGAAGATCGTTGGACCGAGGATGTAGATGAGGAAGACGAGGAAGACAAGCAAAGGCGACCGGTCAGACGCACGTTCAAAAAGCCAGAGGACACATTCTGGTCTTCGGGTGAAGAAGGGCGGAGAGCTATAGTTATCACATTGTGGATGAGACTTGCAGAGTTGCAAGCCTATCTCAGGAACGGCCACATCTTCGCCTTCCTTCACACCGTTTTGAGAGCGCAACTCGACACGAGCACGAACGATGCCAAGCGAAAGCGTTTGGCGGCGCTCTGCCGCACTTTGGTCGAGACACTAAACGCTGGAGCAAAAAGCACGGCCAGGCGTGCGAAGGCCATTCAGCAAGACATGGACCACTTGCAAGCTAGCAGGAAGCCCAAGCAAGGAGGTCACTCATCCCCAGAGACGGTAGAGATCGAAAAGATTGTATGCCGTATCAAGGAAGCTTCCGCCGCACTGAATAGTCTTGCGTTTGCTGGCAGGACGTTGAACGAGCTTCGTCAAGCGACACCCGACGAGCGTTAGGCTATTGCATCGCACGCTGTCAGATTTTGTACTCTGAAATCAATGACATGGGTATCCGCGATGCGCCATATGCCCCGCCTTTTGACAAACGGAGCTGCACTTGTGGCTCGTGGGTGGTCAGTGGCCAACAGTCGAAAGCGACGCAAAGGTCGAAGGCTCGAGGCTTGGTGCGCATTGGACAATCGCGTCCTGACGTTCAGGTGGGCTGCACAGGCGAGCTCAGGTGAGTGTGATTAGTGCGAAATGTCCATTCGAGCCATGTTGGTCGATCAGTCGGCCGGGCTGCACTTGAGTATTTCCTGAGAGATGCGTCGTGCGTCTTGGGCTGATTTGTAAAACAAGCAAGGCGAACGCGGAGCTCACACCAGGCTCTTGACCCACAAAGTCGTGACTTTGGACTTGTGACTTCGGACTCAAGACTTGGACTCGAGGACTCTTGACTCTGAGGGGCTTTGGGAGCAACAAAGGGTCACGTGATGTGATGTGGAAACGTGCTGGAAGGCGCGTGCATTCGTGATTCTTGATTCACGATCGGTTCCTAGCTGAACTCACCACTGATCAAGACCCCGCGATGCACGATTCGTGATTCAGTGAGTCAAATGTGCCCGCGGCTCTCTCCACACAAATGCGAGACTTAAGGGCTCCGGTCCACTCACGACTTCGCTCTAGACTCTTGACTCGACATTTACGATCCGACCTCACAAACTTTACCCTCGTATAGCCTCGCAAGGCCATCCTTTGATCGAGACATCGATCAGGCCCCATCTACGCATCCATCAGCTAACGTGCACGAACGAATTCCTCTTCGCGCAAGCATCGAACCGCGGGGGCATACATTTGTTTTCGCAGATACAAAAAGCAAACCTCTGAACTGGAAGCGGCAGCTTGCAAAAGTCCTGCACGCGAACAAATATCGATCCTCGGCTGCGCTTTTGATGCGTCACCATGCCATCACTCTCCAGCTCCACTCCAGCATCTCAAGGCTATCTTACAGATCTTCGATCGCTCTTTCGCTCCTCTTCGTGGGATACGCGCAAGCAGTTGCTCCGATCTCTGATACTTCGAAGCAAGAGGTTGAAGCTTTTGCCTTCTAGGGGAAGAAGCTCGAGCGGGAATGGGAGTGGCAGAAGAAGGAGACATGGTCAAAGAGGGGAAGAAGAGGAGGACAGTCCGCTACAGGCTGGGCAGCTACCTTTGAGGATCAGACCGACCATCCTGGTATTGAACGTCTTGGCCTTGCTCGGACTGGCTTTTCTTGGGTGAGCAGTGCAGAAAGTCGTCGATGAAAGTGTCGGCTTGGGGCGAAGGACCTGTGCAGGACCCTCCCAATCGCTAAAGTTGCAGCCCTGGAGAGCACGGATCACTTTGGGCAGCGGAGGAGTAGCTACCTCTCAAGGCAAATGCTCCGATCCGTGCTAGCAGCACCAGCGATACCGGCTTTTGTCACACAAAGTGGAGACTGATGCATCTTTGGCCTCTTTCATCAGATTTCATCCACGAGGAGGCGCATACATCCCGATTAACGACAAGCTGCTGCACTTCATATGCTTCTTCCTAGCTACAGCTCTGTTCTATATGATCTGGGACGTGGACGAAGTGAGTTGCTGTATCATTCGTCTGTATCAAGGTGGCTCTCTGCCGCTGACCATGCTCATCCTTGCGTCTGCATGGATCGCCTTCCAGGAAGCAAGAAGAGGATGGATTTGGCGCAACGCGCCGCTTTTACTCAGCGGAGTGACTTGCTTCTTGGCCGGAGGCATCGGCTCGGAGTTTGTGCAAGCTATGCTTCCCGTGAGTATGGATCACAGCACCTGCGAAGCGTGTACTAAGCTGCCCTGCCCCTTTCTTCCCTCCTCGGACTTGGATGTCACCATCCGTACAGTACAAGACCTTTCAGTGGGGCGACGGTGAGTGCCCATCCATTTCCTTCACTGTCAGATCACGCGAATGTCAATGCTGATATCCCGCTTGCGATCATCAGTGCTAGCCAACCTTTTGGGTTCTTCTCTGGGTCTTTTTGCCTCGTATCACTTTGAGCGACGCTTTCGTACCCGACGAGAAATCGAGAGATTGTACCAGCCTTTGGATGTGGAGATGTATGGCGACGGTTTCTCAGAAGAATCTCAGTCGGACGAGGACGAAGGCATGCTGGATCCCGTCGGATCTAGCCGAGGCAGAGACTCTTCACAGCGACAAGGCTCGAACGGCGAGGGGAGGAGAGGTGCTCTAAAGAAGAGCTCCAATGAGCCAGTCTCTTCGGAAAGGAGGGTTAGATTTGGTGAGGATCAAGCGCACAACTTTTGGTCTGACGATCCGACCTCGGTATCTGGAGCATCTTCTTCCAAGCGAGCTGCATCAACAGCGGACCTGTTCAGCATCGAGGACGAGGATGAGGTGGAAGATGCAGTGCGGGACACTTCGTCTGCGCCTCATGGCGATAGCCAGAGCAAGCACTCGGCCGATGTGGATGCGTGGAGGGATACATAAGGAATCCATGCATTTAAAAGCCGGAGCAGCATTGGCGAGAGCCAAATGGGACATGTAGCTCCGCCATCAACCACAAGCGCTTGGATGACCATTGAGGTTCCGTCACAACACCCGTAGAAGGCGGGCACCAATCAGGTGAATTATGCTATTGTTTGATCGCCCATGATTTTATGCTTGGCAGAGCAGGTACATTATACTGCTCGGCGTACATTGTGAGCCCACTGCGTAGGGCTCCACGTAAGCATGGATCTCTGTCCGCGCATCTTGCTGTCTTGAGCAATGTAGCGACAAATCGGGAAGGGGATGAAGCTTATAAAGCCGTTCATGCCTCGAGCAGAGTCTCTCCGCATCTCTTGATGCTGCCCTTGTGAGCATGCTGAGCGTTCGCAACTCGAAGCTGAGGTTGAGGCACGGCTTGTTCCTTGGGCGGCAGGGACTGGAAGCCTCTTCCGTACGTGGCGATGGTGTGGGCGATGGCTTTGGCGTTTGCGAGGAAGGCGTCGTAGTTGAGGTTGTTGATGTCGTCGCCAGCTTTCTGTGGTCGGCAAATGACAGCACAGGAGTCAAGGTCAGTGGGGTCCAACGTGCCATTCTGAGATGCGCAGCGCAATACGACGCATGTGGCTCACGTGGTAGTTGGCATCGAGTGCAACGCCGGCTTGTCCGCCGAAAAGCCTGGCCTCTTCCTCGGTCTTGAGTTCCTCGGCGCCGGTAAAGAGACCGAGGCAGGCAATGTTGGCCTCCAAGAAAGGTCCGTAGTCGGAGCTGGTGATATCAGACATGTCCGGATCAGGGAGGTCAGCAACGATAGAGGGACACAAATCGATGGAGAGAGGCACTCACCGGCCGTCAAATCCGCTAGGAACAGTGTTGAGGCGCTGGGAACGGAAGTAATTCTGCAGCAGGTCTTGCCCTTCAGTGGAGCCGGCTGGTCCTGTGATGTTGAAGGCTCTTCCAGATCCATCGTAGACGCCGTAAACGTAGTTTGGCGAGGCGACCATGTCAAAGTTGCCGTCTGTGAGAAAAAGTTCAGATGAGTAGACGGACAGGACAACAGATTCGCAACGCAGCTCTTTGCAGACTCACAAACGCGGATCTTGTTGCGCTCTTCAGTCGACAACGTCCTCACGTAGTGCTCGGCACCGAGCAGGCCGAATTCTTCGGCAGACCAGAAACCGAAACGGATCGCCTTGTTGGTCCTGAAATTCTTGAGCTTCTGGGCGATGGTGAGGAGGGAGATGGTGCCTGAACCATTGTCGTTGATCCCGGGTCCTGCAATGACGCTGTCGGTGTGGCTTCCTACAAAGTAGACCTCGTTGGGGTCACCTGTGCGCGTTTGAGCAATGACGTTGTAGGTTTCGCGGTCCTCGGTGATTCCGACGATGTCGAGAGCAGCCGTGACGGTCTCTCCAGCGGCCAGTCTTGCGACAAGTGCATCGCCTCTGGCCTTGTCAAGAGAAGCGACTGGAACGTAAGGGCCCTCGGGCGTAGAGGTACCACCCAGTGTGCCGGAAAGCGCACCGTCGGCGTTGTTGTAGATCAAAGCTGCTCTGGCACCGGCGGCGCCTGCAAGTCCGACTTTGCTAGCGAAAGGGCAAGTTCCTCGCGAAATGAGCGCAATCTTGCCCGAGACGGCTGCAGGAAAGTCGGATGCTGCGCAACCGACATTGGCAACTTGCACGAGCTGCTCGGTCACCTGACCGCCTGGAGCATATGTGAAGGGACCAGCGCCTTGGTCTACCGCATCGACCGTAACTTTGGCACTGTTCTCAGCGTAGGTCTCTGTAAAGGGTTGCAAATACACTACGTCGCATCGCGCCAAAAGAACAGTCAAATTGTGAAGCCAGAGCCCAACGTGCACGTCAAGTGACTCTCACCATCGTAGGCGTCCAGCTTGACGAGTTCATCGTAGAGCCAGTTGACCGTAGCATTGTGGCCGGGACTTCCGAATACACGGTTTCTGCCTGGAGATGCGTCAGCAAAGCGCTGCAAAGTCTGGGCCTTGGAGCTCAAGTCTCGGCGGGTGATCAGGTTTCTGAGCACAATGGAGCTGACGAGAGGCTTGGGGAAGTTGAAACCGGGAAAGCCAGGCAGCAGGCGCGAGGAATCGGATGAGACGTCGCTAGATTGAGGCAAGGCCACAGATACTGCCGTACCAGCCACGACCGCGGTGAGAAATGTGGAGAGACGCATTTTGGTGGTGAAAGGAACGCGGAGAGGAGCGCGATTGGAGGAGAGGATGACTTGGAGGTGAGGCAAAGCGAATGTCGGACGACACTTTGAGGTGGACTTTATGTACTCATGCCTCTCCTCCGGACTATAGTCCGTCTGCTCATCCCAACCCGTACCCCACGCCATGACGGTCATCCATGGCTTCATTGACCCCACTCCAATCTTCTTGCATACAACGACCTAGCAGATGGACCTCTGGATACATCATGGAGAGGGAGATAAGAAGCTACAGGTGGCATTAAGCCAAGAACGCGCTAGTGTAGGTACGGACCCTTCTGCATAGACTGGATATGGCGAGCTCTCGTAAGGCCTGGTCCGCGATGAGCGAGCTAGACCGCCTCTTGATCCGCGTACATGACAGCCGCTCTATCCTTCCTCGACTACAATGCAACCAGATTGATGTTTGAAGAAGAGCGTGCCATCGTCTGGACGCGAGCCGCCACGATCCTGCAATGGGTCCCTTCGATGCGGGTCGTAAGGCAGACTTTCAAAACATCGAGTGGCCTGTCGCACCGGCCGTTGCCAAAGCAGACCAAGCGCGAACACGTCGGCGCTCATCAATTACAAATTGTGAATCGCTCGGCTCAGCCGGACAAGCAAGTCCGGTCGACTTTGAAGATCATCGACCGCAGAAAACAGAAGAGGCGATGGTCGGCTGTCTGCACACCATGCCACAGCAGCAGGCCTGTGGACGCTCTTGGACTGCTGCTGCGCCAGCAAGCCGTGAGTGCTGTTGGTGCGGAGGTTGCGCCGTTTTTCACCCTGCGGATTGCAGATATTTCGCGCTAGCAGCCTTGGCATTCGCGAGCTTGTGCTATTAAGGCGTCTTCGACCGTGCGGTGCTTGCTGGATCTGGCATCACCTGTAGATAGTGCTATCGCTGACGCTCGTGCTCCACGAATTCACAAGTGTAATCACAATGGCTGTCATTTGCACGGGTTTGAAATGCTGCATGCTGTGTAACAAGTACACCGCTAATCACGAATGGAGGTATGCGCGGACCGCGCGTGGTACTTGATGTACTGCGCGTCGCCTGTGCATAACGTGCTTGGGTTGGGTTAGTACAGTGGGAACACGTCCATCTGGAAGTTTGACCTTTGAGCATAGGATCTTTGCTTCTGGTGCATGACGCCTTGCAATTGGGCTTGGCGCATCCCGGAGGATCGATCTTTTTGTCACGCTTCCAACGAGACCATGCTCGCGTCCTGCTTTTGCACCTTCATGAGCCTCTCGGGCCTTGTCCGGCCATCTCTTGTTGGAAGGACCAGAGTCATGGTAAGAAGTTTGCTTATCAGCGCATTCGCATGGTGGGAACCGGTTTCGAATCCGCAAACGATGAAAAGACTTTTACCATGCAGCGAGCCTGAGCATTTCGTGATTCGACTTACAATAAACGGGCGGACTCGTTATTGCAATTTTTCGTGCGACGAGCGGCGGGCCGTACCTTTCATCTTCCGTCGCTGCTGCATGGGGAGGAAGACGGAGTCGAATCCGCGAGATCCGTAACGGCGGACGAGAAGCTTGATTGCATGATTGCCGCCTGCGGAAAAGCGCACCGGCCTGTCACACGACATCTCTCAACACCTACATCGCAAGGCCAATGAAAGCTCGGTGATCGGAGCAAATTCGACGCGTTTCTGGCCCCGTTCCATCACGAAGCGAGCTCTGGGCAGTTTTGCACCAAGGCGGAAGGTATGTGTGCACGGCGCTCGCTTCGCCGCAAGTTTCACCAGCGAGGACATGCCAATCCAATACTCTCAATGCAATCGCAAATGTTGCAATAGTATCATGATTGCGCTGTCGCAGCAGAACCGGCGACAAGGAAAGCAGATTGTGTCAAAAACACTGATATGTATAACTTGCACCGATTCGCGCATGACCAAAGCCATCTCGAATCAGGACATTTCAAGCAATCGATCGATGGACGCCTGCACGTCGCCGTTGCTGGAGGTGTGTGCGTAGGAAAAGGCAGTCAGAGGATGCGCGGTCACCACGGTCGGTGCCACACTCACCAGCCTTCGAGGACCATCTCCACAACGCGTGTTTCGGCATTCGGGAAGATGCTTTTGAGCTGAGATGGGTCGAGGGGGAGGAGGTTGGAAGCGGGCGCGCGAGATCGTCAGAGATGAACGTTCACTCTCGAATTCGAACCCATCCACCACGACACCCACCGTCTCGACGCCAGCAGCCAGATGTATTCTGCTAATCTCAGCGCTCTGCGCAGCCACATCGATGTCCTCCTGTCCCTCGTGGACAGGTCGACCTCTCCCATCGGATGGCGAAGCCGCGGCGTCTCTTTCCCTCTCATCCGGCAAGCCCACGTTCCTCCTCGTGGGCGTGTTGACGACTTCCCTCTCGTTCAAAAAGCTGGGCCTAAAGTCTCCTCCTCTTGTGCCCCTCGTGGTCCGTGTGGCAGCGCTTGCCGGTATGCCTGACTGCTCATCCTCACTTCCATCGTCTGTAGGGGTACGAACGCCGTCGCCAAGATCTTCATCCGGCATGGAGTATGGATCCACACTGCCTTGCCTCTGGATAGGCGGTCTTCTCCCCTCGGCAGCCCCAATCAAGTCCACCATACCGCTCCTCGTAGGCGCTCCAGGTGCATGTGCGCGCCCAGTTCGTCCCGCAATACTCTCGTCCGTCAGATCCTCTGCGCCGGTTCCAGCTCGAATCACGTTGCCTCCGCTTGCCGTGCCGCTCGACGTTCTGCCCGAAAATCCGAAAGCCTCACCAGCTCGGCCTTCTCGAATGGGCGTGCCCGGCTCTTCGTCCGCCTCAGGACCCCTGAAAGCGCGCGTCCAGGAGGCAGATCCGAGTCCAGAAAGAGGTCTAGTCGAAGTTCCGGCTGTTACGTTGCCCGCTGAGCCTTCTTCCCTGTCATTTGTCTCTCCTCCAAACAGGCCCGCAAACAACCTTCGTCCTGCGCCCGCACCAAGCGAAGATGCCTGCGCTCTCTCAGTGCTGAGATTGCCGGGGCTTTCGGATCCTGCCTGTGTAAAGGGGGATGCTCGGCCGCTGTTTGGTCCACTGGCTGCTCCACTCTGCGGCGTTCGGACTCCATCGATTCCATCGCTGAGCAGTCTGCCGAGCGCACCCATAGGCCTGCCCAAGCTCGCTCCCAGCCCAGCGCGTGCCACTTCGCCCGTTCGCTGGAAGAAGGCTTTGGTATCGTCCGCTAAGGACAGCGCGAGGGGCGGAGCGGGAAGTGCTTTGGCCGTCTCGGATTCGGCCGCCCCGACTGGACCTCCCAAGTTGATCGTGTCCGTGACGCTCGCACCACTTTCATGCGCTGCGGGTTGCCCTTCGAAGGAGCTCCTCGGTGGGGGCGTGTCCGGAGGTAGCTTGGCCAGATCTTGAATCGCTGCCTCAACCTTGCTGTAGCAAGGTGGACAAAGGGTTTCCCAAAGTCAGACGTGCACGCTCAGCAGTTGTTACGATGCGAGAGACTTACGCTTCGAATTCCTCCTGACTGATGTTGGACAAGGAGGTATAGTCCATCGTCTCGATGAACGCGATCGCGCCCATCTGACAAGGAGAGGGGGTGGGGTTATGAGCCAGCTTCGGATGAGCAGAGCGATCGGCTGTCCATCAACGCACCAAGCTCGACAGATAGTATCCTGATTCGCTGGATAATCTGTCCGGATTCCTGAATCTCCCGATATACCTTGAAGACGTTCACGAGGCTCGTCAGCTGCTCAGCTCGCAGATGCTCTTTCACATAGTCAAGACATGCCCCAACTCACTCCACATTGCTGATGAGATGATCCGGATTCGCTTTGAGGACGACAAAGATGAGGCAAGGGATAAAGGTGTCGGCGCTCTCTTGGCTGGATAGGTGTCGAATAAGGCCAAAGATGACCTTGCAGCTATTTAGCACGCAGATCAATTTATCTCTCGGTGCTTTGTAGTGGTTGATCTTGAGGAGTTCTGCACGTGTGGGGCGGTGAACGCAAGACGAAGCGATCAGCCTCGATATATGAGTACAAGGTTGGCGATGCAGAGAGCCGAACACTTACCATGCTTGGCAAAGTCCACAAAGCTCTGGCTATGCTCCCCACGCGGCACATCGAGGTGTTCTTCTCTGATCCATTCAAAGAGCCTGACCCTTTGTCTAAAGACTCTGTCCCTCTCCAAATCGTCCGTCTGCACTTTCCACCTTCCATCTCTCGCAATGGCCGGGCTGAAGGTGAAACTGTACAGCCTGTTCATGATCAGCTTCTCCATCGCCTCCATCGCATTCTCGAACTCGTGCTGCGACAGCGTGGAAAAGGGCGCCACTTGCTTCATGATGCCAGAAATAAAGTCGAGGAAATCAAAGATGAGCTTTTGCTGGTCCGTCACTCTATAGGGCTTCTTGGAGAAGCCTTTGATGAAACTTTGAGAGGAGGGCGAGCGAGGAGACGAGTCAGTCAAATCCGCTTATCCATATTCGAGCAGAAACGAGCCCTGCGCACCTCTTGACATACTCGCCCACAGGCTGGGCACTCTTTGTCCTCATCTGCTCCAGGAACCTATTGAAATCGAACGGTCTTTCCTCCGAAGCTTGGGTAGTAGGGGGGGGTCCTTTGCCCACCCTGATACCCGCCGAGCCAGGCGTTCGAGGAGTGTTGGGCGCTGAAGCGGACGAAGCCATTTGAGGTGTTGCGGGAGCTGTCAATGAGGGCGGGGAAAGTACTGCAGCAGATTTACCGATCGAAGGACCGCTAGGCTCTGATGAGGTGCCCGCATCTGCAGCACGAGACCCGGGAGACCTTCCATGCAAAGCGACTACTTCATCGCTTTGATCCTGCACCGCTATTGTATTGCTGATGTTTGGCTCCGGAACAGAGATGGTAGGTCTTGTCGATGTCTCATTCTCGGATCCTGGTGCTTGTTTGTTCTCGTGAGCGACATGCTCCGTGCTCGGCTGCGAAGCCTCTTTCCCTAGCGCGTTGGGTGGCTGTGGCGCATTTTGACTTTGCACACCAGCGGTCTCCGTTGTCACGTCCTCGACGAGGCTTGTTTTGCTGGCAGCATGAACGGGAGGTTTCGCGGCTTCCTGGGAAGACTCGTGTGCTCCTTGCTCGCCGGTCCCCGTCTCAGACAGACCTGGCGTGTTGGCGCTCGCTCCGGTCGCAGCAGAACGATTCGATTGCGTAATGGCTTCTCGACTGTCCGGCGCATCCGAGGCTTGTTCCAGCTGATGCGTCGCCTCTTGCGAGATCGCAACTTCTGGCTTTGGCACCTCAGGAGTAGCAACGTCTTCCCCATCATCACCTCCACCTCGTTTCTTCGTGCTGCTCTCGCGTGCTGTGCTGAGCCCAAGACTCTCGACTGTATGCTGCGATTCAACTTGCGCGGCATCCTCTGGAATCTGAGCAGCATCACTCCGCGAGACGTCATCCGCCCCCGATACGGTCGGGATATTCAGCTCGGCAGAGTGTTCCGTGGTGCTTTGGTCCATTTCACCCTTTGCTGTCTGGGAAACATCAGGAATAGAGATTCCAAGGCCCGCGCTGTTGTCTGATGCTGTGCCTGAGCCTGCGGCCCCCACGTCTGCATCTACCGCTTGCTCTGCGTGCTTCTCAGCGTGAGCGTGCGACGAGCTCATCGTAGCTTCCCTCGAAGAGGATTGTTCCACTTCTCTCAAGCCTTCGGCTCGGTATGCCGATCCGAAAGGTTGCGGATCTGCACAGCTCAGCTAGTCCGGCACAGATCGAAGGCTGAAGTTGGCGCAAAGGGCGGGATCGATGCTGATCGCCGCAGACAAGCAATGGGAGCAGCTGAGCTGGCAGAATCGCGCCTTGGATGTTCGTGCAAGCCAGATCTGACTTGGTTTGGGGCGTGGGCGTGATGATGGGACGTGATAGAGGATCAGTGGAGATCGCTCCGCATCAGAATGCCTACTCCAAGTGATTTGATACGAGCAGCGAGCACCGAGATTTGCTGAGTGATCAGGGTGAAGTATCAGATTCGTGATTGAATCATGAATGGGAAAGTCAATTACAATCCCTCATGAATGGTGAATGCGAACGTGAATCTGAATGGCAGAGCCCAGCGGCCGAAACGGCAGACTATACGAGGGTGGTGCGTGCGAGCATCTGTGCCTCGTGCTTGCTTGCTTACTGCCTGCCCGCGGTGTCCAGCGTCCACACAAGTTGTTTGGCTTGGCCATTTCTCCTGCTCGAGCCTTGATGTCACGTGACCCGCAAATCCGCACACTCGTCTGGCTCTTATTGATGTTCACGCGTGCGATACCACAACTCACGACTCTTTGGGGCGTCACTGGAGACTCCTCACTCTCAACTAGCGACCTCTATGACTCCGACTTGTTCTCGAGGGTCTAAAGACATTCTTTTCGATCACGCCCCGCTCCTCTGTGCGTGCAACTCGAGACCCGATCGAGAGCTAAGCCAGTGAGTCCATCATCATCGCAACGATTGCCTCACGCGCCACCAAACATCACTGCGCACTGGACCACATCAAAGCTGCCGTTGGCCTTCACGCACAAGTCGAGCGATACACGGTGCTTCAAGGCCATTTGTGAGACGCCTCTTCTAGGCGCCAACTCATTTCTTGGGCGGAAGAAAAATGCCTCGGATGAGGAAGGCAGCAGCAGCAGCAGCTGATGCTGCTGCTGGGCAGGCTGCTTCCGCCCCTGTTGCACCGCCAGCCGCGACGTCGGAAGACGACAGGAATGGGATGGGAGTGAACCCTGAAGAGGAACTGGAGGCGCATCTTGAGGGCAAAGCTAGAACCGAAGCGGAAAGGACAGCCGGGCAGCGTGATGGGCAAGATGAGGCGGAAGCTGCTGCCAACGCTGAAGCAAAAGGAGATGGCAGTGATGGTGACGATGGTGATGGTGATGGTGATATTGATGGGGTCGTGCAGAGCATGCAGGGGGAACAACAGGATGCTGGAGCTTCGACGAGCAAACTGAGCATGGCGGACCGGATGTCGAAGATGAAAGAGCTGCGCAAAAAGATGGTGAGCATTACCCCGTGCAGTGCTACCGCGCTGGACACTTTCCCAAAATACCTTTCTGACGCACGCCTCGACTGGAACGTCAGAATGATTCTTCGCAGGCCAATAGACGAGCAGTAGCTCAAGAAGCGTCTCGAAACAAGTCTTCTCGTTCCGCCACAAGCTCTTCGCGCAAATTTCTCAAAGCCGAGCGCATTTTAGACGAGCGCGACCAGCTCTCTCGCGGTGAAGATCCCACACGAGCGCGGAATTGGACCTACTCGATCGAAGATGCGGAGCGCTGGAACGAGAAGCTGCAAAATAAGGAGGTGAGAAGAGACAAGGGAGATGAGGATGCGCAGAGCTCGGCGGAGAGGGGGTACAATAGGAAGATCAAGGACATGAAACCGGATCTGAATGGGTATAGGAAAGCCAAGGAGGCTGATTTGGGCGTTGGATCCGCCGCAAGTTCGAGCTCAGGAGCTTTGATCAGGACTTCTTCGGGCTCGAGCCAAATGGCACGTCGAGGAGATGTGCAGATCCCAACTTTGCAGTCGCTTTCTTACGGCACGCACAAACCAAACGAAGAAGCCCTGGACAAGGTCATCTCTCACATGAACGTCGAAAGCACCTTCAAAGCCAACAGGTCCAGAAAGAGAGCAGAAGATCCGGATGCCGAAGTCAATTACATCAACAACGAGAACAAACACTTCAACAACAAGATCAGGCGGTTCTACGACGAGTCGACGAGGACTATCAGAGAGAATCGTGAGTCTCGAAAGCAGTATAAGTTCAGCTGGCACGAGGTAGGCATGACAGCTGATCAGTTTTCTCTTTGACCCATCCCTCATCGCTCTGACCATCTCAGTGGAACGCGGCACCGCCCTCTGAGCGTTCCATGGCGTTCTATATTCTCCGCAGAGAAATTCTTGCAACCCCACCCCCCTCCCTCTCTTCCCACATGTATGCATACACTCTACATGCACCGCACACGACCCACGCACGAAGCGAATCTCTCTCAGGCATTCATGATCTTGTACCCTGCGCTCGGAGGGACGCAAGTCGATGTAGTTCAGGCATTACCAGCAGGCGCCACTCGTGCAGCTTGCAGTTCCGAACAGTGACTCGTCTGCAATAGTAGTGTGAGGGCAAGGGACTGAAGTGTGATCGAGGCGTGACATGCCGCTCATCAAACCATTTGTCTGCGCGATCTGCCCAGCTGGCCGTGGTCATCAGCATCAACCCCAGTCGCTGACATTTTGACAATCCCATCGGTACCTCGGACTTCAAAAGTTCTCGATGATGCATGACTCTGGCAGACAAGCAGACTGTCGAGGGAGGTGGGAGGGGTGGCGGGGTGGCGGGGTGGCGGGGTGGCGGGGTGGCGGGGTGGCGGGGTTCAGAGCTGAAAGTGGGAAAGGGAAAGGGGGGAACAATGCGCAAAGAGGTACAAAGGCAAAGTAGGTGAGAGGGGTCTTGGTTTGATGCGTCCCATTTGAGCTTCTTTGCGAGCAAGTGGCTGATAGATATGAAGCTGGCTCGAACGCATCCTAGGACTGGATGGACGTACCTAGCTTTGCAAGGTCGACAAGCGCCTTTGAACCAGATGGTATTTTCGGCAAGACAAGTTTCGGCTTGGTGGGAGACTGGGACTCGATACGACGCGGCTATGCCACACTTCACAAGCGCGCCGACAGCCCGAAGCATGGCGCCGTCAGAGCATGGTGATTGTTCTGTTCATGACCATTCAAAATTCCTTCGAGTGGGTCGCTATTCGCACCTTGAGTGCATCGTGCGCGAGCCCGAAGATCAGCAGCCCTCGGCTCAGTGTCCCACAAGTGCCTCCAAGAAGCGTCCATAGTCGCCCGAAGTCTCGCCTGCCACCCTAGATCGAAGACCTTTCTTGTTCACGAGTCCGGCGTAGGCCATCTTGACCTCGTTGAAGCGATGCCTATTCCAATGCAATCGAATCTGCATGATCGGAACCAAAAGGAAAAGGGATGCGGGGGGGCGAGTCAGTCGCTGGGCAAAGAGAATTTCAAGTGACTCGACTAGGAGCCAAGACGCACCAGACGATAAGTGAGACGTTCATCTTTTGTTCCCATGCCCTGTATTGGCGCCGTTTCATTCCGAACCAGATGAGGGAAAGGGAAGTAAGCACAGGCATCGGAGAACAGGAATCTCGTAGAAGTGGAGCAGCACTCACGGCCATGGCGTTTTCGAGCAATTGGGCGTCCCTCTCTATTCCTTGTCCTCCTCTTTCGGCTCCATCAGCAATAAAGAGCAACGCGTCCCTCATATGCCCCGAGACTGTATGCACGAGGAAAGAACGTATACGCGCACAGGAACGTCAGCCATTTGGATCCTACACAGCCAATCGCATGCATTTCCTAGCCAAGAAGACTCACACTCTGATCGGACCATGCTGGACAATGCTCCGTGTTTGTGCTGATATTCTCGGGCAATAGCGACTAGCTGGGCTTGAGACCTACCAACAAGGATGGAACAAATCTGTGCGGGTTGAGCAATTCGCAGACGTCAGCGCCAGCTACAATGCGCACAAGACTTCTGAGAACAAGGAGCCAGTCCGAACGCACAGTGATTTCGTCCGTCCCCATACCTCGCGCTGCAGATTTCAGAGCCTGGACGTCGCGGGAAACGTCGGACGGGTTGGGAGGGACATTCTCCTCTGTCCTGTTGCCGTTCATAGCTGCACACGAGCATCGAGGCCAAGAGGAGTCAGCGATGAGCACACATTAGGCGATGAGCACACATTAGGGATCGAGCGACCTCCCGGTTTGCGAACTCACCCATGGAGAAAATGCGTTTCGTCTTTACGCTCAGCTCGCCCTCCACCACTCTTTCGAGGTCCTTGCCGTAAATACTCTTGTATGCCTGCTTCAGCGCCCACATGTCCGCATTGCTGCGAGCGAGCAGCACTTCATTGAGCAGATCCTCGTGCGTTCCCGCTCCATCGCACGCTCTATTCAGCAGCCAGCAGTCGCCCGCCAGTGGTCCGAGCACTTTCAACCTGAGAGCATACTCGAACCATCCGCTCGTCTCTTTTTCCAAAACCTTGACAATCTCCTTGCCGCTAATGGACTTGAAAGATTTGCTCAGCGCGTCCACTTGAAAGGCGTCCAATGGAGCTATGGTAGAGATGAGAAGCTTCTCGTCTGTGCCGAAGCCTTTGGTGGCTTTACGAACAGACTCTGCCAGCTGAGCTCCGTCTATGCCAGCAGGAGGCGGTGCGGGAGGAGCACCAGGAGGCGGAGGAACTGGAATGCCGTTGTAGTAGTACCCGCCGCCTTGTAGAGGTGGAGCTCCGTATGCAGCATGTCCCTGCGAATGACTATGGCTATGGCTATGGCTGTGATGATGGCCATGTCCGTGCTGCGGAGGAGGGGGCGCATATCCTCCACCATAGGGCGGCTGAGGTGGTGGTGCGCTTGCCGCTCCTCCGTACGGGTATCCTTGTCCAGGTGCTGGTGGATGAGCAGGAGCGCCGTAGGGATTACCGTAAGGAGCTCCACCTGGTGCGGGATAGCCGTCCTGGATAGCAGAGGGATACGCGCCTTGAGGCGGATAAGTGCCTGCAGGTGGATAGCCTGCTGCTGCTCCTTGAGATGGGTATGAACCTTGTGCTGGAGGATAGAATCCTCCGCCTGGAGGTGGTGCTCCGTATCCTGACATGGCTGAGCAAGCAAGTCCGTGCGAAAGAGTTTGGTGCTTGATATTCCGCGAGGCTCTGAAGAGCTGATTAGAAGGCAGGCGATGTACTTGGCGGGATTGTTGTAGGCGGGCGGGTATACAGATATGAGCATGTGTGTGTGTGTGTGTGTGAGTATGACCATTCAGATTCACCAGGACCTGGCTTTGTTTATATACCCCACCGGAACTCGACCTGGCAACGTCCACATGCAGCGAGCTCGCATCATCACACACAGACATACATCGACCATCAGCACAGCCTCCACGCGCTTCGCGCTTCGTGACATCTTTTGAGGCACCTCTGCCCGCATGACGTGCCCGCACAGCGGCTCGTCAGCACCACGAACAGCAGCGTACGCGTGATGCAGCATCAGCTGCTGCTGCACATGGGCGGTGCGGCGCGACGCCCGCGCAACCTCGCACAGCCACATCACTAATTCAAATCGTGGATGGTGGGTGGTGCATTGCTCGTACGAGAGATGATTCGGATGTAAAATCACGACGAGTGCGGATGTGGCGGCGTACAGCCGAGTGAATGAGCACGCGCTAGGTTGCAAGTCACGACCATCATCTTGAGGCAGTCTCCACAGCCGTGAGGCAAGAGTGATCTATGATCAAGTCATAAACACGGTCGACAGTGGACACTTCTCGCATAGCTTTGGAGCACTTGAACACTCTCGATCAAGAGCAGCCAGAGATCAAATTACAAACCTCATCACCCCTAAGCGCAAGTCAACTCGAGCTGGACAGCCCCCAACGTACACGCTCGCGTCGGCCCCGGACAAGATCGGTTTCTTGAAGTCGCCACGCCGAATTCAGCTCGTTGCGCGCAATAGGACAACACATACGTGTATCTCCAGCACCCATCTGCCCACTGATCGCAATGGCGCCATCGCGCGCGCCCATCAATGGAGGGCCAAACGCCTCCTCTCCGCCCGTGGCAGAACGCATTCGACCTCAAACCGCCTCCGAAAAACAAGCTGCGCATCTCGAAAAGCTTTTGAAGGATCCCGATCGTCCAGTGCACATTCCGAAACCAGCAAAGGAAAAGGAGTTGAGACCTCCGAGGGAGATGATGAAAAATGTGTCGGGAAGCAGCGCGGGTGCTGGGAGTGGAGAGTTTCATGTTTACAAGCATGCTAGGAGGAGAGAGTATGAGAGAGTTAGGTTGATGGAAGAAAAAGAGGCAAAGGTGAGCTTTGTGGAATGCGAGCGTGAAGAGAAGCGATGGCTGAGATGAGAGGGAGTCGAGTCATCATTGTCAAACCATGCCAGCTGGGGCATGGCTACTTGCGCACAAAGGACTGGTTCCGCGCATACATCCCACCTGCGCTTGTTCAAGCTTGCTCTCTTCCCAATGATGAGGCTGACACCGCTCATCTCACCCTCATGCAGTCCAAAGAAGCAGCCGCTTTCGAAGCTCAACAAGCCGCTCTCGAAGCTGAATCCGAAGCCAAGACGAGCAAGAATCGAGCAAAGCGCGACAAGAAAAAGGCTCGTGCAGCCGCTGCTGCGGCGGCGGCAGCAGCAGCAACATTAGGGTTGGAAGGCGGGTCTTCCAAATCGGCTAGCCAGATTGGTGGAGCTTTAGATGCAGATGCAGAGGGAACTGCTGAGCGGGAGGATGCTCAGGAAGTGCGAGAAGAAGGAGAAGAAGAAAGGGAAAAGAAGAAGAGAAGGATTGCTAGGCCTGTTGAAGGTGCTGATGTGGCTTTTAAAAGGCCCGGTGTGCAAAGCGACGAGGAGTAAGGGCGTGATCATGATGCTACTAGGATTTCCGTCGATCGAGCTATCGGCCCGATCAGGCTACTCGATGCCCACTCGGTCGTGTCAAGCACAGACACGCTGCTTCACGTGCAGAGGGCCGATTGGCCAACGTTTCGCCGATTTTGCGTGTACCTGACCCTGTCACGCCCTACCAAGGAAATGAGAGATTTGGGAAAAGGGTATGCGGGATGCTGATGCACGCGCACGCAGCTGATGCGGCCCTCATTCCGATTTCATCGCCTCGCCTCGCCTCGTCTGCCTCTGTCCCACTTGCACTGAGCTTCTCAATCAGTCTTGCGCCCACTGTGCGTCAAGTCGCTCCGACGGCCTCGTTCTGGTACGCAGAATGTGAAATGTGGCCCGCTATGATAAAACAAGTTTGTATTGGGTGACTGGGGAACGCAAGAGCTCGTCACTCGACTCGAATGCCGAAGGGTTCTGATATGAGACCTTACCATCATCGTCGGTTGGCTCATGAAGAGTCAGTGGGACGCGTAGAATTGCCGTACCGTGTGCGTGCTATGCACCGTGCTGCATGCGCCACGCATGTCTATAATAGCTATAGCTATATACTCGGCGAATCACTCACACTACTGAATGCTTGGCCGAGGATGTCCCGCGTGCGTGGTGGATGTGCACAGTCACGAGTATACCGCGCGGTACCGGTACACACGGCATCACGCACACGCGCACAGCCCCTTGAATGACGAATCGCGTGCCTGCATACCGTGCAGCACGCAAAGCATGAATGGCGCGGGGGGACACCAAAGTCAAGCACAGGTGAGGTGGGAAGTGGAAGCTTGACATGCTCCCCCCCCCCATCGCATCCATCATCACTCGCACTGTGACTGCGACTGCACTCGTTGGCTCGGAGGCAAGACTTGAAAGGAAGAGGGGAGAGATCAGAAGCCGGATGGATGGATGGATTGCATCGAAAGCGTATTGCGATCGATCGCTTTCTGGTACAACTTTGTCTCGGGAGGCTGAGAGCAGATCGGATCAGCACTGCAAGTCTTTTGGCACGTTGCAACTCTCTCATCAGCCTTGATTGGTACACTCACTTGCACGATCCATACGCATGGCTTTGCCTCATCGTCATAATCATCACAGCACAGCACAGCGCAGCACAGCACAGCACAGTAACGCATATCAGTTCGCCGCCCTGCCATCGCAATCGACATCGTCGCCATCATCGCACCGTCTCACACCACACCATACCGCGCAATGTCACGCTCAGTCCGCACACACCGCTCCAACTCTAGCCGTTCAGGGGTCGAAGAGGATCCGGATGCAGTCCCTTTGCTCAGCGTACGCAGCGAAGGACAATTCGCATTGGATGAGGATACACAGCCCATGAGAGGAGATGAGGATGCGTACGGTTCGGATGAAGCGGAGGAGCAGGGCAACAAATATCCGCCCACGTCTGCCCCTCCTACGTACGAACAGGCACTAGGAATGCTGGGAGAAGGCTCTTCCGGAAGTGTGCAGCGTGGTGGTGGGGGTGGTGGTGTTAGAGGAATGCGCAACAATGATAACCATGGACGATGGAGAGATTCCATCCCTCAAAGGATTAGGAATTGCACATCCGATCTCGACCTGCGTCCTCCCACCTACCTTTTGCAGCCTGTGCTGGATGGAAGCAAAGCTGCAGCGCTCAAGCTGTACTCTTTGATATGCAGACTTTGGCCCAGCAGCAGGTTGGGACAAGCAGGATTGGCGCTTGCTGGAATGTGGATACTCGTAGTCTTTTCTGGACCGGTCTTTGAGGTCAGGGACTGGGATCAGTCCAGAGGTGATAGGGATCGACATCGAGCAGAGTGGTGGAAAGGCGTTGGAGATGTGAGGGTGGCGGATGTGAGTCATGCGTCGTTGTTGTGACTCTTTCTCGCTGGTGTTGCGGTGAAAGGGGCGAGGATGTGCGCGCTTCCTCGCCTCGCCGCTAGCAAACGTGCCTTGCATCGAGCACACGAAGCGAGCTGAGCGTCTGTTTTTTTTTTGGCTTTTCGCACACCCTTTTTTGCACCCAGGATCTCAAACAAGCGCCAACAGCTCCGGGTCCCATCTCAGGCGACGGTCATATCGTCTTGCCAGCGGAGTGGTCCGACCCTCATTGCGCCCTATTCACCTATCGTGGATATCCGCCCTACTGTCGAACCAGCGCATCTTTTAACCTGAGCATACCCGATTCTTTTGCAGGCACAGCATCCAACTTTGTCTATGCGGATCCACTGCGATTGTCGGGCATGAGCGATGGGCGAGGCAGGGTGCCTGGAAGGATCTTGGTAAGGAGAGCGAGGGACACAAGGGAGGAGATCAGGCATGAGGATGGGACACCTTTGATTGGGGTTAGGGTGGAAGCTAGGTATGAGAGAGGAAGTCCAGGTTTGCTCAGAGGCGTGTCTGTGGGTAAAATGTTGGCGGGCGTTTGGGGTCAAGGAGTAGGCATCTATGTGAGTTGTGCAATGCGCATACGAGGCTGAGGCGTGCAAGGTTTGTCTCGTTCAACGTGATGCCTACTCTTCACTTTTTGCTTTTTCAAACTTGCACGTCGCAGTCACTCCCCTTGACACATCAATTGCGCAACAGGTTCCCGCCGCCCCTCTCGTTCGAGATTCGCGTAATCCTTCCGAGCAGTCCGAGCGCCTTGCCGGCCCTCAAGCTGGAAGCTGCAGCGATGGATATCGATTTCATGCACCTGGACGAGCTGGACTACGATGCCGACTCCCTCGCGGAATCTGCATCTACGGGAAGCGAGTCGAATAGACCAGCGCAAGAAGAGTGGTCCAAGGCGGTCGATACGGAAGGGATTTATTATGGCAGATTGCAGCTCTCTTCGGGAGATGGGAGTGTGCGCATCGGGAGCGGCGGAGCGCTCGCAGTCTCTCATGTACATGCACGAGCCACGTCGGGCAACATCGCGGTCGAGGGACCTCTCATCGCACCGGCCGTAGAGCTGCACTCGGACAATGGCATCGTTCGACTGGGCAGAAAAGCCGGTTCGAGTGCTTCGTCGACGCGCCCTAGAAGGAGAAGAGGAGAAGAGGCAAACGAAGAAGCTTCTATAAAGGTTTGGAAATCGGCAGTGTTGGATACTTGGAATGGAGCGGTGGTGCTGGAAAAGGGATCGGTGGTGCAGGGACCGCAACTCAGAGGTACTTCGCGCAATGGACGCATAGAGGGAGAAGGCGTTTGGGCCACTGTGAGTTCGGCGAGGCAAGGGGGGCGGGAAAGAAGGGCATTTTTTTGCCCCAGATAGACACCTCTTTCTCTTGGGCACCTGCACCTCTCTTCGCAACGTTTCTGAGGACTCATCATTCTGGCTCTTTACTCTGTCTTGATTGCTGCAGAATGGTACGCTTTTACTTCGCTCGACGACTGGCAACATCGATAGTCGAGTATCGGTGCTGGATCCTTTGGCGCCCCGCACGTCCTCATCAGCCGTCGGATCAAGATCGATCGACGTGCGAGCCGACTCCACATCCGGCAGCGTGCATCTCAAGTACATTTCGCACGCACCCAGCATCATCCTGCACAGCATCGTCTCGTGCAAATCCAACAACGTCTCCACCACGCTCCATCGAAACTTTTTCGGCGACTGGAACGTGAGGGCGGCAAAGAGGTTGGGGGTGAGGGTAAAGAGACCGCCGAATGATGGGGTTAGGGGGGATTGGATCAGCCAGGGAAGAAGAGTTGGACAGATGGAAGAGAGCGAAAAGGGAAGTTTGAATAGAGCTCCTTTGTTGGGACAAGCGAAGGAACAGCAGCAGGGATCACAAGGCGAAGTTGGATCAGCGGAAGTTAGCAGTGCGCTCGGAGAGGCTTCCATCGAGTTTGCATAGCGTTTTTTTTCTTTAATTCATTCCGTCCGAGTTGCGAAGCAAGAACACTGGGGGGGAAATGCACGTTGATAAAAGCCGACAGACCGAATTTCTGCTGCTGCTGTGCCTTTTGTGATGCCCCAGGGAAAGCGATGCGCTCGATAGGGTGTTGATTGACGTATGCTCGAGAATGTTGCCAAGGGCGAGGTCCATACGCATCACCATTTCAGATCAGTCTCATTGACGAGCATCTCGGGGACACGAGAGTCGAAAATATATACAACGGAACCGACTCGACGAGCATTTCTCCTTCCCTCTCTGTCTCTCTCCCTCTCCCTCCCTCCATCTCTCTCTCTCCCTTTCTCTCTTTCTCTCTCTGGCCTTTTCTCTCGAGGGCAATCCAGAGAAAGATGCTGTTCGATGCGATGACAATCTCTGCAAACGGCACGAGGCACCGACCGACCGAGCCGGCTGGTCGAGAACAGCCTCAGAAGGTGTGCGCGCGCTGCGCGCGCTGCTCTTCTTCTCGCTTATGAACGCCACCCTCGAGTACTTCTTGACCAAATTTCACTCCCAATCCCGGACTTGGCACCTGCGCCTGTAATTTGGTCGAAGCTGGACCATTGCGGGCAGGGGAAAAGAAACGCGCGAAGAGATGCCGAAAAGAATAAAGGGGTAGGGGGGGAAAAATTCGTGGTGAGCTTCTACGCACCTCTGCTTCATGATTCGCTGAAAGATTTTGGGGACTTGCACCAGCTTCCACCCTGCACAGAAAAAGACGCGGAACGGGGCAGGCTGCAAGCGTGTCTGAACGAGCTTCGTCCTCCGCACGCCCAAGCTCCCACCCCACTGCCCCCCTCTCTTTTTGTTTAGCCCGATCGCAGAAAGGCATGCTTTGCAGCTTGAGCGCCCCTCCCAACATCTCAGAAGTATCTGAACAATATCCTCAATCTGACGTTTCCGCTTTTCCCTTTGCACGAGCTGGAAGCTCGCCCGTAGGTGCGCAACGTTCCGTAGGCTATCCGTTTCTTGCAAGCAAACCCCCTCTCGTCCTGTCCCTCCCCTATTCCGATGCTACTCTTCCGGCTCGTGAAATACGAGAGAAGAGGTGGAATCGAGAGCGAAGGGGAAAGACGAGAGAGAGTTTTCCTTCATCATACCCTGTTGGTGCGGACGGATGCGACGCTTGGCTCGTACCCTAATCTAGGCCCCCCCTTTTGTCGCATTCCAGACCATAAGACGACGAAGGGGATTGGCGCGCGCAAACTCACACTGTCTCCGTCTTTTGTTTATCCAGAACCCGTCTCCCCTTGCCCTCGCTCGAAACGTCTTGGACATCCACTGCGGAATGCGAAGGCTAGCGAACGAGCGAGCGAGCGAGCGAAGAGCGTCGCACCGGGGAAATGCGGATGGGAAGTTGTTGGGGAGTATGCCGCCCCCTGGTCGAAAGTGCGAGGCAAGCGGTTGCAAAGTGCAGCGAAGGGTGTTGCTTGGCGATCGAAGGCCAAGGGAACGGAAAAGGCGAGCTACGGAGGGAGCAGGGGCCACGCTGCTTGCTCGACCTTTGCAAGTACGAGCTCGATTTCGAGTGGAGGTGCGAAGGAATGAAAAGGTCTGCACTGCCGTTCCTGGTGCGGCGTGTGACTGAAAGACAAAGGCAAGAAGCTGATTAGGTTTCCACTCGAGCTCCTCCCTTTCCCAGAGCGGAACCTGCGCGCAGTTTGTGCCGAGGCGAAAGAAGATTTATACTGCAGATGACTGATGGGCACGAAACAGGGCGGAGGAACTGGTGCGAATTGGATTCTTGCTGCGATTGAAAGTGATTTGCTGGGAAACTTTTAAAAGGTGCGTAGAAGAGGAGCCCGAGACGACGAAATGGCTGCGCGAGTGTGCTTTAATACAAAGAGCTGACCAGCCTGCAGATAGAGGAGCGCATCGAGTGTCAGAGTAGGCAAGTGCGATGGCTTGGAATAAGGAGCTGCTGCTGGTGCTCCTGCTGTGGTCTCGCGCGCTCGACGACATGTGCAATCGCAGCGCAAACGTACGACTCACCAATCCAAACCCTCTTCCAACCCTTGACCTTTGAGAGCGGAGCATTCCTGCACAGTCCAGCTCCTCTCCTTCATCTCCACCAAGTCGAGTCTTTCGGTGATCTGTTCCGCTTTCAGCGCATGATCCAGATCCTGCTTGTTCGCCAACACCAACAATTTCGTATTCTTCAATTCCTCTTCTTGCAAGATGGCGTGCAATTCTTCCTTGCTGGTATCCAACCTCTTTGCATCGGCCGCATCGATGACAAAGATGACGGCGGTAGTGTTTGCGTAATAACATCTCCAATAAGGTCGGATACTGCTTTGACCTCCCAAATCCCATACTTGAAAGGAGATGTTCTTGTAGCGCACAGTCTCGACGTTGAAGCCTATCGTTGGTGTCGTACCCACCACCTCACCCAGTTGTAGTCGGTACAGGATGGTCGTCTTGCCTGCGCTGTCTAGACCAAGCATGAGGATGCGCACTTCTCGATTGCGCGACCAGAAGGCTAGAGGACCTAGCAGGGAGGAGAATGTGATCCCCATGATGTGGGAGGAAGAGCGCGAGTGAAAGAGTGAGAGGGATGTTGACTGCCTCTACCCCTTTGCGGCTCCGGTCTATCGTATCTCGTCGTGCTGTGCTGATGACAAAGTGGTGTGGCTAATCTGGCCTCACTGACGAGTCGTATCCGTGTCGTGAATGCCGAACTAGGCTTAGCTCAAGGGCCCAGACACGGTGAGGTAAAGAGAGAGGGAGGCGCTCTTCTGGTGACGAGTGCAAATCAACAAGGAGAGCACAAGTCCAAGGAAAGGCATAGAGTCAGCCAGCCGTCTTGACTTCCGAGTTGATGCTGCAAGACTGCTGCTTGTCTCGGTGGTGGTGGTGGTGTATGCGTGCGTGCGTGTGTGTGTGTGTGTGTGCGCGTGCGTGCCTGCGTGCCTGCGTGCGTGCCTGCGTGTGTGTGGGTGTGAAAAGAGGGTCGCGCGCGCTCAGCTAGCCGAGCCCCCCATGCACCCATGCAGGCAGGCAGCAGTTGCATGATGAAATCGGGACCGCGGCGGGGACACGCACGCATCAAACAGCAGGCGTGTTGGAGCAAGTTTCACTGCAATGATGACTGGTGAGTGCATCCATGTCAAAGTATGAATGGACAATCTGCTTTAGTATATATCAACACTTCCATCCACGAGCAAACAATGGGGTTTTGGCCTAGTGGTATGGCGTCTCGTTTGCAATTTGCAACCGTTGAGTCGAGAAGATCGGGGGTTCGATCCCCCCAGACTCCATTTTTCGTGTCGAATTTTATTTCTGATCGATTTTGTGTTGCGTGCATGTCGGTGCTGCGCGTCGTGGAATTCTGTCATACGGCTTCAACACGTCTCTAGGGCAGTGTTTTGGACAAGTGTGGAGAGGTTCCAAGGGATCTGTAGACTCTCCTCTCTCTGCCTTTGCAGTTCATACAGGCATTGACCTCATCTCCCTCAGCCTAAAACATGCCCTGAATTGATACCAAGACATCTCAAGAAACATCAAGAGCTGCCCGCACAGGTCCTCACTGGACAACAAGCTCAAACTCTGCCCTTCTTCAGAACACATGGCTCTTTCATGCAGCAGTGCTCCTTATCTTGCCCAACTTATACAGAAGACCGCTAGGAAAAGAGTCTACACAGAGACAGCACTGTCAAAAAGAGAGGTTTCTTGGAGTCACATTGTGAGGCAGAGGTCAGTAACAAAGGCGCATGAGCCAGCTGAGCAAATGTTGTCAGTATGCTGCTGGGTCCAATATCAGCATTGGAGGCAGTAGGTCTGGCCCGATGCCTGCGCGTAGTCACGTTCTGGAACCTCAACAGTGCATGCTTTCATCTGTGAGGTCATGCTCTCCCTGCTCACTCTGCACTCTCCTTCACCGCCCGCCCCTGGCTCCTGAATGTCATGAACGCGCGTAGCAAGAAGCACACGCTAGCGTCTCTTGCAATCTCTCAGGACAGTGCACAGCTTAATGTTGCATGCCTTCCAAGATAGCAAGCCAATCAGGAGCCAGCTCTGTGGTCGTGCACTGCAAAGGCTGCTAGGCAAGGTGCATCACACTGCATCAGCTCCAATGGACCGCTCAAGGGGTGACACAGTCCTTGGGGCGTCGTTATGATGACTGCTGCAAAACACTGACCCATTCACAATCCGTTCCTGAACTCCTTCCAGCAGCTCTCGAAAGATCAGACAAGGGTCCACACACTCAGCAGGATGTGGTTGAAGCAGTATCCTAGATGGGCTGGCTGGGACGTTTAAGGTTACTTCTGAGCACTGCGTGTGAGTGGAAGGATCCAAGGATTCCACATGAGGCAAGAGCTGAATTGTCGTCTGATACCTTTTGAGGTCACGCTTTGCTCGCTGGCTGCAAAGGCTTTGGCTCTTTGTTGCCATCATTCAATGTGCACAACATGCTCTGGTCAATGTACTCTTGCCATCTGCTCTCTCTGTGCCAGTTTCCTTGTTGCTGCAAGCTCAACATGAGATCAGCTATCAAGACATTGGAAGTGAGCTCGTCACGAAGCGGAGATGCAAAGCCACACCTGAACAAGAGAGAGGTTGGTCATGAGAACAAAGCAGCGCTGGGAGAGATGTAGAAGGAGGAAACAAAGCTTGAGATGTACAAGGAACAACGCACAGAAGCGGGAGCTTTTCTTATTCGAAGAAGTGCAAAGATGAACGCTAAGGTTGCAAAGGCAAATACTTTGAAGTGAAGGCTTTGGTCACAGTAGGAGCGGCTTGGGGCCAATGCAATTCTGCAATGAGTTGCTTGGGTATCTGCTTTGCCTGGCCACAGGAGGTTACCTGGGGCAAAGGGGGCAAAGGTGGCAAAGGTGGCAAAGGTGGCAAAGGTGGCAAAGGGGAGAGACTACAGACCTACTTTTGGCGAACAACAAGTAGATTGTCTGCGTCTCTTCTCTGTCTGGTAAGCTGGAACTCAATGTCAGGATCGACACTGCAGAGTATATCTCACATCTGTTCCCAACAGGACGATTCTTTGCATGACTCTGTGATCACTCAAAGACACGTAGAGTCACTCATTTCGCTCTGAAGCATTGTCATGTCAGACAGCCAGAGGTCACAAAGGGCGCATCTTCTGTGTGCACTAAAACCAATGTCTTTGAGCTCAAAAGGAACGCAAGCACCGAAAACGGAAGGATGCGTTGATGCGTAGTGTGCAAACGGAGCTTGTCGAGGATGACACTGGGGTGACCATATGAGGGGAAGGGGAAAAAAAAGGGGGGGGGGGGGGGGGAAATGAGGATGTGCGGAGGGAAAGGCAAGCCAGCGATGGTCCAGAGGCACGGAGGGAAAGAGAAGCCGGTAACTGCGATCATCGCAAGAAGCTGGCGACCGTCGAGGAAAGCGCTTTGGGGCCCTAGAAACATGAGGCTTCGAGGCGCCTCCGTGCAAGTAGATCGTCGCTCAGGATCCCGATGGGCCGCTCTGCTGCGTTGGCACTTGATTTGCCGCAAGTTCCACCCTGCCGCCGAAGATTGGAAGCCTCCCAGGAGCAAGCTTGAGGGGCACTGCCTGCAAGGGTTGCTGCGGCAAGGGCGTTGCACTGCTTTGGCCCCAGAGGAGGAGATCAATGAGTGACCCTTGACCAGATCCTCGAGCCGCCACATGCTTATCATCCCGTGGTGACACTGCTGCCTTCAGGATGCGCCTCTGGAGCTCTGTGGGCAGCTCCAGGAAAGACATGCAGGGGTCCCCGCTGATGGCTTTGCGCCTGCCTTGGCGGCAATGCTCCACTCGATAGGTCGCATGCGAAGGGCAGTGCAAAAATCGTTTGGAGCATTTGGCGCAAGTGAACCAGCGCACGGTGCCCTCGTGGGGAAGCTGACCGGTGTTGGTTCGCACGAAGCCGCTCCCTGTGAGCAGAGAGCAAAAGGGATGAGCTGATGTACCAGGCTTCTCACACGCACATCACTTACCGTTCTGGTCGACGTCTTGCCAAATGGCTGAGACTATCTTGCCAAAATGCCGCTTGTGGTCAGTGTCGATCGACCATGGCAAACCGGTTGCTCGCGCCGTTCCCGTGGCCATGTGCAGGATGACCAGATCGAGGGCTTGGGCGAGGGAGTACCCATTCTCAGCAACAAGGTCGGCTTCGTCCTTTGCCCAAACGCGGTCTTCTGGGGTCAGGCAGGCTGCAAGACTGGGGGGCAGAAGCTGGCTTGCGGGGCAGCTGACAAGATCGCTCTGGACCGCTGCAGATATCTGGCCAGGGGCTGCCTCTGCTGCTACTTGGGCCTTCCAGTGGTCCACGTCTGAGGGCCAGAGGAGCTCGACAGTGTTGAGGTCCTTGTGCTTTTCGACCAGGGTGTAGGTCTGGCCGTTGGAGCACTTGTACCTGTGGCCCATGCGCACGAGTCCAGTCAGACCACAATGTCTGCAAGAGATGGCAAATACAGCCTCTGGCATTGAGATGGACCGAGCTGACGCAGTAAGCTCCTTTGCTGCAGCTGCAGACAGCATTGCTGTCTGGCCGTTGCCTTTGCTGAATTGTGCAGCTGAACGTTGGAGGGAGTCGCCTGGGGCAAGAGCAGGGTGGCCGACAATGACGGTCAGATGGTGAGGGTTAGGAGCACTGGACGCGCGCTCCGCGCCACAAGTCTGAGCATTGTCTGTCTGCGCGTGGATCTAATCTCATATATAAAACCGTTGTGCGCGCAATACATGGTACGCGTCACCCACCCAACCAATCGATTTGCAAGATCCCCTCCTCACCCGACAACAGCGATCGTTCGAATGCCTAACGCTCACGCACCTTCCTTGACACCCATCAGCCATCCCCACCACGCATCATCGCCAGCAAGCATGAGTTTAGGGCAAGGGGCTGGCTTGAGGGCATTCTCCAGCTCTCCTCTCAGCAACGCCCAACCCTGCTCTCTTCTTGCTGCGACATCGACGGCCTTGACCTCAAGCTGGTAATCCCTCAGCTTGGTGAGGGTGATCATTGCCGAGTTCCGGCAGGCAGCATCCCAGGCTTCCTCCGCGGTCTGCGTGGTCAGCTGATGGTGGTTCCTTTTCCAGTTGCGCAAGGTGATTGACCAGGCCCACGCCTCGAAATCAGCTTTGGCCTGGACAAGCTCCTCTTTGAAGGGCTTGAAGAGGAGCTCCATCCTCTCCTTGAGCTGGACGGCAGTGTCACAGGTTGGTGCAATGTGCACCATCAGATTTGCTTTGACAGCGACAAGGTAAGTGATGCGCTGAAGAGCACCTTGCCTGCTGGGCGATCCGTCGTACTTTTTGTACCCAGGATGAGGAACCACAATTGCCACCGCGTGCAAGCCTGGCAAGACCGCCAGCCTACCAGCAGACGCCACGATGTTCGTCGTTTTGCGCAAGCCACGGTTAAGCAGAAGGGTAGATGCGACGTCATCGCCAAGGAGGACCATTGCTGCTGGATACATGATCTCTTTTGACACTTGTCGGTGTCTCATGATGAGCTTTAGCACCGCAACGAGACCAACATGGCATGGAAGGCTTCTTGCATGGACATCATCGACGAAGGCAACGAGATCAAGAAATGGTCCAAGATCAAGGCCAACTCTTTGAGCGTTTTCCAGATCTTCGGTCCACTCCCTGCCACCAATCCAAAGAAGCAAGTCTGGCCTGCAATGTTGCCGGCGGTGACGTCCTTGCCAATTGTGATGACTGGCGCAGGCTTGTGCGGATGCAGCCCTTCCAAGCCTCGGCATGCATTTTCCACTGCGATGAGAGTGCGGAGAGAAGCGGCAAGCTTGCAAAGCGTCTTTGCCACCACTCTCTGGTGGTGAAGAAGCAAGCTGTGAGGAGCTCCTGGATGGTCATACCGTCGCCGTCATTGGGCGCTGGCAGCGCTGTGACCATCAGCGAGGCCTTCCTCCATCGACGACAGTTGATCGACGATTTCTTGGAGCCAGGGTTGACCTTCAGCGGCGCCAGACTGCAGAATGGAAGTCAGGCTGAGCGCTTCTATTTCTGCGTCGATGATGTACTGATCGGTGAGCAGGCCTCCGTAGCGTGCACTGTTGAAGGAGTGCAGGGGCGGACCAAGGTTGACCACAAAACGCTCGATTTCACCGATTGCAGGTGTTGTTTCAAAGACTGCATCGGCTCTCAGAGGCGCGACACCCAAGCGTCTTGGGCCCGAGACCGTACAACTGGATGCAGCAGGTGGGATTGTGATGGGTAGATTGATCACCTCATCAAGAAGGTCCCTCTCTTGGCTGATGCCGGTGGCCCTCTTTTGCGCAATCGAGCAGACTGAACAACGCGCTGTCCCGTCTGAAATGGCATGTCGCAATGCTCGACAGCTGGGCAGTTGCAGGTGTATTGATCACGCTGCTCGCCGGTGTCGTTGGCACGCTCATGGACAGCTCATATGAAATGAAGGCATCATGCTCAATGACTGACATGAAATTGAGCATTGCTGAAGTGGCAGAAGGACGCTCATCTTCTGCGGCTCGAGCGCGCACTGAGCGCGTTGCGAAGCCAAAGTAATTCTCTGTTGCTCCAACTCCCAGGCCATTGACATCTTCTTCCGCTATAAAGGCAGCAAGAATTGCCTGTGGAAACTGCTCCGCGAACCGCACACGAGTGGCAGCATCGACTGGGCGAGCACGCCAGTAGAACTTGTTGGTGGGTGGAGCGTCTCCTTCTAGAGCAGTCGGCTGGAGGCCGAGCTCCTCGGGATCCAGCGTACCACTGTCGATCTTCTTCAAAAGGGCCTAGCAAGGTCTGATGTACGTGTCAAACGTTGCTTGCGGAACAGGCTTGTAGCCTGTGATCAGAGAAGAAGTGAATTTAGCGGCGCAACGGGCGCATGTATGCGGTGTCTTGCATCAAGTCACCTTGTAGCGTAATTCTCTCGTTGACAGCATCGAACAGGTCAGTGGTCCCATCTTGTATGCCAGCCTGTTGTCCCTCCCACATCTTGTGCAGCTGCTGGTGCTGTACGTTGTCGGGATGCGACAACTTGTTCACCTCGATGGTGACAAGCAGCATCTCCCTTGCTTGCTCTCTTTGATGCGCAAGCCACTGCGCCTTCTGCTCTGCCGTCAGCTCACGCTCAAAGTGAGGCTTGGTCCTCTTTCTCTTCGTAACGGGGGTCTTTCGCTGGGCCTCTGCAGTCTCAGCAATCTGCTGGACGTTGATCTCGATTATCAGGATGCGACAATTTGTTCACCTCGATGGTGACAAGCAGCATCTCCTCTGCTTGCTCTCTTTGATGCTGCAGCCATTGCTCCTTCTGCTCTGCCGTCAGCGCTCACGCTCAACGTTAGGCTTGGTCCTCTTTCTCTTTGTCACAGGGGTCTTTTGCTGGGCCTTGGCAGTCTCAGCAATCTGCTGCGTGTTGATCTCGATTATCAGGATGCAACATCTTGTTTACCTTGATGGTGACAAGCAGCATCTCCTTTGCTTGCTCTCTTTGATGCTCAAGCCACTGCTCCTTCTGCTCTGCTCTCAGCTCACACTCAAAGCAAGGCTTGGTTCTCTTCCTCTTTGTCACAGGGGGCTTTTGCTGGGCCTTGGCAGTCTCAGCAATCTGCTGGACGTTGATCTCACTCAGTCTGAGTGGACGGAGCATCGTGGCGCGGCAAGTACGGTCACGCGAGGCGGCAAGCAAATTACAGACTGATCAGGGGGCGTGAGCTACGGTCAGCGCAGGGATGGGTGGGGAGAGAGCTGGCAAAGGGGATGCTATGGGCCAAGACATTAGGATGCCGGAGATCACGACTCCCTTGAGGGATCCATTCTGGCACACGGTCGATCACGACTAGCCGTGCGCCTGGAACCTCAGAGCGTCACGACTCACGCCAGCATCAGCTCCTGCGTGCTCGCCTTCAATTGATCTGCAATCTGAATTTGCATGAAGGTGGTTGTGCTGCTTGCAATGGTCTGAAGGGCCGCACCTCCAGCAAGACATAGGCCATTTGCAACCATGATCTCATCTGCGCTGACCTCTCTTGCAAACAAGGCAGGTGGCTTGTGCTGCCAGCATCAACGATGGCCTGAATAGTGATTTCTGTGATGCTTGCAGGCAGTGTCCACTGGTCTAGGAGCAGACCACCGTGGTTGTCAACAAATGCAACGAGATCAAGAAATGGTCCAAGATCAAGGCCAACTCTTTGAGCATTTTCTCTCCAGATCTTTGGTCCACTCCCTGCCACCGGTCCAAAGAAGGAAGTCTGGCCAGCAATGTCCCTGGCGGTAATGTCTTTGCCAATGGTGAGGATTGGAGCAGAGCAATCTTCATCCAGAAGGTCAAGGCCTCAGCAGGCATATTGCGCTGCAACACGGACTCCATCCACGGACAGCAAAGACAGCTGGGGAAAATTGGCGCTCCACCAGTCTCGAAGGGTCATGAACCAGGCAAGCATCAGGTCATGGATGCTCGACGTCGGTTGATCTCCGATGGCAAGGGTTGTCGTGCTGCTTGTGGGAAGGACAGCAGCAAGATTGTCGACAGGCGTGACGGTGACCCCTTGCAGCCAAGGCAGGTTGTTTGTGCTGCCAGCATCGATGATGGCTTGAAGGGTGATGTCCGTGACGCTTGTAGGCAGCGTCCATTGGTCTAGGAGCAGACCACCGTATCGTGCGCTGTTGAAAGAGCGCAGTGGAGGGCCCAGGTTGGCCAGAAGTCGCTCCACTTGTCCAAAGGCTGGCTGTAGCTCAAAGACCGAGTCAGCGCGCAAAGGGACGACACCAAGTCGCTGCTCGCTCGTGGTGAGTCGCTGCGTTGCTGGTCGGGGAAACGTCAGGTTGGTTGAGAGGGCCTCGTCAAGAATCTCCTGCTCCAGTTGCACCGTGGCTGCCGTTTTGGCTCGGTCCAGCAGCGACACGAGACCGTCATCTTGCTGATAGCGACACGTGCTACTGTGCGAGGGCTGAACGTTACTGTTGGGCAAGGCATACGGCACCATGATCGGTAGCTCATATGCCTGGAACGGATTCGCCTCGATTGTCGACATGTAGTTGAGCATCGCCGAGGTCCCAGGGCGATACTCATCCTCCTGAGCTCTGGCTTGCAATGAGCGCGTGGTGAAGCCGAAGTAGTTGTCTGTGACTCCAGCACACGGACCTTGCAGCTCCTCTTCCGCAATGAACGTTGCCAGGATCGCTTGGGGGAATCGCGTTGCGTATCGCGCTCGCGCACCGTCCCCTGCGGGACGTGCACGCCAGTAGAACTTGTTGACCTGCTCGGTCTCCGTCTGCTCTGCGGCCGCAAGCCCAAGATCTTCCGGCGTGAACATGCCACTGTCCACCTGACAGAGCATTTCCTCGACTGGCTCCAGGTAGGCTTCCCAAGTCTCGCGATCCACCGGCTTGTAACCTGCAGCAGCGAGAATGTGGTCAGTTGAATGCGCATACATGCTACATTGATGGCAAGCTGCTCACCCTGCAGAGTAATCCTCGCATTCACAGCATCCAAAAGATCCATCTCGCCACCTTGCACCTTCTCCCACTGCCCTTCCCACATCTCGTGCAGCTTCTTTCGCTGCAGTATGTCGGGGTGCGACAACTTATTCACTTCGATGGTGACAAGCATCATCTCCTCTGCTCTTTCCCTCTGACATTGGAGCCACTGCGCCTTCTGCTCCGCCATCAGCTCACGCTCAAAGTGAGGCTTGGTCCTCTTTCTCTTCGTAATGGGGGTCTTTCGCTGGGCCTCGGCAGTCTCAGCAATCTGCTGGACGTTGATCTCACTCAGTCTGAGTGGGCGGTGCATCGTGGCGCGGCGAGTAAGGGTGCGAAATACAGACGGGTAAAAGGACTTGAGCTACGGTTAGCGCAGAGGATGGGTTGGGACAGAGCTGGCGAAAGGGGATGCTGTGGTTCAAAAGATGGAGTTGCCGGAGATCGCTACACTCTTGAGGGATCCCTTCTGGTCTACGGTCCTGGTCACTACTAGCCGTGCCAGGTGCACGGCTCAGGCATCTGCCTGTAGCTGCCAAGTGGGTCGCTACGGTGCGCTGTCGCACACTTCACATAGACGAGCTGCATTGTAATAGCTTTTCCTTGCTACAGTCCCGCCACATGAGTCATTCTCTGCTACGGTCCCACGTCCGCCTACGAGAGGGAGCTCAGCGATCGTTGCACTCGCACTGCTGTAAAAATAGGCATGCAGTGCGTGTCGTCAATCGCACAGGCTCGGCATGCAGGCAAGGAGTTGCGGACGACATAGCAAGTCTGGAAACCACTCGAAATATGATTGGTTCGACTGCAGCGTCCGAATGCTGGCGGACTGGCCGGAGTGCCGGATAGTGGTCCGTCAGGCTTGATCCGACTCTTTCATGGTTTGGGCCATCGTATAGCTGGGCGTGGTGCCGCGTTGGGCTTGATCTAAGTCTTTCATGGTTTGGGCCATCGTATATAGCTGGGCGTGGTACCGGGGCTGTGCGTTTCGATCGACGAGCATCACGCCCCCCGTCTTCGACTTGAGATTCGTCTTCAAGTGAATGTGTCATCTGGATCAGATTCACAGTTTGCCCGGCCAAACGCAGGTCGCGTGTATACACTCGGGAAGTCTGCGCTCAAGTACATGTAGCACTCAACCTTGCTTGCGATCGGACGCGGACAGAGATTCCAGAAAGTGCACCGCAGTGCCCTTCTGACGCTCGCTCGCATGTGCGATTCGCAATCTCAGTTAGTCGTTCCTGATTTCTTGATTCGCAGTCGTGAGTGTCCAACAGTTATTGTGGCCGGCCACGCATGCGTGCCATGCACGAGCACATGCATATGTCCGATTCAGCCCAATCGTGAATCCTCCGTGCTTCTTGATCAGAATTTGCTATAGTCGTGAGTATAGCGCATGCGTACATGCAGCATCACCACGCGCATTCGCTGCTGTGCGTCCCTGCAACCGATGCGCAGGAAAAGGCGCGTGAGTGCGCGGATCGAAGTCAAAAGTATCGTGTCTGCATGTGAGCACAGCAGCAAGCCCCGAATGACTCACCATTCCTGAAGCGTCATCCACGTTGTGTTTCGTCATTCATCTTTGTGGCTTGCACCTCTGCGCTGTTCATGACGGCACGAGCTCTCTATATATAGCTCATGCTCGACACGCCCTTCACCGCACAAGCTCTTATGTCTTGCTCGACACACGCGGATGAGATCATGTTACGATCGAGGGAGCGTGTGTATCTCAGATACCGGCACATGGATGCGCTATATATGTATAAACTGCTGACGATGCGCATCACGTGTACGCGTCGCACGCTTACTTTGCGTGCACGCATCAGTTGCGCATAAGGTATACCATATACACACGCATTTATCTAAGATTATTGCAACTCCCTTCGCAACCCCATAATTGAGCACTTGAAGGAAGTGAATATATTTACTGAAGCTAGCTGCCCATCCCGCCCTCATCTGTCTGTTGTGGTGTGAGATTCGAAGATTACCACTGACCGACCCTTTGCTTCAACTTGCAGCCTTGGAGCTGCTCATGCATGTGCAGGGATCTTGACTCGCGTGATTCAAGATTGTCGCTTGCGTCGCGACGCGCGGAGCTCGTACCGTTTCTCAAAAACGTACCCTGATCAAGTCACGCGTGCGCAAGGTGCGTACGGCTCGTTGCGCGCGCGACACACAGAGACCCCTTTTTGCTTGTGGATGGAAGTGTTGATATATACTGAAGCAGATTGTCCATTCATACTTTGACATGGATGCACTCACCAGTCATCATTGCAGTGAAACTTGCTCCAACACGCCTGCTGTGCAGGCTCCTCTTGGATTGTTGTGGTGCAAAATCCAAGGAATACTTCGAGCAACAGTCTTTTTGTTTGGACTCGCAGCCGTGAAGCCGAGAGGCATGATCACTCACGCTTATGAGCAGGCTCGATGGTACACCTGCAGGTGTGTAGAGGGGTATCTTGCCCCCCCGCTTGTGCCGCGTCGCGCGAATTCCAGCTACGCGAGGTGATGCGTGCTGTTCTTTACGCGCGCGACGCCACAGCTCCGTCTCCAGACGGAAGGCGCGTCGCGAAGACGCGCGCGCAGCTGCTCGAGACGAAGAATGCGCTGTTGGTGATCTTGATTCGCCTCATCCTCTGCCCCTCCACCACGCTTAAACCCGCGTTTCCTTTTCTACCTTGCCGGCCCTGTTCCCTCCCCCAACGGAGCGCCGCAACCCCGATCATGGAATCAACCTCTCGACTGCACTCCAAGTTCAAGCCGCCAGCTTTCATACGTCGGCCAGAATCCGCGCGCGCGCCACCAGCCAAGCGTCCCAGGACCGCCTCGCCAGATCCCAATGAAGACGTCGAGACGGAAGCTTTTGCGCAATCGCACGGGTCAAGAGTCATTCGCAAGGGAACGGCTACTCCAGAAAAGGGGCGAGGCGATGGTGGTGCGACTCTGAGCAGTGGCACCAAAGCTCCGCGCGTGCGTCCCAATGGCACCCCGCAACCTGCTTCGCGCTTTGCAGCTCAGCGTTACTACCTATGTACTTGGCGAAAGCCACAAGCTCGGAAACACAAGACGTGGGATGGAGACGCGGTGCTCATTCTGCGTTCAGAAACTGGCACCTGTACTTTGCGTTGTGCCGAAAGCTTCAAGGAGTGAGTTCTGCCCGCCGAATGATCTCATCGCCTGCCTCTCTTATCCACAGCGCACCTTTCGCAGCCTCGCTACCAATGTTCGCTTCACAGGAGGAGAGCTCAGCTCCGGTGATGAGCTGATGGTGGGGGGCCGAGAGGTGAGCAATGAAGGCCAGCGAGGGAATAGAAAGACCGCGCGCTGACGATTGCAGCGTCTCCTCTCTTCGAGTAGATAGAAGTGAGCCGTCTCGTCTTGCGGTGCGCTGTCCCAACTTTGCTCATGATCGCTGCCACGCCGCCGCCGCCTCAGATTGACCGGCAAATCAGTCACATCGAGTACTGCAATGGGGAGAATGGCGGAGCCTTCTCGGGAGGCGCAGCAACTCACCCCACCCCTCGAACGCCAGCCGCGCCAGTGCAAAGCTTCTATGGTGAGCTTTGACGTCTCAAAGACCCGAGGCATGGCACTCATCCTTCACCTCCACACACCAGCGAAACCTCCCACAAAGCCTTTCAAGAAGCTCAACGTAGGCATCAGCGCTACTTCTGCGGCCAAGACGGCCACCCCCATCAAGGTCGAAAAAGATGCGACCGCCAGCTCTAGTCGAAGCCCAAGCCCCACCAAAACCGGTAGCCGCCCCTCGGGCTTACAAGATCCCGGACTTGGCAAAGAAGCCAGGCCGAGGTGAGCAGCTAGAGTGCCAACGAGGTTGCTATGAAACAGCATCTGGGACCTCTTACGTTACTAGCTCATACTCACACCCAAAGACGCCTGCAGATACGACCCTGCGGCCGAAGGAGCCATCATCATGAAACGGCCCGACGAGGCTCACGCCAAGCGGTACAACAGGCAGTGGGTGCTATTGCGACTCTCCCCCGGCTCTTGTGAGCGCACGGCTCACGCGTCTCCCTCACCCGCATGCAGCAACTATCCCATCGTCGACGTCGTCGTTGATCCGATTTTAGGCCGCGCTCTCCGTCCTCACCAGGTCGAAGGAGTCAGATGGCTTTACGAGCGCGTCATGGGAATGAATGACGAAAAGTCAGATCAGTACGGGCAGGGCGCGATCCTGGCAGACGAGATGGGCTTGGGAAAGACTGTGCAGACCATCGCCCTCGTGCACACGCTCCTCAAACAGTCGTGCTACTACACTTCATCGCCCAGCACCGTTCAGCGCGTGCTCATCGTCTGCCCTCTGTCCCTCGTCAAGAATTGGAAGCGAGAGTTTCGAAAATGGCTTGGCGGCAACTCTCTCAACATCCTCTGCGTGGATGGTAGCGAGCAGACCAAACCGGAACGCTTCCTCATGTCGAGGACATTTCAAGTGCTGATCATCGGCTACGAAAAGCTACGCACGTGCGTCGACATGCTAGCGTCTGCCCAGCCGCCCATCGGCCTGATCGTCTGCGATGAGGGTCACCGACTCAAATCAAAGGATGCCAAGACGACGAAAATGTTCGAGGCGCTCTCGACGCCGCGGCGCATCATACTCTCGGGAACGCCAGTTCAAAATGATCTCTCCGAATTTCACGCCATGGTAGACTTTGTCAATCCGGGTCTGCTTGGCGACTACAACGTCTTCAAAAAGGTGTTTGAAGAGCCCATCGTGAAGAGCCGCATGCAACATGCCAACAAGCAAGTACGAGAGACGGGCAAGTTGCGCAACGAGGATCTCAAAAAGGTGACGGCAGTAATTATTCTTCGCCGCACCGCAGAGCTCTTGACTCAATTCCTGCCACCAAAGTGCGAGCAGGTGCTCTTTTGTAGTCCGACGCAAAATCAGCTCGACACCTATCGCCACGTGTTGGGGTCCACACAGGTACGAGATGTGCTGGACAGCGGCAAGACCAGTGGCGGCGGAGGGAGCAGCGCCTTGACTTTGATTGGCGTCCTCAGAAAGCTTTGCAATTCTCCAGAGCTACTGCTCAAGGATCTAGAGACTTCCAAACGCGATGGAGAAGCGTCGTTGACGGCAGCGATTCTAGAAGGTGCAATGTCGCAATCTGCATCGAAGCGCTTGTCCGGCAATGCCAATCTCAGCGGCAAACTGCTCTTGCTCAGCAGCATGCTCCAAAGCATCCGTAAAGAGACCGACGACAAAGTCGTCTTGGTATCCAATTTCACCGCAACATTAGACATCATAGAAATCATGTGCAAGCGCAGCGGTTACAGCTTTGTTCGACTAGATGGCAAGACGAAGCAAGAAGATCGAATGGACCTGGTCTCGGCTTTCAATCGAGGCACGCAGTCGAACAACTTCATCTTTCTTCTCAGCGCCAAAACGGGTGGTGTGGGTCTGAATCTCACTGGCGCCAATCGTCTGATCCTCTTCGACAGCGATTGGAATCCGTCGGTGGACAGGCAAGCCATGGCGCGCATCCATCGCGATGGCCAAAAGAAGCCTTGCTTCATCTATCGGTTGTTGCTAGCAGGAACGATGGATGAAAAGATTTATCAACGACAAATTTCCAAAATCGGCCTCAGCGACTCGCTCATCGAGGACAGCACCGCGTCTGGCCAATCATCTGACACTTTCTCCGTAGAGGACTTGCGCGACATTTTCACCCTCCATCGAGACACGCCGTGCCTTTCGCACGACAATCTTTCGTGCTCTTGCAATGGCAACGGTATAGCAAAATCTGGCATCGACCACACGCAAGCGAACGTCGAGAGCGATGACGAAGATGTCCCAGTCTTGGCTGGCTTCGTGCCTGCCTCGCAGCACGCCCGTAGCCCGAAAGCGCAGGTGAGTTGTGAGCCGGACGGCATGCACTCTGGTGGAAGCTCATCGCTCGTGTCATTTCCCCAGCTGCCCAGCAAGCGCGCAAAACTAGCTGCTTTGCATCAATGGGGCCATTTCGATCTTCACAAGGCCGATACAGGGTGTCTTGCGCTCGTCGAGGACGACCTTGTACGTCGCATTGTAGAGAAGCAGACCCATTCACAAGGCGTGGTCGCGCATGGAGCGTGCAAGTCACCTGCTATTTCACCTCGATCTGGCCTCGGCGACGTGACCAATGGCAGCAATCCCAGCTCGCCAAGCAAGAGCACCCTGCTGGGAAAGACGGATGTAACCACCCTCGAGAACGATGCTCTCGCGAGAAGATGCGCAGAGGAGCGCAAGGCTGCTTTGGCGAATGCCGTCGTTTGCGAGCCCATTTCGCGGCGAAAGCTTCGCGATGCTCGAGGCGGACGACCGCCAGCTCCACCCGTCCGCTCACCTGAGCTTCAAAGACAAGTACTCGCAGCTCCTCCAGAGCTGTTGAGTCAAACAGAAGAGGGCGTCGAGAGCGAGGCGCCAAAGGGCAGTCCATCTTGGAGCGACTTTGAAGGTGGCGATCTCGGCCGTCCAACTTTCGACATTACTCTGTGCAAGCCCGGTTCGCTTTTGTACGCATTCATCAAGTCTTCAAAGGCGCGCAGCTCAAATGAAGAAGAATGACCCGGTAACAAGCGCGATGCTCCGAACGCCCATCGTCAGCAGTCGAGCTGTCCATAGACGACGCGAATCTTGTAGAGATGACACAGACCGCAGTAGAATACATGTTGACGAGGTCGCTCGCGCTGCTAAAGCGAAGGCGTGTCATTCGGCCCATTCGGGATTTGCAGACCATCCAGCAAGCTGTTCTCTTGACCACTGCGGATCGCTTCGAGTTGAGCGGCAGATTGAGTGGCCTGTGGACGAAAATGCGTGAGCCGATGCCGCAGGCAAAGCCGCGCAGTCACGAGTAGGCACACTCACAAGATACAAGTGCGCCTCGATTTGGGCCACCTTTGCTTCTGATCGTTCGGCCTGCCTGTACCGATGATGCATGTCTATGTCAGCTTCATACCTAGCATAAAAAGTTCAACGCATCATCGCACACTAACTTGCCCAGTGCCGCGGCTTTCTTGTTGCAAAATTCGACGGCTTTCGCATGATCCATTTCGATGAGCAGGTCAGCGTGTGGCAAGCCACTTTGCACCACTGGCAAGAAGCGCGACTCTAGATCGCTGCGAATGTGGCAATGATCTGGGTCAGCAGCGCAAACTCGCTGCCTTCGATCTCTGCTGAACATACTTGTGCACCTCGATGCTCAGGCCCGCGCCTAGGTCCACCCAGCGCGTAGGGTCCTCCGAATTTTCGCCCTTCTCGTCCGATATCAGCTGCCTCGAGCTTTCTTGCCAAGCCTCTTGCTCCTCTCGCAACGCTTTGAGGACCTGTCGCGCTTCGAGCAAGTCTCCTTGGACCTTTTGCACGAAGCGGCTCGACTTGAGCAACGCAGAAACCAGAGATGGCCCAGAAGTGGGATTGACCATCTTGACGCGCTAGAGCGCAGATCTTGATCTGAGCTAATTTGCGCCCACAATTAGGACGGAGAGACGACTTGAAGTGCAGTTCTCGAATGTGAATGTGTGCTTTGAGTGGTGGTGGATACGAGACGTAGCGCCGAGGCCAACAATGTTCACAACTACTTGATCATATCGACGCACTGTACTGATCGCTTCGACTTTCGCACGCGCATAAAATACACCGCCTCGACAAAAATCGAGGCACGTGACCGCAGTAGGAATGTCTGACCAGACGTCCGCGTGATTCTGGGATGCAGGCTCTCAACGCTGGCCAGAAATGTCAACGCTATCATCAAATCTAAAAGCGAGACAGGCAGCACCGCGGGTATCGCATTCCATTCCATTGCGAGGGTCACGCGCAGCGGAGCCGCGACAGGTCGTAAACCATCGGCCCCACGCGCGCGCAGAGATTCTCAATCGCCCTGACCGCTCGAGTCGCTCTGCGCTTCGTCACTGCTCTCTTCGTTAGCAACTTGTTCTGGGCTCGTCGCTCGCAGTGCTTGCACTTTGCGCTCAGTCTCCTCGCTCTGTAGAGCACCTTCGCTCTTTCGAGTCACGCGCCCAGACCGACGAGGCTGAATTGTAATGACTGGATGCGACTTCTCGTTGCGTCGACGAGACCTAACAGCAGTCGAGGCTTGTTCTGTAGACGCTGCGTTTTCATCAACACGATCGTCGGCGGGCGGATGACTGCTTGCACGAGCATCATTGGCCTCGTTATCTCCAGCCCGCGCTCGTAGATGTGCAGGGGGTCGAATCCGAATGCGAGGTTTTGACGAGGGTGCTTCTGCACTTTCGGGTCGCTTCGCCTTTGGGGGCGAAGGTTGAAATCCATTGACGAGATCGTTTGACCTTTTGGCACCCTTGGCGCTCTTGACGCTTCGTGGCTGACCTCGAGAAGCAGAAGACTTTGCAGCTCCCCTTCCCCTCGGCTTCTTGCTGTGCCCATTCGAATGCTCTGATGCAGACTCTGCTTCCGAGAGCGGGGAGTCAGCTTGGCGGCTCCGTCTGCGATGATTGGGCGCGGACGAGGCCAAGGATGCCAGGCTGATAATTTTCCGAGGTGCGCTAGGCGGAGAACTCTCCTCCGCCTGATCTCCAGCTTCGGAGGACGATTGATCGTGAATGACATCTTCGGCCATCTCCGTGTCCTCGCCTGCCTCTGGCTCTTCCTCAATAAAGTCGCTCTCTTGACTTGCCTCTGCGTGGACGCGGTGACTGCTGCCGCCAGATCTCGCACCGTAGCGAGCGATGCGAGCAGCAAAGTCTCGATTCGCAGCGCTCAGCTGCTCGCCGTTTTCTCCAGCCTTGCCATTGGTTGGTGGGCGGCCCTCCACGTCGACAAGAAAACCGCCCTGCTCAAGTGCCCCGTCATCTGCTTCGAGGGCATGCAATTTGCTATTCTCGCTTGCATGGGCATCTCTAGACTCTGTCGCGCTCGAGGCTTCTTTGCGAAGGTCTGCTTCATCATGAGAGGCTCCGTTTCCGTACTGCTGCTGGACGCGCTGGGCGATGCGCACAGCATTGACCACCTTCTTCCAATTCTTGAGCGCCCTCTCTTGCCGCTTGGTGAATTCTTTCTGGGCCGCAGCGTGCTCCGACTCCCAGTATGCCTGAGATGCAAGAACAGATGGTCAACACGAGTTCCGAGACGACGCGGCTGGGCTCGCTCGCTCACCTCCGTGACCAGGTCTTCATTCTCCTCTGCAACGACGATACCGGTGAGTTTGGGCATGCTGCGGAATTTCCTAAACTCGAACCCAGTCTGAAGCCGAAAAGCGTCATGGTCAGTCGAACCCCACAACATCATATCCTCACACGACACTCACGATAGCCTCGGCGTAGCTGACACCAAGCTTCTTGGCTACCTTGCCAGCACCGTTATAGGGGATGTGCACGCCGCCAGGCGGCAACATGCTTGGCACAAAGAGGTCGATGTTCCCGAATGCATTCTTCGGCACCTCGCCGTTGGTTACTTGCGGAGCAGTGTAAAGTTGTGTCTGAAAAGGCGCGTACAGACCCTCCTGCGGCGCCTCCCCTCCATCTGCTTTCGCAGCTTCCTCGGCACGCTTGTTCGCGAGAGTGTACCCACGACTCTTGACCCATTTCAATGGCTCCTCGCCATCCTTGACGACTTTACCCTCGTTGTACCACTGTCGAGCGCTTCGACAGGTGACGACGTTTCCTCGCGGGTACACCTTGATGCCTTGAAACGTGCCAATCTGTCGAAGAGGGTGAATAACTTCGTCTCGAAGAAGGTGCTTCTCGATTGCGTACACTGGATGTCCTTTGAAGCCTCCGACGCTAGATGGCATGGGCTCTTTGCCTGCAGCATCTTCCAGCTCCAAATCCTCTGCGGCATCTCTGTCGAGCTTTTGAGGTCGATGCAATGCGCGCACCACACTTTCCCACCATCCTTCTAGACTGCCTTTTGGAGCAGGCGGCCGCATGCGATTGACGCGCGAGTGCAGAGTCTTGGTGTATCTCGCAGTGACGTCCCTCGCAAAGCCATCCTCTTCGAATGCGACCACGTAGACGAGCTTGTTACGCCTATCGCTTGGAGGTGGCTCCATGTGCCGGTTGGGACCGACTTCGACTTTCGCACGGATCGGATCGATCGTCATCCATTTCTGCCACGGTTTCGAAAACACTTCGACCCACATGGTAGGTGCAGCTTCGAGGTCCACAAACTCCATGTCAGACAAGTCCTCAGCAGCCAGCTCCGTAGCTTTCGCTTGTTTGGGCCTCGATTTGCGCAAATTCGGCGTATAAGGAACGTCTTTGAGCGGTCGTGGGGGTGAAGGTGGCGCTTTTGCATCCTTTTTGGCTCTTTTCTTTGCGCTCCCCTTGCCATTCGTCGTGCTCGCGGCCGACTCTTCAACCCCGGTTGCCTCGGCCTTGCTGCCGCGTTTGCGCTTTGCAGGCGAATTGGTCGTCGAAGCACCAGACTCACTCGCGGCAGCGCGAGCGCTTCTCTTGCCTCTGTTGGCTCGTGTGCCTCGCGCGGCTTGACTGGGCGAGTCAGCATCGCTCAATGCGGAGCTCGAGTGGGAGTCACCTCGCTTCCGAGTCTTTCGGGCGCTCCCTTTCGGCTTGGAGGAGCTTGCCTGTGCTGGACTGAATTCTTCTGACCCACTCTGCCACTCCTCATCCTCGCTCGTCAACTCGTCATCCGGCTTTCGCTTCTTCCTTGCCTTGTCGACGAGTCCCTTTCCCTTTCCTTTGGTAGCCTTTTCTCGCGTCCCCTGAGTTGTGGCCACCTTTGCGGCTCCAGCGCTCCATGGCGCGACTTGAAGAGATATGACTAGCCGGGCCGGAATGCCCAAGGCTCGACAAAGGCAGCAGAACATTTGCGCAGAAGTCTCCCGCGAGCCTTGCCGCAGCTCTGCACGATGCTGAAGATCTGCAGGGCATGAGATGGCCTCGACAGGTGGGGCGAGCCGAAGGTAGGTGGGCGTGACAGCAGCCATTCCCGACCCTTGGCCGAAGAGCGTGATGTCTGTCGCAGGCTCGACCTTGGCTCGTTTCATTGATCGGCCGGAACGCGCATGAGGGTGTTGCTCATTCGTAGCTTTGCCCTTGCCTTTACGGTCCATCTTGGGCGAGCTCTTTAGCTGAGCGTCATCGATGGACTGTTGACTCTTCGCCGCTCTCTCCGCCTTCCACCTCTCCTCCCTCTCCAAAGCTGACTCGACGATCCATCCATCCACCCGAATGCCTGGTAGCGGAAAATTGCCGACGAGAACATCGGCATTGGGCTGCTTGATAGCAGCGGTCGTCGCGGCTCTTGATTCGATGCGGAAGCGACGATATGCCCACCAGCAGACCAGGTCGAGCATGAAGATCTCAAAGAGCCTTACTCGTTCGCGCTGATTTGCAACTCGCTTTGGATGAATCTGCTTCAGCTTGTTGCGAAGCTCTGCAGGCACGACTTCGAATAGAGCATCCTATCGTAGCAGCGAAGAGTAAGCAGGCGTTCCCGGGATTCGCCGCAGGCTCGCACCACTCACTCTAAGCTCGGCGTCATTGAGCCAAGCATTCCTGATGCGGGCATGAGCGAGCAGCGCCAGAGCACCCAGCTTGTGGACAGCCATGCGCGTCTGACGATCCCTCGGCGTGACGCGATTCTCGTTGGCCCTTTGCTTCGCTTTGCGTTTCTGCTCCTCTTCCTTGGCCGCTTGCCCGCCTAGACTCAACGAGATTACGCCAGGCGGCTGTCCTTTGCCGTCTTTGAAGACGGGCTGGTTCGAAGTGGAAGGGCCTCCTCCACCCGCCCCTTGACCTTCTCTGCTACTGTTCTCGTCTTCGTTTCCGGCTTCCGATACTGCTGCAGCGTACAGAGCGGCGTACCCTGCAGTGTCCTCTTGGCCACCAACATCGACATCCTCCATCTCGAGGTCCTCCTCCTCCTCCTCCTCCTCCTCCTCCTGCTCGCCAACCTCTTTTGCACTACCACCGGTGACATCAACCTCCTCCATCTCAAAATCTTCCCCTTCCGGCTGAGACGCCTTCGTGGACCCTCGCCGCCTCGGAGCGGGTGTCCGACCATTTGTGTCGTGACTGTTGGAAGGCATCGACGTGGACGCCTCCGCATCCGAGTCTGATATGGTGACGACTTCAGACTTCCTTTTTTCACCCGCACCTCTCCCAGCAGGCTGAGATGCTCTCACGGACGATCGACGGACGACGTCCGACTTTTGAGGTTCGTCAGACGAGATCTCGTGCAGAGAGAGGATCTCGTCCGGCGTGGGTGGAGTGGGGTATCGCCGAGATCGACCTCTAACTCGACCTTGACCTCTCTCGCTGGCCCCTCCTCCGCGTTGACTGTTGGCGGCAGATCGGCGAGGAGGTGCCATCTTGAGCGAGGGTGCGCTGTTGTGTTCGAAGTGTGAGTGTATTGTGGTAGACGATCACGAGCGAGGTGCGAGAGCACCGATGGAGACTCTGAGCGGGGCCATGCATGCAGAGCGAACGGCGCGTGAAGATGCTGAGTCACGCGGGCAGCAAATTGGCACCTCCACATCCTGCTTGCGTGCGCCGCGGGAATGTGTGTAGACGCTTTCGCGGACGCGCCGTCGTCACGAAACTTGCGCGCAAAGGTGCAACACGCTGCAACAGCCAGGGGGTCAGGTCGCCGTAGGAAGTCACTTTGCGGAGGTCACCAGTAGACCTCCGGTGTGTCTGCAATCAACGATGCATTGAGTTGCGTGATGAGTGTACATGGTCTGTGATCGATCGCGAAAGCAGGAGGCGATCGAGGATCCGAGCATACATGTCACTGAGCTGTCCAATCTCTCATTCTGGCGACGGCGGCAAACGGATCGGTAGTGGCAAGTCTCCTCATGTCGACCTCTCCGGCTCCATCTACCTCTTTCCAGGGCACACGCCTTATCAGCTCTTTTCCCTCCACATCTGTCAAGCCAGCAGCATCTCTCCAGTCCCGCAACCCTCTCGATTGCGCATCGACGTTCAAGCTAGCTAGGATATTGTCTAGGTAACTTAGATCTGCTGCCAGTTGGGCTGCGCCTGCCGATGTCAAGCGAGCGATCGAAGGAAGCACCACGTCTGTGGTGTGAGCCAAAAGAGAAAGAGATAGTGCTCGCAGGTAGGCTTGCAGTACCATCTCTGGCGAAGGCTCCACATTTAGAGTTGGCGTAGATGCATGCGAGTTCGCGTTTTGCGTAGCAGCTGTCGCCGGTGCTCCTACGAGAGGTGAGGCGGTCGCGATGGAGGCCACAGACGCAGTGGGGCGATGTAAGCTCCTTCTTTCAGTCTGGGGTGATCTTGAAGCGCTTCTTTCCTGGTGTGAAGCTGCATCAGGAGCAAAAGACAGTCGCTTACTAGAGTTGCCCACGATGCGCGAAGCCGTGTCAGCGATTGAAGCAGTCTCTGCCACCTCATCTGCCTGCTCCTCCTCGTCGTCGGGAAGAATGTGCGGCAGAGCACTCATCGCCCATCCCAGAGCTGAGTCATCGGCCCAAACTTCTAGAAGGCGAGGTAGATCGAGCAGAGACTCTCCAATGCGCCCTATTGTGCGAGTCGGGCTCAGACTGAACGTCGGCATGGCTAGATCATACTCGTTGGATGCGCCTGGTAGTCGGGTAGCCTCCCAGGCAGGGAGGGCAGCGTAGCCTTCCAGATGAGGCAGAAGAGGAGCAAGAATGACGTCGCATTGTGCCCTCTGCAAAGCGCGAACATACGCTCTCAGGGCGCTTCGAGAGCGGGGCAGGAGCGCACTGGAGGGAGCGCCAAGCTTTGAGGCTGTCGGCTGTGTCAGGGAGTTTCTGTGATCGATGCCTCCAGCTGAACGCAAAGCGGCGCTTCCATTGCGGCCGCTTCCGATGTGCATTCGATGAGCTCTGATCGCCTCAAATGCCGACCGAGGAACGCTAGATGAGTGATCCAGCTGAGCTGCCAAAAGCGCGAATCCGGCCTGCGCTCCTTCTGGGCCACTCGACAACAGCCGTTTTAGCGCATCTTCGCCTGTGCGAGTGCCAAGCCCGATGACGGCGCTCGCCACGTCGTTAAAGCCTAGTGCAAGCTTGTCTTCCAGGCTATCGATGCGGACAGCAGCAGCCTTCGCCGCTCGAACTTGCGCAATGCCCGCTTCGAAGGCTCTCCACTCATCGCCTTCCCCGTAGCTCTCTTCGCCATTGGCAAGCGCTTGGCCAGCTTTCAGGCGTGTCTCCTCGATGGCCACTTGTGCTTGGCGCTCTTGATGTTGCCTAGTCTGTTCGACCGCATTCTCGACTAGCTGGTCCACCCGCGAAAGTACTTGAGGAGCTGCCAGGCCGTGAGTAAGTCGCACAGCTCTAGAGAGCGCTTCCTCCGCCAACGTTGCAGTAAATCTCACGTCTTTCAGCAGCTCATCATGGGATAGCGCGAGCATTTCAGAGCCCTGTCTGGCTGCCCTGGAACGATCCCACGCTGCTTGGAGGTGCCGGGCTTCAAAGTCCGCATACATGACCTGGTGCGGCGTGAATGCAGACCACAACACTGCCTCCCATGGCGAAGGGACAGGCAGCAAGCCTGCCAAAGAGCTGGCTTGCATCGGTTGAGCCTGAGCAGCAGAACCAGGATGGGTGCCTGCCGATGCGATCACGAGATCAGCATCATCTGAAGACCCCCTAGCCGTGTCCAGAGGAGGCAGCAGACTTGCTCGCCTTGAGGCGCGCTTGGACTTGGATATGGATGCGCTGCGTTGGCTTCTTCCCACATGCTTCATTTCCAGTCGAGGGCTCGTCGACGATGATCTCGCGGTGACTGTCACAGTGGGCGAGTGGGCAGCGTGCTGTGACACGCTGGTAGGAATCAAATGTTCCGACAACAGCGATGCCCAGCTGGCGCTTGCGCCGCAGGCCGCGTCATAGGCTCGCAAGACGAGCAGCACTGCCTCGTCCTGTGCTCGCTCTGCCGCGTCGCGGAGTGTCGCTGAAAAGGAAGGCTCGAGAGCTTCGAGGCAGCTAACAATGAGTGCGCTTAAAGCGCCCCGAGGATCCGCCGGGAAGAGGCGAGGAATCGTTTCAGACTCTGCTTCTAGCAGCGCGGTGACCGACGCGATGAGACTGGGCCATCCTTGGTCGCATCTCTTCAGTGGCTCGCTACTCGTACCAGTCCACGTCTCGACGACGGCGGCTCGCCGCGCACGGCGCCACAGGTCAGCATACTCCTCTGACCTCCCCACGTTGCGAAGGACGTTGGCATGGGCCATGCTAGCCTCGACATCCTGCGCTGTAGCAGCTTGCAAGATGAGCGGCCGAAGTTGAGTTTCCAGCGCGTCCACAAGACTGCGGAGCAGCGTTGATCGCCCTTCGTACTCTGGTGTCCTCTCAAAGACAGCGAGAGACGATGATGCTTCTGCGAGCCTGTTGCTCGCGAGCACATACTTTGCGTCTGAGAGATATGCCGCGACATCTACAGAGAGCGTCGACCAAGATTCGGCGAGTCGAAGGACATCGCGAGCTGCGGTCATGCGCGAACGAAGCGTTGACAACGCGGCTAGACGCGCAAGTACGGTTGCTGGATCGGCGGGCGTAGCTGCCGAAGCTCGGCCTGCATTCTGCTCGCTCTGACTCTGGTCGGTCGTCATGCCATTCGACCTGGTCTGACTGCTCTTGCGACGAGTCAGCAGAGGTGGACCTTCGTCATCTTGACCTGCGCTCTTTTCGATCCCGCTTGCATTTGCGTTTTCAAGTCCCGCAGCAATTCTCACGTCGTGGACCTGTTGGCGAAGGTTCGTTCCAGTATCCCGAACTAGACGAAGTTGAGTGTTCAGATTTGGAAGCGTTTGACTCGTCTCAGTAATGACATCGTCGATGTCTGCGCTGGCTTCTGATGCGGCCTGCAAGAGCAAAGCGACCAGGCGAGTGAGATCCTCATCCAGCGCTGGAAGAGACACCGGCAAAGCTAGACCGACCGCAGGTTGGTCTGGTGCAGGGTTGCTCTCTGCGGATCGCGAGACGGTCTGGTCTAGCCAAGCCGAGACCGAGACGCACTCGTCCAGGCTATTGAGAATAGCTTCGTCGGCTGCGCTCTTTCCCCGTCCCCTTCCCGAGACACGCCTGCTGGAGAAGGGTACGCGTCGAGGTGTGCCTGGCGCAGGACTCAGACCTGCCGGAGAGCCCCCTTGCCTCGCTCCGTCATTGCGCGGTGTTTGATGGGTTGGAAGAGCTGAAGTCGAGGCGAAGCTGCCACGAGGTGAGACCGAAGGCGAGAAAGAAGTCATGACGGAATCTGGCGAGAGATGGATCTGCTAGCCATCCGGGGCGCGCGCACAACCCACAGACTCCTCGCATACGCTAAGACGGCCTCAACAAGGATGAACTGGTGCTTTGACAGCAAAGACCAAAGAGAGTCAAGAGGAAGAAGTATACGGGGTCATATCGAGCGTCTAGCGTGAAAGCGAGGAAGCTCAACTTGGATGCGAGTTGCAGGCCGGTGGTATTAAATGATCCGTGGCCCTAGCGTGGCTCAGCAGATCACGTGGTCGAGGCTGTGCGCACCGCATGGATGCGGCGGGCGAGGCGGCAGGCCTACTCATCCAGAGTCGTGAGTGAGTCACGAGTCACGAGTGGAGGAGTTGCTGGCGGTCTCATCCACAGATTCACGATTCACGATTCACGATTCACAATTTGAGAGTCAAGTGCGGAGGACGTCAGGTCGCAAGCATGAGTCTGAGGTCACTCATGATTACTACTCGACTCACGACTACGACGACACTCTGATAGGGTGCATGATCGACACCTTTGGCGAGCGCGTCGTCTCCGTAGCTGAACTCAACATCAAACTCTGATCCGCCTCGTGCACGACCTACGCAATGGCGTCTCAGCAACCTAATCAATCATCGGTGGACCTGTCCACTTTGCCCTCCTACTCGTCCAGCTGGTCACACCCGCTGCGTTTGACCACCTGTTTAGCGGTGCAATACTCTTCTCGACGTTTGACAGAACGACTAAGAGCTCTGGAAAGCGGATCTACCAGTCAGGATCGAGGTGGGTCAACATCACAGGATGAGGACATCTCGTTGGGCGTCAGTCTAGAGAACGACGTCAAAGAACTGAGTCTTGGAGACGATGCAGCAGAGAGCGGGCGTATGGCCAGCCAAGAGCAGAGCTGGGCCGCCGAGAGGAAGCGTCGCAGCAAACAAGTCCTGCGAGAGGATTGGGAGGACTACTGTGCCAGGGTAAGTGTCGAATGAGACGGCCGCGGGTGCTTAAGCGTCCTCTACGATGAGCTTGAGAAGCTGAAACTCTACGTGCCGTACGCTCAAAGTTCTTGACTGCGACCTGCCAGCACCTTGGCATCTCAGAAGAGATCTTGCCACGTGAGTGTAAATCTGAACGGAGCCACGCCTGTGCATAGGCTCACCCTGCCAGCGTTCTCGTCTTGTCCTTCTCAGCTGGGGACACGTACCTCTCAGATATTCTGGACGCCTCAAGAGGCCGACCAGTGAAGCTTGCCTCGGATGCATCAGGCGCTACAGATGCACCTCAGCAAGAGCCCCAAGCAGCAGAGCACGAAACTGGAAGCTCTCGCGAATGGGCGACGAAGCACAACACCACGTCACAGTCCACGTCTACCGAGCCGACCGCCTCAGACACCGCGGAGCAGGTTCAGAATGGCTCGACAAAGGCGGATGGCGTGGACGAAGAGGCCGTTCGGAAAATGGAAGAGGAAGCGACCACGACGAACGAGCAGCTGGCCGAGGTGTCCAAGCTGGTCTCTTCCGTACAGCGAGGTGAAGGAGCTTTGACGGATGAAGCCGGACAAGGCAAGGACGTCGAAGTTGTGCATGATTTACTGCTCGTTGCGCTAGGTCTCGGACAGTACCGAGCCTCGGATGGTGCCACAACTTTGTTCGAGAGCGATAGTGTGTTTGATCCGTTTGAGCCCAATGCGGGCTCTGGAGCCAAAGATCCGCACAGACCAGCAAAAGACGGACACGCTGAAGAAGAGGAGCATTACGCTTCACATGATACCGAGAAGAGCACACATAGGCTTGCTACTGGAGAGTCTAGGCCTTCTCCACCACCCATCCCGGAGGCGTCCACACCTCAGCAAGACGCCACCAATGTCGGCGCCAAGACCTGGAGCGCGATCAGTGGCGGAGCAAAGACAGGTTGGCGAGGTGTGTCGGGCGCAGCGAGAGATGGAGCCAGCTTTTTGTCCTCCGGAGCTAAAGACGTGAAAGCTAGCGCCGCTGGCAAGGCGGAGGTTGCTCAACCTGGGGAGAGAAAGTCTGCGAAAAAGACACCGACCAAGCCGAACGATCCCTTTCGATACGATGCGAGGGCCCGAGCGGTAATTTGGGTCGCCGCGCTCTCTATGGGTATCGAGACACGGGAAATCACCGGCGCAGAAAAGGTGATGGCTCAGAGTGTTTACTTTATCATGGAGGAAGGTCGATCGAGGGCTCAGAAGGAAGGCAAGAGCGATCCTCTGGTCGAAGCCAACTTGCTGAAAGCTGCAAGTAGCTCTTCGACGAGCGACGAAGCTGCCAACGCTCGCAAAGACTGGATGAACAGAGCTTCAGAACAAGCCGTAACAAAGGAAAAGTCGAAGGCGAATTGGGGAAAGTGGGCGGCCACCGGTGCTGGCTTCGCTATAGGTGGCGTGGCTATCGGCTTGACGGGTGGACTGGCAGCTCCTCTTGTCCTTCCGGCTCTGGCAGGACTCACCGGCGTGGGCTTTCTCGCTACCACCGGTGGAGTAGTCATGATGGGGACGCTTTTGGGTGCGTGGACATCTTAGAATGCGGACGATGTCATGGCTCAGACTTGCTGATGAATTTCTACGTCACAGGTCTTGGTGGAGGTGGACTCGCAGGATACCGCATTACTCGGCGGTTGAGAGGAGTCTCAGACTTTGCCTTCTCCGAGATCAGCTCAAATGCTGCGCGCGAAGCGGGCTTAGCGATCCCCTCGCTCAACGCGACCATCTGTGTCAGTGGCCTCATCTTAGACGAGAGACAGCAGACGGGCATATGGGCCGATGCATTGAGCGAATCGAATGCGCCCGAAGAATTGGCGTCGCGATCCGGCAAGGATCAAGAGGCTGACGATGAGGCGGCAAATAGAAGGGTGAAGGGGTCCGAAGATGCCGACATCTTTGCAGTCGAGTGTGAGAAGCAGGCCATGGCTGAAGCAGGGCGTGGCTTGAACACCTACACTCGAGACGCGCTCATCAGGACGGGTGCGAGCCAGGGTGGTCAAGCTGTTCTGAAAACCACTGCTTTGGCTGGCCTGGCTGCCATTACGTAAGTGGCCCCGGTACCTTTTGTGATCTCTCCTCTTGCTCACCATCTTATCTTGTGCAGCCTACCACTTACGGTCTACTCGGCCGCTTCAGCTGCGCTGGACTCGTACTTTGTTCGCGCCAAAACCCGCTCTCACAAAGCTGGTTTGTTACTGGCCGACGTTCTCAAGGACAAGGTGCAGGGAGAAAGACCAGTCGTGTTGATCGGCACTTCCTTGGGTTGCACCACCATCTTGACCGCCTTGCTCGAGCTCGCTAAAGAACCCGACAATGCCAAGCTCGTCAGCGATGTCTTTCTCATTGTGAGTTGACTTGGGGGCGTTCAGAGACCAGAGTGCGCTCATGTCCGTTACTGCACTTTCCCTCGTAGGGCGCACCCATCACACCGTCGCTCTCGGAGCTCAAACAAGCCCGAAGCATCGTCTCTCGTCGATTTGTGAATGCTTTTTCTTCTAAAGACATGGTTAGTGCTCATCCTCCTCATCGTTTAGTGTCACCAGGCCGTTGAATCTCGACTTGTACCCCAATCAGGTCTGCTCTATCGCTGCCTACCTCGGCTCTACCTTTAGCCTGGAGGACGTAAAGTCAGGTCGAATCTTGCCACGCGTATTGGGCTCCAGAGCTTGCCTGGGCGTGCCTGGACTCGAGAATGTCGACATTGCGGATCTGGCACCTGGGCATTACGACTTGCTCGCGCCTGGTGTCCTCGCTCAAATACTGGAGCGCCTTGGGGCTCTGACGGACTAATTTCTCAATCATCATTGTCTGCGCGAGCACGATGCTTGGCATCATGGATAGTCACATTTCCGGCGTGAACATGTGCCAAAATCTGCAGTCAGAGCGTAGATGCTCTGGGTGGGATTCCTGTACCTGCCGCCGGCGCCGTCCTTGCGTGGCGGCTGAGTCACCTCGCGACTGTCGAGCGCACTTTCTGCGCCTACGAAGCTGCATTTTCGATTTCGCCATCGCTAGGCCGCTCCCCGATCTAGGCTGATTAAAGTTTCATTTAGATGCCAAGATCTTGCTTGACCGAGGCCTTCGCATTTATTATTTGTGAGCTGTGCTTTCAGATGCTTCTGACCTTGCCTAATGTGAAGAACCACAAGCGGTCACTACTACCACATCACGACGACGACAGACCTGCCGAGATGCGCTCCTTCGACCAGGTACCTGCGATTGGTCTGATACTTGCGGGCATTGGAGGCACGTGCACAACGGAATTGCCGACGTCATCCTCAGCAGTAGAGCAGGAGGTGTGAGTCTGGGCGTGTTCCCAAGCTGCTCGTGTTCTCGAGCTCAGCGACTTCGTCATCAACAAGCCCTCATCGGCGATGGGGTCCGCAGTGGACAGAGGTGGCGAATGGCCGCTACTCCATCAAAGCTCTGAACAGATTCAGAGACAAGATCATCTTTCATGGCGGACGACGGAGAAGAGAGGCAGACATCCGTGAAGAGCGTACTTGGAGATATTCTAGTCCTTGCCATGATACTCAAGCCGGGGCCCAGAGACAGCGCGGCGCAAAGGCCGACGATGGTCTGAGAGTCATCGCTCTACCACCAAACTCCACTGGCTCGGTTTCTCCACGAGTTGCGCTATGCTCAAAGGACCCACGCGCAGGGAATGCCCAGGGAGCAACGTCGATAAAACCCTTGAATCCATGCCGACTCACACTCGTGCGGTGATGAGTGGATCGAATGATGAAGGAGACGAAGAAGTATCTTAGTCAGAGGCGTTCTTGATCACAACCCCGATTCAGATTCAAAATGAGTCACTGAGTGAATCGTGATGAATGTGATTCGAGTCGAAAGTCAAGACGCGCAAGACGCGAAAGGCGGCATCGCGTGGGGCAGGCCAACCGAGCCATCACGTGAGCCTCAAAGGACGCCTCCAGCTTCTCGGCCGGGAGGCGCTCGCGCAGTTCTGTGAATTTCAACTTTTTTGGCAACTCGTCCTGTGGCCGTCTGTATGCACACTCACGACTGCTTCAAGTTGGAGGCAGTCAGTCACAAGTGATCAATCGTTCTTTGAGCCTTGGCTGCCCTTCGGCTCCATCTTCTTGTCATCCATTCGGCCTGCACATACTGTCAGCCAACCCGGCACATCACACAAACAGTCGTTTCGAGCAAGGACAACGAGCATCGATTTGATTGTCCGAACTCGTCCGCAGCAGAGATGCTTCGCACACCCAAGCCTCGCAATGCTCGGAGCAAACGGGCGATGGAAGCTCGTGCGCCCCGAGACTACGAAGCAGCCAAAAAGGCCATCTTTGTCACGGGTCCTCATTCATCTCGTCTTGTAAGCTTGGCATTCAAGGATCTGGCAGCGCTCAAGAAACCAGACAATATACAATTCAACAAGAAGAACGATTGCCTGCCGTTCGAATCCTCCGGGACAGAGAGTCTGGAATTCTGGAGCGGCAAGAATGACGCAAGCTTGTTCATCGTAGGAAATCACCAGAAGAAGAGAAAAGATAATCTGATATGGGCGAGGTGTTTCGATGGGAAGGTGCTTGATCTCCTCGAGATGGGCGTGCTGCAGGGCAAGGCTATCGCAGAATTCAAGGTAAGCTCGAATGGGCAGCTATCGACTGCGTGCCAAGCCGCCTCTGGTGTATTTCTCACTGTCCCATCTTCTTGCCACTTTGACGTGCCATCAGTCGCCGTTCTCCCCAACAATTGGTTCTAGACCGCTCTTTCACTTCTCGGGTCCCCACTTCTCACCGGAAGATAGCGCAGTCGATGCAGACGCACCATTCAGTGGAGCCCTGTCCATGTGTAATTCTGGCATTCACGCATCTTTTCAGCATCTCAAATCCTTGCTGATCGATTTTTACAGGGGCGAAGAAGCACCGCCGGCCTCCGGACCGGGGGCTGTTCCGGGCGCCGCCGGCAACTCTATAGCACTCAGGGATGGATTGCAGCACATCATCTGTGTCACCGAGGGACCCGAATTGGAACTTGGCGAGGCAGATGCGCCTCATAGCGATCCCGATCTAGCCAAGCTGTATGCTGCAGGAGCTGCACAAATCAAGGACTCCAACTCACCAGCAGACACCGACACGAGCGCATCCGGCCGAATAGTCTATTTCAGGGTCTATGCTCCTCGACCAGCCGTAAAGACTCAGTCGGGCGCGACACCAAAGATTGAGCTGCACGAGGTTGGACCTTCTTTTGATTTCGTGCTGAGAAGGAGGCGACCGGCTGATGCGACACGATTGACCAATGCCCTCAAGAGACCCAGAACTGCTGCTCTGAGCAACAAGCAGGGCACGACAAAGAGGAAGAACATCCTCACGGATGATATGGGTGACATGCTCGGCAGGGTTCACATGGAGAGGCAGGATCTCGGCAAGTTGCAGACTAGGAAAATGAAGGGGCTGAAGAGGGGCAGAGGAGAAGACGATGAGGAAGACGAGGACCAGGTCGGGAATGAGGATGAGAGCGAGGACGTGGCGGATTCTGGAGAAGAAGGCTTCGACGAAGATGACATGAGGGCGGTCGTGGATGGCGAAGACGACGACGACGAAGACGACGAATCAGACTAGACTCGCGCACAGCAATTCGCACTTCCTCATTGGGTCACCATGACCTGGCGCGCGTTTGGTTGCACGTGTTGCATGCTCGACACCTTGCCGCATCATTGCTGAGCGCGAAGCGTGTGTCGAAAGAAGCATGACCCAGAAGCGCTCGCACACGCAGAAAGCGTCAAAGCTCAGCAATCTGCAGCCCTCTTTGAGGATGGCGCGAGATGACAAAGGATTTCCTTGGCAAGACGATGACGACGCTTTGTGCCAGTCGGCGCTGAGCAAAAATGGGTGACATGTGGAGTGGGGCAGAATAGAGATGTACAATGTGGAACAATGACGACTATACCACCAACGACCTGACGAGATGTGCGATGTGCAAAGATTGGCGTAGCCTCAGCATCGCCGTGCTGCGTTGTTCAGCGGAACATGGTGGATTGTTGCTGCTGCTGCGGGTGAAGATTGCGAGAAAAGGATTCAGCGTGTTGGGGGGCATGGTGGGCGACAAAATTCGTGCTGGGCGTGCTGGCAAGCACCTGACTGAATGCCTGTCCTTCGGACGGTGTAGCAAAGAATGCGCTTTGAGCTTGAGGCTGCTGCTGTTGTAGATCATAATACGAATCGTTCAGAGAGGACATTGTCGACGGCTCCGAGTATTGCATCTGCTCTCGCTGCTGGTCTTGATGCTGCAGGACAGGCTCGTCGTTGGACCGCGAGTCGGAGGAGGACCAGGCGCTGCGCGAATACATGGATCCCAATGAACCGGACAACAAAGAGGTCCAGTCGGGCACATGATCTCCCAGCATCGAAGCCAGCATCAGATCGACGGCAGAGCTAGCCGGCAAATTTTGAGAATGCTGCGCCAAACCGGCGGGTCCTCCACCATTGTAAAAGTGTTCCTCGCTTCTCGGGCCCCGATAGTCGGCAGCGCCTTGCATTTGCCATTGCGGAAGGTTCCATTCCACCTGCGCATTCGCTGGCTGCATGGATCTGGAACCGTCGCCGCTGGCCAGCCCCGCCAGGTGGTCGGGAAGGAATGAAGTGCCAGCGGGCGCAGACTGTCGCAAAGCGGATGCCTCTCGATCTTGCGCAACAGGTGCAAAGTGGGTAGATTGCTGCTGCGAACGGCCGAGGTGCGTGTCGACACCTTCGGAAATATCACCATTGAGAGATGAAGAGGTCTGGCTCTGAGTCCGTTGTGGATCATACTGAGCCTTGGCATCTTGGGTCCTCACTGACCCCAAGCCACCTCGTCGTCCCTGAGACTCAGGATGTTGGCCGCGTCGAGCCGAGACGAGATGAGAAACGGCTTGAGCAGCCGCCTTGTCCAATCGAGTGCCCTTCTCAGCGGCAGCGACGGCTTTGTGAGCTTCCATCAGCGTGGACCCGCCTTTTGCATCTGCCGCCTCTCCGACCAAGGGTAGGAGAGGTGGACCACGCTGCTTGGCGAGCAAGATGACTCTCCATTCCTCCATCGCGTCTGCCATTGCGCCGAGGATGAGCCCTGTGGTGGCCAAGATGTTTCCAGCAGCGACACGGGCGTGGACGATTGGTGCCAGTGCAGCTCTGGGACCGTTTGTACCAGATGCGAGAGCGGATTGACGAGTTGCAAAGATTTCTTGAGTGCTGCGAGCTGCTTTGGACATCATGGTGGTGATGCCGTCGATGTGAGGCGACGTTTGATGCCATCCGATGATCGTTGCTGCTTGGGATCTGCGACACGGCGGCAGCACCCGTCCCGAAACGGTCAGTGCAATGCTAGCTTCTGATCTGATAAACAGCTTTACTCACTCGGTACACGATTTAGCGCCATCGAGGAGCATCGCGCAGCTTCCAACGGTAGGGATACCGACGACATCACCGCCCACAAGGACTGCCCGCGACGCGCCTCCTTCCGCATCTGAGCGCCGCGCAAAGCTGGCATTGCGGATTGGTTTTGGAAGTTCAAAGTTGCAAATTTTGAGCCAAGATTCGATGGCGAGTTCGTTGAGATGTACCATGATGCTGTGTGTGTGATAGAGAAGGGGGACAAGTCAGCCAGATGAAGCCTGCCTTGCTGTTCGAGCTCGAGCCCTCACCTTCCCCAACGAGTAGCGTAGTAATGGATATTGGGGTCATCTCGTACAAGCCTGACCACATCCGAGGCAGCCATGGGGCGATCTACAGCCGCAGCAGCTGTAGCTCGTCGTCTAAACGCCCTCGAGCCTACGCCTACAGTCGTGCTGCCCAGCTGTTCGTGCAGCATGCCTCCAGCCCCAAAGACGACGCGCTTGAAGCCAGAATTGAGAAACATCGATTTGAAAGAGTAGGTCTCCATGTCGAGCCAGTGCATGAGTCGCTGTGTGTGAGGATTGGACTTGAACTCCGCTGAGAGCGCAGGATACCGAGGAAACAGATCAGAAATCAATCTTTTCCCGTATAGATTGCTGGACCGCATGCATGCGCGACTCACACAAGAGACGTTCGCGCGATTCGCTCAGGGCCTCTTCCTCCACCTCGAACTTGTCGCAGTGCTTGTGCACACAGCTCGAAATACCGCTAGCTGCTCTTTCCAACGCATCATCGTACAGCTTTACTTCCTGCTCCACCGCAAAAGTGTCGTGAGCAAGCGTGTGCCAAGATCGTATGATGAGCTCCAAAAAGTCGATCCTTCCAGCCAGACCCGCTCTCCCTATGGCCTGAAGCGCTCGCGATGTCCGCTCGACATCTCCATGACCACCGCCTCCAGATGCGATGGAGGAGCAGAGCACCTGCACGGCGCTCACACCTTCCGCAGCAGGCGGTGGATCCAGCACGGCGTGATCTGCGAAAGCGGCGTGTGCTCTCCAGCAGCACAGGCTGTACCACTGCGCAGCGTCATCCACCGCAGCTCTGAGCAGCGTGTCCAGCTCTTCTCTTTCCCTCTGATACCCTGATCGCTCCTGATCAGTGATCAAAGCAGAAAGCCGAGGCAGAGCCTGAATCTCCTTTTGCAGCTCCAACACTTCTTGCGGTGCGAGGTGCAGATCCATCGACCTAGCTATGCTGATCGCGACCGAAATGAAGCCTTCTCCCGTAACGCGCATCTCTGGACGCAGATGAGATCCGCGAACGCACGATGCTTGAGCTAGGACGAGCGGAATGTGCAGTGCCAAGAGCTCGAGCGCAGCAATGGCGTGCCTGTCGCGCGGAGCAGAAGCCATGACGCAGGCAGCGTCTCGAGCAATGAGCGCCATCAAAGTCTTTCCAGAGTCTGTACTCTCCCGCATCGGTTCGGAGATCAGGTAGAGCACAGCGAGCAGCAAGCCGGACCAGACTGTAGGTTTGCTCTTGTGCGCTTGGCGCAGCACGGCTGGATCGGGTAGAGCAGGCAGAAAGACCAAATGCGTTTGCATGCGGGGCTCCAGCTTGGCTGCCAGTCCATCGTTCACGATGCTCAGCACATCGTCAGGGCAATCCTTTGTGCTCAGATGCAATTTGGATCCGAAACCTTCGTGATGCTGCAGCATTTCGCTGAGCAGCATCAAGGGTCTTCGAGCGAACATCTTGGCCGACGTCATGCGCTCTTTCGGCGGCCCGAAGCTGATCCGGGTCGTCCTCGGCGCGCTGGTCAGATCGGGAAGCGTCAAGCTAGACCCAGAGATGCTGTTACCTGCCGCTAGTCCAGGGAGACCTATCCTGCGATCCAAGGGAGAGTTGGAGGCTGATCTCCTATCGCTGCTAGCAGCTGCCACGTAAGCGGAGATGGTATCACAGAATGGACCGATGAAGATGGCTTTGGATGCTCCGCTCGTAGCAGGTCCTTCGATGGGTGATCCGCCCTCGGAGCGTCTCGAAACATCAGTACCATCGGGGCGAGCGCTGGGTGGTGCGGCGGAGGAAGGGTGACGCGATAGCAAAGATGAAGCGGCAGCAGCCTGCTTGCCATGCTCCTCATCCTCACCCTCTCTCGTTTTACCCGACGTCGCCACCGAAGCCCGCTTCCTGGCTTGAGTTGCATGTGCTGCTGCTGCTGCTGGTGAGGTGTCGATGTCCTGCTCTTTTCGCTTCACACCTCGTGCTGCCGCCTCTGGGCTATTGAAAGCGCCCTCGGTGCTCTTGACGACCCCCGCAGCATGCCCTTCCCGCGCCTGTTTCTTTTGCCGCTTGAGACCTTCTTGTGAGACGATGCAGTCTACGCCTAGCGTCTTGCACCTATGGCAAGTCTTTGCAGGTGGCAATGGATCTTCGGAAAAGGGCACGGATGGGTCGGGAAGATCGCATCGGGTACGTTTGGTCCTGCACTCTATGCACGTTCTTCTTGCGTGCCCTCGTTTGCGCAACGAGCTGCTACCTGAGGCCGTGGGGGTCGAGGCTTGAAAGGATTGACTGGCTCCTATGGAGGCAGCGGGAGAAGCGCTGCTGCTGTGCGCCGAGCTGTGCATGTTTGACATCTGCGCGGTGCACCTCTCTCTTGACAGGGCGGCGAGTATGATGGATGGATGGGCTCAAGACTGATCGACGAAATCGGCTCGCTTAAGATAGTCGTCTGACGAGCAGCGATGAAGGAAGCAGTCGTTGGGACAGGTGAGAGGCCAAGAGGACTGCGAGGACTGGCGTGGGCCGAAGAGACGGAGTGGTGTTGGGGACAGAGTGATGAGTCTCAGCATGGGCAAAGCTCACAGAATGACGAATGCAGCAGCAGCAGCAGGTAATCATGCCATGCCAGTCTGAATTCATGCTCCGCGGACCTACTCACAAGTCAAAAGTATTTGCGCACCGCCTATAGACACGGGAACCTCTCTTGGCTATGACTGCATGACCGTGATTGTAGGGTGGAAGTGACCCTTACTCTGCTGCTGCTGCTGCTGCTGCTGCTGCTGCTCGGAGCCGCGCGTTACCGACTCACCATGCGAGGATGCTGTATGCTTGGGTTGCCGATGCTGATGCATGCAATGCATGCATGCATGCATCAGGGACGCTTATTAATTGCGACCCGCACTCGTGACTGCAGAGCCAGCCCGAAAGCCACAATCGTGAATGAAGAAACTCCGACTGAGCCGGGGTTTTGCTATTGGTGCTGATTGATGGGTGCTGGGGGAAAGGAGTGAAGGGCAGGGGCACGGGCACGGGCATGGGCAAGAGGAAGAGGAAGAGGAACAAAGAACTGGATAGGTGATTCGCTCGTCCAGCAGAGTATTATTGCCTTCACGATGCTCGAGTTCTGGGGGGCCTGGCCTCTTATGCGCAGATCGTCGACATCATAAGAGCCACGAGTCTGGAATCACAATGGTGGATGGACGCGCAAAGTTGTAGGCCCTAAAAAGCCGTGCTCGATCGTGTCCAGGTTGACTTGAGAGTGGGCGTGAGAAGGTGGCTCATGCGAACCATATGCAGAAGAGCAGCGCGGGATTGACGATTGTGAGTCCGTACGTCTGGATTGCCGCGATCCAGACGTCACACATACACACACGCGCTTACACGCACAGCAATCACATTGCGCAGATCAATCGTGAATGTCTTGCTCGCCCGCACCTCGCACACGTACGTCCGGCCACCCTTGATGGTATGCTCTCAGCTGACCAAAGGCTCTCACAAGCGGCAAAGACGGCGGAGTGCAGCGCGACTTAATTGGATCCCACAGCATGCAGCTGAATCTTTGACAGCGAGATCGAATCTTGAATCAGATGGATCTCAATGCGAGAGGCTTACTGAAGCCATTCGAGGCAGTATGAGATATATAGAATTGCATCGGTACTCCCATGTGTACTTTACCCTGGTCGTCAAGCGAGGCTTGCTTGGCGTGCACAATCAAGTCTCAACGTTCCGGCCTAGGCTTCAACAAGAAGCGAAGTACAGGATATCACATTCCGAATGTATTGTTTAACGGACCATGTCTTCTGTGCGTCGGCGAGACCTGTAGAGCGTAGTAATCGAATGAAGGACATGAAAAGCTACACTTTCGACTTTGAATACCCGTTGGAGTGCTCCATGTGTTGTGCGTAGCCACGTATGCAACAACCAGTACTCGATGGCGCAGCTAGAGACCTCAGCTCTGCCATTCACGTTTGTTTCTTTCCCTTTTTCCTGTGCGGGTAAAACTTGACACGAAGGCTTCATATGACTAATGTGTGCCCTGTGCAGGGATACGAAGATGGACCATGAGGCAGCCAGGCACAAGCTTCATGGCAGCACCGGAGGGCCATGACCCACGCATGTGCTCGCTCGATTTCAATGGAGCGCTTTCGCCGCAGCCGTGCTTAAGTGACCCCGTTTTAGGGTTAGGGTAGTCTAAAAATGGTTGCACGTGCGTTGGGTCAGCCCTTTGCAAAGTCCACCATCACCATCATCGTCATTCGCGCATGCAGCACCCACACGCGCCACAGCAGCATATTTCCCGGACGCGGCTCGGCTGAAGCATTTGAAGCCATGGCTTGCAAGCTTGTGTCTCGGGCTGCGACGCGCTGCGAGCGCGCCGAGACAGCATTGACGGTTGCTCAATTAATGCGCAACCATCAAGTCGTGATGAGTCATCTCGGGGGAAATGTTTTTTGCTGCATGGTCGGATCCGAAGTGTTCGAAGATGTGCACGTTGCGAGTTGTATTCTGGCAGCAGTGGATCAAGTCGCGCAAGCTGCCGACTGAGTTGGTCAAGTCTCGCAAGTGACAGTCGGGAGGGGCGAGGCAGGTGATGTGCAAGTCCATCGAGCGCATACATTCAGCACACTCGTTCAGTGCATGTACTCTGGCACATCATTCACGATTCGCTGAGCCACCAAAACTCAAAGTGCTCGCACCATCGCCCCGGCGTCCTGCACATCAAAAGGGAAGGAAGCACCGTGAAGGTTTAGAAAGCCTCGATGCAGGCACCCCGCACTCGATGCACCAACCATTCACTCACTCGATCCCTCGAGGCTACATCAAACAACCTCTAATCTTCCCAGTCGGAAGTTGCGGAAGCTACAGCGATGACCAAATAATTTGAGCTCCAGCCACACGAAGCAGTGCCGGAACATGACCTTTTTGACAAAGATTTGCGTCCGCTGCTGATCAGTCTCCTCACTACGGTGCGCTAATGAGGTAGCCGAGCCGAATTGTTCGAAATGCGGTGCGAGTGCTGGTGAGTGAGTGAGTGAGTGAGTGATGAGTGTGTGTTTGCAACGTCGGCCCGTTCCCACGCCGACCGCATCGCTTATTTCCCGCGGAGATCCGTAGCTTGCCTCTCGTGACGCCACGGCAAGCGCCACGTACAGTCACGAGTGCTGGTGAGTCTGACACTTTCTTCTTGCCTCGCGCGCGCAAAACACACCTCCTCCACCATCACCCAGCACCACTGTTGCGGAGCGCTTCAGCACCTGGCCTATGCGCCATTCGCTTTCAGACTCGAGTCCTAATCGGAAGCTCGTGCAGCAGCGTCTGCTCGGCTGCGTGCTGACACATATCTGGACACGTCGGCAATCACGATTGCTTGTCGCCTTGTCGGCCGGGTGCTGACCACCTTCTCGGACCGAACGGGCTCTCCTTCACCCATCAGCCACTGGCTCGAAGCTACGTGAAGCATGTCACTGCTCTCTCCCATTCACGAGCGACTAGTCTCGAGGAGCCCGGCACTGGTGCAGGACACAGCGACAGCGACAGGTTGGACTTTGCTGGATTATGTCGCTGCTGCAGGCTTGGGTTGGTACGTGGTGATATGGAGCATCTCCATCCTCGGTCTGCGAATAGCCAAGAGGCTCTACACTCCTCCTATTCCCACATCGCCCCTCTCTTCGCTGCGAGCAGGTCAGCGGACGCCAAGCTCCGGGGTGGAAAGTGCAACGCCCGCAGCGCCAGGCGTCTCCATCCTTCGACCCCTTGCTGGCCTGGATCACAACCTTTGGTCAAACCTGGCTTCGTCTTTCGAGCAAAGGTATCCAAAAGACTCGTTCGAGATCATCTTGAGCGTAAAAGATGAGCAGGATCAGGCATTGGAAGTGGCCAGAGATGTGGTTGCCAGGTATCCGCAAGTGCAGAGTCGCATCGTCATTGGTGAGCAGCGAGTCAGCGTCTGCTTTTGCGTCAGTCGGGACATGAATGGCCATCCTTCCTCGCTGCGGCCTTGCTGACCCGTCGACGCTGCTCCATGCGCACATGCATCCACCCTCAGGCGACGAGGAAGCAGGAGTAAATCCAAAGATCAACAATCTGGTCATTCCCTACAGCCTGGCCCGGTTCGACATCATTTGGGTGCTGGATTCCCAATGTTGCCTCTCTACGACGGCGCTAGGTCGAGCAGTGGACGCTCTGACGCACTCTACGCCTCCCGTTCCCTCTCCGCGCTTCCTTCGGCGTCTCTCCATCTTTGGCGGCTCAGCCTATGCACGCACATCCGGCTCCAACGCCAAGGTAGGATTGGTTCATCACGTTCCTCTCGCCACTTCCGCTTCGAACAATTGGGGCTCGCAAGTGGAACAGGCTTTCTTATCCACCAATCATGCGAAAATGTACCTCGCTCTAAACGCGCTGGCCATCGATAGCTGCGTCATGGGCAAGAGCAACTTGTACAGGAAGAGCGATTTGCAACGAGTGCAAGACGAATTTTTCGGTGTGGATGAAGGAGGTACTGGAGGAGAATCAGGCGCTATTGGGAGCAGCGCTTTCGAAGCGGACGCTGTTCGCCATGCGGCCTCGTCCCTTGGCTCGTCCACGGCCAACAACGATTCAGGACCAGCAGGATCGCAGGAAATGGGCCTCAACGCTTCGGTCTCAAAGACGACGTCTAGAGCCCTGGCTCGCTTCTCCATCTTTTTGGCAGAGGATAATATGCTGGCTCTCTCCCTATGGCGTCCACCGTTATCGCTGCACCACGTAGTCTCGCCAGGCGATGCTGTGTGCACCTCTGTGGGTGGCATGAATAGTCTGTGGACGTACGCGAGCAGACGAATGAGGTGGATAAGGGTGAGGAAAAGAATGGTGCTGGCTGCGACCATTGTCGAGCCTTTTACAGAGAGCATCGTCGCCGGCTTGGTAGCTCTCTTTTCCCTGAGAAGACTGCTGCGAGCTTCCTCCCACCTGTCCGCGGATCGCACAGAAGAGAATCACCTCAACGCCACCAATGTCTGGTCTGTCGTGTTTTTCTTGACGCATGAGCTGGCTTGGCATACGATCGATGCGGCTGTCATGAAGAGCTTGAGAAGAGGAGAAAGTCTACCACCTGACCAAATGCCAAGATTCAGAATAGCTTGGATCATCAGGGAATGCCTCGCCCTTCCCATCTGGATCTGGGCAATGTGCGGCAGTACGGGTGAGTGTAGTGGCCACCTGCGAGCGGCCACACCTCGAAAACGTCACAGTCCATGTGCCTGCCTCTCGCTCTTCCTTGGCTGGTAAATGGCCATCCACATTTTACTTACCATCATCTCTTCCTCTCTCCTTCTGGGACCACTTTCAATAGTCACTTGGAGAGATCAGAGGTTCAGGATTTTGCCCAACGGCAGAGCGGCACACGCTGCTGCTAGCCCCACGCCCTTCTCTTTCGCCGCGTCTTGGCTGGGCCTCCCACGTCGTAGCAAGAAAAACTACTCGAGGCTCGACAACGACTAATTGATGGCACCTAGCCGCGAGCACAACTGCACTCCAAAGCGCTCCTGTCTTCGCGCCGATGATGTTTGCCGAGGCGAGCACCACTGACAACGCTGTATCAATATCATCTCTTCATTTCACCAACGTGATTTCATGAACATAAGAAAAGAAAAGACGATGGTGGACCTTACAGGGCGATCGAGGTGCGCGGGACTCGTGTGCGCTCTACTAGGAAGATCGCAAGACTAGTGGGAGCACGTAGAAGGCTGTTTGTACCGTCGATCATCCATCGTCTTCCGGCTTTGGTCGCTTTCGTCCACCTGACGAGCGACTGCGGCAAATGCGGAGAGAACACGCTCTGTGGTATTGAGCTGCGCGCGCTTCAGAAGAGCGCGCGACGCTGCTTGAGCTAAAGATGGGTTCAAGTGAAAGCTGTTAGATCAAGCCTCTGCTCGACTCGAGGCGATCAAACTCGGACGCCCGCTTCGCCTCGTATCTCACCTCGAAGAAGGACAGATGCGCCGCGCGAGATCTCTTGCGCAGGGGAATGGGAACGTCGTACGAGGAGCCGTAAGCGCCTCTTTTGCGCCTTGTACCCGCGCTCGGCTTGCTCGAGCTTCTGCGCCGACGCTGCGGTTCGTGATGCTCTTCGTCGGCGCGAGGATGAGGATACGAGTCGCGTAAATACCAATGCTTCTCCTCCTCCTCCTCCTCCTCGTCACGCTCTGCGAGATGGTGCGCATCGGAGCCAGAGGCGTGTCGACGATGAACGTGATGGTCCTCGCCGTCGCCGCGAGAACGTTCGTGTAGGTCGTCGAGATGCTCGCTCAGCTCATGATGATGATCGTCACGGGCGTCGGAATGGTCTCCACGGCGATGCAGCTCTTCGTGGACTGCTTCCTGTCGACCATCATACCCTTCTGCCTGGTGAGCGTCATCGTGGTGACGTTTGTGGACGCTGTGTACTTGCTCCGTTCCATCGTTCCCGTGAGAGCGCTCGTGTAGGCGGTTGGCATGATCCTCCAGCGCACCATGGTGAACGTGATGAGCGTTGGAATGGTCTTTGTGACGATGCATTTCTTCGTGCGCCGCTTCGTGTCGCCCATCGCTCTCTGCTACATGGTGGGTCTCAGCATAATGAGGTTTGTGAACTTCGTGCTCGGAAACGTGCCGCTTGACGTGCCCGTCGCGATGCTCTTCACCACGCTCTGCATTCTCTTCTGCATGCTCGTGTCGCTTATGGCGCTGCTGCTCTGCTGCTCTGCGGTTGCGATCTTCCTCCGACAGTTTCCCTGTCAAGCTGTGACCGTGGCTCTTGTGCTCGTCACCTTTCTTGTCGTCCTGAACGAGGGACGCCAGACCGTCTGCCTCTTTCTCTCGCTTCCAATGGTGTTCTTCGGCATCTAGACGCTGCTCGTGCTCTTTCCTCCTCCCACCCCCATCTTCGGCATCACCTTCTTCCGATGTGCTCCCACCTCCTGCGCCTTTCGATTCTTCGGTCGAGCGCTCAACCAGCTGTTCGAGTTTCTCATGCGGGACGTGCTTGCGGACGACTTTGTCTAGCTCTTCTGCAGACCTCTCATGCAGTGGCAAAAGGTCCCGTAAGTGTAACTCGTGGTCGTCGTTGTGATGCGCGCGTTCCTCTTCTAATCGCTCGTGCTCCGTTCGCTCATGCGAGCGCGCGATGAATGTATGATGACCGGCATCGTGGTGCTCTCGACGGTGAAGCCCGCCCGAGTGATCCTCGTAGTAATCATGACGACCGTGGAGATGCTCAATCTCTGGATAGTCGTGGTGTCGCTCGGATGCGTGATGCTCATCCTCGCCGTAAGCATATCGACGGTGTAGATCGTACTCTGCATCTAAATGCGCTTCTGCGCCCGATTCATGGCGGTTCTACATATTCATGAAGACGAAGGGAGGATTGTCAGAAGACTTTTCGCATGCCATTCGTCTCGTACTCACCGCAAGTTCGTCTTCATGCATCGCTTCTGCCATGGCTAGCTCGAAAGAGCGTGGAATGACCGGGTGCGCAGAAGACACCATGACAAGAGCAAGGAGCGCCGCTAGGCTGGCCAAGGACTTGTTGAGTCTCATCGTCGTCGCTGATTTTGAGGAGGTGGGTATGTTGAGACGTGATTGGGAGATGCTCGAAGCCTAAGAAGCGCTTTGAGGAGGCAAATGTGGAAGTCTGTGAAGCGCTGATCAACAGCGGTAAGAACGACGCGGGTGCTTTATGACGATGCCAGACCTGCCTCGCTGTGGAAAGCTAGCGCTTTATAAAGCCCTCATTCGCGGCCTCACCTTGGGCCAGGGGCAGCGCGTGTTGTCAGACCGATGCCACTCACTTCCGCAGAGCGCCCACTTCGCGAAAGCAATGGTGGCAATGACAATTCTCGTCACCTCAAACGCCTTTCCGACGGCCTGAGCCTCGAGCACACCTTCAGCCTTACTCGAGGCCTCTCCACAATGACCACGAAGGTATACGTCGTGACAAAATGTGGCGTCCGCCGGGTGAGCTAGGTGCCGCAGTGTGAGTGTTGGTTCAAAGGCCTACATGTATGAACCTTGGCAGCGGCAGGCTCGCGGGGAGCGTAGGACTCGCTTTCACCGCGGGGCAATACACGTCGGCGCTTTGGCGTCGGCGTTAACGCGGCGCCGATGAGAAGAGAGAGGCAGAGAGTACGTCACTGCCCACATCAGAGGTTCCGAGAGCTGAGCGTGCTCGTCGGCGTTAAATGAACTTCATGACGCCCTTTATATAGGTCCCTGATGCAATTCTTGCTGAACGCGATCAGCCGTAGTCATCGCCGCCCCCGTGACCGGCCATATAGCGCTTTTCCTACGTGCTCTCGACTCAACTCGTCTCTGCACTCCTGGCTAGACGGTTCGGATAGGGGCAGCAGTCAATGTGCACAAACAGAGCCGTAAGCGGTGGTGAGTGATGAGCAGGAACATCGGCAATCACTGAGTCGGTGCCACCGAAAGTAGTGCGAAGCCTCTCACGCCAGGCCGGATGGCAGTATGCAACGAGCCCAGCAGAGGAGACTTCCAGAATTGATTGGTGGCAAAATGCTTTCGCGCACGCTCGAGGTGTATGTACAAAGTCGATGCCAAGTAGAAGGCCGCTACCTAGCATATGTCCGAGGGCGTAGGCCCCTCTCGCGCCAGGGACTCAGCATTCGTAATCAGAAGTCGCCACCGCCATCGTCGCCGCCGCCAAAGTCACCGCCATCTTGACCGTCGTTGTAACCGTCGGCGTAAGCATCATCTTGAGCGTTGTCGAAGGAGTTGGCAAGCATTGCACCACCAAGCACTAGAGATTGAACAAAGCGGCACGACCAGGTCAGTCGATGCATTCGGGTCTGGACCACGCCTTTCTACTCACTACCAGCTCCAAGACCGAGCGCAGCTCCACCGCCAGCGCCCAAGCCGCCTCCAGGTCTTCTGCCTCCTCCTCCAAACATGCCACCACCACCACCACCAAATCTGCCTTGTTGCATAGGTTGTTGCGCATACATGGGTTGTTGGGGGTATCCCTGCTGAGGATACTGGCCGTACGGTTGTTGGCCATACGGCTGCTGGCCGTACTGAGGCTGTTGGCCGTACGGGACCTGTTGTTGAGGGTATCCTCCACCTTGAGTGGGGGGAGGTCCCGTAGGAGGAGCGTAGTTCTGCGCGCGATTTGAGCCTCCTTCGTCGTTGGGGTGAACCCAAATCGACCTCGGTGGATTTGCTCGTGTGTCTACGAAAAAGTTGCGGCTGTAGCTGTTCAAGGAGAAATGAGGGGCCATCAGAAGCAGGGTCGGTGGTAAGCCTTTGCACCAGAAGCGCGCTCGCGATTATCGCAACCGTGTCCGCCAAATCGCGCGCGACTCCAACGGCCTTCTTGACCGACCACAGGATAATGCTGCGTCACGCCTTGATCGCTCCAAACTCACTTGCTGTCCCACTGCTTGATCCAACCCTCTGGCAACGGCCTATCATCTCCTCCACCCTTGTTGTCGCTGCTGGCGTGATTCTGGCTCTGAGGGCTTTGGGGATATGCAGAGGGAGATGAAGGATATCCGCTCTGTTGAGGATAGCCACCTTGTTGAGGATACCCACCTTGCTGAGGGTAGCTGTTCTGAGGAGGATATCCGCCGCCGCCGCCGCCGCCTTGGTAAGGTGGCGGTCCTCCACCCGCTTTGCCAGCTAACTTGTCTAGAAAGCCCATATTGCGTGTGAGCGTGTGTGCAGTGATGAGCTTCGAATGGTGCTTGCGATTACTCGATCAGAGGGCCTCGACGTTTGACTTTGCGTGTCAAGGTGTGGGTAGGCTCGAAGTCAGTTGTCGAGTACGCCACAAGGCTGAGGAGGATGGAGATGGCGTGAGGTTGCAGCGCTCTGGATAGCCTTGCCCGCTTGCGGACCATCCATCCGATTCCGTGCTTCGCGGAAGCGCGTGCGCTCGCTCGATCGCTCCACATCATCGTGGATGCGCGCGCGGGCGCGCCTCACGTTCAGATTCGTCGCTGCTGCATGCATGCACGCCAAGAGAAGCTGAGCGAGTAGGTGTCTCTCTCTCTCTCTCTCTCTCTTTCGGGCCTCGACTTGTCAACGTTGAATGTCTGGAACATCCGTGACTATTCGTGATTCTTCAGTCTGAGCCTCCTCCCACGCCTTTTTCTTAGCGCACCAACGCGCGGCGCGCTGCAGCGACACGACTTGGCCATATCATGCCGCTGATGGATGGATAGACGTGCACCGCCACGCTCTACTCCACACTTTTGACTGTATGATGGCTGCTTTGCGATCGATGCGATATCTTTATAGGACACGCGCGATAAGCAGCAGCACTCACGACTCGCGCGTGACTCACACTCATGGCCGCATGCCCACGGGCAAGCATGCACGCTCCCATGCGACGGACATGTCGACTTCAGAATGCCAAACGACCCACCAATAATATTCTTGACTATTATACCGATACTTCATATGACATCCTCATTTTATGCCTCGTGAGTAAGGACCTATTGCCGACCCACCAAAAAATCATCACAGCACTAGCGCACGAGCCTTGTGGAGTATCGCCGCGAACGAGGGAAGGCGTGCCCAGCTCCGGGTGATACTTGCCATTCTGGTCGGATGCCAGCTCAAGTGCGCTGCCGCAACGCACAGAAGGCAGTCAATTAGGTCTTTGCCTCATGTTCAAGAGACCACATTGCAGCGCATCTCAGAAACTCCCAAGTAGATCCAGCGCCTGACCACCTCTACTTGAAGCATTTGGTCCTTTCAGCTCTCCTTCCAAGAGCATTCCTTCTCTGTCTCTGACACTGATCGCGCAATACGGCTGCATTCCAACAGATAGCGGGATCGATTGCTGGAAGGTTGTAGTGACATCCTACCATACAATATAAGGCATGGCGCACTCCGGCCCGCGGCCTGTGCCGGCTAATGCAGGAGCTTCCTCAGGCAGCTATAGAGAAGCGGTCCCGGAATACGCGCCATCTCCTTCACTTCGACCAGCCCTACCCGCCCCCTCTCATCTTCCTAAGCGAGTGTTTGTGGGTAGCATAGTGACTCCTGTCAACTTGACTCACCTCAGACTCATAGAGCGCGGTATCCTGGGCGTCGGAACGGGCGGGGTGATTCGGTTCGTAGAGGATCTGGCGGAGGTGGAGCTGAAGCTGGCTCAAGAAGAGGCGCGACAAAGCGCCTTTGTGGCTGAGGAGGAGGCGAGAGGTCGATCGCAGCACAGACAAAGCCGTGATCAGTTCAAGTCTCATGCTGGGACGGATGAGGACAGCTCAGGGCACAGCGATGACGAGAGCCATGAGGAAGGAGGGACCACCCCCGGGGCGCCTGCGAGGAGTATGACTCCAAAACCGCTACCAGTGCTAAGTAATGGCAAGACACAAACGTCGCAGCTTCCCACTACCTCTACGCGGGATGTATCAGCCGGCGGTCTTCAGAATGGTTCAAAGCGAGAAGTGTCGCTCCCACCCCCTGCATTGCCGACGGACATGCCACTGGACTGGACGACTCAGACCGCTGCTGCACGCGAAGCTTCTGCATCGCGGTCGCGCTCTGTGGGCATCGGACTGCCACCCTCCCAACAACAAGCACTGGAGAGGAAAGCCATTCTCTACGTGGTCAAGTCACACGGATGGAACATCGCAGATTGCGAGGTCGTGCGTTTAGATCCAGGTGCATTCTTGCAGCCGGGCTTCATCGATACGCACACGCACGCATGTCAGGTACCCAATCTTGGCCTTGGTCAGCAGTACGAGCTGCTAGACTGGCTACAGCACGTCACTTTCCCCAGAGAAGCGCGCTTCGAGGATCCTGTGTATGCACGCAAGACTTATGACAGCGTTGTCCAGCGGCTGCTGGACTCGGGCACTACGTGCGCCGCCATCTTCGCCACAATTCATCGTGAGTCAAGGGCATACCCTTCGGACCCTGCTTCTATGCTGACCCGGCTACTATCCACCCGTTTGCAGAGGAGGCTACGTCTATTTTGGCGGAGATCTGTAATGACAGGGGAATGCGCGCCCTTGTGGGTAAATGTGCAATGGACAGGAACGCTCCTATCAATTACATCGAAAAGGTCGGTATGCATTCCCATCAGAGGTCTACCGATGCCTTGACTCCCGCTGACTCGGCGTCATTTGTCGCTGCGCAGAACGCTAGCGTATCTCTCGAGGCGACGAAGACTTTCATAAAACACGTGCGATCCTTACGACCGCATGGAGAATATCCTGACGCCTTGTCGCCAACAATGACCCCAACGCATACTTCCGGATCCCCAGAGATGGACGCCAGCATTGCCCGCCTATCGGCGACGATGTCTGAGATAATGAGCAGCGGCGACGCTAAGGAGCGACCTAAGAGTTGCGATCGACACAACGACGCCCTGCAACTTTCAACGGGGACATCGCCTCCCGAATCTCACGTTGATTCGGGGAGATCTGAGAATAAAAGGCTGTCGCAATCTGCAATTCTTGATAAGCAGCTGCCTTCCTCTGGCTGGGCTTCGCATCGAGTCGAGCGTACAAACAGAGCCAGTGCGCCCTCGTCCGCCGCGCTGACTCGTAATCACAGCAGCAGCCGGTCATCCCACAAGCCAAAGATCAGCGCCCCTCTCGTTCAACCAATATTGACACCGCGGTTTGCGATCTCTTGCAGCGACTCGATGCTCGCGAGCATTGCTGCGCTTTGGTCGCGGGATCCATCTCTCCGTATCCAGACACACTTGTCCGAGAATGAAGGCGAAATCGCATTCACCAAAAAGCTCTTCCCCTTCGCGGAAAACTACACGAGCGTGTACGAGCACTTTTCGCTTTTGACTCCAAGAACGATTCTAGCTCATGCCATACATCTCGAAAGTTCCGAGATGGATCTCATTCGAAAGCGAGACTGCGGAATCTCGCATTGCCCGAACAGCAACTTCAATCTACGCTCAGGCACGAGCCGGATCGGAGAAATGCTGAACAGGGGGATCACCAAGATCGGCCTCGGCACAGATGCAAGCGGCGGCTTCGGACTCGGTATCTTGAGCGCGATCAGGGAAGCGAGCGTAGTTGCCAAGGTTCTCAGCTTTCCACAACGCGGCAAGCAAGAAGGTGAATTGTTGACAGCTCAAGGTCTCGGAGACTGCGCGCCAGTCGGCTTACTACTCAGGAAGGCGAAGGAGCAAACGAAAGAGTCGGAAGAGCCGCGTACAAGCCGAGAGCATCAAACGCCTCCTGAGGATGGCAGACACCCCATGCCTCCTGTGGACCATCAGCACAAAGTCAAGAGACCCGCCATCACGCAGAAGGGCCCTGCTACGCCCAGCGGCGCGGCGACGACTCCTCGAAAGACGAGTGTCAGCACAACTGGAAGTTCCACCAGCAGTCATGCGAGTGACTCTGCGAGCACGTCTGGCACGTCCGCTGCTGAAGAGGAATCTCAGCTCGGAAGCGATGAAGGGAAAAGCACAAAGGCTACGCTGCCTGAGGCGCAGGACGGTACCCCGACAGACTTTTGCGCCGGGCCCCTGAGCATCGCTACGTTGTTCTACCTCGCCACTCTCGGAGGCGCGCACGTGTGCAGCTTGGCGGACACGATCGGAAGTCTAGACGTAGGCAAGGTGAGGGAATAGCAGCGCGAGGTCGGGCCAACAGAAATTTTGGTGCTGAGGACTTGCCTTTTGTTCCCGCGACGTGTTAGGAATTTGATGCCCTTCTGATCCGGACCACCTCAAATTGGGATCCGATCAAGGGCTACAGAGGCTGTCCCAACCTCTTCATCGAGGAGGAGGACACCATCGAGACTCGTCTAGAAAAGGTGTGTACTCCGAAGCTGGGTCTCGCTGTGGAGAGTGCATGCCTAGAAGCCATGTGTATTGCACTGATGCCTTCCGTTTTCGACCAACGTAGTTCCTCTTTTGTGGTGATGATAGGAACATCTCGTCAGTCTTCGTGCGAGGTCGATGTGTCGGCGGGGCGGATCCCATCAGCTGAGCGTTGACGCACGAGATGGATGAAGAGATCACGAGGAGGAGAGAACTGCAAGTGCGCATCGCAGAACGATAATGTACAATAATACTGCAGAGCGGAATCGTGGTACAACATTGGACGACGATTCATGGTGCGGAACTCGAATGCCGCTCACATCATGACTTCGATACGTTTGACGTTCAGATGATTCTGTACTTGGTTCGGCGCAAACCACCGGATATCCCGCCGCCACCAACGCCCAAGGCAGGCCTTTTCCTCTGCAGACGAGCAAAGGCCTCTTGGATGTGGCTGAGATCCAGTCCTGAAGTTTTGATGGGGGGCATGGTGAAGAGCGTGCAGGATTCGTCGTGGTCTGCTCGGCTCGGAGAAGCACGCATAGCTTGAGGAGCTTGAGGCGACGAAGCTCTACCGATGTTCTCGTGCAGATTGAGTGCAGGCGTCGAAGCCGATGTAGTCATTCCGCTCAAATGCGCGCGCCTCTTGTTGGGAGGGAAAGCGACACCTACAGTGGGACCGTTGAGTCCCGTAGGATCCGAGCTGGACTCTATCATCTTTCGCTTATGGGGACTTGTGGAGAACGATCGATCGGCGCTTGTTCCCATGACGCCTTGTCGAGCTTCCGCGTCTCCAATGTTCTCGCTCGCGCCATCCTTGCCATCGACGAGTCTGCTGCTTCTTTCGACTAGCCCGGCTCTTGCCTGCGCATTCCCACTGCGAAGACGCTTCTCTCGCCCCAGCCCTCGCTTCTTCTCTTCAGTCTGTTCTTCGATCTGTTGCTTGATCTTCAACGCTCCTTCGCACAACTCCCGCACTACTTCGAAAGCCAAGAATCCGAGAATGTCAATCATGTCGTCATTGGGCTTGCCATCTAGGTAAGCACCTGCATTGATGAATTCTCTGAACTTTTTGGCTTTGGGTGGGGGATCCAGTCAAAGTCAACGTTTGGTAGAGACGAAGTGCTCTCATCTTCGATGTAGGAGACTCACCCTTGCGGAAGGTGAAGGAGGCTTGACGACATTCTGAATAGTGCACGTATTCGTCGCGAGTCATCTTGCGCGTCGCCTCATCAGCATCCTATCAGGCAGGGCAAAGCGAACAGGTCAGTCTTGAGATGATAAGTGGCACGAGGCTTTCGCCGAGCAGGTCTAGCTCAGAGTCGAGGCCCACTCACCTTTAACCGTTGCAAGCTCTCCTCGAGCGCCTCGACGTCCTCCTCATCCTCTTCGTCTTCCTCCGCAGCATTACTGACCAGATGTTCGGTGAACACGGTGCTGATTTCCCAAGGTAGACGGATCTTTTTCGCTCTCGTCTTGGGTACAGCATCCGCTCCTTCCTCTTCAGGTCCCGCAGCGGCAGCATCACCACCTTCCGAATCCTTTGCATTCTTCCGTACATCCTTCCAGCTCAAGTAGGTCTTCAGCCTGTTCACCTTGGCCCGATCATCCCTGATCAAGAAGATGAGATCCTCCGCATTCACGAAACGCGATCCTCTTCGTTGAGATAGCGCTCTGGATTGGATGATCAGCTCCAGCACCTGACTTCGCACGATGTCCTCCACCAACTTGACGACGTCTGGATGCGGATCAGAAAGATCGGCAAATACGAACATCTGTCACAGGGAGCAGCAGCTAGGATCAGTCGGAACGTCGAGCATGCAGCATGCAACTTGCAACTTGCAGCTCGAGCAAGGGCTTTTGATTCGAGATGACTTTGCTCGCTCGTGCGTCGCTGAACTCACCATCTGCGAAATCTCTTGCGAGTAGCGGTACTCATAGGTTGAAGCCATGTTGGTCTCTCTGGCACAGTTTCACCTAGAGGCTGCGATTCGAGGACAAGGAAGACTAATCGCAGCGCGGTGGGAGAGCTCACTGAAGCATGCAGCCTTGCCAAGCCGGATCAGCAGCTGTCTAATTGTCCGAGACGTTGCGTCTGGAGACAAAAGGGGCTCAAAACTGAGCGTGGAAAGAGAGCCACGGTCCTGATGAAATCTCGATGCGTTATGCGCATACGTGTGCTTGTGCTGCCCTCTACGGACGAGAATACATGGACGAGCGTTGGATGCCGAGAGTCGCAAGGGCGGTCAATCCGGAAAAGTGATGGTGGATGCTGAAGCACGCCGAGTCCAACGCTTCACGCCGGCATGCGCGCGCGGATCAAGGTCGGTCGCGCATGCGTGGGACGTCGCGAACAGACCTGCAAGCTCCACTTTGGAGATGGAGCGCCGCCTGAACCTCTTGAATAGTATCGACCTGCAGAATGTGGCACCCTTCGAATGGTTCCGGGGGCAAAGCTGTAAAGTCTGACGAAGAGGGCATCAAGCTCGTCGACCGTGCACACCCCACCAGTGCCCCACAGCGAGGTCAACTGCACTGGACTCGAACCTTCACATCGCTCCTACGTTTGCGGGTCCAGCTCAAAGCACAATACGGAAGCCGACTTGCATCATGCCGACGTCGAAAGCCCGCGATGCTTTCCTCCCCCGATTTCGTAAGACTTGCAATGCCTCTTGCGCCGCGGGCCCATCACGCACAAAAGCGGCAAGAAGTAAGAAGACTCTGGACATTGAGACACCGATGTGGATGGAACGAGCATCGCTTCTTGCTACACGATTTGAATTCTTGATAGAGAATTGGATGGAGGAGAACGATCAGTGGTGGAGCGTGTGTGAGAGAGGCAAAGTCGAACAGATCTGACCCTCGAGTATGTGAGTGGGAGGAGGCGAAGATGGAGTATGGCATAGTCGCACTTCTGCAGCAGCACCCCGTATGTTTCCTGGTCCAGCTGCATGCACACAGCTCTCTCCCGCAAATCGATTCCTAGCCATCTGCATTCCTCAAGCATCAGCAGAGCACCGGACATGAATGTCCGCGCGGCATCGACCATTCTCCCCGTCCTTGCTCTCTGCTCTCCACACGTTCCTAGTGATGGGCCCTTTTTATCGCCGTTGCCTTCGCATTGCCGCCTCCTCGCCCGTCGCACAAGCCTACTTGAGAGTCACTCGCATCGACTCTGGTGAGAGCGGCGTGAAGTTGTGGACATCGATACCTCTGCTGAGCAATTCCGCTTCGGCGTGAGGAGGCACCAACTTCGAGATGAGGTCAGGTCGAATGGAGAGCTCTGTGGCGGAGCGGGAGAATCGAGGTTGCGTGAGCACTAATGTGCGCCTTGAAAATACACGTGCGATTATCACTTACCCTCTTTCGTGAAGTTGAAGAGCGGCGGCATGTCACGGCCGTTGGGCATGCGACCTTCGCCGGTTCGGAGCTCGTCAAAGAACGGCTGGGTCAAGGCCTCGATTGCGGTAAATCTGGCGCTGGGCGTGTACTCTAGCAAGCGGCTGATTAGGTCGATGGCATCGGTTGGGGTCCTGGGTCGGAAGACCTTGCTGAAAGGGTGCGGTCTGATTTGCGGGAATTTGTGCTCCATGTAATTGGGGTTCATCGTCTTGATTTGTTCCCTAGTAGGGGTTCCTAACACTTTGATGATCTCCACAAGCTGATCAATACCACTCTCTCCAGGGAACAGAGGCTGTCCTTGCATGAGCTCTGCCATTACGCAACCGGTGGACCAAATGTCTGGAAACGTATTGCGTGCCGCATCAGCATCGTGCTTGAGCGCAGTAGCTCGAGTGTACACTCACCAATGTTCGTCGTGTAGTTTGTGGCTCCAAAGATCAGCTCTGGTGCTCGGTAGTAGCGTGAACAGATGTAAGAGACGTTAGGTTCGCCCGCAACGAGGATCTTCGCTGAACCGAAATCGCAAAGCTTCAAGACTCCAGTGAGCGGGTTCAAGAGCAGATTCTGCGGCTTGATGTCTCGATGGCAAATGCCGATGCTGTGAATGTAGGCCAAGCTTCTAAGCAATTGGTACATGTAAAGCTTGATCAGCAGCATGGGCATCGTCTGCTTCAATTTGGCGTAGTGTCTTGAAGCGCGGTAGACTGTCTCCGGGACAAATTCAAGCACAAGATTGAGGAAGACTTCGTCCTTCTTGTCTCCATTGGAATAGAAAAATGCACGCAGATCTACGACGTTTGGGTGCGCAACAATCCTCATGATCTGTAACTCTCGGTTCTACAGATTTGAAAAGCAGCGAGAGACCTACAGTGAGCGAGCGAGCTTGACGTAACGGGCCGTACAGCCTGATCCGGTCTCGCAGCTGATGCGCAAGCTCTCACGCCTGTAGCGCAGCTCATCTACATCATCGTGCACACACGAGCCTCACCTTGAATCGAGCGTCCTGCAGGACCTTTTTGATGGCCACATCTTCTTGTTCCTCCTTTGGTGTTTTAGACGCCTCTCCAGCACCTGCGCTTGCTCCGGCACCCTCTACGAGATTTCCGTTCCCTCCGCTGACTAGTCTAGCTTGGAAGACCACACCAAAGGATCCATTGCCGATCAGCTTGCAATTCGTGTAAGCCAGCTCACGCGGCTCGCCGCTCTTTCCATCCTGCGCTGACACGCGGATCACTTTTTGGCCGTCATCCATCGCTGCGGGGATAGGCGGGCTAAAGGAGTCAGAACGGACGACCAAGCTGAGGACGAGCTAAGTGCATCGCATAGCAGACGACTAGTAGCACACTCGCGGACCAGTTTAGCTGCTGACATGACAAGGGCTGAGTACAGCCCGAAACGCTCGGCTTGTGCTCGAGAAAAGGTCTCCGCTCTAGGGCATTGCTCAAGCCATGAGCGCGAAGCATCTGAGAGCAGAGCCTGGGCCCTTGCAGCATGGAGCGCTGAGAGATTATTGTCGCGCTTTTGTCATGGGCACGCTCTTTGTGCCGAATCCAAGCTTACCAGCGGGTGAAGGTGAGGTCACAGATGAGCACTCACAGTTAAGCCCTCCAGATCGAGACATGTGAGCTGATCTGCTTGCTTCGGCCTCTATGAGACGATGGAGATGTTGAGCGCAAGATGTACAAACAAGGAGCTGAGTGCTGGCACTGGGGTAGGCCGCGTTTGGTCGTGTGATGCCAAGAAGTCGAGATGGTGGGCTGGCCGAAGGTCGGTCTTCCGGCTTCAGTGATACGTCAGTGACGTACGAGTAGAGTTCGCGCGGGTGAAAGGTGGGCGCGCCAATGGCGTCAGTGCGTAGAGTGATGAGTTGTGAAGATGGTGAGCGTAGCGGTCTGAAAGTCGATGAAGCCTGTACGCGAGGAATGAGGGAGACGAACGCCGGTCGCAGCGACGGGTTCGTGAGCGTCATGCACCACAGTCGCAGTCGCAGTCGCAGTCCCACAAAATCCGCTGGGTGTGAACCGAGCGCTGCACAAATGCGCTGCTGCAATGGCCTTGCGCGTTGCCTGGCCTGGGCTCAAGCCAGGCAGCGGAGCTACAGCAGCGCGCAGCTGCTGCATGCTGTATGCAAGCCTCCCAACTCAAAGGCACCAGCGCACGCAACTTGAACGCGTCTTACGTCGCAGCTAGTCATGGATCATCAGCGCAGCTATAGGTGCCCCACAGCAGCACCACGGATTGCTGGCAACGCGGCAGAGGGCGCCCGCGGCGCCGACTCACGCGTACACGCGCGGACGCGCACTCGTGACTGTGACTGCATGCTGCTGATGATGCTGCTGCAATGAAGTGCCGCACCACCGCGACGCGCGAGCGTGCGGCGGGGCGAGGCGGAACGCGGGTCAGACGAGCGAGCCAACAGCAGCATCAGCAGCAGCCCTCCAGCTATGTATAGCCTGCGCAGAGCGTGGGGCCGTGGGGCCAGCGAGCAGTCAGCACAGTCACGCCGCTGTTCGCGCATGGTCCTAGCTCAGCTGATGATGCTGTGGGGCATCGTTCTCCAGAGCTTCCCATCCGCCACCAGCAGCGGCGGCGGCAGCAAGCACATCATGCATGCTGCAATCTGGATGCGCTCAAAGCTCTCTCTGATGGCTACGCCGGTTGCAGTCACGAAGTCACGAGTGTACTGAAGAATGTACGTGCGTCGAGATTCTCAAGAGTCTAGTCACACATGTTACGAGTTCTCTGCGAAGCATGAGCCATGAGCATCAGAGGTACGGTACGCGCACGTGCATGATGGGTTTGCGTTCTTCATCAGCTCTACGCCAAGAGGTCCTGGCTGTACAATTACTCATCCATCTTTGAATGGACACCCACCCCCTTTTCACACCCCTCGTGATTGTGTGTGTCTCTTGACTTGACCGCGAGATGAGGCTCGTTTATGCTTTGAGGAACATGTGGATGGAGCCTTTGAAAAGGAAGCGCGGGAGCGGAGATCTGCAGGTATCAAAATCAAGAATGCATGGTGAAATGGGAATCAGGAATGAAACGTATGTAATCCCAAAAGAGGTTGCTTGCGGCCCCAGCATCAGGTGCCGGTGGAGTGGCGCCGCGGGCCTATCGTAAATGCCAAGGCGCTTGAGCACGCCGCAACGAGGCGTACAGTATACGCCCGTGGGGTCACGAGAGGGTTCAGCGGCGTCATGCCCATGCGACTTATTTTGCTCTATATAGCTGCTGACAGCGGAGCGACACTCAGATCAGCCTTTTGCCTGCTGACAGGGGCTGGCTTAATCTGAATCTTGTATCGTGAACGCTTTGCAGATTTGTAGCGACATCCTCGTGATTTTGATGCTCTCGCGGAGCTGTGGCTTCTCCGCCAATCCCCCAAATGACGTGCAGCAGCGAGCAGCTCAGCAGACCGAGCAGCGCGCGCTCGCACAAGAGGGTGAGGCTGCGAACCTCAATGAGGGCCAGCCGCGGGCGCACAGCCTCAGTGATAGGATGATAAAGAGCTTCACCCTGCAGCTCTAAATCAAGAATTACGCACGGCGCTGATAGAAGACACACAGAACAAAATAAGCCCCACATCTGATGCCCACCTAGACCCTTGCTTTTCGGCTCGTGTCTGTTGTATCGGTACCGCACGTGAAGCATGACGCAACAAGGATGCCTATAGCTCCTCGCAATAATTTGAATCAATTGACGATCGACGCTACCTGGAGGAGCTGCCGACCTTGCGTCGTATGGCTTCACTCACGGCTGTCAAGGTCATGCGAGTCGGTCGCAAGCGAGCCGCAGCGATCAGGCATCCGAGAACGACCCAGCATCGACATGAACTTCAGCGATCCAATGCGAAGGCTTCGCATTCAAGTGATTGGGTTTCACAACGATTCAAGATTGCATTCGCACTGAATGTCGTGCAACCCATTCAAGAGCCTGAAGTGCTCGGCCCATCAGATCCAGATTCAGAATCGGCCATTGCGAGGTCGATGACTTGGAGGTAGAGCTCCTTGCTGGTCGTGCGATCTATGACCGCCTGGCCATGGTGCGTTCACCACACCTCGAGCTGTACAACGAAGTCTCCTCGCCTGAGTCGGTCAGTGTTGTCGTGTCGTCCGGGAAGGCTGTCAGGCAGGCAGACTGCGGTCCTCTTTGAGTGCGAAATAGACTCATCAAGATCACAGCAGATCGGATCCGGTGGCTCGTCACTCGACTAGACATCTATGTCTCCCGACTAGAACGCGGTGCGTAATTGCGACTGCTACCATCATCAAGCGCTGGCCAAGTATTCGTGATTCTGGTCAGACGGATGTGGCAAGCTACACATACGTATTTCTCTTGACTGAGTGACTGACTCCCTCGATAGCGGACTCCACGGACATGCGAGGACTGAGCTGGGCTCATCCCACCCTTTGCGACTGTTCACCGTTGCATCGCCCCATTGAGCAAGGTGCGATTGAATGTTCACTCGTCGTTGATCACTCACGACTGTATTTGCGAGTATGTACAGATCTGATCTACGAGTCCTTTAGCATGACGTGGCACAGCGGTGCGGTGCGTTGATGTGGTCGATCCATGGGGGACTACGCGTGCTCGGGCGGGCAGTCTTAGCGGTACAGCAGCGCTTTGCAGACACGACTTACCGGCCGCAAGCTCGGACAGATGAGTCGAGGCACGCAAGTCATCAGGTGGAGCAGCGCGCGGAGGCCTGCTGCGAGGCAGCCTGCAGAGAAAGGCGATGCTGGGCTCACGTTAGGCCCTGCCTGCCTGCTGCCTGCATGTATGCATGCACGAGCCTCTTTCTACGCACATTCACGATTCACGATTGTGTGATTCGTGTTGGTGACGGCGCTCGATCTCGACCGATTTTGGTGCTCGCTTTGACCTCTTCCCCGAGCCGCTGTCTGCATCGTCACCTGTCCATGGACACCACTCGCACACCACTCAAAGATTGCGTTCTCACACGAGCCCACGAGGACGAGCACGGACCTCTGCGCCTCCCGTCTTTCTGTAGCGCAACCGCGTACTTGTCCCTCCTACTCTTGAGAGTCAAACACAGGATCCTCAGATGCGCAAATCGACCTGAACATCCCGCCATTTCATCCCTGATCACACGATCACATTCATCCTGATTCGCATCCTCTTCACCTCCAGTCTGTCCAAGGCTAGACCACTGTCACTCTTTTCGGATCGACAGACCATCAGTCAACGAACACTCTGCTCGGCTGTCGAGCGCAAGATGTCTGTGGATGCTGCCAAGGAGGGCTTTTTCAAGGCCGATCACTTTGCTGTCGCAGGAGCGTCGTGAGTTCTTATGTGAACGTTATCCGCGATCGAGCATGCGAACGTCTCAAATCAGAATGCATCGCTTTGCAGCAAGGACCCTTCAAAGATCGGCAACAAAGTGAGCATTCATGCGTAGCCTGCGCTGTTCTCCAACCACCCTGCTCATCGCTCATTCGCCTGTCAAGCGAAATGGTCATGCCCGCGACTGACCTACACCGTCTTCTTACTGCGCTTGCAGGTGATGAAATGGTACAAAGCGCATGGGTTCGAGCCGATTCCCATTCATCCCAAGGAGGCTTCGATCGAGGGCGCATCCACAATTTCGAGCGTCTTTGACATCTACGAGCCCAAGACGACGAGCGTGTCGATCATCACTCCGCCGCATGTCAGCATCAACATTGTCAAGACTGCTCTGCTGGAACTGGATGTTGCAGGAATTTGGCTTCAGGTGAGTAGGACGCCGCCACAGGACTTGCATGCCTCGTCTGGCTTTGCTGAATCTTTGCCATGCTCCTCGCTTCACACGCATTGGAACGCATACCCACAGCCTGGAGCAGAGAATGCAGAAATACAGCAGTATATCGACACGATGCCAGATGAGCTCAAGAACAGGGTGGTACTTGGCGGCCCATGCATTTTGGTCGAAGGAGCAGCGCTCGCAAAAGCTCAGGGCAAGCTGTAGCGCATGCTGCTCGCAAGGTCCTGGCCGCGTTTAGTAGGACTGCTTTCTTAAGCAGAAAGTTGTCCCTGGTCTTGTCGCGCTTTCTATTTGTCGTCTCTCGCCGGCAATGCATGAGGTTTATTCTGCTTACCCCCCTCTTACACACGAAGCAAAGCACTCGCCACTCGTGCTGGAATCGGCTCTGCCAACGACCTAACGACATGCTCTTTTCTGTCCGTCGCCGAGGCCCATGCATGTCTGAGGGCAAAGGCGTTGCAACGAATTGCTGGTACTCGCCCTCGCGAGCGTGACATTGTGATGAGTGGCAGCCAAGGCAGCGTGCCATGACCCGTGCTACATTTCGTTTGCTGAGAAGTGAATGTTAATCGATGCTGTTGTCTGAGGCGCTGCTGAAGACTTGGGATCAATGTGCTAGCATCGGAAGCGTGCTAGACAATGACATCCCACCCCACGATGATGTGATCATGAAGTCGAACTGGAATTTTGATTCCTGAATGAGGCTACATGCGAGCCAAGAGGAGGCACGGGCTCGATCTCGTCCTGCACGCATTTGAACAACCCACGTGGGTGTCCAAGCCAATGCACGGACGCTTCATTCAGCAGCGCCATACACGGTATCGTGCAGCCCTTCCAACGCCGAGCATCCACACGCGCGCCCCGGGTCTACTGTATGATCAACACCTGCAGCTACCCCTTTGACATTCACGATTGTAGCTGCGCACCCACCTAGACGGCACAACATCCTTGCTTGTCTCCACATCATAACAACCCTTCTGAGCCCGCTTCCCTCACCACACAAATCAGATACAAAATGGATGAAAAGTGAGTGCGGATGCTTTGCGTATGCGCAATCGCGAGCGCAGTCTGACTATGCCCTATTATGATCGCCCCTTCCCCGCACAGGTACGACGCCATCATTCTCGGCACAGGAGTGACGGAATGCGTCCTGTCCGCGCTCCTGTCCGTCGAGGGCAAGAAAGTCTTGCACATTGACCGCAACGACTACTACGGAGCAGACTGCGCCAGTCTAAACTTGACCCAGCTTTGGCAAAAGTTTAGACCTGGTCAAGAGCCACCAAAGGATATCGGTCGTGACAGAGACTATGCAGTTGATCTCATTGCCAAATTTATGATGGCCAATGGGGAACTGACAAAGATGCTGGTTCACACTGATGTGACCAGATACCTGGAGTTCAAACAAATTGCGGGCTCCTACGTTTTCCGCGATGGTAGAGTGGCCAAAGTGCCGGCTACGGAGATGGAAGCGGTCAGGAGCTCCCTCATGGGTCTCTTTGAGAAGCGCAGAGCAAAGAAGTTCTTCGAGTTCCTTCAAAACTGGAAGGACGATGATCCTGCCACACACCAGGGTGAGTCCGACTTCACACTGCGCTCCCCGGCCCCTAACAGCTCTTCAGGCGGCCACAGTCCGCTTACGGACCTGTACGACACCTCGATGCGGTACTTGTCTGTTGCTGATGTCCCTTCGGTTGTGTAATCCTGCAGGGTTGAGTCTGGATAACGACAACATGACGAAAATTTTCGACTACTTTGGTCTTGAGCCTGGCACACGCGACTTCATTGGTCATGCTATGGCCCTTCATCTCGAAGACTCGTGAGTTCCTGTGTCGGAAGGTATGCCCCGCGAGAGCCAGCACATCGCTTGACAGCAAGCTGACTGGCTCATGTCTCCCACAGCTACATGCAGCGACCTGCGAGAGAGACGTATGACCGCATCATCTTGTACACATCCTCAATGGCGCGTTACGGCAAGTCGCCTTACATCTACCCTCTTTACGGGTTGGGCGAGCTCCCTCAAGCATTTGCTCGTCTTTCCGCCATCTACGGAGGTACCTACATGCTTGACAAGCCTGTCGACGAAATCGTGGTAGATGAAGAGACTGGAAAGTTCAAGGGAGTCCGAAGTGGCGAGGAGACTGTCTATGCGGATCTAGTCATTGGTGACCCAAGCTACTTTAGACAGGGCGTTGGAGCGGCTGACAAGAGGAAACAGCTGGTCAGGGAGACAGCCAAAGTTGTCAGAGCTATTTGTTTGCTCAAGCATCCCATTCCAAACACGGACAACACCGACTCCACTCAGCTCATCATCCCTCAGAACCAGGTCAACCGCAAGCACGGTGAGTAAGTGTGCGTATGGGTCGCAGATTGAGTTTCTTGCTGAGTGTCGGCGATCCTACTTGTAGACATTTATGTTGCCGAGGTCTCGAGCGCTCAGAACATTTGCGCCAAGGACATCTACGTTGCGCAGGTGAGTACAGGAGCTGGAAACTACACGATCGAGCTTGTCACCTGAAAGACCGATACTCTGTGCCGCGCAGGTCTCGACCATCGTCGAGAGCTCTACACCCGAGTTGGAGCTTCGACCGGGTTTCGAACTTCTTGGTCCCATCTTTGAAAAGTGAGTTGTCTCTACACGGTATCGCGCTCCGTCGCTTCACTTTCCTGCTAGCGCGTGCTTACGCTGCTGCGCCTTGTGTGTCTGAAATCAGGTTCGTCACTGTTGCGCCAGTCGAAGAGCCCTTGGAGGACGGCAAGGAAAGCAACATCTACATTACGCGCTCCCTCGATGCTACTTCTCACTTCGAGACGCTTGTGGATGATGTTCACTCCGTCTTTGAGAGGTGCATGGGCAAGGGTCTCGTCCTCAAGAAGCGAGAGGAGGGAGCTCAAGTTCAGGAGTAGAGGTGAAGGCGGCCTGTACAAATTCGGAAAATTTCTTGCTTGCATTCCACCGCGCTGGTTTTGACACCTAACGGCTATCACGGACGGAAGCACCGCCCGCTTCCTTGGCATAGCCTCCCTCTGTCAAGCTTCGATTGAAGCGACCTCGGCACTGACCAATTCGCTAATGACAACATCGATCTTCGAGCCCGTACATTCGTTTGCGCTTGCGCTCGTCGTCGAAGTTCGTGTCCATCATCGCAGTCACGGCCCGGTGATCATCGATGTCCCGACAAAAGGTCATGCATTTCAAGCCCTGCGAACCTTGGGCATACCAGGCACGATGACCTCCCCAAGAACAGCCCTGGCTTCGAGTCCGACGCGCGGCAAGATGGCCTCGAACCTGTTCTGATCCTTTTTGAAGAGATATTTGAGGAGCTTGGCTCGTTGTTGAACCAGGTTGGACATGCTGCGTCGATTTGAATGATCCTTGCGGTGTCCATCATTAAGATGGAAAAGGAGGGAACGGATGCGGTAGGTGAGGACGGCAGCTGTTGGCGTGCGAAGCGAGTGAGAGACAGCAAAGGAGAAGGAGTGAGATGCGTGCTACTTGGCTATGCCCCAGCTTTGACGTGTCAAGCCTCGACACTACGCACCTTGTACCTCGACGCTGCCCGTATCTCTGGGAAGTCGAGGACCGCGATTGCCAAAGTGATCAATGATCCTACGAATATTCTCCACCTGAATGCCCTTAGCGCTCGCATTTCGCAGATCCAATATCCTCGAGAGCGTATCGCTCTTGACTTTTTCCGCCTCTTCCATCCTCTCCAAATCCTCTTCTGCCGCTTTCAAAGCTCCCGAATCTCCTCTTGATAATTGGAGAGCGTGAGCATTGAGCACATTATCCTCTGCCACTATGGTCGGCAAATGACCAAACAACGTCTTTCGATCCGACAGTGTCAGGCCGAAATTCAGACGAAGTGGGCCGCCCTCTCTCTCAGCTTGAAGTCGCTCCTCTTCGCGAGCAGCCTTGACGGACTCGGGCAGATCTTCCAGTTCCGAAATGGGCACCAAGTTGCCTCTTCGATCTTCTTTTATACCCCACACTACGTCCCTATCCAGTAACAGTCCTGCCAATTCACATTCCTTCCACAAGCTCTCTCCCTTGGCGTTGAGTTGATGTCCCAGAATGGGATCAGGCTTGGAAGCTTCAAAGAGCCGCCTTTTGAGCTCTTGCGTATCCTGATTGCGCTGCTTCTTTAGCTTGGCAGCTTTTCTCTGTCGAGGAGTCCGCTGAGCGAAGACATGGCAGGTACTGCTCGTGTGGAATGGAGATGATGCTGAGGGCGTGACTTGCCGAGCAGGAATGCGAGAAGTTGAGGCGAGTGCATCGGACAGCGATCGAAGGGATGACAAGCCTGGGGCAATGAGCACAAGTCAGTCGTGGGGCGCTATATACGAATGAAGCCATGAAAGACAATATCGGCTGCACTGGATCGAAGACTGACCTTGCTCGAACTGCCCGCTTAGCCTCATTCCTCCTCGTAAAGCACACATCCTAAAACCTGACTATTGCGAGGCACGGTAGAGCCGCCTGCTCGGTGCTGTTTGCGATCCTGCGCAAATGGACAATGCGCTGATGATGCGCTGCCTCTTGAATGATCACGACGTGCGGGGAGGATTTGGACGAGGCCGGCAGTGAAGGATTGGACGATCCCGCCGATTCTCACCCTTCTAGCCTCTTGCAAATCAGTCTGAGTGAATCAACAATCACGGAGTGTGCACGCTGATGGAGTCGAGAAGGTGGATTCGTGATTTGATTTTGGTGTCAGCCTCACCACGTGGCAGAGTGTTCGATCACGTGGCCTATCTACGAACTGACGCGAATACCCGCCTCGGGCATCGGACACGACGCGGCACCGGAGAGCGCGTCAGGGTGCATAGAGCCGCTTGCATGGACGGCGACAGGAGCGAGGCTTGATGACTGAGGGGCGCTCTCTGGTTCGCTCGCCAAGGGAATCACGACCGCGACTGACTGAAAGCGGAACATGTCGGTTGTGGACGTTCGGTGGTCCGGTATGGCTGTATCCCCGTCCGCCCCGCTGGATTCGGCTTGTCTGTCTCCTTTCGTGAGGCTTTGAGCAGCTCTGCTAACCACATTCACAGTTAGTCCACGAGCTTTGATCACCTCGCCACCAACCCCACCCACCACACTTCTTGCGAACGCGAGCCTCGCGTAACCGCAACGCTTTGAACGCGACACTCTGCTTGTGTCCCACACACAGCGCAAGCAGTCTCTATCTGCTAGTCACTACATCACCCGTCACAGTGGAAGCGCAGGCCTCTTGCTCCGCATCTAGTCGACAATGATCGCTCCCAGGCTCGCAGCGGCAGCCGCGGGCTCTTCTGGAGCTCTGAGCAGCGCCTCTTCCTCAGCAGCTCGCACCACAGCGCCACGCACGCTCTCTGCCTTGCGCTCCGGCACCACCTTTGGCCTTTCGCGCAACTTGTCAAGCAGCGTCATCTCGAGCCCCCGATCGGATGCACGCGCACATGCTTCTCGCACCCCTCTCGAATCTCGACGATTCTTGAACACATCCGCTTCTGCTCACCAAGCTACGCCCGTAGACGATGCGACTGCGAGAGTGGATCAAGAAGCTGCAGATTCCGACGCTGGTTTCAACTTGGAGGATGTTGAGAGAGTGACGGATGTGGCGGATGTGCTCATCGTGGGAGGTGGACCGGCTGGTCTGTCCGCTGCTATTCGTATCAAACAGTTGGCGGAACAAAAGGGTGAAGAGATCAGAGTCGTATTGCTCGAAAAGGGCGCGGAAGTTGGTAAGTAGACTTGGCAGCGCGCAGAGCCTTGCTTGAACAATGCAGGACCGAGCACCGTCAAGGCGGTATGGTCTCTTCGCAAGCAGCATCACTGACCCACTCGACTGCTTTTCCTGTTTTGGTAGGTAATCACATCTTGTCAGGCGCAGTGATCCAGACCAATGCGCTGGATGAGCTGTTCCCCGACTGGAAGGAGTTGGGCGCGCCGTTGAATCAACCGGCCACAGAGGATCAAATGCGCTTCCTCACTCCCACGGGCTCCTTTCCCATGCCCAAGCCGCCTCAGATGTCCAACGAAGGCAACTACATTGTCAGCCTGTCGCGCTTCACTGCATGGCTCGGAGAGAAGGCCGAGGAGCTGGGCGTCGAGATTTACCCTGGCTTTGCTGGTGCCAAGCTGGTGTGGGAAACAGATGAGGCTGGTAACAAGATTGGGATCAAGGGTGTGACCACCAACGAAATAGGTCTTGGTAAAGATGGCCAACCCAAGGATTCGTTCGAACCTGGAATGGAGTTCCATGCACCTCTGACGCTCTTTGCAGAGGGAGCACACGGCAGCTTGTCCCAGCAAGTCATCAAGGATCTCAAGCTTCGCGAAGCGGTGGGGGCAGATGAACAGACCTACGGCTTGGGAGTCAAGGAGGTTTGGAAGGTCAAGCCCGAGAAGCACAAGGCTGGACTATGCACCCACACCTTGGGTTGGCCCTTGCCACTCGACACGTACGGTGGCTCTTGGTGCTACCACATGGAGGATAACATGGTCTCGGTCGGCTTGGTAGTAGGGTTGGACTACCCCAACCCTTACCTGAGCCCATTTAGAGAGTTTCAGAAGATGAAGCATCATCCTTTCTTCGCTGATCTGCTCGAAGGTGGAGAATGCGTGGCGTACGGAGCTCGGGCTCTCAATGAGGGAGGATATCAGAGCATTCCTAAACTGCATTTCCCCGGAGGTGCTCTAATCGGATGCTCTGCCGGCTTCCTGAACGTTCCGAAGATCAAAGGCACACACAACGCCATGAAGAGCGGCATGTTGGCTGCGGACGCCGCTGTTGATGCGCTTCTTGCGCAGAAGGCCTCGGCCGCAGATGGCGAGGCGGCAGCACAGTCTGAGTCCGAGTCTGACGAGGAAGAGATCGAGCTGAAGCCGAGAATCGACTTGGCAGAGTACAAGAAGCTGCTGGACGGATCTTGGGTGATGGAGGAGCTGAAAGAGGTGCGAAACCTTCGACCTTCCTTCCACTCTCCGCTTGGATTCTGGGGAGGCATCGCCTACTCGGGATTGGACAGCTTGATCCTCAAGGGACGCACGCCTTGGACTTTCCACCACGCCGGCGAGGACAGGGCGCAGACTAAGCCGGCATCGGAGTGCAAGCCCATCGAGTATCCTCGTCCGGATGGCAAAATCTCCTTTGACATCCTGACCTCTGTGAGCAGGACTGGAACGAACCATGCGGAAGATCAACCTGTTCATCTACACGTCAAGGGTGGAGATTATGCGGGTCACACGGAGAGGAATGTGGGAACGTACGATGGGCTGTTAGGAAGAGCTTGTCCGGCTGCCGTTTATGAGTATGTGGATGCTGAAGGTGGAGAGGAACACGCCAGAGGGACGAAGTTCAACATTTCCAGCCAGAACTGCATCCACTGCAAGACTTGCTCAATCAAGGTTCCTGATGCTAGCATCGAGTGGCGCGTACCAGAGGGCGGTGGAGGTCCAAAGTACTCCCTCACCTAATTTTTTTGTGCGAGCAAGCCATATCGCTCCAGGATTACTTGCTCTTGCAATCACGTCGCTTTTCCCACTTTCGCGCACAAGTAATATCGATGCATCTAGAAAGTGCGCCTGTCGTGCTTGTTGACTCATGTAGTGCAGCCAGTCCAATCTGCTGATCAAGTCGTTTGCACTAGAGGGCTATCTGATGTGATCTTGCAATCTCAATGTCTTGGTCGTGCGCAGATGAATGTGTGAGGGACGGCATGTGGATTGAATATGGATACATGGATGAGAGGGTCGAATCATTCACCCGCTAAAGGTCACGCGATAGGCTGACGACAACTAGGACAATTCTTGACCGATCTGAGCAGCTGCAAAGCGCAGCTCTCGTGGAAGATGTGCAAACAAGGGAAAATGCAAGCTTCTTGAAGCGGCCTGAATTGGTTCAAGCAGATCGTGCACTTGTCCACCCTCACACCGGCCACTCCCAACTTTTGCTTGATCTTGCCTTCCTTTGTCGTCCTGCGACTCAGAAGCTCCACCCGAGCCACTGCCAAGTTGGACATTTCTTCGACCGTAGCGCGAGTCTCTTTGCCCGGTCCCAAAAAATCTGCTAAAGTAGCAAGCTCATCATAGTGATCTCCTGCCTGTTCTAGGCGCGAAGCCAGAAAATCTAAATCGGTAAAGCCGATAGACGCTTGTCTCGTGGGGCGCTGCAGCGCATCTGCCACCTCAGCAGTTGGCACTGCTTCACTTTCGGAAGCAGAAGATCCTCCTGATGGCAGAGCAGGAGAGTTCCTTGCATCACCGTTTGCTGTTCCGCTCCCTGTCTGAGCTTCGAAGACATCATGCGCTGTGCTCGCTGCAGGTCTCTTCGGGCCATGTGACGGAGCGTCTTGCTGGGAAGGCGAGCTGGTCCCCACCGGAATGGTAGGAGGATTTGGCAGAGGACGTCGGGCGGTGAAGGAGCCAAAAAGAGGTTCACGCCTGGGCTCGAATGAGCGCACGTCATCCGAAACAAAGGTTTCAACAGCTGACGCATCTGTTGAACTGGGCGCATGTGCATTCTGGCTTGAGGTGACAGGGCTTTTGTCAGAGCTTTGTGGCTCGGCCATGCGTGACGCTCGAGTGGCTCGACTTCGAGACAAAGCGCCCGGTGGAGGAGGAGGCGGTGGCCGCCTGCGAAGTACGCTCATGCGCCTGTCCAAGCTTTGTGTATCGACGGATTCCTTGGACGCCAGGGCGGCACCACTTGCTTCATTGCGAGATGGATTGCGCTCTGGAACCTGGACTGGTCCATCGTCTACCAACTGCACCGGGCTACGAGATTGCGAAGGTGCGGCACTCTCAAATCGCGAGATGAGCGTAGATACGCGTCCTCCATTGTTGCTCATGGCACGATCAGGCGAGAGCGGTTCTTGCAGCGCGTCTTGCTCTTCCTGAGGGATGTAAGCCAGCCAAGATGGAGTGCCGCCTGGTCTTGGAGGCGCACCATTGCTCGACCATGAATGCTTTTCCGGAGCGTAATGCCTCGTCTCTGCCGTTATGGTGGGCAGGCGGCCGAGCGGTCTGGGTGCACCGCTCGAACGTGGATTGACAAAGCTAGTGGGTCGCAGCCCAGCGTGAGTGGGAGCTGAGAGGTTTAGCGCTGAGGCGGGAGTCGCTGTCGCACCACGAACGAGCAACGCCTCCAGAGCGGTGAGAGAGTCGTTGTTGGAGCCATTGGTGGTCGTTCTTAGGCGGGTCAGCTGGGCAAGGGCCTGTGCTCGGGCTTTGTCGGGATCGGTAGAGGATACAGGCGGTCGCGGAAGCGCCTTTGGTCCGCTTTGTCTAGGCTTGACGGGCTCGGTCAGGGGCTGTCGGAACAAAGACCGACCGTCCCTACCAGATCGAACACTCGCCTCGTCTTGCATCGGCTCTGGCGGACTGCGTTCAGTGAAGCTGTCTGTCACCTCACCAGCTCTGCCATCGTGTAATGGGGTGACGAAGAGACCCTTGAGGCGAGAGCTTACAGCAGGTCGGAGCGTGCCTTGCGTGTCAACAGCATTGTGTGCCATTCGCGGTGCTGCCGAAGCTCTTAGCGTCGCGTTTGCGTCTTCCAAAGATTCGTCCGAGAAGCTGCCGCTGCTGCCATCGTCCTCTTCGAACGTGCCAGCAGCAGTAGCCATGGAGGAAAGGGGTGGCGCATCATGCCCACGACTCGGAGGCAAAGAGTCCGGTGATTGTGCTGGTAGCCACCTTTCGGGTCGCATCGGAGTCTTGCCCTTGTCTACGCGGCCGGGAGACAATGTGCGCAAGACGCTATCGGCAATTTTGTCGTCCTCGACGGGATCTTCTACGAAATGAGCGCGGCGACTGCTTTGCGTGGATGTGCTCGTAACGGACGAAGCACGAGACAAGGAAATATTCGCAGGATCTACTCTACTCTGCCTTTCGGCGCCGTTCACCAGTCTAAATTCGAGTGGGTGCCGTTGTCGAGTTGGATTAGCGGCGGTAATTCCATCTTCTTCGCTCGAAGAATCGTCTGGACGGCCCATTTCATCGCTAGACGACTCGCTGCTCGAAGAATAGGCAGCGCCTCCTCGAGACCGTCCAAGAACAAGCGGAGGTGGTGCTCGCGGCACAGGACCAGAAAGATCAGTATAGTTGAGAGAGTCAGAGCGAAGTCGAGCAAATCTTCCTGGCACTTTGAGTTCCTCATCCGTATCGCTATCTGCTACTGCCGAAGGTGGAGCTCCTGCTCTTTGTAGCGCTTCTATCGCGCGTTTGTCTGCTTGCCAGTCCTCCTCCGAATCATCTGATTCAGAGAGAGATGTAGCACGCTCGATTTTATGTTGCGCTAAGGCGTACAGGGCGGCATTGTCTTCGCCAGGCGCGACGTTACTGGACACAGAGGAGATACGACCAGGAGCTTTGACGAGCTCGACAGGTTGTGCCGAGGCAGCGGCCCACAAAGCACCACGGCGCTGCGCTGCGGCAGTCGCATCATCCCTGAATCTTGTGTGACTCTCACTCGCAGGCCGTGACCTCAGTCGAGTCGCCTTGCCTCTTGCCATTGACCTGGTAGTGGCAGTCTTCTTGGGCAGCTCTTCGTTTCGAGAAAGAGGAGATGAGACAGCTCCATTCGCTCTGCTGTCGGATACGACTCTACGATGTGACGCGCGCCTCGAAAGCCCTTGTGCGCCCTGAGCGGCTAGCGTCCTGCTGCTGAAGGAAGTCGAAGCGGCCTGCTCGACCGCGTCGACTGGAGCTGGTGCGCTTACCGACGTCCTAAGACCGCTGCCTGGGGTTGTACTTTGCAGTCGGAGTGCCTCTGCAGGCTTCGACCCTCCCGCTGGCTGCGTAGGGCGAGGTGCGGATGCTGAGTGTGCTTGGCTGGACGCAGCCGAGGATTCTGAAGCTCTATCAGAGCCTGTTGCATGAGCGCGCTCGCCACTTCCGTTCGCTGGTGGTGTGACAGTCGACAGGCGGGGGCTTTGGGCCTCTGTTAGTTGCGTCCACGAGTCTGCATTTCCTCCTACTTCTTGCAACAAGGTGTTCTGGTGTCGCCGGTTCCGAGCCTCTAAGACCAACGCCCCCAGATCGACGGAATTCACGGCGCTTCGGTCTGTGTCGTCCGCTTGACCTTCCTTGTTCTCAACCGGTGTCGCCGCCGGCAGGGTGGAAACTCCATCAAGCGGCGCACGCTCGTCGAGCGCACTCTCATGCGGCGGTGCATGGGAGCTATCTGGCTGGGCGCCTTCAAGGAATCTACCATCCGCGAACGACTGGAGATGGCCTCTCCTCCGTGCTTCCCTTTCCATGCGCTCCTCGAAAGGTAGCCCCTCCTCGACGTCCCTCTCCCACGCGCTCAAGAGTCTTGGTGCCTTATCGCCCGCTTCGCTCTCAGATCCAGAGCTGCTCTCTTCGCTTCGAAATTCGGGAGGCGGGGAGTTTGGTATTCGAGGCTGACTTGGTGGTCCGGGCGCCTGAGGTGGAGCCTCACCAGCAGGATAAATAGGAGGCAAGTCCAATTCGCCGAGGTCATCCACAAGAATGTCGTCGGCGCCTGGTACCTGGCCGAGAAAAGAGGCGCTATAAATGTCTGTGCGTTGCCGTGCTGTGCTGAAGTCGGCGATCTCGGCCAAAGCAGCGGCATCTGCTGCCGCATATGCCGCCGCTGTGCTGTCGGGTGCTCGAGTCGTGTCGTCTGCTGGATGGCCACCTGAGGGGCGTGTAGATGGACTGCTCGTGGTGTGAGCAGGTAGCGATCGAGTGCTTGAGCGAGAAGTGGGGCGAGGAGTGCCAAGCTGAGTGAAGCTGGCCGAGCTTGGCGGCCGAACGTCTTCCAGAGCAGGCCTTCTCCTTCTACCATCTGACCTGTGCGTAGCGCTATGACCATTGCGGTCGGAATTTGGACCCTCTGAAACGGAGCCTCGCCTCTCTTCTCCGCTTATTCGAGCGCTAGCACTCGCACTACTAAGTGTCGCAGACGCGACACTTTGGCCCAGTGAAACTCCAGCCAAAGCGCTGGCAGCAGCATTAGCAGCTGCTGCTTTCTTCTTCTTCACTTTGGCACGCTTATCCCGAGCTTCTTGTCGCTTGCGTCTCATGTTGTCTGGTGCTGTTAAGGCGACTCGTCTATCGTTGACATCGATATTGGGCTCCGAGCTCGACCCTGCGACCGCTCCACCGGACGTGGGAGCGGGGAGGGTCGCTACCAAGGATGAGGATGACGCATGATGCTGCAAAGTGTAGAGTTGATTTCTGGACGAGACTGTCCGCATGCCTGCGGAGGGGGGCCGCAGTCCGGCTGCTCATTGGCAAGAGGGAGATGTGGTCAGCGTGATCAAGTACGTGCAGCGTTATGCGCTTCCACAGACTCACGCCCGGTGCCTATCGCCTCGCCTCGTCTTGGCGGCATCTTGGTGACGTCTGACTTGAGGTCGCGGTCAATCAACACTTGCAGTTGCGTCGGTCGTTGTAACACTCTGTGTTCCGTCAATCATGCCGTCTCATGCTCAGAGTGGGGACGGCGGGGTCGTACTATTCAAGCTCGAAGTGGATGGAAAAGGTATGAGAGACTAGTGGAAGACCCGATCGATTTGCAGATTGCGAAAGAGGAGAGAGAGAGGGCGACCACAATCCTGATGAGCGCCTGCCCGTCTTTTGGCGGGCTTGTGACTCAAGGGAATAGCAGTCGCTGTGATTCAGAGTCGTGAGTGCGAATGTTGTGGAGAAGCGTCTCCACTCGTGATTTCCAAGCTGCGCCACGCGTTGAGAGCCGTTCTGCTGCTGAGGTTGATGATTCCCTCATGCGCTGTGATATGTGATAGGGACGTGGTGCGGGGGGCGGTGCGTCTTGCAGCAGCAGCATGGAGGAGCAGCTTAAGCGTGTGAGATCCTATAATCGTGAATAGCCGTGGTGCTGCGTGCCTCTGCTGCTGCGTACATGACATCGCTGCCGTGGCGCTGTTGCGAATCACGAATCAGCAGCAGGCATGCAGAGTCACGAGTCGCGCGCATGCTGCTTGACGGTCGTCGATCCAAGGGCGGCAGCAGCGAAGCGACGCACGCGTGTTGATCTTCCGGATTTGTGATTTGTGATTAGCTCTCGATGTGCGACGAGGCGGTCGAGTAGCCACTTAGCAGTAGACTCAGACTACCATCATCATCAACACCACACACCTGGAAGACAGCTCTTCGTGGGCATCAGCACATCGGCAAGTCCATCAGCAACCCAAATTTCACGCTGCGCTCAGCGGGTGAGCCACGGTTTCCGTGCGCAGTCTTGAGATGAGACTGTGAAAGCACATCCTCAACACAGCAGACTTTGGCCCAGTACTTCATATTTACCTCATCCGGGAGTCGAAGCGGAGCGTCTCGCCTTGTGCACGTGCATACAGGGGTAACAAGGAGCTTGTGTCAAAGGGTCCTACTTCGGTGACCGTCTAGATGAGCAGGATGAGCGCCGGAGCAACGAACGGCATGGCGCCGTTGAGCAGCCTCACAAACAGTCAACGAGAAGAATTGTGAGTAATTGCGGTCGTGTATGCGCTGCTTCTCCATCTGTTTCGCAATTCGTTCAGCAGTGCTGACCCTGCCGTTGGTGATTCATACTGCAGACACCAATCCATACTCGAGTACATGCATAGATCTGGCTTCGAGGATGCTTATGAAGCGCTAAAGAAAGACGCCGATATGCCAGACTTCTCTCCAAGCACAGCGCCTCAGAAGGTAGTGGGACTGCTCGAGAAAAAGTGGACCGGTACTGTGCGCTTGCAGAAGAAGGTGAGTGTGCTCTTTTGAGAGCTGATGTGCAGCTCTCATCCAAGCTAGGCCTGGTGGCTTGCTGCTGTCTGCTTGACTCAGCTATCGGCGCCAGATCGCATAGCAGTACTGTATGACGAACCATCTGCGCCCTAATGACAGGTCATCGCGTATGAGCAGCAAATCACAAATCTGGAAGCGGAGCTCAAAGCGGCGCCGACCGGAAGGAGGGCAGCTTCTCAGGCGGACTGGCTCCCCTCAAACGACCCGTCCCGCATCTTGGAGGGTCACAGGAAACAAGTCATCAGCGTCGTCTTTCACCCTACTTTCTCCATCGTTGCTACTGCCAGCGAGGACTGCGATGTCAAAGTGTGGGACTGGCAGAGCGGGGAATGTGAGGCGACCTTAAAAGGCCACACGCAATCAGTGAAGGATGTGGATTTTGATGCAAAGGGACAGTTCCTGGGTGAGTGGACAGTGTTTAGATTCGTCGATCGTAACTACAGACTAAATCAAGAGCTCGAAAATAGCTACATCTTCTGCCGATACACAGATCAAGCTTTGGGACTCAAATAACCAGTGGCGCTGTACGAAGACTTTGGCTGGACACGAGCATGTCGTCAGCGCAGTGCGCTTCTTGCCCGGTGGCGCGCAGCTCGTGAGCGCTAGTAGAGATGAGACGATTCGAATTTGGGAAGCTTCCAGCGGGTGAGACTGGATCGGCGTGTGTCAAAGCACTGCCACCTCACATGGACTGAATAGATTGACCACCAATGGCAGGTACTGTGTGCGCACAATCCAAGGAGGCGCTTGGATCAAGTGCATGTCCTTGGCTGAAGATGGTCAGACGCTAGTCACAGGAGGTGACGATCAAGTGGCGAAAGCTTGGAACCTCAATAGCGCTCAGAGCAAGGCGGAGTGCAGGGAGCACGCACATGTAGTGGATGCTATCGCTCTTGCTCCTGCTGCCGCATACCCTGCCCTCAGACAGCTTGGGGGAATGCCAGTGAGCTTCTGCACCCGTCTCGCACACCTAATCGTCTGGCCTGACACTGACACACTATCCTTTCAAACGCTCCAGGCAAGCAATCAGAACGCGCCAGGATTGTTCGCTGCATCCGGTGATCGAGATAAGACCATCATCATTTGGGACACAGCTAGCGGTCAGCCGGTCAAAAAGCTGGTGAGGAAGCGCATAGAGGTGGTAATTTCACCTACTGGGTGCTGAGCATCCATCTCCCTCCTGTCTAGCTTGGCCATGACGGGTGGATCCGTGGATTGTGCTGGGCACCAAAGTGAGTAGTTACAGCACCCTGGCTTACTGCACTCCTCTCTGTGCTCACCTCACCGTGACACTCTCCTTCTTTTTCTTCAGCGGCAAATTCTTGCTCTCGTGTGCGGATGATGGCAAGCTGAAAGTGTGGGATCTCAAGCAAGGGGGTCGATGTTGTCGAACAGTAGAGAATCCGCACGACGAGAATGGGCGGTCTAGGTTTTGTGAGTCAGAAGGGAAAAGAGCAAGATCTCAAGGTACCGAGCCGGGCCGGGCGCACGTAACCTGAACGTGTGCCATCTCATCAACCTTCTGCACAGTGACGAGCATGGCTTGGGCTCGGGCGAAAGTGGATGCTGGACCGCGACCGGATGGCGAATCGGCCACTGCCGTTGTGCCGCGCATCAATGCAGTCGCCACGACTGGCTCCGATACGAGGATATGTATCTGGACTCCATAGGTACCGACATGCGACGTTTGAAATGTCCTCGCAAGCTTGCCTGCTCGTGCGACCTCGAAGCGTCCTCACAAGCTCGAACTCCTGCGCGACATGAGGTGTGGCACAGTTATTAGATCACATACCCGGGCCCGACTAGTCACTTTTTTGAATGAACGGCAAATTCTTTTGGGGGAAAAAGGGAGGAACCGACGAACGCGTCGCTTGCGCGTCTTTCTTCTCCGCCCTAGGCTCTCTTCACAGCCGACTGGACTCGCGCCGTTGCACGTGCACAGCTTGCGTGCGCTTTAGCAGTCATCTCGGACAGAGGCCAGTCACCTCCATGCACTCTCAAAGTGGCAACAAATTTTTCTTTTTCTTTTTCAACATGTATAACAGTATTGAAATTGATCTCCTTCCCATGCAAGCAAGGCACCGCACCGCGAGTGAGACGCATTTGTTGCTGAGCCCGAGCGCAGCATCAAGAGCTTCTATCGAGCGGGCTCGACGTCAAACAATACGCTGTGCGACGATGCGTCGGCATGATGGAAGGGGAAAAAAGAACGAAGTGAGTATTCTGCTTTGCAAGGCTGAGCACGAGATAAAGTTGTCCTCGAAGGTGGGCTCTGATCACAGAGCTTGAGCGGGAGACGCGCTTGCATTCGCCTCGGCCCCGGCTCGTCTGGTCTAGTCTGGTCTCACTCACACTTCCGCATCCTTTGCTACCAAATTCCTCACAAAAAGTTCCTGTCCGCTCCTTGCGCCTCTAATAAAGACGCCATCTCCCTCTTCGAGCCTGACCTCTTGCTCTTCATCCCGCTGCTGGTCGTACGAGCCCAAAGCGATCTGTACGGTAGCTTGAGAAGAAGCGCCCTCCTCAGCATCCAACGCAGCTCCTCCCCAAACCATGACAAAGTCTTTTCCAAAAGGCTCGGGCGCGAGCGTTTGTAGAGGCAGTGCTGTCGCGCACCTCGTCTTTCCCTTTCGACTAAGAGGTTTCATAGGGGACAATACCCTGCTCAACCAAGCAGGTGCGTCGTACGACACTCCTTTGCCTAGCCGGGTGCGCGAAATGGTCACGATGATCGTATCTATCAAACCTTCGACATCTCCCAAAGCTCGCGTCGATGCGGAATCGGAGCTGCGCGCATCGCTCGTCGTCTCTTCGTGCGCCGCTAACAGACTACTGATCACATCCGCCCCTCCTTCCACCATCAGATGTTCCACACCCGCGTCTTTCAATCCCGATAAGACCTGCACCCAATCCAACTTGCCATCTCTCGTTCCTACTTCCAAAACATCAGCTCCTGCGCTCTGCAACGCTTCTTTGCGCGCTGCTCCTTCATCATTCGGTGCCGAGGAAGTTGCGACGGAGCTCGTCACTATCAAGGGCTTCGCACCTGTGCCCGCACTGTAGTTGGTCAGAATCTTGCGGTCTAGCGGAGTGCGAAGGTGCGTGTCGAGGATGATAGGTCGAGGCAGATCCTGGACGGAGATGGTCTGATCTGTTTGCAAGGGCGAGAGGAGGCGAGCTACACGTCCCGATGCGCCATTCTCGAAGCGTCAGGAAAGGTGTCTGACTTGTGCTTGCGAAACTACCAACAAGCTTTCCTCACCATTGAGTTGAGGATTGTCATTGATAAGCGTACCTACGCCTACAAGGATTCCATCATGCATCGTCCTCAAGCTGCAAAGCCAGCAGGAGGAGAGAGCGAAGTCAGCAGAGATGACGCGCGGCGTATGCAAGCTCAAACATTTCGGACCCACGCGTGCGTCATGACGAAGCTTTCAGAACTACTCAGCGCGACCTGCTCCTTTCCCTCTCCGGCTATATATCCATCGATACTCTGAGCAAAAGTCAAAGTGACCCTTGGTCTCTTCGCTCGAGAGCTCAAAGCCTTTCGAGTTGGGCGGTAGGATCGGTTGGAAGGGGCGGGATAGCTAGCCCACGAGGCAGTACGAGCATAGACACCTCGAAGGAACTGCGCCGCGTGCTCTAATCTCGTCTGGTGAGGTTGATTGGGGACGACGTATTTCCTGATATGCTGAGCGTGCAAACGAGGTTCTTTCCAGCCCGACGTCATGGCCAGGTGAATGTAGATCCATCTTTCGCTCCCCGCCTTGCTTTCGGTCTGAGAACCGATGGCGTACTTTACCGAAGCGCCTGCGCTTAAAAGACTGACGGAGGTGGATAGACTGCAGTGAGCAGGGATGGCTCGACCCGCTGGCAAGAGACCAATTTGTGATAGCTCTTGAGCGCTAAATGTGCATGCGGGCTTGATGAGCGTCAGGAAGCGATTGCGCTTTTCCACATCGTCGATGTGAGGTGTAGAGTAGTACTTGGGCGTCAAGTTGCGCTCATCTGGCGTGTACCTTTGAAGCGAAGCAGAGCAAAGCATCCAAGTCGTCGCAGCAGGGTCAGTGCATGAACTGTGGAGATTGTGCAGAACACTCGACAGACGCACCAAATCTGCAAGAAGTGCACCTCTTCATTCGCATGGTCGTTGTACTCGCTGTGTCGAATGCCCGACCCAGCACTGGTGAACTGCACTTCTCCCCGCTTGAGCACCTCCACATTGCCCATAGAATCACGATGGGTCAGCTGCCCAGAGATGATGTAGGAGAACTTGTCGGATACACCGTAGGGATGAAAAGGTCAGCATCGCAAGGAGCACAAAGATGGGAAGCCAAGACGCGCTCGCGTGCCCGCAGCTCGCTCACAATTTCTGCATTATTGTGAGCGTGGGTTGGAAATCCAGTCTTTGGCGCTACTCTGTCCTCATTGAGCACTCTGAGCGGTCCGAAATCTTCAAATCTGGCATCGTAGTAGTTTGCAAAGCTGACAAGAGGAGGTGTTTGTCAGCGCGTCTGAACGTGGGAGCGTCTTGAAGAGCAAGTGTCGACTTACCTAAAGGTATGAAAAGTCTTCAACCAGCCGTGATCTGCTGAGCCCCTCTCATGCCATCTGCGAGGCTGCAATATCGACATCGGCCCGGAGGCCCTTTGGCTTTTGGCAGTGTTGCCGTTGGACATGCTTCGAGAGGTCAGATTGAGTCTTTTGTAGAGCGTGAGAGCGAGTGAGCTGTGATGAGGTGTGACGATGAAGTGGCGTTCAGCTCATGGGCAAGTCCAAGTGAGCGCAGTGGCGAGCATGGGAGTGGGAATAGAGCTTACAGAGAGTGGCCAGAGAGTGGCGAATGCTTGTGAAGAGGCGATGGCGAGGAAAAGGGAAGCTGTGATGTCGAGTGCGCACTCGACGATCATCACCATCAACACCACACAGCGCAGCGCATCTGAATCACAATTCAGGCGGCACTTCCATGCAATTAAGCAATCACGAATGTGGAGCGGTGCCGGTCAGCTCGGTGATGATGGATGCGTGCATGCACCACCGAGGGCTGCTCGTTCGGCGTTAAGCACCTTTTCACCCAACAAGTCACGTGAAGCAAGAAACAGCAGCAGCTCATACGCGCGCCCGCATACAGTTGCGAAGCAGGTTCGTGCGTTGTCCCACCAAGGACATCTTCACCTTCGCCTGCAAGCGAGGGCCAGCAATCAAGAATGTCTGCTTCCAAGTCGACCTCACTCTCACTCCTCAGCAACGCCCTTCCATTCATGCTCAGACTGGCATCGATGCAAGATTCGAAATGACCAGTCTAGCGTCGTCGTCCAAGTCGGCAAGCTCGTCTTTCATCCCCAGCCATGCCCATTCCAAGCTTCTGCAAAAATTGGGAGATTCGCTCAAAGATGGAACGATAGCTGGACCGGATGCAGTCTCTGTCGCCACCGCTCGAGCTTTGAGGAGCGTGGTATTGGCAAGCAGAGAGACTGCTTTGAATGAGATCGAGAGGAATATCAGATCGGCTGGTGCTTGGCTCGGACATTGCTCGGATGGTGAGTCGCGCAATCGACGAGACCGCGTTGGTAGTTCTTTGGCTTGAGGAACCGACAGCTTGGTCTTTTTGGGTCGCTATGTAGCCTCCTGGGAGAACGTGTGTCTATGATGTCACCATCGCAGCCTACTGATCTCAAAAATGTTGACCATTGCTGGATTTTCCTGCCAGAGCAAGCCATTGCGAACACCACATTGAGGGTGCTGCATTTGCTGCACGAAGAGGCAAAGGTGCTCTACAATGAGCGAGAAGGCGAAGCTGCTCAGTCTGTCAAACCAGCGCTCTCAGGCCAGAGCCAAGCTTCTACTTCGTCCGCGTCCACTCACGCGCCTGGTGCTACCTCGACCACGATGCCAGGATCAGCTGCAGCGCATGGCGCTTCTGCTCCTACTTCTGCACGTCCGGTGTTATCTGCCTTCAGGCCTGGTAGCACTTTTAGTATTGCTGATCTGGTAGCTGCGGGAATGGGGGCTAGTCAAAGCGGCATAACGAGCAACGCAGCGAGCGGAGCAGGCACGCCGGTAGGGGGACACGGTGCCAGCATCAGCGGTCTAGAAAAGACCTTGACAGGGCTTTCAATGACTGATTCCAAGAAGGCGTCATCTGAAAGTCAAAGGACCGATCAAGATGTAAGCGAGGAGAATAGCGAGGAAGGAGATGATGAAGAAGTGGAGGAGGATGAAGAGGCGGCAAATGTCGAGGAGAAGGAGAAGGGAAATGAAACGGAATTGAAACAATTGTTGTCGCAGGCCATCCTGGAACTAATCGATGAGATCGGAGAGGTGGATACCAACATTGCGAGAGATGCGAGGGATCACATACACAGCGGGTAAGCTTTGGCAAGATCGCGCAGCATGTAGCACGCCTTTTGCTCGACTGACCCTGCTGCGCCTCCACTGTGCTGCGATTCGATTGCAGGGAAATCATACTCACCATTGGCAATTCCGCAACAACCGAATCATTCCTCAAAGCTGCCAAAGATCGGCATTTTACCGTCATAGTAGCCGAAGGGGCACCCAGGTGAGCTCAAACTTTCTGCAAGATCGCAAGGTGCCGCGCGCGCAATTGTATGCGATGACCAAATACCCTTTGCCATCTGATCATTTGGCACCACACTTCTTCCGCACACAAGCATGTCGGGACATGCGCTAGCCCGATCCCTCTCCACCTCTCCCAACCTAAGCGTACTGCTGGTTCCAGACTCCAACGTGCACGCGCTCATGCCGCGCATTTCCAAGATCATCCTCTCTCCTCACGCAATTTTGCCCAATGGAGCGCTGTTGTGCGCACCAGGTTCTTCGCTGGTTTGCAGTATCGCGAGAGAGAGAAGGGTGCCCATCGTAGCATTGGCAGGTCTACATCGACTCTCTGCAAATTGGGATGTGGTAGGATTGGCAGGAGCGAGTGCGGGGCAAGCTGCGCCAATGGGCCCTGGAAGCTCAGTAGGAGCAATGGCGACGCAAGATCTAATCTTACCTAGGGAATTTTCGAGGCTCAAAGAAGAGGCTGGATTGAACTTTAAAGCATTGGACTATGTCAATCTGCCCGATCTCATCATCACAAACACTGGCGAACATCCTCCTGCCTTTGTCTATCGTCTCATCAAGGAGAATTATAGAGTCGACGTTTGATCGATCGAATTCGATGCACTGCAGCCTCACTTCCAACGCCATCCCTTCGCTTGTCCTGCTCTGCGTCTTGCGGTGGCATGCCGGCAATTTTGTGATGGCCTGCTTGAGCTGAGCTTGAAGTCTACTGGGCCTCGAAATTTGAGGTTTGATTGGCACTCCCACAGATCGAAGCGAAATTTGTTGGATGATCCTGATTCGCGCTTGTTGAAGATGATTTACCGTTGCTCACAACTCATAGCTTGTTGATGTGTTATCATTGCTGCTTCATGGTGAGCGTGAAATCAAATTCAAGCACAAGGCGAGAGGGCCCCAATAGTCACAGTTTGATTGAGTGGAAGTTGATGCGCTGCTACGAGCGATTGTAGTAGTATCGCGCGCTGGTGGTGCATATATGCTGCTGGTCACGAGCTTGATGCATGTATAGAAGACTCATCAAACTGCAAGATGACTCGATCGATCGGCATCGCATATCGTGAAAGCCGCGAATCGAGAAGTGCGAAGCGATGCTTGACTCCAACCCCGCTTGACCTGATCATTCATTTCCTCTCGCATCATCGAAGCCGCACTTTCCTCTTACCGCTAATTTGGCTGGCACGATTCTCTTGGCGCTTCAAATTACTTGCTGCTAGGCTTGCGCTTCCTCTACGTCAGCCGCCGATCAATCCCTGGATCAGCACTCCGCAGCACGCAACACACCAAATTGGCATCGCATCCGTCACTGCAGCACAATTCCCCTCCAGAGTGACAAGCAATGTCAACGTCTCCAATACCCTCGGGCACCACCACCACCACCAGCAGCAGCAGCAGCAGACCCAAAAGACTAAGAATATTGGTGGTCAGGCACGGCGAGACGGATCACAATGTCGCCGGAATCATTCAAGGACAAATAGATACGGATCTGAACGTGATTGGTAGGAAGCAAGCCGAACATGTTGCGAGAGCTTTGAGAGAAGAGAATATAGACGAGGTCTATTCGAGTCCGCTTAGACGCGCCAGGGATGTGAGTCCGAGTGGCCCTTTGCCCTAGTCGCATAGCCTTTGCGGGTTGGTACGTGTGGTGCGGCTCTGGGTCGCACGCACGCTTAGACCATCCCCTTCACCCATCGACGGATCATGTACGCGCCAACCTTCGACATCAGACGGCAGACGCAATCGTTCAAGCTCATCCCAAGCTCAACAAATCAGCATACAACTACTGGCTCGATGATAGATTGATGGAAAGGGGCTTTGGAACGCTGGAAGGAAAGAAATACGGAACGCCGGGTGCTCCGAAGCCCGACACTATCGAAGGCATTGAGCAGGGCAACGAGTGAGTGTCCGGAGCTTGCATTTCCACTCGTACTCGGTACAGGATCGCTGTGCGCTTGAAGCTGGGTCATGCACGGCGCACTCAAGAGCAAGGGAAATGATAGTCTGGAGCAGTCCGCAGGCCGCAATACGCTACGGTGAATCAGCTAAAGCCATGTGGCTACATCTATCCTTTTGCTTCTCGTCCTTTGCAGCTTCCGTGAACGTCTAGCGTCCATTCTGAACGACATCGTTCAAGGTCCAGCACCATGGGCTTCCGATTCTCTCCCTGTGGATACGCAAGCGAATCCTCAAGTCATCTCTCCCTGCTCATCAGGTTACAAAGATGGTACACGTCTAGCTCCTTTGTCCTTGTCGAATTCCAGCGCATCTTCAGGTCAACATCCTTTTGCGCCAGGTGCGGTGGCGACCCAGCAAGAGTCGCGCGTGGCCAACATCGCACCTGGCGGATACACGAACCGAGATCGGACTGTCCTGATTGTTGGGCACGGCGCTAGCATAAGTGCGATGCTTGGGTGAGCAGTCTCGCGTTCCATTTGCTGCCCAGCCCCTTCTGAACGTGCTCTTTCCTTTCAACTACCATCCTGACCTCTGTGCTTTGTCACTGTCGACACACATCAACAAAAGCGATGTGCTCTTGTCGGGCAATTATGCCTACTTGGCCCCCGCAATCTCTCGTACTAGAATATGGAATTGTTCCATCTGCGAAGCCATCGTTCGCTTGCCCCTCTTGCTGACCGATTACGATGCCCAAGAGAGGAGGCAAGTGCAAGCAGGTCATCAATCTCTGAGACGAACATGGCCTATCAGACCTCCTCATCTGAATCCACCTTCGAACAATCCAAAGGCGACGGGCGAAGGGAGCATCATCATAGAAAGATGGGCAGGTGCGCATCTCCGAGAGACCTGGAGGGGGGAGAAAGTCCGGAGCATTTCATTCTCTGCGCTGGCGATTCTTCGCATCGAAGAGACGCTGACCATTTCCTCCCCCTTTGTCCACTTTCCGCACGATGCTTGACAGACGTCAGGCACTTGCCGCAGCAGATCGATGGCGAAGGTATCACAAATGTGGACGAGGAGATTCAGAAAGCCAACTAAGCGCATCGAATGGCTTGGTTGTGAACACCACAGAATGGCAGATCGCAAAGGGCTATAGACAATCATCTTGCTCATTGTATGGTTATGATGTCGACCAATGCATCGCAAAAGTAATCTGTCTCTGGGATGTTGTGAGACTGATGCTGTGAGGGGTCGCGACGTGAAGGCAGATAGTACAAGACCGGAATAGCGTGCAAGAAGTCAAGCGGCCTGATCGCAAGACATGCGTAGAATTAGGCCAGCACGCCTTTGAGGTATAAACGAGTATGTGCACCAAAATGTTAGGCCCAGCGCTCCTGCAGCGCTCGGTTATTCAGCGAGAGGAAGCTGTTCCAAGGAGTTTGGCGTCGACACCTCTTTGGATTCAGCACCTCCATCAGCTCGAACGCCATCGCTCTGATCAGGTGCGCCTGACGCCTTGCCAGCTGCCTCATCTGCCAGCGCCGCCTCCGCCTCCGCCTCCGCAAGCCGTTCCATTTGTTCATAGCTCCTGCAGGCAGCCCACGCGAACCACAATTGAGCTCTGAGCTGCAATACGTCCGCTTTCCAGCTCTTCTGTATCCCATCTGTCATGCCTCTGAATTCTTGCGTCAATTTAAAGCACCTGTCGACGTTATGAGGAGAGATGAAATCGACGGCGACCTTGATGCAATCTGTCAAGTTGCAGACTTGGTGTGCACATCCTGCGGGAATGAACACTGCCTCGTTGGCTCGCTGATAGACCCTCCACGGCTTCACTCGATGCTTGTCGTACAGCTCGCTCAGCAAGCTTTCGTCCAAGTAAAAGTTCTGCGTGTGGATAGGATCTTGCGCTGTGCACTGTTCTGGAAATCTTTGCCGGATGAACGAACGCAACGCGTCCGAATCCTCGGCCCGAAAAAGATCCCACGCTGCACCTTGCGGGACTCCATCGGCCGAGGGAGCAGCATAGAGCATGATGTTGACAGCGTCTGCCATATCCATATGCAAGAGCGTAGATCCCTTGCCTCCAGCAGCTGCAACCACGAGTGTGAAGTAAATCAGCATCAGTCGCTGCGCTGCATTGCGTTGCATTCCGTTCCCAAGGCCCATCCAACTCACTCAAGTCTCCAGGCCAAGCGCAGTACATCTTTGGACCAAGATCAGGAGCGTTGGCGTTGGATGGGAACATTGCAGAAATGTTCCTTCGTCCATCTCTGCGTGAGAGATCAGGCGCTGGCACGGCTTCTTGAAACTCCTTGTACAGCTGGCCGAATTCGTCCGCAAAGTTGGCGCTGTCTGGCCAGTCCTGTTCGCGCCTCACGAAGTTAGAGACAAGCACACACACCTCGGCTCGACCCATCAACGCACCTTGAGCTTCCAAATGCCCTTTCCGAGGGCACCCGTCTTTTCCTCTGCGCTTTTCCCAAACGTGCTGAAAAAGTCTGAGACCATGACCTGCTTGAACGCATTCGTCTTATCGCACCGGACGATGTATGCTCGGTTGCCCTGATTTTCTTGCGCAAAACGTGCGGGACTCCAGACAGATGCTGTGATGACATTCGTGATCACCAACGGCTCCCCTCGGCTCCAAGCGGCGTGGAATGAGTCTTCCGTCAGATTGGCTGTGTCCATGTAATTGATGACAAGTGATCGAACTGGTGCACGGCCTGGGCCAGACGATACACTACTCTGATTCAAAGCTGCAGCATCAGGGTCTGTGCCCTCGCCGAGTACTTGCTCGAGTGGTCCGGGTCCACGATTGGGTTCGCCTGGTGATTGACTCGCAAGGCATTCTTTCATCGCGGTGACTTCACCTTCAAGATCTGCTCGTCGAAATCGTGTCACAGGCACCATCATGTCAAGTTCGTGATGCACTGTAGAGCCCTTCCTGTTTGCCCCAAATCTGCATTTCGCGTATGCAGGTATCTTGTTGCTTCTCCAGACCGCTTGTGCTCCCTGCTCCACTTCGGCCACTAAACGAGCCTGGCATTCCCTACACAGCTCCCTCCCGCACAGCTTGCAAAAGAAGCTGGCAGAGAAGAGGCTGGTATTGCAGGCGTCGCACGAAATCGCTTCCTTTAAGGATCGGCGACGAACTAGGCAGCCCGGCAGAGAGGCGTGCGCCAATTCTTCCTCGAGTAGAGAGAGTAAATGTTTTGCTGCAGTGATCTGCATTCGCATGGAAAACCATTTATGAGCGGCACACTAATTGTGTGGTCATAAGCGCAGCACTCACCTTTGTGACTTTGCGTATTTCCCTTGTCATCGGCAGATTGTATCCATGCCCCGGATCGGGAAATATGGCTGGCTCCTCGGGTTGTACCTCAGAGGCGAAGAAATGCTCGTTATCCACCTCTTCCCTAAGTGTACCTTGCAAGGTGCTCGGCTCCGCTTTGAGTGTAGACAATGGAGGCTTGAGATTGCCGTCGCCATCGAGAGGAAGACACCGCAGATATCTGAAGCGGCATCCATCACCTGTCAATTTCGCAATACAAGCCACGCATCTTGCAAAGTGAGAGATGGAGCGATTCTGACAGGACGTTGACTGATGCTCCCACAAATTTCCATCGATCATTTTGCGCCACTCTGTACGGAGGTAGGGGCTGTCAACGGTGCTGAAATGCCGACAAACATCGGAGATAGCCGACAGCGACTTACCGCTCCTATTGTGTGCTGGCTTGTTGGCCGGTTTCCTAGGCGACTTGGTCTTTCGATCTTCAGAGCTTGGCAAAGCCGCACTCGTAGCCGCGCCATTGCTCTTGCGCTTCGCAGGTTTCGTGCGCGACTTTGAAGGACCCGCATCATTTCTCACTGCTTCCTCAATGGGCAGGTTCAGGTTCCAGCTCAACTTTGAGTTGAGTTCACGCGCCAACACACTGGCTTTGCGCTTGCTGCCAGCAGTCGGTGTAGATAGCGGAGCCGAGGTGAGCTGACCGGACGAGCTGGGCGGCTCAACAAGCTTCACATCTTCCGAAGAGAATTGTCGCGTAGGCGGGGCTTTGCTCTTGCGATCGAGCGTGGGCGTAGCCTTTGCGTCTGAATCGTCGTCGTCATCGATGACGACCACGCCTCGCTTCCTTCCAGCCTTGCGCGGCGATACCTCGTCTTCGTCATAGTCCATCTCGCTTTCGCTGCTTACACTCAACGGCCTCAGTATCTGGGCCTCTGTATGTGCCTCCTTGCCTGTTCGACTCGAAAGCCTCGTCCGCTTGAAAGTGGAGACAAATCCTGAGCCGAGCATCGAGTGTCCAGACGACGATGGCGCTCTAACATCTCGATCTGTACGGGTCGAATCTTTGAGAGAAATGGAGCTCACGCGCGACGGGGTCATCGCTCCCTCTGATGTTTTACTTGCGTTGCTTCTGCGTGAGGGCGCTTTTGATGCGAAAGAGGACGCTTCGATCAGCTGTACTTCATCCTCATCCGATGCAGCAGAGCTGATTGCCGTGAGTGGAGAACTGCGCCTAGATGCGTCATCAAGTCGCTGATCCGCTGCGTCCCTCTGGACCGGACTGATTGAGGAGATGTCGGTGCTGGCCTCGCTAGTGCTTGCTGCTGCGGAAGCACCATTCATCTTGCTAAGTGGCGATGGCAGACCAGTTGCACGCGGGAGGGGCTGGCTGCGCAGCTTGGGCTCGACGAATGCTCGGGTGCTCATATGAAGAGGCAAGCCAGCGAAGCCGCTTCAGTGCCTGCTGCGATGGTGACGAGTCGTGGCGTTCCCAGGTCCGCGAAGTATGACTGTCGCCAGGCGGGCGGGTGCAGATTATCAGATGAATTGTAGCAAAGTGAGGCTAATACTAATGCTGCCCGAGGCAGTGTGGTGAGGTGCAGGCAATCGCAACAGTCGGCACAAGCTCTGCACACCGATCAGGACTGCTGTGGGTGATGAGCAAGAAAGGGGCTGCGAATGAGCAGTGGTCGCACGAGGGTCGATTAAGGGATGGAAGTCGTGTGCATGCTACTGGCGTGTGACAAAGTTGCCAAATATATCAAGTGGCACGGGCGGGCAGCATGTTGCATGCCTGCTGCGCGGCGGGCTTCAGCGCACGCACGCCGGCAACTGGTCACGTGATCAAACGCGCACTTCAAATAACACCTGAAATGTAGTGTGCAACAGTCCACTTTAGGTCAGTGGTTTCCAGTGCAGGGTGCGCGATATGCTCCATCCAGGGTGATGAACCCTGGATGAAAGCAGGAAGACCTCGGTTCGAGCCCGAGGAACTCCTCCTTAAACACACTGTCGAATCCCCTCTCAAGCAGCGACAGCCTCTGAAGGATCACTGGCTGCTAGCGGGTGTGCGAAGGGAGCCACCAACCAGCAGTAACAGCACGCCAGTCGAAGACAGAAGGAAGAGATGCCGGAGACCCTCGCAACTAAAAATAAAGCGAGGGCCTACGGCCCCTGATCTTTTGCACCTATCATTGCCGAACATGAGCATTCGGCGTGAGAGATCTTTTGCTTCTCCTTTGGAGTTGCATTGCCAGTCTTGGAGAGTCGGATAGGCTATAGCGTCGCGCGGGCGGCCATGCTACCCATCGATGGACGCACTCGCTCCACTTTCTATTGTGTTCGCGTCAGCTCGTCAGCATGTCCAAAGTCGGATGGCACCATGCATCCAATAAGCGCCGCTGTACCTATCGTGACGTGAATGGCGGTCCGGCGCTGGCGCGGGATGCGCGTCTTTGCGCGTGCTCCTCAGACGCGCGTTTCGCGCAGGCTGCCTAGCCCCGCCTCCCCGCCTCCCCCCACGCCACCATCCTACACTGTATGCAAACCTCGAGCCCGAGTGCGCTTCGTCGGGCATCGGTTTGGAACATCTTTCTTCGGGTGATTACGCATCCTCAAGTGCAACAGTCCCGGTGTAATCTGGGTTCCTCGATCCAATGTCGATCCACGATTCTTAGCACATGCATTCAAGTGGTGATGACAAGAGTCTTTGCCGTAGCTTCCAAGACCTCGGCTGTGGGTCTGTGGGGGAAGTTAGGGTCCTTGTTCTGCTGTTGCCATTGCTCGCCATGTCTTGGTTCAGCCTTCTTGCATCTTTCCCTCACTGCCAACCTGCTCTCTTCCGTTCCCTGTGCCGTCTCGAACTTGTACCACCAAGCCCATCCATCTCCCCAGTCAGGATTTGCCTTTGTACACCTTTCGAACCATTTCCTGGCCTGCTCGTACTTTCTGTCGTTCCACATCATTCGTGCGATGGTGCCAAGGATCTGAGCATCTTGATCCGTCTTGTTCAGAGCGTCCGCGCTACGTGTTCTGCGAGCTGCTCGCGATTCCAGCCAGATGTCCGCCGACCACAAAGCAGCGGCATTGGGGTATTCTTGCAGTCCTCTCGCTATCAAAGCTTTCGCTTGGGGCGCATTTCCGCTCCTCTCCTCCACTCGGGCAGCTTCCACCCAGATAGACACCTTGTCCTCTGCCTTTGACAAGCGCGCCTTCTCTAGCAGCGCGCGAGCCCGAATGGAGAGACCAGCACGTTCCTCTAATCGACTCGCATTGATCCAAAGCGGAGTGCTGGATGGACAGGCTCGCAAACCCGCGGATAGAGCTTCCCTTGCAGCTCTGAGATGCGCATTATCAGTTCCAGGCGGTGTGGTAACTTCAACCAGCTGAGCATGCATGAGGTGCAGTTTCCAGAAGGAAGGAAACACCTTGATCGCTTGCTTGACCAGATCCAACGAGTCTGCAAGCTGTCCTTCTTCTCGTGCAAATACTGCGCTTTTGAGCCAGACCCTCTGACTGTTCACCTCTTGCCTCGCACGCTGCAAGAGCATAGCCGCTGCCTGTTTCTGACCATTTTCGGCTTCCAGCTTCGCAGCAGCCAGAGAGATCTCCTCGGAGCCCAGGTTCTTCTCGAAGGCGCGAATGAGCACCTGTCTTGCGCCGGCCACATCTTTTTGCCCTTGCCACTTCTCCTTGGCGTAGATGAGCCACAGCGTCTCGGCTTTGGGACACATGGTGACTGCCCTTTCTAAGATTGCTTCTAGCGAATCCGTCGTGCCGTATTTGCGCTCCACGTCCACCGCGATCCTCCAGATGCTCTGTCGATCTGGATACTCACGCAGCGTGAAGGCGAGAATAGCGCGCGCAGTCTCGACGTTGCCATGTTCCAAGCAGGCCTGAGCATCTTCTACCCAAACTGTGCGCCGATCTTCCTCTTCCACGTCGATGGTGATCGTGGCCTTGACGATAGCCGCACAACTCATGGGGCTACCTTCGCGCTCGACTCTCTCAGCTTCTTTGAGCCACTGGTCTCTGGACAAGACAGCGCCAGCCTTCTGCAAGCGCTTGACAGCCGTCGAAAGAGTTCTGTCCAGCAAAGTCTGCGTCTCATCGACAGGCTTGCCTTGATCGGCATTCGTCTGCTCAATCAGCCTTGCAGCAGCTATCCAGATCTCGTGACTACTCGGTAGCGCCTTGCGAGCCTCGTTCAGCACCTTTTGTGCTTCTTCTGGAGACGAGAGGCGAGCGAAGGCAAGCCATAGATCCACAGATCCAGGGACTGCAGTGACCGCACCGCTGAGCAGAATCCTTGCATCCTCGTGAGACTCTTCCAAGTTGACGAGCTCCTTCCACAGTTTGATAGAATTGGGGACATATTCCAAACTCTTCCTCAACACTCTCTTTTTGCTGTTGGAATCTGTTTCGAGCTCTGTAGCCTTCAGCCAGATCTTGACAGAGGTCGTGAGTCCAGCTGCGATTGACTTTGCCAGAATGACTTTGGCATTGTCGCGCGTGTTCAGCCTAGCAGATTCCAGCCAAACATCTTCCGACAACTTGCACTGTTCACATCCTTGCGCGATGACCTTTCTTGCTGTCACCATCTTACCGGCCACTTCTTCCAGTCTTGCAGCTGCGATCCATCCAGGGGCGTGTTTTGGGTTCGTTTTTATTACGCTATCAAGCAACGCCCTGGCTTTCTTGATATCTCCAATTTCAGCGCTGCTTTTGATCTCCGTTCCCGCCAGACCTGTCAAGTATCCTTGCGTGTCGATTGAAGAAGCGGTGCCTAGTGTCGATTGGGTGCCATCGGACGTGCGACTGCTCGAACCTGCTTGATCCAGGTTGTGGGAGAAAATCTTGTTCCTCGCCTCTCCGATCTCTGTTAAGCTCGTCATGGCGCCATTGAGAGTAGATGATGTGCCATTGCTGTTCATTTGCTCTTCGCTCAGCGCCTGCTCGGTCATGTTACGGTCCCGATTCATGAGCAGCACGCTGTCCGGTACGTTGTACGTCTTGTCGTTTCCAGCTCGAGCAGCCGCCGCCTTCCTCCTCTTTCCCGTCAGGTTACCGGCTTCTGGCAAAGCGCTCCAGTCATCGTCGCTCATTGTTGACAAATTGCGCTTGAGATCCGCGAATTGAGCCTGAATCTTTGGTCTTTCTATACGCAGCTTTTCCAGCTCTGCCTTTTCTCTTGCCTCCCTTTGCTTCCTTCTCCTGGCATCCATCTTATCATCGATGTTGGCCCAAATACTATCGGCTTCCTCATCATCACGCTCATACACCGTCCCTGCAAATAGACCAGTCTCGTTCTCTGGATCTTGATCTTCATTCGTGTCTTCCTCCTGCAGTGTCTCTTCTCCACGACGCGCACGGGCTGCATTGATCGTCTCTAGGCTCGGACCCTCACGGGCTGGACCAATGTCTGACCGAGTGGTGAAGCCTGATGCGCCTCGGCCCAGGCCCGCAACATAATTGGGTGGCGGCGCCTGTACAACGAGAAGCACAGAGGAAAGCGCAGCAGCGAGTGGCGACAAGTTAGAGCCTGCCCGGTAGGCAGCGGGATACGCAGCACGACTCACCTGGGTCAAGAATGCCAGCTTGTTGTTCACAGAAGCCATCTTCGCGAACTGGATTCTTGGCGCCCTGTGCGGATTAAGTGATCATCGACGACGTGATGATCGTGGTATGAGCTGGTTTTAGGGATGGAGATGTTGGATTCGCAGCTCAGCGCTGAACAGTCACAGTCACCAGTCACGATCGAGTGAGCGTGCTGTGAACTCATGACAGAGCTGCATTTCGATGCACATGCAGGGCAGCGTGTACGCGTCCCACCCACCCCTACCTGCAGCATGCATTCTTCCTACTTTTGAAACGTGATGAGTCTGCTGCGCCTTCACGATGACAGTCTTGACTCCTCATATCTCCCTTCCACCACCGACATCCAAGGGAACATCCACAGCAGCTGTCGAAAGCTTCGTTCATTGCAGTCATTGGTTGAAATCGCAGCTTTCCCCTCGGACAGCATTCAAGAAAAGCGATTCCGACTCACGCGCAGTGCAAAGTCCAACTTCATTTACAAACGACCTGCAAGTCTTGGACAAGGATGTCAGCTGTGAGCAACATTATCCGCTCAATTCCTTCGGGATGCTACAACGCATGCTGACGTCTACACACACTCCCTTCGTGAGCGCAGCCCGTCAATCCAAAGCCTTTCCTGCAGCAACAGATGGGCAAGCCCGTGCTGGTTCGTTTGAAGTGGGGCATGGAGTACAAAGGTTTCTTGGTATCTACGGACAATTATATGAACTTCCAAGTGGGTTCTCGCTCGCTCGCTCTGCGCTTGGTCTGCTGCACGCGGGACTTCGGAGAGCTGATTGGTTGAGATCGCCGTTCTCTTTGCTTGCTTATCCTCAGCTTCAAAATACGGAAGAGTTCCAAGATGGAAGGTCGAATGGAATGCTGGGTGAGGTCTTCATTAGGTGAGCTGCGCTGCTGTTGTCTTCGCTGCAGACATTGGGTTTGCTTGTACATCTCGCTGCATCTCTCATCGGGACGGACGTCCTCATTTGCGTTCAGCGCGGCATCGCTGAACATCTCATCTGCACCCTTCGCGACAGGTGCAATAACGTCCTATACCTGAGGGAGCTGGGAGATGGCGGATCATAGGCGTCGAATATTGTCATCGATCGCTCGCAAAAGTCGATGAGGCGATCTCAGATAGATACGAAATGCGACCATCACACTTCGAATCATTGGCTGGAGCCAGGCTGGCTGATTGTATGCAGTTGGGACTAGTTCTAGAAGCTCGAGATATCGACAAAAGTACAGAGAGTTCGCGAACGATTTGGAAGATTCATAGAGAGCGAGAAATCAGAGATAAGTGCCTCCGTACGGTCTCGGCACTCAACATCCCATCCTGCAGCAAGGGTTGCGTGCAAGGCCATCACCAAGCTTGAGAGTGCTGTCGACGGAAGTCAGCGGCACTCTGCCTTTCTACATGCTATGCAAGCTTGGGATCTTCACGAGGAGAGACAAGCATGCCAGACGCTCTTGCTGGCTGCTAACGCAAGCTTAGAGCATGATCGTGGAGTAGAACCTCGCTAGCTGATCCTGCTTCTCACGCGCCAGACGCTCTTCTTCGTTGTACCGGACGTTATCCTCCGCAATGGCGTCGACGTGAGTGACAAGATCGATGTTTGCCTGTGCATCAGATGATTAAGCGATGGCTCATCGTCAACCGCTGGCTCTGTCAGCCTTGCAAGGCACCAGAGACTTACAGCTGGGATGATACGGGTCTTGAGCTTCAGTCTGAAGAGGATATAGAAAGCAAAGCAGAGCAAAGGTGGAAGGTAGCTAGAGATCAAAATGCCAGCGTCGAATTTGTGAATCACCTCCCAGCCAGAGACGATGGTCAAGGTGGTCGTCATGCCCATCACGAACCACGCGCCAGTAAGCTGTCAAGAGGCGTCACAAGCGAGGAGAAGGGAGGGGTGGCCAAAAGGGTGAGCACGCCGACCATTGGAAGGCTGAGTTCTGCGTACTCACCGCACCAACCGCGGTGAAGGGCAAAGATTCGTGTGCCATGCCCTGGGCTTTCATTCCTGCTCTGAATCGGATGTATGCAAAAGCAATCGCCCACCATCCCATCATTGCGCTGATGGCCGAAAGTCGTTGCAGGAAGCTGTGAGTCCACATAGAATGTGTACATCAGCCTGCAAGTTCTCACTATTGTAGCCCGCGAAGCGGTTCGGTCTTTTGCATCCTTGGCTGTGACGAGTAGTTGCAACTAGCACTCACGTAAAAAAGTCGTTGGCACCGAAAATATCGCCTAGGAAACAGATACTTGCAAGGACGCAGGCTGCCAAGACGCAAGTCCAAGGCAGGCCATACGGAGTGACATACTTGAACTGCTTTGGAGCATATCCTTTCTGGGCCAAGCTATACAACGAGCGAGAGGCGACGTAGAGAGTGGCGCAGCCTGCCGATATGGTTGCTGCAACGATGGCCGCGTTCATCTTCCAGGCGCCATCACCAGTGTCCAAAAAGTCTCGATCTGAGCTGCGAAGACTTTCAAACACGAAGCACGAATGAAGGGCCGTGTAACTCACGAGGTGTGGAAAAGCTTCATTGTCCCAATTTGATGGCAAGCCTTGAACATCAGAGGGCGCTCTTCCGAAGGGGCCAGATATACTTACTGTGTATGCGCGCATGCTCCATAGCGATGATGAAGGCCGAGGTACCTTTATGCTCCGTCACGAGAGCCGGATCGTCCGCAGGAACTACCATGCCCAGCACAAAGCTGTGGACAAGCGTCATGCCAGTGAGTCGACTCTTGAGTATCTGTGCTTGAGCAACCATGACCCAGCTCACGTGATTCCAATGTACACGAAACAGATCCTCATCTTGACGATGCCCAGAGCCTTTGGAAGAACCCTTCGAGGATTCCTCGTCTCTGCTGCTGCTAGCGCCAAAAGTCTGTCGAGAGACGATCAGAGAGAAGAGGATGATCACGTCATTGAGCCGGCAGTAAACTCACTCAATGCCCTGAACGGTCCAGTGTAAAGGGCAGTCGGTGTGAGCGATATCGGTGCCGTCTTGTAGCTCCTACTTTTCCTACTCACACTCATGCTGAATGCAGCTTGGATGGTCGCGCTGAGCACGCCAGCCAACCTGCCGAGCGGACCATCAATCTTGTAGTCTCTGATCGGCGCATATGGGGGTTCCCAATACTTGAAACGAATCACTTTGGCGTTGGGGCCAGCTCCAGCTGCTATCGCGATGCAGATGAAGAAGCAGACTACCCTGTTGAACATAACCAGATCCGACGCTCAGCATTTGCTTGTCAACGCTTGGAATCCAGGGTCAAGGCATCGCCACTTACAGTGCGAAAAGCTTGCCAAGAGAGAACCACATCCTGCAAAATGAAACGCAAAATGCACTGCTTCGATGCTACCTGTCTATCTTCGCCTAGGCCAATGTCACTCACTCGCATTCTCCATACAGCCTAGCGGGAAGACAGTTGATGGACAGGACGGTGACCAAGCCCAGTATCATGAAGAGGGCAGGTGCAAAATCCGTCCAATATCCTACCATGACCGACAAAGCGTTGATCTCTGCTGCCAGCGTGAAGCATGCATTCAGCATGATATTCCTGCGCGGCAACGGACGGCCAGATGGTGTGAGCGAGGAGAATCGCCCAATCACGAGTCAAGCTTCTGGATGAGGCTATGCTCACCAACCGATCACGGCAGACAATGCAGGATCGACGAAGCGGCCAGCCAATCGAATGTGGCCTCCGTTGAGCGGCAAGAAGCTGATCATCTCCCCGCTGTAATTTAAGGGTGGAACCGCAAAGGAGAGAGCATTCAGCTTGGAGGTCGGAGGCTTTCTGACACGTCAAACATACAGGCAATTCATGAGAAGCCACACGGTGAGGCTCATGATCATGTACCCGATCAAGAGTCCCAAAGGTCCAGCATGGGCAAGTATGCCGCCCGTACCGAGCCAGATCCCTACTCCAACAGCGTGTCCCCACGAGATGAAAGTGACGTGTCTAGGCTTAAACTCTCTATGCAGCTCGTGCGTTCCGTAGTCCGCTCGACTGTCTGCTCCAAGGAAGGGCAAAGGTGCGGTAGCGACGCAAGCTGTGGGTCTGTCGCGATCGGAATCAGCACGTCCTGCCCGACTAGAGGTACCAGACACGCTGTTGGGGGCTGCAGCGTGGGGTGATTGAAGTGCACCTTCACCACCTTCGGCCCGAGTTCGACTGCTCTCAGCTGCACCATACGCTGGCACTTCGATGGCGTCGTTCATGTCCAAGTAAGACTTTTCTTCTTGACCGTTGACGTAGTTGGGAGAGGTATGAGCTGCGGGAGGATAGGCTGGTAAGCCCCTCGCTCTCATCTCCATCGTCTCGGATGACTTGCGACATGGCGACGCGAAAGCAAAGTTGAGGTAGTGATCGTCCGACATGCTGCTGGCGTTGCTTTCGCTGCTCTCGTGTCGTTAGAGGACCTGCAGTGGGAGGCAAGGGGAGCGTAGGGAACGCAGGGAGCAGGAGAGGGGATGGGTGACACGACAGGATTCTGCGAGAATAGCGGGGCCAGCAGCAGGGATGAAGTGCGCATAAGGGCAGCGACGCTTTGACGACCTTGTACGCGTTGAGCTAGGCCTCTAGCTTTATTCACAATTAACATTGACTCACAATTGCAGTGAGCAGAGGCAGTCTCTGACGGACGAGCGGAATTCGAAAAGCGGGGACTCAAAGTTGAGCTCGAGTTTGAGTCACTTGATGTGTCCATCGATGGATGTTAACCACTTTGGTCATTCTCGATTGAACGCTGGCACATGGATTTACATTCAATTAAGATTCTGCAGCGGTTGGATGCGCGCTTTGTCGGTCTGTGGAGACTTTGAATCAAGAATGTCTGCTCATGTGCCATACGACCTTGTGTATACATCATCTGTATCAGCTCAAACGTATGTAGCTGTTGTGAGGAGCAGACTTTTGACTACAGTGCGCAAAGTACCTCATTTGACCGCCAAATGGTCGTTGCACGAAGCGCGCCTCAACCTGATTACTACTGTTGCCGCGTCCCAAATTGTGTAATCGCACTTGATGAGATTCTGATTCGAGGGTGGAGATTCTGTAACATTTGAGAGCGTAGAGCAAAGCTTTCTCTTCGATTGGGAGCATCCTGGACATAGACATGTACAGCCATAAGTTTGAATGCTAACGAGTCGCAGCTGGTCCGACGCGAACAAGGTCTTGTATCTGTATGTCTGAGGAACAGGAGTGCCCTCTCGAGGCGTGCTCATCTGCGAATGGCGCAATAAAGAGGCTGTACTCGCACGTACAGGGGTCAGGGTGGTATATGTATCCGTCCTGCTTATCATTGTATGGCACGTGCTGCGCGAATAAAGAATCAAGACTCAAGACTCAAGACTCGAGCGAGTCGTGAATTGAGTCAGTAGTGAGTCTTGAGTTTGAGTGTCATGTCGAAATTCGTGATTGGATGTGAGTGTCGAATGCGGTCCAAAAGTCACACTTGTGAGGTTGTGACTGCGGTTGCACTCACGACTCGACGCATCAGCGGGCTCGAAGATCGCTGTGCAGCAGGAGAACGAGCACACCTGTGAGCTGCGGGCTGCGGCACCGAGGGGCTACAATAATAACTCAGCCGTGATTCGTGATTGGTCAGTTTCATCTATGCTTTGGGTTCCGCTTCCGCGCGGTCGCAAAATCACGCTGGCTCATCGTTGCGTGGCCGGAAATCTGCGCTTCTTGAAGACGATTGAAGTTCAGTACACGCTACCGCAATAAGTCAAAGTAACATCACGAGCACGGAGGAGATTGTCGGGTGAGCTCTAGCTGCGATGAGACATTCACGAGTGTCTGCTACATGGCATAGCGGTACCTAAATGTTGCGCACAGCCATGCCCGCGCATCCATCTCCATACGTATATCCGTCGTAGGTAATATGCGCGTCGGCCCATTCCATCCCAGCCAAGCGAAGCCAGAACCATGGACCAGTTTGGTGCAGACGACATGTCCTACTCGATCGGCCCCGCGTAGAGTCAAACTATACCAACACTCTGAACAACTTCCACGCACGCACAGCTTGGCTCGTTTTGTGATCGAACAACCGCTCCTCGTTATTCGGGGGTACAGGTACAGAAGAGAAGCGTGGTCGCATGAGTAGAGCAAGGGAAGTTACAACCGATTTGTCACACGTCAGGACGGGACCCATGAATTGGCCGCTCTGATCGGCTGTTAAAAAAGATCATATCAAGATAGGCTTGCTGCAACGCGCGCGTCCCGTCCAATCGAGTGCTGAAAAGATGACATTAGGTCAAGTCTCACTTGCAAGGCCAAAATGGTCAAGGGAAACCAAAAGTCGTAGCCGATGCGTGTTTGTTTCGTGATGGTGACGTACGAATCCGCGTTGCGCAGCTGCCAAAGCACATTCACATGCAGTCAGGTCGTTCCAAGTTTGGCGGTTGCGCGCGGCAAGCCCCTCGAATGCAAGGTTCTGATAGCGTGTAGGCAGGCATGCAGCTCTCCTCAAGCGCTAGAGGGCACAGGCCCCCCTTCTTCCTCCGGCCTCGTCTGGTTCACCGCATCAGCTCGTTTCATCATGCTCTCCACCGCCCTCGCAGCGCTCTTCTCAGCCCTCAACTTGGCAGCCGCGCGCAGTGATTCGACATACACCTGAAATTTGGTGAGCCTAGAGCAGCGTTGATGCAAAGCCACCGTGTCAGTCGTGAAGATTCCCCCGCTGGTGAACACCATCGATACTCACTCTGCAAGCAACCACTGGCTCTTTGTTTGCCAATTCTGAAGCGCTTTAGCATGATTGTTGCCTTTGGGACTGTAAAGCAAGCGCATCGGCTCTCGCAACGCATTGTGTTCTTCCAGCTCCTTCTCAATCGTAGCCACTCTGCGAAGGCAAGCCTCGAGTTGCTCCTCTTCCTTGAGCGTGCTTTGCGTGGTCGGTGCGATAGGCGCCTTCCAGTCGTTGATGTAGATGCGTTCGTTTGCGTGGACACCAGCAGTCCCTGCGCTCGAAAAGACGCTGGACCCACCCGACGTGCCCTTCACAGACAGACCTGGTGAGCCATTGGCGGTACCAGGTGCCAGTGAAGCTGCAGCGTCTGTCCAATTTTGAAACAGAGACCCGCCAATTTTCGCTCGCCCCGATCGTCCAGAGCGACCGCTTCGAATGCTGCGGTTATCGCTCGCGACTGCGCTCGCAGATGAGCCGGCAGCCTGGTTGCGCGACGAGGCGGTGAGCGTAGAGTAGATGCTGGCGTCGGGAGGGGCAGAGCCCAAACGCGCAGGAGTGGCTTGTGTCACGCTCAGCGAGTCCATCGACCCCAAGCTGCCCGCATGACTTGGACGACCGTGCACACTCTGTGCCATGGATTCGCGCGGTTCATCGTCCAGCGTACCGCGCTCGCCATCCTCCTCATCGTCGAAATCGTACTGGCTCTTAGGCAGCACCTTGTTCCAGCCGTACTCCATGTTGCCAACAGCACCTCCCAAAGGCTCTCTGCTTTGTCGGGCGGCCCAGTAGTTACAGGTGGACACCCACTCTTGCACCAGCTCTTCATGTCCGGCTTGATAGAAGTACACGCCACCAGTAGGCAACGTCAAAGCCAAGACGTGGGGTCGTGCACGGTTGTATCCAGGCGGAGGCAGCGCATTCGCCAGGGTGTGGGCCAAGGAGAAGTCCCCAAGCGGTGTAGCATTGGACAACCAATTGCCTCCTCCAACTGCAGTGGCAGCTTTGGAAGTAGAACCGCTGACGGCGCCAAAGCGAAATACGGAAAACAGACCCTTTTGTACAACGACAAAGACTTCGAGCCAATTCTTGTCTTTTGCGCGTCTCTGCGGGCCTTCCCAATAATGCTTTCGGTTCAGCATGCCTTCTTTGGCCCAGGGTGGACCCATGAGCGCCAGCTCCTCGTCACTCAGCTCGTCATCTTTCAAGCTGGCATCGCTCGTGGCGTCGTCCTCGTCATTCGCCTCCTTGACAATGCTGTGAGAAAGCGTGTTTGCGAAGCCCAAGGTCAAAGGCGTTGCGCGTTCCGCAGCGGCGCTAGAGACCGGAAATTGACTATTTGGCGAGCTCAGTGCGGAGCTAGCAGGTGTCAAGCCGCTCTCCGCAAATGATCGAGATTCGAAGCTGCTCGGCGTCAAGCTCAGGTTGTCTTCGCTTCGAAGCAGCGTAGAACTGCTGGTGCCAAGTAAGCCTTGGATTCCCCGAATACTACCGCGTTTGAGCGCGCTCACACGCTCGGAACCAATGGTGAGCGTGTTGCCGCCTCGAAGGGTTCGGCGCTGAGCTCCGGTGAGCATGGGGCTGAGAGCATCCTTGCTTTCCGCAGTAGGCAGTCTAATCTGGTCGCTTTTGACCGCCGCATATATTTCCTGCAACGGGGAGCAGATGGTACGCGTGAGCTCAAGGACGTTTCGACAAGCTGAACCACATCGCGGTCATTCACCTTGAGCAGACCTTCAAGCTCCACTTCCCAAGCTCGTGACCTGGCTGCGGTGTGACCCTCTAGGCTCGACTTCTTGCCGATACTTTGCGCCGCTCCAGACGCGGATGGCGGGTATTTGCCAGATGTCGAGTCACCACCCGCGCCGACAGTGTGCGAGCTTCCAGTCGCAGCAGCGTGATATCCTGCCGACTTGACGCTGCTACCGCTTTTTGAGGGTTTGCGTTTGAGGCTCGAAGAGCCTAGCGCATCTGAAGGCGTACCGACTCCCGACGAACTGTCAATGGTGACATTGAGACTGCTTCTAGAGTCGTCTGCATTTGGATGACCGCTCGTCGAAGTGAAGCTTTCGTTCCGTGCACTTTCGCTGATGGCAGAGAGCGTGTTGCGCACAAATTGGTTGCGTGTCATCCTCTCGACAATATCAGCGACGTGAAGATCGGTGTTGAGCAGGAGCAAGGAGAAGACGAGCGAATGCACCACGTCCGCGCTCGTGTAGAGCGGCAAGGGGTTGCAAGCCCAGAATCGTTCGCTGAACGCAAAAAGGATTCGGTCCACCTGTTGCGTCTCTGCGCGGAGGAAGAGCTTGTCGCACAGCTTTCGAAACGCATCGTCCACGCGAAGTCCGGTAAAGTCAAAATTGGTCATGTAGAGCGATCTCGCCGTCGACTTGACCAATCCCAGGCCGCCTAGACTTTCAGCGACCTTTTCGCGCTTGATGATCGACTCGTCCTCCTCCCAGCAAGCATGCGCGAGCCTTTTCGCCTGCGCCTCGATATCCACCGCAGGATCCGTTGAATCCATCGCAGTAGCGCTCACACTGCTGCTGGCACTTCGGCGTGGACTCTTGGTGCTGGCGAGTTCAGCTGGAAGGGCAGCCAGTTTGCCTGCGGGCGTTCCGGATGGGGAAGCCCGTCCAGCGCGCCGCTGACTTGACGCAACAGTCAGCGCACTGGAGGGCAGAGGGCCCAAGTCCGAGACTTCCCTCGCATGCGTCTTCTTTCCCTTTGCTCCAGGCTCCGTCTCGGTGGGCGTGGTGGGCTCGTCATAGTCCTCGTTCTGAGGTACTAGGCGTATGGAATGCTCGGCATCCAAAGATTCATCAGGATCTGGTGAGGAGCTAGCGGCGGCGGCGGCAGCACCATCGAGGAGAGGAGATCGTGGCGGCGGGGGGTCCTTTGTGCCTGCAGCATTCGCTCTGGCTTGCAAATCTGCCCTCCTGAAAAAGAGCGACCCGGGATCGACGGCGGTTTCGAAGCTCCTTGCACTTTGGGTCGAGACGTTGTCCGAGCGCTTGCCATGACCCTGCAGCTGCGGATCCACCACGCCGTCGTCCTCAACATCGGCCGGCGTTGTTAGGATCTGCGGAGAGCTTGGCAAGGACGCATCCACTTCGTGTGTCCAACCAGGCGCCGATGCATTCCGAGGCCTCGGGTCAAGCGCGTATGCGGATGCGGTGGTGTTCGGTGCAGTCACTTCAAACGAGCCACGCCCAGGCGAGACATTACCGGCGGTACGCTTGCCAAGAGGGGCAATTGGCGATCGCTTGAAGCTGGTCGGCGATCTTGCCCAGCCCTCCGGCGTCTCTACGGCCCCGAGAATGGCATCAGCTGTCCTGACGCCGCTCGTAGAGCCCTTGTTGTTGCTACGGCGATCAAAACGGTCCAAAGTGGCCGGTTGACTCCAATGTTTTGTTTCATCCTCATCGCCCATGAAGCTGCCTGACCTGGAGGTGTTGGCATCAATGCCGTGCAGATCCGGTAAAACGGGACTGGGAGTCCAGGAAGGCAGCGGTGCAGCAATCTTGGTCTTGGTGTCTAGATCTCTAGCCGAATCCGCAAAAGTCTCGTCCATCTGGGTCTGCCAAGCTTTGAGAGTGTGTCTCATTTCGCTGCCACTGGACGTGGACCCACCGACATTACTATCCACTTTTCGTTTATGGCTTTGATTGGGGAGCCTTGGAAGCTGCTGCGCAAGGTTGTGAGAGGCTGATCGCTGATTGACGCTGGGCTGCGCATTGGAAGCACCACCAGAAGTCAGAGGAGCAGAACCGGAGCGAGCTTGTGCATCTTTGGCGAGGGGCAAAGGAGGATTGCCGATTCCGATCGGACTTGATTTGTCCTTCTTCGAAGCCTTGGACATGCGGCTCCCGAACCCCCCAGATGTCTTGCCGAGTGTACTTTGCTCCTGAGCCCACTTAGCGGGCAGCGATGGAACGGGCTCCTCTGCGTAGTTTGTAGCCGCGCGAGCATGTTCAGCACGGCTGGTCGGAACGCTCTTGGTGCTGGGTGCTTGACTGGCAGCACCATCCGAGACAAAGCTGCTGTTGCTAGATCTCCTTTGCAGCGAAGCATGGGGTCCGACCGGTAGTCCCAGAGGCGGCAAAGCCAAATTGACCGCGTTTGCTGCATTTTTAGCATCCGTCTTTGGGTCCTTGTCTCCTCGAAGCTTTCTCAAGAAACCACTCGTCTTCTTCAACCTTTGACTCAAAAAGGTTCCACCTGGCTTGTCGCTGCCACTCGGGTCGGGGCTACTTAGCCCAACTTCTTGTTCCAACCCCACGCTAGAGCCGCTTGGGCTGATTGGGAATGCTGAGTTTGACCAGGCTGTCGGGGTCGTATTGACAGTCGCGGCCGGCGACCGCGCCGTTGATTGCGGATCTCCCCGACTACTAGATCTTGGGAACGGAACAGTGGGATTGAGAGTACGACTTGGGGTTGGGCTCAATGCTGCAGAGCTGTTACCAGTCGCAGGCGGCAAGGAGGAGAGCGCAAGCATGTTGAGATCGTTTCCGCTCCCAGACTCGTTGGCCGAGACGACGTGCGCGGCGTTTTGCCGACTAGTAGCGGCCTTGGCTTTGCCAGTAGGCGTCAGTGTGGCGCCATTTCTAGCAATTCCAGCTGAGCTCGAATTTGCCTTGGCAGAGCCACTGAGTGGGTGAATAGGGAGGCTCGGAGCGGAAAGTTCTGCTGCACTAGCTATCGGGCTAGCACCTCCGCTCGGAGGTGTTGCATACCTCCCACTTGTCGCGCTCGCTCGCGTGCTCGTACTAGGATTTCGCTCGATATTGCGAGGTGGACGTGCTGGAGTCTGAGCGCTCTCCTTTGGAGTGGGAGTTTGGCTCGTACTTGCGGAAGCGAACTGATATTGACCAAGACGAGGAGTCTGCTCTGACAGTGGTCCTCGACCACCTGTCGAATCCGGCGAGTTCTGCGCTTCGCGGGCGTCGTAAGTAGTGTTGGGAATTCTAGGCGAGCTCCGGTCCTGACCCGCAATCGAGTGAGTGGAGCCCCGACCTGCCCCACCAAAGAAAGTCTTGGCCTGGTTCGCAGATAGCCTGCCGTCCTGATCGTTATCCGCGCGGTGGCGAGTGCTCGAGTAGCGAGGCGGGACATCCTCCTCAGGCTCCGCGTCTTCGATTGGCTCATCTCTCATCGTGTCCTGTATATCGCCGCCCACATCCGACGACAGCTTGTAGGTCTCGTCCGAGGCCAAGAGCTGCTCGAACGTCTTCCCAGTACGTTGACCCGTCGTTGTGGTGCCGGAGGAAGAGCTGGTGTTGGATCTGGAAGGCTTCAGCGTTGCGACGTTGGACAGACCCGCTCCTAATTTCGTCGCTGTAGATGCGCTGTGCTCGCTGCCCGTCAAGCTTCCATCGGCGGCGCTCGCAAAGCTTGTGTTGCTGCCAATGGTGCTAGCTGTACCAGGTCTTTGCCGCGCTCCAAATCTGCTGGACCCTTCGTTGACAGAGCCTCTCTGCGCGCTCCTGCCGTATGGTCCTCGACGCTGCGAAGAGCTAGATTGCGTAGAGACGTCGGACGGTCTTCTCACCTCCTCAGGTGCTGGTGCTCCACCGGTCTGAATGGTACCTGACATGGACATACCGCCGCCGATGGAAGTGTATGATGAGCGCTAGCAATCTCGGGCTGGAATTGAATGGGTCTCCTGGATGTGGGCGGGAGACTTGGATAGAGCTGCAATTCAAAACTCCAAAAGCGCTTCAACGGAAGGCGTTTGTGCGGTAAACTTTTGCGTGAAGTGGCACTTTGTGGCCGCTGCCGCTCGCTTTGTTGAGGCAGACGAGCGATGTGTGACGATGTTTCGATGTGGACGCGAGCTGGTGTAAACGCCGCGTGAATGGTGAGGCGCTAGTGGTGGACTTGAAGGGCGGACGAGAGGCTGTATGCGGTCGTTGAAGCGCCCGAGCACAGTTGCAAATGAGATGAAGATGAGCTTAGGAAGCAAAGGGTGGGATGTGGCTGCCTCTGCAAGGACGGCCCGTCTGTGTGTGCTGCTGGTTCCACGACTGGCGGTGTGTGGTGTGATGGAAGCCAGGGGCGCTATCTTGACGCGGGCCGACGAGGCTTGTCCCCTGAGCCGCGCTGGGTATTGCGAATGCTGCTACTCGCTCACAACGGAGCACGAAGAAAGCTCGTTGGAGAGCTCGGGCAGAGCTGACCAGTCGCTCAGATTGCACGCGTCGCGGCTGCACCAGTTACGAGCGCAAGTGTTATCAAGTATACGCGAGCCAAAAACGGACCGGCAGTCGTGTGATGTCCGTCTGTTGTCTTGAGAGATCTAGGTTTCCGATTTGCTTGCGCCGACGCCCATCAGGGATCGCGTGTGGTGCGACGGCTGAGTGGATATAGCGCATCAGAGATCGGGTTGGGAGACAAAGGCTAAGCAAGAAACATCAAGAATGAAGAATGAAGAGTGCGAATCTGAATGCTCACAACTCCATATCACGACCTTGCTGCCACATGTAAGCTAGTAGTGTAAGTCCACCCCACGCACGCGCTGCGACGACTAGGCTCAGACTGTAGGTACTCCAGCACACTTTGCATCCCACGCGACTCATTGATCAGAGGCGGTGACGGGTGACTCTTTGCAGTCATCATCAGCAGCAAGCAGAGTATAAGAGCGACTGCATCAGGGAGAGCTTAAAATAGCGTGCACGGCCTCCCTGCTCCAGCACGACGAGTGCAGTATAGTAAGTGAGAGTCTGAGTGCGCAGGAGCCGTGACCGCGCTTGCTTCGCACGCGCGACGTACGCGGTGCTTCGCCTCAATCATGGCTGGCGTCGCGGTACTTACCGAACACTCACAGACTCTTGACTTCAATGAGCAGGCTGCTGCTCCAATTTGAATTCTTGATTGTAGCATTTGCGTGACTTCGAGCTTACCACTCGAGGCTACATCTCACTCACGACTGCAGCGTCGGTCCACTGATTCGGAATTGTTAGAAGCTATTGTCGATGGGCACCTTGCGATGACTCGTGCCTTGGGGGCAACGGAAGATGCGCATTCTCGAACAATCTTTTACGTGGCCTGTGTCACGAGTTCATAAGAGTCACGAGTCGTGAGTGCTGCTTATTCAAGATTGGAAGAAGTCGGCCAGCCGTGCGCAATACAGCCGCTAAGCTCGACTTTTCCGAAGCGCGCCGCGCGTGGTCGGGTCCATTCGCAATTGTGCAAAGTCGAGAGCCGCGCGGTATTGTTGGAACGACCTTGCACGCTTCTCTACCCTTTGGTCAATCACGAAGCTCATCCATCCAGCCACTGCGCTCGATGTCCAAATTTCAGGCCACCTATTAGCCTCGAGCAAAGGCATTGTATATTGCAGCCATGAGCGCTCGAGCGGTGGCTAGACGAGCACGGATCGCTGTTCGGCACGCAGGACTTCAACCATGGGTATCGCAAGCCACAACTACGGCGGCAACCACATCCTCGGCACTTCCATCCACTTCGCGAAGCTATGGCGGCTCCGTCACTGCCAGGCAGCAATTCCAAGATAGTGCACCTAATGCTCATGACGAAGCTCCTCAGCCTCGGGATGCATCAGGCAAGGGTGCTCCGTCCAGTCCAATCCCGGCGCAGACCACCGCAAACGATGGCCAGCCTGCAGGCGAGAGCGCTGCTTCAGATTCTTCAGTGGGGCAAGCAGGCCCAAGCGAGCATGTGCTGGGCATGACGGCTCCACAACAGTCCAATCATGCTGCTGCCTCAGTCGCCGAGGACGTCTTCAAGATCCGAGCTCCCGCCGCCTCGATTGCCGGCGGCGCCACACCGCGCCCAGTCGAGCGAGCTCAGTTCAAATCGAGCGACTTACGATTGGGAGTCAAGATGGAGAGCTCTTTGCTGCAGGCTCGAGAGACAACGAGGGCTAAGCAGGAAAAGCAGAACAAGCGAGGCACTGCCGAGTCAGGTCATAGCAGGAGTCAAGGTCCAAGCACGGGCGGCTCTAGGGCGCCAGCGGTCCGTCCAAATGTTTCAGAGGTGACGACGAGAATCAGATCTGCCATCATGGCAGAGGATTGGAAAGCCGCGGAAGCTGCCGTCTTGCCGAAAGGTTCAGCCTCGCTCGATCAAGTCAGCCTTCTCAACTCGCCCAATCTCGACCTGAGGCTCGTTCCGAAAGAAAAATCATCCCTTTTGGACCTCTTCACCGAAGCGGTGGACAAGCAGCAGCCCTGCCTGAAAGCGCTCATCGTCCTCACTAATCACGCCTTACGCACATGCGACACCACTGCCTATTCAGCAGATCAGCTAGTCAGATGGGTTCAGCTCGTCTTGCGACTCGATCCCACTTTGGACCTAACCTCTTTCGCTCTCCAATTCGGCGAGATTCGCAAGCAGGGACCTCATCTCGGCCTTGATTTTCAATTGGCAAAAGTACTCGTCCTTTGCTTGTTGAGCAGCGCCGCGAGGTTTTCGAGATCAAGCAAGGGCGAAGAAGCGAGATTGTTGGCGAAACGAGAAGCAGAATTTGCGATGAGCTTGGCCAGGGGTCAAGCTAGACTTCGGAGATCTTCGCTTCATCAACAAGCGCTATCGAGCTTGATCATGAACACCAGCAAGAGCTGGCCGGGAGAAGAAGCTTTGAAAGAGGCTGTATCCAGAACGAAGGAGCTCCTGCCTGTGTTGGACGCAGTGTGGGGTCTGGATGGGGAGGAGCCAGGAAGCGAAATGGCTCGCGATGAAGAGGACAGCACCGCGACGCATGCAGCACCCTCGGAAGAGGCTAGCGATGTGCAGATTCAAGGCGCGCCTGTACGCAACGCTTTGGCAAGGCGCTTCGGAGCACTCGTAGAGACGAAATCGTGGAGTTCAGTCGACGATCTTGGCAAGGGAGCCCGGAGAGCGATCGATATGGGCTTCCTCACGCACCACACAGGCGATCGAGGAACCTCGGATGCCGACTGGACCGACTCCACGTCGGCAATTCAGATTCGATCATTGTTGCAGCTAAAAAGACCACGAGAAGCCGCGATGGCATGGGATACACATGTGCGCGCTTCAGGAGGTGATCGACCTTCTGCACTTGTTTGGTCCGGCCTCTTGTCCGGCTATCTAACGATGGGCAATTGGGAAGCTATGAGGGCGACGTGGGACTCGATGAAGGGACAAGAGAGAGACAGTCATGGTCTCACCACCATGATCGCTGGTCTCTTCAGAGCTCGATTGGTGGATGAAGCCCTAGGACTGTTCGATCAGTATCGCAAGAGCAGTTTCTGCGTCATTGCAACATACAATGCCGTCCTGCATGGACTTGCAACGCATGGGCAGATATCGACTGCGGACTTGCTCTTCAACGATATGCTTGCTGGACCGGAGCACTTGAGGCCTAATCAGGCAAGCTTCAACACGCTGCTACGTGCCAATGCTAGGAGGCAGGATCTGCGCAGCGTGTCCAAGACGCTGGAGCAAATGGACGCGGCGGGCGTGGCACCGGATGTCGTCACCTTTACGACCATCCTCGATGGGCTACTCAGAGCTGGACATCCCAACGCGACGAAAGACGTGATGAACATTATCAAAGAGACGGGAGTGGAGCTGAATGCGCAGCTCGTCACTGCCTTGATCAGGTGCACCCTGTTCGACCAGACTCCCATCACTGCCCAATCCGAGGGTCTCGATGTGCTGGGCAGCAGAGACGAAAATGCGAGTGGAGATCTGCCTCGGGCTAGAGAAGCTTTGCTGATGCTGCTGGACATGGAACGGCATGGACCTGCACCTACTGGCATCACCTATACGGCCATCATGTCTGGTCTGGGCAAGATGCAGCTGGCAGATTTTGCCAGATCCATGAAAATGTTTCCCGCGACGTTTGCGAAGAGCGTGCCTCGACTGAACAAAGCCGAATCGACGAGTGTTTTGGAAAGCATCGCGCAAGTGGCGCCTCAGACTGCGTTCATGCTGAAGTTGAGAGATCACATGCATCACCGATCCTTCATCCCTTCTAGAGCGCAGAATCACATCGTGTTGGATTCGCTCTTGATGCCTAGATGGACCAGAGAGGCGCTTTTGGATGCTTCTCTTGCTCGACTGATCAACGATGCGCAGCAGCTCTTTGATCAGAGGGCCATCAACCTGCTGAACGCGATGATGCAGAGAAATGGCGGAATGGATGTGCCTTCTTATAGGACCTGGCTCTTGGTCCTACGACACCTGATCGACCGCCTCAGATCGGGCGATTCGAGCGCAGCTTCAAAACTGAACAAGGCGCTGGAAATGTACGGAAGAGGTGTGGATGGCCTCTCCACCTCCACCTCTACCGCCGCCACCCCTGCATCGACGACGGAAAGCAACAAGGAAAAGTCGACGCTGAGAAGGATGGTGGCGTTGGCGAGGGAGGAGAGCGTTAGGTACAAGAAGGGAAAGGTGCAGGCGCAGAATGAAAAGAGTGGTGGTGCGAAGGTGGAGGGACAACGGGGCAAGAGGATGGGTGGGAGCGCGAAGGATAACGCTGGAGCGGGCCAGGAGCGGAATGCGGTGCGTGGACAGGAGCTGCAGGAGCAAGAAGGAGAAGAGGAAGAAGAAGGGGAAGAAGAAGGAGGAGGAGCGAAAGCTGATCCGAATGCAGTCTCGATGCCGTCGCGAGAGGGTGCGGCTGGAGCGCGATCGACAATGCACGCCTCCGCTTCTGCCGCTGGTGAGGCTGATGGAGCGCAGAGACTTCGAGCTGCTGCTGGAGACGACTCCTCTAGATGATCACCAATGCATGCAATGCCCTTGTCCCCCCCCGGACGAATTTCTGAAGCATTTTGCATGTTCCTACTGGACAGCGTGGTCCAAAAAGCGCCGGTGAGTGACCGCGCAGCGACAGCAGTCTCTTGATAGGGCCAACGACACGCGTGCGAGAGATGCGCACATGCTCAACATGGGTTCCAGCTCGTCACTCTTTGATAGCTCGGCAAAAGTTGTCCACATCGATGAAAGATGGCATTCAATAAGGCGTATGTCTTGATTTTTTCTTGTTCATCCTTCCCTCTCTCTCCGCCCCGACCAAGATCTGCGCCTCTTCCTGCTGCACCTGCCTCTGCTGCATTCCCACATCCACATCCATCACCAGCTGTTGCCTCGTATTCTCATCCGAAGAAATCATTTCCAAAGCCGTCGAGCGCGAGTTCAAATCCTCGGCGGAGGAGAGGAGATTGGCATCTGCTTGCCAGCGCATCAAACAACCATCTTCTCCGCCCGTAAAGATATCTCCTTGCCGCGCTTCTCCTGCTTGATGAATGGACCGAACGATGTCGGAATGACCTTTGGGGCGGAGAGTGGAAGGAGTCTGAGGAATTTGGACGGCGTCGTAGGCGGCAGAGTCCGAGTCCGAATCCGACAGAAGAGTCTTCATAGTCCAGCCGGTCGAACCGTCTTGCCCGTCCAGCTCCAGATCGATTCGTAGAGCTTTTCCTCTTTCGAATCACAGAGAGAGAGCACGAGGGTATGGTGTTACTTGCGTTCCAGTTCAAAGTGCATGATACGCGCATGCACGGGCCAAATAGATGGCAGTGAGGAAGCATGGGGTGACACGAAAGACTCACGAGATGGTGCCGACCCAGAAGATGAGATGAGTAGCTTGCGCATGGCTGCTCGTCGGTCCATCCGCGCGCGAATTCCGAGGACTAAACGCATCGATGATGTAATCCGTCTGCCACTCTCTACATCCCACCGATCTGACATCTAGCGGCTGCAAGACCGCATCGAACTTTTCGAATGCGACAATGTGGAGAGGGGGGAGGCGAGGGAAGAATATTGTCAGTCATGTAGATTCATCGAATACAAGAGGGGACCACAAGGTTGTATGCCGATCCAAACGACAACGAATGCAGAGTCGGACAGGGCAGTGCCAAGTCGAAGATGGAAAAGGCACTCACATTTTCGTTCCAGATGGCTACACTCTGCATATCACTGACCGACCAAAAGTCTCCCATTCCCTTCGCTCTCTCTTCCTTTACACTCAGCTCCTCTTCCTCCTGCGTGTTCATCGCTGCATCCACACCGCTAAACACCGCTTCCTCCTTCCTCGCTCGCAACATCCCAGACTGATCGGAAGCGGATGTTTGTGCACACCATCCAGCTCTGGCAATGCTGGCGTCCATATTGCAAACTCCAAGAACCGCATCATCTTCGTCCGTGGTGCGCGTATCCAACACGGACAATAGTCCATCCGTACTACCGCTCAGCAACAAATGTCGATGAGTGTGAGAAGGATGAAAGGAGAGAGAGGTGATATCGTCGGAGTGCGATTCGGTGTATGTGAATTGAGGAGAAGAGGTGGAGGAGAGTAGATCCCTGAATTTGATTTGATTTGATTTGATTTGATTTGATTTGATTTGATTTGATTTGATGCGATGCATCATTGAAGGTCGATCCGGATGTGATCGCGTGCATCGTCAGCCACTCGTGCGTCTGTCGAAGCAAGACGCTGGCCACAGATGCGCCAACACGAGATGCCCACTCACCACAGATCTATCACAGCTTCGTAATTCTTCAGTTCCGTCCCAGCTGCCACGTACCTTCCATCGCTGGAACAAGCCAGACAAAGATACGGCGCTCCATTTGAGCTTTTCAACTGCTTGAGCAAGTTTTGAGAAGGGCTTGCGCTGTTCTGTGCAGCAGCAGCAGCAGCAGCAGCAGCAGCAGCAGCAGTTTCGGAGAGATCCCAAAGGATAGCTCCGTCACCCTGATTGGTGGCGCACAAGACACGAATGCTCTGTGGTGATTGCCCGTTCGAGATCGAGCTCGGGCCTGTGCTCGCGCTCGCGCTTGGAAGAGTCAAAAGCGCAGAGGTGGCTCCTTGGTTGCTTGAAGCGGAGGAGGAGGGGGAGGGGAGGAGATGCCATGGAAGCTCAGCCATAGGCTCGAGGGTGGCGCACTGATGTAGTCGCACAGATCCGTCCGATGATCCCACCACCAAGTGCGAGCATCCTTGCTCTGCATATCCAGCCTGCACTGGCACAATGTGGGTAATGTAAGGTGTGCATGGCAGGTGGATGGATGCGGAGGGAGAAGAGATGCGCTGTGCTTTGCCGCTCTTTAGTGTTGCAGCACCAGCACCAGCACCAGCACCAGCACCGCGGTTGGTAGCAGCGGAGCTCATCTTGCTTGCACCTCGCTTGCACCTTGATCGCCTCCTCCTTCTCCTCCTCCTCCTCCTCCTCCTCCTCCTCGTCGCACGACTACCCAGAGCTACTTCGCTGCGACGCAAAGCGACACTGTCACTCTACTCGTTCGAATCTTGAACAGAATCACGAATGAGAAGTGCTGATGATGATGCACAAGCACGATGCATTTGCATGGCAGGATGATGAAGGGGGACAAAATTGTCAATCACGCGTGAATTAGGCAAGACTGACTCCTGACTCACAACTCACAATCAAGAATCACGACTTTTCAAGCATCAGCTATAGCACGAGGAAAAGAGCGCGGCATGAAGCGCGGTTGCAGGAGCTTATTCGAATTTTAAAAAGAAAAGGTTTGATTCAAGATTTCAATCAAATTGAGTTCCGGCACAAGTGGAGGATAACGGTCACGTGATGGGCGCTCATCATTGAAGTCACTGAGTCAAAAAGGTGCTCCAACACGCCTGCTGTACATAGCCTGATATTCAGCACTCGTGAGTGAGTGGTGCCTTTTTGCATGCCTCTCCTTTTACGTGAGCTCAAAAAGTCATCCTGCTCAGATATTCAAATTGCATCTTTGGGACACTCACCACTGCAATCTGCAAATTTGTGCGCATGTGCGAACGGCGCTGCAGAGGCAGGTCTTCAGGACCTCGTTAACATGGGAAGCTCCAGAATCTCATCGTTCACGTGGGAAGCACGGAGCTCACACGGACTCGGCTCTACGTGCTACACGAGTCCATCATTGCTGTATCGTCCCTCGCACCCGTACGGCTTAATAGATCGGCTCCAAGGTCTTGCTCCATCGAGTCAAACCTGCTGCTATGACCATTTTACCAGTCGTGTTCTGATGCTGGCACGACAAGAAATCTTCTCAAACAGAACTCCATCGCTGCGTCAAAGGCCCGCACCCTCAGATCACATCGACACCGCAGACGGCGGCCCTCCGAGATGCCCTCTCTCAGTCGCAGGAGAGCGAATTCCTTTGCATCCGATCGAATGGCAAAGATGCAACCCTCCAATTCCCGTCCTTTCACGCTCATTCGAGCTCGTCGCTTGACGTACATTGGCCCGGTCACACGCACTCTCGCAAGCGCGCTGAGCCGCGGAAATTGCCTCAAAGTTGCTTTGAGAAGAGCAAAGTTGACGCGACGAACGGTGACGACTTGCAGTGCATCAATCTGTCACGGTCGAGTCCGGCTTCCACTGCACACGGCGCAGACCTTGGATCACCGGCTCGGTTGGTGTACGAGTGCTCTGCTGAACCCCATCCCCAAGGCATTCCGGCCACCCTGTCTGCCACAAATGATCTTGGCATTCTCTGCGACGCAATCGCGAGTTGGGATCGATCTCAACGCGCGCGCGCGCTCGTCGTGTATGGCGACATGCTCGTTGTCCAAAGCGCCCATCAACCTTTCGAGTTTCCCGCCTAGATTCAAGCTCGAATGTCATTCAAAGATAAAATGCCCACCTCTCCGAGCCAGTTTTATCGCCGTTCTCACGTCCTTGCTCGCATTCGCGTCGACGTGAATGTCAGCGCACCTCGCCCGCAGAAGCACTCACCCATCGAGCGTGTCCGAAGAAATGTAGTGTGAGTGCTTACCTCCAGCCAACCGCAAGCCAAGGGACGCATGCGACGCATGCGACGCGGGCTTCTGGCTCTCGCCTCTCTCCGATGACTGCGCCCGATTACACCGAATTGCCAGCAGCTGCGCGACTCCGACACGTGTGCATCTTTCGAGGTACCGTGAGCTCTATCCCGGCCTGTTCGATGAGCTCTGAATAATGCGCGTCGCCAAGGAGCATGAGCGATCTGTACATGGCTAGGGATGCAGAGCAACTCCCATGGCCGCATCGTGGCACAGCGACCGTTTTCCTTACGCGCCGCCCCAGGTCACGCAGTGCCAGTCTCAGTAGAGCTTTAAGCATAGGCGCGATTCGATTGCTAAACATGGTTGGACGGCTGAAACTGTGAGTCGACAGAGGAAAAAGTCGGGTGACTGTTGTGAGTGGGTTCGGAACTGAGCTGCAAGGCAGCGATGACGTATTGTATGCGCTGTATGCGCTGTTTACGCTGCAGGCTTGGGCCTTCGGAACAGCAAAATGTGAGGCTCGGGGGCTGCGAGCATGGCAGGGATTGTGATCAAAGTCAGCTGGATGTGAGGGGGCCCGAGAGATAAAGACCACGGCTCGAGAGCATTGCTGCTTGCGGACCGCTGGCGGATCTTTGTCCGAAGCTCCTTCTCGCACAGAAGCATCGTCCTCCCGCCCACTTTCGAGCGTTGCTGCTTGCGAGCCGCTGGCGGAACTCTGTCCTAGCCTCCTCTTCGCGGAGAAGCATCGCCCTTCCGCCAACTCTTCGGTCCACGAACCACTCACCGTGAACCTCATAATGAACCCATCCCATACTCTGCTGAATGCCAATGCTCCTCCACTCGTTTTCCTTCAAGATCCTGAGCACCTCTGGTTCCTCCGAGTCAAAGTACTCCTTTGGGAGCTGCTTCAGCATGCCCTTGGGGATGATGACGTGCCTGTTGGCGTAGAGGCGAGAGCGTCAGCAAGATAGCGCAAACGCACTCCAGCACTGCAGAGATGCGCACCTGTACTGCCACTCATCGTCCGAGTAGTGGTCCGAGTAGTGAATGCGCTGGAGAATGCGGAGCGGTGGTGTCAGCGAGCGCGCAAGCGCGAGAGGTATGGGCGCCGAGGCTGTCCGCAGAACAGCATCGAGAGTTATGCGCCACAGCTTTGCGGTCATTGCCCACGCCCACTTGTGCCATCAAAGACCAAGAGCGAGCGGGAGCGCCAAGAGAGTCCGATCGCCGCGCTCGCCGAGAGTCCGACCACCACCCCTCGCACACTCACATTGACATAGTCCTCCCACGTAGGCTCTGCAGCTCTCTCTCTACGGGCTTGGGCCTGCGCTGCTTGCGCTTGTGCTGCTTGTTGCCCGGCTGCTGCTCCAGCAGCCGCTCCTCCTGCGCGAGGTTGTGCGCGTGCTGCCATGGTGCGTGTTGTGTGATCCGACGGGACCAGCGCTTCTGCTCGACAAAAGACAAAGACCGGCTTGCTCGAGGTTCGCGACGATATACGTGAATAAGGTCGAGTTGATAAGGTGATCGCTCGCGGCTTGTAGACGATCGCTCAACTTGGGAACGCGCTGCGGGCGCGAGTAGATACGTGTTCGCGTAGATACGTGTTCGCTTCTGCCGCGCTGCAGCGTAGACAGAGAGACGCGCTGTGCGCTGTGCGCGGAGCAGAGCAAGGGTGCTGTGATGGCGACGAGCGAGACAGCGATCTTTGATGTGGTGGTGGTGGTGCAAATCGAAGCAAGAAAAGTGGAGCGAGATCAAAGCGCCACGTTTCGACTCAGCTCGCGCGCGCCCGCTCGTGACTGTTGTTGTTGTTGCTCTTCGCGCTCGAGTGCACCGCTCGCTTGTAATTCCTTCAACATCATAAAATGTGCAGACACGCGCGCGCCACACGCATGCACGCGCGCGTTTGCGTTGAGCTCGCGTCGCGCAATGTTGCGGGTGCATCGTGGGCATCAGGCAAGCTCATGTCATATCATCTGCCAGCGCCGCCGCACGCCTCAGCATCGACGCGATCCCTTTGACTGCTGCAAGGGGTCGACGTCAGCATCTCACCGAGCAAGTCTTGAGCGATGGGACGTGGATCGCCGTGGGAAAAAGCTGGACGTTTCTGAGGCCGTGAGTCGTGAGTGATGCTGGGAGGGAACGAGCGCAAGTTGCGCGGTGTGCGTCACAAGCCAAGAGCCACAAGCCACGAGTCACGAGGCCTGATGGCACCGAAGACCTCTCTGATGCCCTTATCGCTCGTAAGTATCGATCTCTAGTCACACATTCTTGCAAGAGATTTCCTTCCCAAGTCAAGCGGCGACACCGTCTCGCCTGCCAGTCTCTGATACACAATTAGACTGAAGCCACAGTCACACGCGCGGCTCCACGAAATGTCTGATGAAATTATGCAAAAGATCCGTACGAAGCGCGTGAAGTTAGCGAGTAAGAGCACCTTTCGGACTGGCCGAGTCGGCGAGGATATGGGGAAAAGATGAGAAGGGATGGGCGGTCAGAGATGCATGTGCAGCGTGCGACGGTGATTGTCCAGTGAATTATCGGCGTGGCGATCGTGGGCCGCAATCACCCATTGAGACTACCAATGATCTTCTTGTGAAGTTGTTGCGTTGGCAACATTTGAGGCGGATTGTAAGTCTGCCAGAGCCAAGGCTTGGGCGTCCCATCGAATTCAAACATTTGCAAGTAGTACGCTCCCGACCCGTAGTGCATGTCCAGTCGAATGTTGAAGCCCTGCATGTACTCTGGCTGGTCGTATGCCACAATGCTCTCGGTCGTGTGGGTGCAACCGGATTGGATCAACTGCCTGCCATCGCCCTCGAACGGTGTGAGCGTCAGGCTGCCGTTGCCGTTTTGGCGGAACGTTCCGTGCTGCCAAATGAGCTGCGCTTGCTTGCACTTTGGGTCGGTGGCTGAAGAGCAAGCGAGAGAGCGGGTGACATCAGCTACAAAGTGCGAGACGGAATGCATCGGCAGCGCACTCACCAGTCGGTGAAAAGAGGTACAAAGCTTGCTCCCAAAAACCATCTTGGGTGAATGAGTAGCTCTGACCAGAGGTCTTTGGCAATGTAAAGGAGTTGTTGCCGGGGTTGAAGAATCCCTGCGAGAAATTCATGGGTAGCGTCAGTAGCCTGACGCAACGCACGTCATCACACAACGCCGTAGTGGTGTCCCGCGATACGTTTACGGCCATCTGTGCCGTGCCACTGGCAGCTTCTCCAGTCATCTAGACCATTGATGCCGAAGTCGTCGTCGTCGGCACGACGTCGGCATCTGACAATAGCACCTTCCCGCTCATTCTTACTGGCGTCGGCATCTGACGAGAGCACCTTTCCGCTCATTTCTTACTGCCCTATGCCGTCGGTATCTGACGAGAGCACCTTTTCGTTCATGCCTACTGCCCAAGCCTGCTCGCGCCGCTCACGCCGCTCGTCCCACTCACCAAGCCCGTCGTCACACCTCCGCTACCCGAGCTCCAAGTTCCAACAATCGAGACGGGGTCATCATCCTGCTGTGTGACTTGTTGTGCGGAAGCACGCGGGGCGAGCACTGACAAAGCAACAGTGGCGAGCACCGCTGCAGACGCTGCAAAGCTGCGCATGATTCGACTTTGCCCGTGCAAGGATGTGGATGAAGAGGCGGAGGCGGATGAAAAAACAAAGATTCGTTTGCAGGCGCTCGACCGCTGGTGCCGAGTCGCTGTTCCGTCCAATGCAAAGAGGGTTATGCCGACACTCTTCAAGCCTAGAGTGAAGCGGAGACCGGTGATAAATGTGCGCACCGTGTGTTCGGTGCAAGTAGAGCGTCAAAGAAGAGATGATGGTGGTAGCGAGGTGGCGGTGGTCTGTCTGCACCCGCCTTGACCGCGCGCTTTGCCGTGCCAACCTACGGCAACTGATGCGCCCCTCTTCGCGGAGATGCGCCGTTGCGAGCGGTCGGTGCGGCAAACCGACTCATGTCCGCCGCGCGCGCGTGAGCTGAGGCGCGCATGCCGACGGAAGCACGACGAGCGCATATGCGTGCGCGCATCAGGCAGCATGAACGCGGTAACAGGCGGGCTGCGCGTGGATGGTGAAATGCTTTCCCTATATCAAACACAGCAGCTGCGAGCCGCCGATGCAGCAGCATGTCGATGTTGCAGGAATTGAAATCTCTTGAAATTGAATTTCATTTCAGATGCAACAGCTTCTAAGCTGATCTTATTTCGTGCCGCCCTCTTACACAAACAGAAATGCGCCAAGCCTCACCCTAAAGCTTGTTCACCCGACGCGCGCGCGGCACAAAACATCTTCAGCCGGCCACGTGGCTTTGATACATCTTGAACCGACACCACGCAGATGCAGGTCCGAAGTCGAGATCGAGTCGGTCACATCTTGACACAGCCCGCCGAGATCGCATTCACGCTTGTCAGAGACGCAATTGTGAATGTACATCCACCCGTCGTCGCCCTCGATCGTCTCCATACGCACATGCACCGCAAGCGCCGCCATTCACGATTGTAGCCAAACGTCACAACCATAGCACGCGGCCAGTCACCTCTCACATGGTGTGCTGAGGCGAGCAGTCACCCTGCATGGGCTCAGACAAGACCCCCTTTGGTTCATCGCAACACACGCTTCGAGAGCTGGACGGTGGCATCCCATTGCTGCCCCTATCATCCAAGCCTCCAACACAGCGCTTGCACTCATCACTCGTAATGAAGTTCTCTCACAGTCTCCAATTCAACAGCGTCCCCGACTGGGCGGACAAGTATCTGGCCTATTCTAACCTCAAAAAAGCCATCTACCAGCTCGAACAGTCTCAACCCGTCGATGGATCCACCGAGAATGACGTTGCGGGGACAGAGGAATCGCAAGCGCTCCTCAGCTCCGGTGTGGCTGCAGAAGCGGATCGCGTCTTCTTGCCGCTCCTCGACAAGGAGCTCAAGAAGATCGTCGCATTCTACGCTCAAAAGGAAGCCGAGCTGAACAGCGCCGTAGAACAGCTCAGAGTGGATCTCGAAAGGCGGGAAAACGAAGACGTGTGGGGTGAAGATGAAGAGTACAGCGAAGGAGAGGAGGACGATGACGATGAAGACTATAATCAGGACACTGGCACTACAGTGCGACAAAGCAGACGACCCAGCATCGAGGGCGTCTTTAGCGACCCGCGCAAGTACAATCAGGCTTCGAGGGAAGAGCGCGATCTGCGGGGGTACACTGGGCCCCGAAGGCCACGCCGAGTATCGAGCTCAGGAGGCGCAGAGGATGGGGCCACGGCTGCTGGTGCAGCCTCCGCTTCGCGTCCCGCCAACTCGCGAAGGCGAAGTAGCTTGCTTGTAGACACCTCTGGTGCTGGTCCCACCGCCGCCGAAACAGCCGTGCCCGACGTCTTGGCGATCGCCGATGCTCGTCGGCAAGAGCGCAGTCCTACACGTCGGTGGAGCAACTTGTTCCGCAGGAGGTCGCAGGTCGGCAGTGGAAAGCGCAGCATCGGATTGGTGATTCCACCCAGCCCAAGCGGAAACTTCGAAAGCGCACGAGGAGACGAGGCCAGCAGCGTGGGAGACGGCCGCAGTTTGAGCATCTGGACCGCAGAGAACGACTGGGCGATCGACTTGCGGATCACGTTCAAGAAGCGAATCACCGATCTCTTTGTCGGTTGCTCCGAACTCAAGCAATTTGTCCAACTCAACGAGACTGGTATCAAGAAGATTTGCAAAAAGTGAGCGGCCGCGGGCGTGTAGACACTCGGCGTGCTCGTGACCATTACCTCCTCTAACGCACTCTCTCAACGCGCTTTTTAGGTACGACAAAGTCGTCAACAGCAATCTCAAATCTCGCTACATGGGAGAAGTCGTCGCAGTGCGTGCAGTCGTGGTCAGTCCGTCGCCACGTTTTTCGCTGACTCGGCACCGCTTTCGCAGCATCAATATCCCTTCGAAGAGGCGACTCGCCAAAAGCTAGACGAGTACATTGCGCTTCTCACAACCCTCTATGCCAAGGTGGTGACCACTGGCGACTTGGCCCTCGCTCTGAGCCAGCTCAAGACGCACCTCCGCGAGCAAGTCGTCTGGCAGCGCAACACCGTATGGCGAGAAATGATCGGCATCGAGAGGCGTGCTCAGGGCGCAACTCTGGAGAGGAGCGTAATGGGGACGCAAAGCAACAAGGGAGGCGAAGAGGTCAAGCCTTTGCGCTTGTGGACGCCTTTTGGCTATACGCGCCTGCCAAGCTGGCTCGGTGTATCGACGCTCCAGCTGATGATTGCCTTTACGATGCTCACGCTGCTGCTGAAAGCACCGGGCTTGCGATTCTTTGCACGAGTCGAAGAGCAAAACTGCCTCGCCATGCTCATCTTCTGCACCATCCTGTGGGCAACCGAAGTCATTCCGCTCTTCGTAACCTCGCTCATGGTCCCATTTCTCGTCGTCACGCTGCGGGTTGCTCGTACCGACGACATCGAGGATCGTCGTATGTCTGCAGCCGAGACGACGCACTGGATCTTTTCGCAAATGTTTGCGCCGAACATGTGCCTGCTCATCGGCGGCTTCACCCTTGCTGCCGCGCTTTCCAAGTACAACATTGACAAATTCCTCGCCCAAAAGGTGCTTCGAATGGCCGGCACACGTCCAGCCTTTGTCCTTCTCGCCCACATGGGGGTGGCGTGCTTTGCTTCGATGTGGATCTCCAACGTCGCAGCGCCCGTCTTGCTATTCTCGCTCATCCAGCCCATCCTGCGCAATTTGCCTGCAAACTCGAGCTTTGCGCCAGCGCTGATCATGGGCATTGCCCTAGCTTCCAACATTGGCGGTCAGACTTCACCCATCGCTAGCCCACAGAACCTCATCGCCCTGCAGTACATGGGCGATGCGCCTGTCGGATGGTTGCAATGGTTCGCCATCACGATTCCCGTGTCGGGCCTCAGCCTCATCGTCATTTGGCTGGTTCTTCTCTGGAGCTATGGCTCTGGGCACGGCACGATCATCAAGCGGCCAAACGAGAACAAGGACAGCTTTACGGGAATTCAGTACTTCATCTCTGCCGTCTCCATCGCCACCATCGCTCTGTGGTGCCTGGAGCGCAACTTTGAATACGTCTTGGGAGACATGGGTGTCATTGCAATCGTACCCATGGTGCTGTTCTTCGGCACCGGCATCCTCACCAAGGAGGACTTTAACAATTTCCTGTGGACAATCGTGTTTTTGGCCATGGGCGGCATCGCTCTTGGCAAGGCGGTGACGTCGAGCGGCTTGCTAGAGAGCCTAGACGCCCGTGAGTGTCTACCCTAATCTATCCAGCTCTTGAATGCAGCTGACAGCCGATTCACGCATCGCAGTCGTCCAACGACTGGTCACGGGCATGCCAATATGGCAGGTGCTGTTCAGCCTCCTTGCCATTGGCCTCGTGGTGGCCACCTTTATCTCGCACACAATCGCTGCTGTCCTCTTGGTCCCAATCGCAGCCGAGGTGGGCGGCTCTCTTGCTCAACCGCACCCTCGCCTCTTAATCATGGCTACAACGCTTACTGCGTCCGCTGCCATGGGATTGGTGAGTCGTTCGCGTTGCTTCGAATCTCTCGCCTATGTCGCTGACACGCCCGTAAGCCGCGCCTCACTACTTGTGCCGTTTAGCCCGTCTCTGGTCAGTCTCGGAGCTCGCAGATCGCATCCCCTCGAGCAAAGCTGACCTCCCTCATGCACGCACTCAGGCTTCCCAAACATGGCCGCTTCTGCACAAGAGGATCAGACCGGCAAGCGCTACGTCAGCGTCAAGGACTTTCTCCGTGTTGGTATTCTGGCATCCATTCTCGCCACTGCAGTCGTCGGCACCGTCGGCTTTGGCATCATGTCGCTGCTTGGCCTGTGAAGGCCGCTCAATCGTCGTGCTCCATTATCATAAACAATGTCTCTTTTAACGATCTAGCCAGTGGCATCATTTCCGCAATCGCACATCATCTAGTCACGAGCCTCTTCTTTCCCAGGCGTGATTTCGAGGGCCGCGGCCCCAAGTTTGGAGGCTGCGCCGCGAGTGACATCGCTCCCAGTCAAGTTCAGCACACATACAATGACCAGTCTGCGACGCTGCATTGTGAGTGTTTCGCCCCAATCAGACGACCCAAACGCCCCGATCGATCATGTGAGCAAGCTATGTATGCCCGACCCACGTTTCGCAGGCCGTGCAACTCTCGGAAGGTTCGCCGGTCGACGCGACGCTAAAACGCGTTGACGCTCCATCGTGCGTCGGATGTCCGAGGATGGAGAATACTTTGTGCCATGCATGGGAGCTGGGTGTTCACGTCACGGTCCCGCCAGCAATTAAGTCGCAAGTGCCTCGTCGATCCAGCAAGCGTGGTCTCCTGAACGCCTCACTCAACCCGGCCGCTCTTCGAAATCTGTGCGAAACATCCCCGCCAAATTGCGCATTCGGGTTGCCGATCACCTGTTCGTGATCAGAAGGTCCGAGTGTCGCCGGCTCGAGTGACTCTCAGACTCCTACGCCGAGGAGGAATCTACATGCCGGGTCTCGCGCCGGTCAGAAGCATTGACGACTCATGATGCATCGCTAGTCAGCTTTTTCGTCAAGCGGATCGGGACCATTTCTCAACTTTAGACCACGAACGCTGCTTCGCAAGGAGAATAGCCGGCGGTTGGTAGAGGTCCGTACGTGCGACCAAGCAGCATGCCGATCTGCGGAGGTTGCCCGATCGGATGGCATGTATCCTGCTGAGCCTGCAGCTCGCCTCTGCCACATGTCGTCAACTTGTCATGCTATCATGCAACAGGGCGTAGGCTCACCCTCATGCCGTTTCAGCTTTGCCCCCCCTTCCCCCCAGCCGTCTTGTGTCGCTGCCTTGCAAGACGCCTAGCTGGCGACACGAAGGTCCCGCTATACAACAAGCACGAAATTGCGGCCAAACTCTGCACAAGCATGACAAAAACATCCGCGACTCGGACTCCTGCTTCTGATGATGACTTCATGCAGCTGCTGGGCAGGCACGCGCAACCCAAAGCAACGCGCGGCGACTTTTGTGGCCACAGCTTCAGCTAGCTCACGGACCCGCCGCTTTAGCGCTTACATATGCAATCCTCGGAGATCCAGGAACCGCCGCTCGTGCCGAAAAGGTGACCTTTCGTGACGCAGCATCACTTTGTGCCTGATGCTCGCGCAGTACAGTACACGCGCTCCACTTTTCGTCAGCAGCAGGTTCCGTTCATTACACGATTCGCAAGCATTAGTTGATGTTGCGTGTTTCAATGAAGCACGTTCCTGGGGACGCTCCCGGTGGCATCTTCTCGCGCACGACGCACTCGCTGTTCGGAAGAGCAGTTCCAGCACCGCCATTCCATATGTGACGACGCGTAATTGTACTTTCGAGCCTTCCCGGTCCGCCAATGGGGCAATCACGAAGCAAAGGCGTCGCTATGATTGACGGCACGCGCAGTCTCGAGTCGTCTCGGAAACGGCTGCGCCGCGTTCGTGATTGCACAAAGCCTAGTGTGACACGCACCGACACCTACCAGAAAAGGTATAAATGCCGCCCATTTTCTGTCCCCTCTAGTCTCGATCCTCACAAGCAACTGCATCTTCCGAGCTTCTCATCGCTACTGCAAACATCTCTCGCCATCGCAACTGTCCCTATAACACCTCAAAATGTACGGACTCAAGTCTCTCTTCATTGGCGCTACCGCCCTCGTCGCCGCCGCAAGCAGCGTTGCAGCGATTCCCACCAGCCTCAGCTCTACTGCCAAGGACGTCAAGCCGGGTGACAAGTTTACCGTCACTGTTCACACCAACTCTTACATCCAGGTGAGCAGTCGAAGAGTCGCAATGTGGGCAACTCTCATGCGCGCATCGCACAGAGGAGCTCACTGGAATTCCTCGCCTTATCGCAGAACTCCGAGGAGTACTACGTCAAGTTCGGCTTGACCCCTACCGGAAAGTACGTCGGCACTGCCCTCGGCGCAAACCTTCTCGAGGGCTACGATCTCGTAGCCATCGGCAAGTCCAAGACCGCGCACGGACAATTCGACCTCTCCCTAACGGTCCCTTCGGAGTTCAGCGGTGCCGCTGGCAACTACACCGTCACCAGCGCCTTCTTCGGCACCGTCGGTGCATCCGGCGGCCTCTGGACTCACTCGCCCAACACCACCATCACCATCGCCAAGTAGATGCGTGCAATCACTTCTCGGCTCCAGCGTCCAGCATCAATTGAGATCTCTTGCACCTTACAATCATCACAACTGTATAATCGCACATCCTGCATCCACACCCGTCCCGAACAATCGAAAGTTTGACTACCTATGCCTTGTGATCCGGATCTATTTTGATTGTCGTTTGGCTGGCGAGCGCCGGGCCAAAGTGAGGAGCGGTAGGGATGTTGAGGGCTCAGCTGGTCGCATATATGAGTCACTTGAAATCGATGCGCCCGCTCGATGATCCACTTTGCTGGCGTGTCGCGATGCACGAGGAGAGGGGTTCGGTTTGCTCGACTCATCAGTCGTGAGTGACTCAGACAGGCTCTGCACGATGGCAGCATCCGCGCGAAACACGGTCACACGAGCATGCGCGGATAGGCTTCTCGTCGATGGGTCACGTGACTGTGTCCGTTGCCCCAGCCCGGGAGCTGCCGAGCGCGCTCATGGGACTCTGAGTCCAAGCCGGATTTCGGCTTGCACAGTATCGCAGACAGCCGAGCTGAGCCGCACAATGCTAAGCGGGGAAAGCGGAGGATGCGCTCTCAAGCAGCAGAGTTGGAGCCACGCGCGAGTTCGGCATAGCTAGCCGGTTCTGGTTCACTTATCTCGAAAGCGAGAGCGGATTTGCATGCGAGCGTGCAGTCAACAACAGGCTTGATAAGTCGCGAGTATAGCCGCGAGCGAGGCTGGGGCGGGCGGCAGCAGCGGTGATGGGGGTCAAGGGTTAACTGCGATGCATGGGGGCCGGCTGCAGTCAGGGCTTTAGGAGGCATGTGAACGCTCCCGAGCTCGCTGCTGCAGATGTGGAGTGCCTATTCGCCTTTCCAGACATCGTCAATTAGTCCAGGCAGGGCCTCTTTCACCTCTGTCCGGGCCACGACCTGATCCTTTCTTGTTCGCACGATCACGATCAACAAATCACATCTGTATAGTCAAAGCCCCCCCTCCATTCAAGGTCTGCATTCCCCCTTCACCCAATCACATCCACCTGCTTCTTGCCAATTCCACCTCCGCACGCATTCGTCAAGATGGGCAGCGAACCTTTCGTGCCTCCTCCCACGGATCTCATCACCTTGACCAGGCACGTGCTTGGAGAGGGCTTTCAAAGGGCAGAGAAGAGCGCTGCCAGCGGTGATCTCACCATCCTGCTCAGCAGCTTGCAGACCACCTGCAAATTCATCGAGAGCATGGTCCGCAAGGCTAGCTTGATCAACTTGTGAGTGCATGCAGACAGCGCACAGTATGGCTCGCGCTCGGAGAACATTTCCGTTTGCCATGTCTTGGCACGTGTGCGGCGCGCCTCTGATCGAGCTTACGCTGTGCTAACCAGCTCGATCGCCGGCACCCCCTTCTGACGCTTCTGTTCCCGCTCGTTAGGATCGGTTTGGCTGGAGAAACCAACTCTACTGGAGACGACCAAAAGAAGCTAGACGTGCTCTCCAACGAGATCATGATCAATGCCCTACGCGCATCTGGCAAGACTGCGGTGCTCGTGTCCGAGGAGAATGATGAAGCAATCTTTGTAGGCGAAAAGAAGGAGGGCAGTACGTTCGAAGAGACACGGGGCAAGTACTGCGTCGTCTTCGACCCTCTGGACGGAAGCAGCAACATTGATGCTGGTGTGAACATTGGAACCATTTTCGGAATCTACCTCGTGCGCGATGGTAGCAAGGGCACGTTGGAGGATGTGCTGCGACCTGGAACCGAGATGGTGGCTGCGGGCTACTGCATGTACGGCTCTAGCGCCAACTTGGTTCTCACTACTGGGAATGGCGTGAACGGTTACACGCTGGACAATCAGATTGGAGAGTTCATCTTGACCCACCCCAACATCCGTCTTCCAGACAGAGGAAAGATTTACTCTATCAACGAGGGCAACTCTGCATACTACCACGAGCCGGTGCTCAAGTACCTGGACTCGATCAAATTCCCCAAAGGAGAGGGCAAGAAACCGTACTCTGCCAGATACATCGGATCCATGGTGGCAGATGTGCACAGAACCTTGTTGTATGGAGGCATCTTCGGTTACCCCGACGACAAGAAGAGCAAGAACGGCAAGCTGAGATTGTTGTACGAAGCCTTCCCAATGGCGCTGCTCACCGAGCAAGCTGGAGGTGTTGCTACGACTGGCACAAAGCGTATCCTCGAGATCCAGCCCAAAACCATCCACGAGCGTTGCGGTGTCTTCCTCGGCTCCAAAGATGATGTCAACGACTTGTAAGTAAAGATGCGAGGCACGCTCTCGTTATAAAGATCTCAGAAGCTCACACCTCCTTTGCGCACGCCTAGGCTCAAGTTCTACCAGTAATGCTCAACTACACGGGCTGACGAGACGCTCGCGGACCGAGTCGCCAAAAGACATCCGTCCGAAATACATCATGTGCAAAAGTTTTGAGAGGGGAAATCGCAGGTGCCCAAAGTGGGCGCATGCACGAGCAAAAACGACGAGGACCATCGACTCTAGCTCTTTGCCGCTGCAGCCCTTTGAGCGGGCGCATCGGGTTGCTTGCGCTTCTCAGCTTGAGCGAATGAAGGGTGCTGTTTGAGATTGTCCTGGCAGAGCAAGCAAGCGCGCGAACGAGGCTGTCAGTACGCGTCTAGGTCGGCATGGATGTGGCATGTTTCGCCCTCCCAGCCCGCCTCACAAAGATGCGCGAAATGGTCGGGTATGCGTCGATGGACATCTTGGCGCTGTGCACGGGTGCAAGTAGCATGAGCGCGGGAACTGCACAAGTGCGCCCTGCATCAGACTCGAAACTCACGCCCCGACCGCCAAGTCCACCTGAGCATACAGCACTACGTCTGCAAGGGTGATCTCGTCACCGACCGAATCTGTGATGCGGCGATGAAGGAGATGTGAGGGCTTCAGAGGCGTTGCGAACGGCCACTGTGCGCTGCATGGATCGGTGATACGCACATTTGCCGGCGCTTTTCGCCACGAGACGCTCGTAGCCTGTCCTCCCGATCTCAGATGAGCTTGAGTGAAGCCAAGCGCATGCAATGCAGGGCGGGCTCTTCACTCACTGTCGAAGCCGCCAGCGCAAATCTCAGAGACCCACTGCTCGTACGTCGCTCCCATTGCCTCTGCTCTCAATGCCACGCGACGATTGGTGACAGGCTGAATGTCGACAGCCATGAGATTGACTAGGTCTTCGACGTGAGCGCGTTTGAGGGGATCCGTCTGCCAAGCAGGCAGGAGACTCGGTCGAGCCGGGTAGGCATCCTCAAGCCAGTGCAGGGCCGTCAGTGATTGACGCAGAATGAGTGGAGAGTCTGAGGGGGATGAGCCCGTCAGATCCACCTTGAGCACGGGAACCGTCTTGTGGGCACTGATGTTCTCCACGTATGCTGAGCCAAGGTGCTCGTCCTTGACCAGATCGACGGGTATCAAATCATACTCCAAGCTGCGGAAAGTGTCGAGCGGGAGATGATTGAGCGCCGTATCCCTGCTCGGAAGCGATCGCCATGTCGCGCGCGCTCACCCTTTGTAGTGCAAAGCTATCCATAAGCGCTGCGCGCAGCTGGAAGCCCACATTGAATAGAGTGTCAAATGATGTTGTTGCGCAATCATGTTGGCGGGGAAAAGATGGGTTTGCGGTAAAGTCTTTGGGAATGACCGTCTGTGCGCTCGTTTGGCAGGCTGATCGCGCGCCTTCTCTTGTGGAGTCTGAGACAGAAAGTGACGACGCTCGAAGGACCGTCCGCTCAAGTCTCTTGACGAGTCACACAGACTTCAAGGAGTCACCTCACAAGCTTCATCAATGGCATCAATGCTGCCCTCTGCGTAGCCTCCCGAGCTGTCATGCGTACGCGGGTGCTTGAGAACACAGCCACGCGCTCGAGAAATGACTCACGTGCTGCCGCTCCGGCGGGATTGCCGGTATTGCCGAGGTGAGTGGTGCGCTTCCCCAGCAACGTCGTTTGTCTGAAAGCGCTTCCCTGCCAGGCATTCACACTCTGCGCAGCTGCACGAGAGGACTACTTCCATCACTGACCGACGCTTCACAAAGCGCTTTCTGTTGGCATGATGACCAGTCTCTTCCCCTCAACGCGTCTTTTGCGATCGAGCGGAGTAGCACCCTTGCGCGCTCGACTGTTCGAGCAGAGCTCAAAGAGAACCACTGGATGCTCTCGAGCAGCCTGTCACACAAAGTCCCTCTCGACCACATCGAGCGCCAAACAGCAACGCTCCACGCCGCGCTCTACAATCTCGCCTTCGACTCTTCCACCCTCGCATGGCGTTCAAGGCGACCCTGCGCTCAGGCCTCCTCTAGCAAAGCACACTACGCTCTACGACTCGGACCTGGACGCGACCATCGTCATTCATCCGGACACGGTGTCCATCGTGTCCCCAAGCAATCGTATACACCGTCCATTCCACTTTGACCATGTCTGGTTGAGGGACGCTTGCACAGAGCAAGGTGCGAGTCTGCAGCTGGGTAGCGGCCAGAAAGTGTTTCACACCAGCGATGTACCCATCCCGCAGTATGGCTTCGGTCTGTTGGACGCGTGAGTGCGGATCGTCGCACCATAGCACTGCGACTACGCCGACGCCTGACATCCCTCCTCTCTAGGAATGTCACACCGCGACTTGTGGATGCGCCCAATGGCAGATCATTGGAATTGACCTTTGAGATGTCGCACGGCGTGCTGAATGCCTTTTCAGCGACCTTTGCCGCTCCCGCTCCTCCTCCCACTCTACCCAGCACTCCCCACGTTAGCCGGATTCCTATCGCGCTTCTGCTCGACCACGCCTCGCCTCAACGCTACGCCGCAAGCCACTTCGACATTGGTGCCGTCGCGTCATCCTGGGAAGGAGCGGATCTGACAGCGTTCCCCAGCTCTTCTCCACCTCTTTCAGCCTCCGAGGAGAAGTCGAGCAGGTTTGACCGGCAAGCAGCGACATCGCGACCAGCTCGCGTGGACTGGACCACTCTCAATCCCCACAATGCGGTGAACGACTTCGCTGTGGACCAGGTGAATGCGCACAGAGCTCTGGCAGAAGCTCTCATGAGGGATGGGTTGGCTTTCGTCACCGGCTTGCCTATCGACACTACGGGATCTCAGCCTAGAGCTGATGGCGACTCTTGCTCACTCGCCCGCTTGGCAGAGACGGTAAGTTGCGGACAAGTCGCGACTCGAGTGTTGTGCAGGCTCCATGCTCACCTACACTTCTCACCACCTCCAGCTGGGCGAGATCAGACATACCTTCTACGGTCCGCTGTGGGACGTGCGGTCGCTAGGATCCGGGTCTCGCAACATTGCCTATACCAACGTCGATTTGGGCTTCCATATGGACCTATGCTACTTTCAAAATCCTCCTCGCTTTCAATTCTTGCACATGCTCAAGTGCAAGGTGAGAGGAGGAGAAAGCATCTTTGTGGATGCGTACAAAGTTGCCGAGTACATGTGGCAGCATCACCGCGAACTTTGGCAGGTTCTCGCAGAGGTGAGTGAAGGAGGGGAGCGCATGTATGCGGCGCTTTGGTGAGGGGAAGGGCGCCCCAAGGCTGAATGCGCTTGCGTGCTGCATGCGTGCAGGTACCTGTGGGATTTCACTACAACAACGACGGCTATCACTACCGTTACACGCACCCTACCTTTGAGGTGGCTGGTCCAACATCTGGTCACTGGGGTCCGGCAGACAGCTCAAGTGACGAGCGCATGCCGCGCCTAACCGCGGTCAATTATTCTCCGCCGTTTCAATCGCCGCTCCCACTCACTACGCCACGAATGCAATCTCCAGCAGAGAGACGCAAATTCTACGAGGCGCTCAAGACGTTCGCCGATCTGACGCACGATCCCAAGTTCAAGTATGAGCGCATGCTGGGAGAGGGAGAATGCGTCATTTTTGATAACAGAAGGGTTCTACATTCCAGGAAAGGATTCGAATGGGACGAAAAGGAGGAAGAGGAGGGTGGGCAAGTCAAGAGGTGGCTGAAGGGTGAGTTCGATTGTCAGAAGGGCATGCGATTGCAAGCTCATCGCTGACCTGAATTTTTTGCGCCTTTCTTGATCAGGCTGCTACGTGGATGGCGACGCCATCTGGAGCAAATACCGGGTACTTGTGGCTCAAGCAAGAGCCTCTGCGGGCAGTGCTGCTTCGATGCAATAGAGGGCATGAAGTGAAGCAGCCAGGTCGTAGTTTGGAAGACCTTGGTCTTCCCGGCCGACGACAGTATGAGCCCCGGGCGTGATCTCCTGATTTGAATGTCAGGGAATTTGGGAAGCTGCGCGAAGCGACAGTCACGAGTATCCGAATGAGCGGCCTACCAATGATGTTTCACTGCGCTTCCCTAGCGCAACAAATTGTCCACTTTCTCGCGTTTCTTCGCGGATGCTCTTGGCATGATCGCGTCGAATGCCTCGATGTCCGCGGGTCGGTCGTGACTGTGAATCGCGGATGAAGTCTTGGAGCCTTGAGTTACGCATAGCGGAGTGCAGCAGATCTCCATGCTGCAGCATGCATCAATTAAAAGTCGCGCGAGTCGCGAAAGTGTTCATGCTGTCCGCGGTGTTGGGCTTTCGACGCGTCCACATGACACGCTCACTCTGAATTGCTGCATGGCACGCTCGCGACGCGTTCTCGGCCGTGCGCGCCTTTTGAGAATCGCTCGAGCGTTTCCTCATGAACGGCCGGGAATCACGAATCGTGAATGCAAGCGGGACAAGGCTGCACCGTTTGCACCTGCAAGCAGTTGTCGCCACGCACGATGTTTTGGACCTGATGTCGTGATTTGACTCTGCTCCCCATACGTCAGCATCCTTGCAAACACCAACATCTGTAAACAATGCGCTGACTACGCACAAGCCAGTAGCACTTGCCCAACCAGCAGTAGTCACCGCCTGCGTCCTCATCTGCGCGCCCACGTACGAGCCGCCGCCTACCCTGTCAGATTTTGGACAGCGTTACTACGTGAGCTGATCGAGGAAGCATAGTTCCGCCATACCTCCGCAACCATGTCTCTGTACAATCCCACTTCCAAGACACGAAGAAGGTCGGGCGTGACACCTGGCGGATCAGTTCAGACGCCTCATCGAGCCGGAATCAGCAACAACAACACGAATGCCAACCCCTCGGCAGCGGATTTATCAGAGGAGCAGAGATCAGAGATCAAAGAGGCTTTCGAGCTTTTCGATACCGATAAGGATGGAGCGATCGACTATCACGAGCTCAAAGTGGCCATGAGAGCTTTGGGATTTGATCTGAAAAAGGCAGAGGTGCTCAAAATCCTCAGAGATCACGACAGAGGAGAGGGGGTCATTCAGTGGGAAGACTTTTTGCGTGTCAGTGAGTATGACAGTTGGTAAAGCTTGACGAGCCATGCGGAGACGTCGCCGGAAGGACTCGACCGAGACTGGCGCCGGTGGTCCTGAAGATGGAGGGGCGCCTGTCAAAGGGAGTACTCCACACGATGTGCAAGGAGCATTTGCTGCCCACACCCGACGAGCCTCCTAATCTGCCTGCCGACGCGCATTGTGACCGCCCCTCATTCGAACCTCCTCGCAGTGTCTGAGCGCATAGCAATGCGCGATCCTATGGATGAGATCAGACGAGCGTTTGCCCTTTTCGACGATGACGGGTCTGGCAAGATCAGCTTGAGGAATCTCAAACGCGTAGCCAAGGAGCTTGGAGAGTCTTTGGATGAGGATGAGTTGTGAGTGCAATGCGATCGATGCGTGCCGATGCGCGATGATTGTCGCTATCATGATGCTGATGGATGCGCGCCTCCGATCATTACTGTAGACAAGCGATGATCGATGAGTTCGACCTGGACGGGGATGGCGAGATCTCTGAGCAAGAATTCATTCAAATCATGATGGACGATGCCTAAAGGAAGGCGATCGGTCGCTATCACATATGGGCTGCGATTGTAATCTCCGATGGGTCCTTCATTTCCTCGCGCTACCCATAATGTCACGTCGTAGGTCAAGGGGTCCTATCTAAGCCTGGATCCGCTCTGCACTCACCTTGAGAGCTGCTGTGGATAGATGCATCATGGAGTGTGAGCGATTCAGTGTGATGCGCATGTGTGCCCCGCATCGTCCTTGCAGCGTCAAAGGACCATTCAGTCACGATTGTGCGGCAGCAGAGGCAAGCTAAGTGTAGAAGTGCACGCATTTGCTTGGTTGACACGGAATGGGGAAGCTCAAATCCTGTTCTATGCGCACGCTTGTGCGTCGAACGGTGTGCACACGTGAGGCTCGTAACGCTCCGCTTCGCCTGCAGGGTCTGCTGCTCCGCCCCCGCATCCGCGCCTCTCGGACCGGCGCGTGTGCGTGCATCATGCTTCGTGGTGTGAGCACTCGTGACTCTTGACTGACCTTGCACTCGATCCACAGTCAGAGTCATCAGTCCGATTCTGATTCACGACTCAAATTGATTAGCCAGCGCGGTGATGACCTGCTCAGTCTAGCACGCTCACACATTCTATGGCCTTCACCTTGGCTCTCGGCTGCCTGTTCAGACCTGCGCATTGCTATTCTCTTCTGAGGAGACTGCGCAGTGACCAACGTGCATCGCGGGTACGTCATCGACGCAATCGACTCATCCCACGCTCCACTTGCAAAGCGTTCTGCGGTTCTCATCCGCGACCATAGCAAGCTCGCGTATTCGCACTCAAAGGGGCGACCCCGCGTCTACTCTCGCACATCCGCTGCTTGCACTCCCTCCTCATTATCGGCCATGCAGCAGCGACCTCGACCCACCACCGAGGCACGTGCACCCATCGCCGATCGCACCCCGGCAAGAACGCACTCTGGCAGCACTGCTTCGAAAGCTCGAGGCTATCCTGGTCCCGCAGAGCCACGCTCGCCAATGTCCAGAAGCGCAGCTTCGCAGAGCATATCGAGTGCTCGCGCTTTGTCCAGCTCTCGAGGTGCCTCGCCAGCTCCGTCGACTCGAAGCAGCACCAGCACCATTCGGAATCACAGCCTAAACGTGGACCCCGAATGCATTCCGCGCACAGCTTCGCCCGCGCCTAGTCCAGGATCATACCGCTACTCGCTAGGCCCTGCGCCCGTTCGTTTCCCATCCCAAAAACTCCAGCAGCAGGCGGTCGAACACCGCAGAAGCTCGATGCTGGATGCCAGCGGGACAGCTCGCGAGCCTGGGGATCGCACGGATGGCTTCCGAAAAATATCTGCTTCACACGCCGCCTCCTCCAAGGGCAAGGCGGTGGAGAGAAACAGGACTCAAAGCGACATGAGCCACCCAAAAGGCCACGATGTGTCGAAGAGTGATGAGTCAGCCTTGGAGAGCAGCGCCCATCTCAACACACCAGCCTCGCGAAGTCGAACTCAGTCCACCCCTTCGCCCACCACTTCGGCCTTCAAGCGGGGCGATCCTGATGAGGATGCTTTTCTACATGCAGCGTCCCGAACATCCAAACGTGACGCATCATCATCATCATCATCATCGCAAGCATCAACACCAGGTCGAGCCGTCTCGTCGCCTAGGAGACCACCAGCCCGACAGTCACCTCGACCAGATTCTCAAACGTTGACCACGTTTCCCTTTCCCCACCCTTCTGCTGCAACCTCTCCGCCCCTGTCCTCGACCGGATCGAGAGGTTGGCTGACGAGAATACCCTTTTGGCGGACTGTCGGAAGAGCGCATAATCCTGCCGAAGAAGAGGAACCTATCCAGGCGCCAGACGAGAGGCAGACCATTCCACCACTCAGCAGATCGGCGCGTCCTACCGAGCCAGACACATCGATTACCGCGAACCCCACGACACAGGCCCGGAAATCCCACAAGCTGCCTTTGCTTCTATCAAACGGCGCCGAAGATCCTGATGATCCGTACGGCTACCGCGCTCTGGCAGGCCCCATGCTCTTGCCAGCTTTCCATGCCTCCAGGCCGCACCTTGCTCAGCGCGAAGAGCAAAGTCGGAAAGCAGCGTTAAAGAGGCTCGGGCTGGCTACTGCTCAAGCTGCTCTGCTGCTACTTGCCCTGGCTACCTTGGCCAAGGTCGGAACATACGTGCTGGGAGAAGCCAGATGGCCAGGCTTGTACGGGGCGCTTCCTCATGGCGGCGCCAAGAGCCCTGCGTGATGTGTGGGCGCTCAAATGGAAATCAAAGTAGTACGAAGCCATCTGCCCTTCCATTGAGCCCTTTGCACTGCCTGTGGGCAAGTCAATCGAGACACCTCACGCGGTACGCCGACGACGCGATTGACGGTGACAGACCCATCGATTAAGCCATTCGTGATGCGTGGGGAGGCAGTGATGTTATGTGCGTGCGAGAGGAAAGGTCGTGCACCCTGCAGGAGAGGAAGCGATGCTCCGAGATCGGACAGCTTGAAAAGCAGTGGAAGGCCTCATTCTCCAAATAACTGCAAGTGGAGGAAGGCCGGAGTGGGTCAGCCGGTGCACAATGAGAGCAACCAAAGCGGGTGTCTATGCCCTGCGCTAGTACGCACCTTCTGGACACGCTTGAGAATTGAGTCCTTTGAGGGATCTGAAGAGGCAAAAGGCAGTGATTTGAGTTAGCGGCGTTCACAATAGGGCTCGGCCATCGCGCACAGCGATCGGCTCCTTCCACATCCGTCGTAAGGCTGTGGCTTTGAGCTCGACACTGGATTGCATTACCCGATGAGAATGCATGCAACGCCGTTGATGATTCTTCTCGCGTTCTAGGGCGCGCTGACAGATCGGAATCCGACACACTCACCATAGGGATGATCCTTGCTGGGAATCTCGAGCAACGCAGGGAAGGCCTGTTGGTACTTGTCCACGATCGGTCTGATCTTCTGCGCCAAATGCTGATTAATCAGCAAGATGCCAATATCTTTCCTCTCATTGGTAAAGGTGTTGAAGCTAGCTTCGATCTCTGATACTGGCGTGGATGGCGTGACGATGGTAAAGTTCTTCGAACCGTCGGGTGCTACGTCTCCTACTCCTGCGAGCAGAAGTCCGGTGGCTGTATCCTCATCGACAATGAGAGCCAACAATTGTCGCTCTGCGGCTTGTGCAGCGACGGACATCGTAAGGCGAGCGCCGTGTGTACTAGTGAGCGAATGTACGTGTGCGAAGTCCCACTTTGGACGGGCGCAGAGAATACGTGCTGGACGTGGAGTGCCCTGACGTGAGTGCTGTTTGGCGAGGTTTGCAACCAAAGGCACACTGACGCGCTCAATCGGTGCGACGTGCAGCGCTAGGCAGCTGTGGCGCAGTCGGTGTGGTGCAGCTCCCAATGGTCGCGGCTCCAAGCCGGAGATCGGGGTCAGTTGAGGATGGAGTTGGAGGTGGTGTTCGTGCCCAAGTCCATGCGAATGCGCTTTCAGAGCCATATACGTGGACTTTGACTCAAGACTTTGACTTGGCTGTGAGAGGTGATCTGAGCGAGGCCCCTGGATGCAAAGGTCACGTGCGCAGCAGCTTCAGAGGCCTGCGAGCCAGATCTCGCCGGCGATGCGTATACCGGGAGCTCTGCAGGCATGCAGCCGTGCAGCAGGTGCTCATTATTCGATCGCTGCTGCGCTGCAGGCTTGCAAGCATCAGACGCGCGCTGATCTTGCGATGAGGTCAGATGCGACGAGCGGCAGAAGCGCCCCCGCTGTGTGCGAAGAGAGCGCCGCCCATACCTACGCTATGACACCTCGCGTTGCGTATACTTCACGACTCGTGAGCGAGGCAGAGTGACTCGCCAAACAAGCCAAGACCCTACTCTCGCAACTGGTTCTGAGCACGCCGTTCTAGCTCGGATGACTGATTGCGCGGCAGAGTTTGAGTTGACCGGATATCCCATCTTCTCAACCTCGGTCTTCGAAGGAATTCCGCCTTGCTGTCTGCACCAACGTCTATCACGGCGCGCGACTAGTTCTGCTTCTCACACTCACGCTTGCCGCGCACCCAGGTGATCGACCATCGACGCATACACCTCGACGTTGTTTTTCGGCCTTGACAGCGCACAGTTGCCATGTCTTCAGCATCATTCCAGCTTCGGCGTTAGCAACAGGACCGAGGTCACCGCTTCCGCAATTCGCGGGGCAGAAAAGACGGACAGGTCGCACTTCAAACGTGCGTCACGCACCCGCATACACGGTGCGCACCCTCTCGACCTGAGCCTCCAGGCTCCCGTGTCGAGACCACACCTCAAGGCGAGATGGCTGCCATCGCAGCTCACCAAGCAGACGATGAGCAAGCTGTACGTCTGGGTAGAGAGTCCAAGACTCATCGCTTGACGCTTAAAGGTCTGCTCGAGCACCAGTCCGCTTCACCCACCGCACCGGCCATCGACTTTGCTAGGAAAGAAGCGCGCAACTCGATCCTCCGTCTGCTCTTCGTTTGCACTTTCAGCAGCAGAGCTCAGGGTGCCGATGTTGCCTTATGGACAGAGACGACCCACCCGCTCGTCCATCTTTATCGAAGTCGCCTTAGCGCGTTCGAAAAGGACTTCAAAAAGGCTGCTGCCGCCGCCGCCGAGGATGCTGCGCCCACATCGGAAACCTCTTCCCTCACTCGCAAATTCAGGCCCAGTCGTAGCCGCGATGATGGCAACGTCAAGTCTAAGACCGACAATGGCCTAGGTCAAGCTCAAAAGGCAGCAGACTACCTTCGTCTTGCCGCTTCCTTTCGAGACTTCCTAGCTAATGAGGAGAATTTCTGGAGGGAGCTTGCTGGTCGAGTAGTACGCGTCTTCAGACTGGAAGAAGCGCGACCGCACATGAAGGCACTGGGCATCCCTTCTGATGAAGCGGAGTGGTCCATCAGCGCGTCAGGAGACTCTTCCACCGCTTCGACTGGAATGGAACGCATTGCTGGCACCCAGCAAGCCCAGCCTGCCCTATTACGAGCCTCGCAACTGCCGGAGAATAGGAAGCGCCTCGTAGAGGTGGTGCACAAGGCGCTGATCTACTGTGGCGACTTAGCTCGCTACCGCGAGCTCTACAGAGAGGACCGACGCGGAAGAGCTGATGCTCCCACTGCTGCTCCTGGCAGCGCCGACGCAGCGCTTGGCAAGATGGGTAGCGGCAGAAGCAAGGGCGTGCCCCGTGGAGGGAAAGCCGCGATTGCCGTTGCGACTGCTGCTGCACGCTCGCACAAGGAGGTGTCGAGCCACCGCGACTTCTCTCGGGCCATTACTTGCTATGAGCAAGCTCGACTATTGGTACCGGACAAGGGAAACCCGTCCAACCAGTTGGCTGTCATGGCCACATATTCTGGCGACACGTTTGCTGCTGTGCATCATTACTATCGTGCGCTTTGCGTGCGCCACCCCTTCGAAACAGCTCGCCAAAATCTCGAGGTTACTTTGAAGAAGGCGTTCGATGTCTGGAACAAGAGCGGCTTGCTCGAGCGACTGGAGGCTGGTGACTTGCATGCTGTGTCGGTGGACGAGACAGGCCCGATCAATGAGAGATTCTCGCACGCATCCTGGAATGCGGTCGCCCTTCACCACTTTTTCTATTCCCGCACGCAGTGAGTGATGACGAAACCTTTGAGTGCCGTCATGCTCCCTGGGCGCTCACTATCTCATCTTTCATCGCTGTTCGAACCAGCTTCATCGCTGCCCAGCGGCTCTCGAAACAATTTCTTGTCGATCTTGACTCGACTCTGGCAGATCGTGTGCTTGGCACCGACGTCATAGTGCGCCTGGTCGTGACAGCTTTGTCAGCGTCGTGGACGACGAGACTGTGGCGCACTAGTGGCGGCGGCACCAAAAAGAAGGAAAAGCCAAAAGACAGTCTCTCAAACACTAGTGGAGTCGCTGCATCGCCAGTCGACGGAGTCTACGCGGAACACTTCATCTTGAGCCACGTCCTCGGCTTGTTCGATGCGCTCGTCAAGTTTGGCACAGCTCAGACGCGGGAAGCTTTGCGCTCTCAGGCTAGTGCCGTAGGTGGCACATCGAACCCTCCTCAGGATTCTGCGTCGGCTGCTCGCAATATCACTGCAGCATTCAGAAGGACTTTGCCTGCTCTTCGCGTTTGCTCCAAATGGACCAAGAGCCATTTGGAATATATTTCCAGGTGCTCCGAGCAAGCAGCTGCAACTTCTTCACAAGACAGCGGCTCCACCAGGACCGCGTCGCAGTCTCAAGAGGAGCGCGCAGAAGCTGACGCGAAGGCTAGTGCGGAGGCGGCACTGGTTCGAACCACGCCTGCGCTCTGGCGTACCTATGCCGACTTTGCAAATCTCATCCGATTCGCCTTTCCATTCGACATTCTCCCGAAATTGAGCGTTATGGGCTCAGGCGGTGCCGCGCCTCTCGCACTCGAAGAAGACAGCGATCTGCGCGGATTTGCTCCACTTCGAAAGGCTACCATGTACGTCAACGGCGATACGCCCGGCTCGGCCATTGCTCCGCAAGAGGGCAACCACGCACCACCGCATTCTAGTCCACGCACTACGCGTCCTAGTCAGGTACATCCAAACGACGAGCAGCTCATGCGCATTGCTGATCTTCTGATTGACGCCAAAGTCATGGCCGAGTCGGATGCATGCCCCCTTGCCTTCGACGACATGCGTCGCGTGTTCTACGTCAACGAGTCTGGCCCAGGAATGGTGGGCGGCCCTGAAGTGCAGAAGCAACCCCATTTGGTGAGCCAGTCTGCCGATGCAAAGGACGAGCGCAACCCGCAAACAGGAACAGAGACGCCCACAAGATCGTCTTCGGATCTCAGTGCGAGTGCAAGTCGACGAATCCGCTTCGATGAGCGGTCCGAGGCAAATTCCTCGGAGGCTACAGAGGATGTGGTGGACATGGCCATGCGCGCGGGTGCAGGTCGCCAAGGTTCCTCGGACGTCAGCTTAGTGGACGAAAATGACAATGAAGACGACGATGGTGATGTCATCTTGATTCCATCGGCTCAGCGTCGCTTTGCCGAGCTGGCGCAGGCATTCCCTGCCGTTGCTGTAAGCCCTTCGCCGACTGCCCTGGGCTTCGAAGATGGTTCCTTCACTTCCCAGCCGCAGTCGAGGCGCGATACAGTGGTGAGACCGGTTCCTGCCACCGCTCAACAAAGTCATCAGACAACCCAAAATGTCACAGCTCAACACTTGCTGCTGCAAGTTTTGAACGGGCGCAGTCCCGCCACACCCACAGGCACTTCTCCCTTGCGCCAGCCACCTACCCCGCATTCCGCCGGCTTCGGTCAGCAACCTTCGCAGTCTCCATTCGATTCTCCAAACGGAGCTCGGACCCCCTTGCCATCTGATTCACAACAACCCCAAACGCTCTTTGGTGGCATTGGAGATCCGCAAGCTGGACAAGCCAGCATCTGGTCAAGTGGTGGTCTGCCGCGCTCTGGCGCTTTCTCGCACTCTTCTGGCCCCAGTGCAGCCCGCAACGCCTGGCATGCTGCCCAACACAGTGGCGGACGGGAAAGAATTCCAAGTGGCGGAGGCGGCGCAGCCACTCCCACCTTTGGTCCAATTGGCTCGACGACGAACGCATCTGGGGTGGCGCAGATTCCACCTCATCTCGCCAGCGCATTTGGAGGCCAGTACGGTGGTCTTGTTAGCGTTCCTTCTCATCAAGGCTTGGGTCCGTCGCAAACCTCAACTCCACCCTCCGCCCCATCTCCTCAGCATTGGTCCAACACTTTCTCGACTCAGACCACGGGTCATTCTTTCGCTTCAGTGCCCCCTCACACGGCACCTTCTCACGAGTCCAGTCGTGGCACCAGGCATGGCCCTATCGGATCCCCGCCTGCTTCGGCCAAAGGTACTGGCGCTTTCGACCGTGTCGGTCAGATGGGCTTCCACTCTTCTCACCAGCTTCAGTCCGGGGCAGGCTTGCATTCTAGCCAAGACGTAAGCCAGGCCCAGGCACGCCAAGACTTTCTACGCACAAGCTGAGGAAGCCAAGTGGGAGGCGCTGTCAATCTGAATTGTTTGGCACGCGCATTGACTATACTTCTATCAAGATATCACTCCCTTCTCCCCGCCATCATTGGGCACCTGCTTGCCTTTGTGCACAGCACTCCTCCTCAGGTGCACTCCTTCTCAGCAAACCGTCTTCTTCGATAGACTGTCATCCTGGGAGGCATCACGACTCAAGTGGGGATGGACGACGGTGTCCAGGAATTCTCTCGCACTCCACATTTTCTAGACTTATTCGACCATCATCGAAGGTCCGAGTGCGCTGTTCCGAACGCGCTTCGCCATGAGCTCCCTCGATCACAGCTGGGGCTATGCGCGGCACACAGGCTCCTGTGATTGATGCAGGAGTGCTGATATGATGAACGCGTGGGAATCAAAACCGTGAAATCGCGCCTCCAAAGCTGTGCGATGCGTGACTTTGCTGCTTTTGCGTGCTAGTCGCGTTCGCGTAGTCTTATCGTTGACTACGGCAGTAGATGGAGCCGTTGATTGTGTTTTGAGTCATGGTGGCTGTCACTATCCTGTTGGGCTCATTTATGTGAGCGAATCAAGAGAAGCTAAGACCCCGTCTGTCTAATTTTCGTGAAAGGCATCCGGGCACTGGCAAGCTACTTCAGGCGTCGCTTGCGACCCTGCCTCACTCCGATAAAAGGAGGTCAGAAATGTATTGGAGAGCACCGCGAGAGAGCATACAATGGACAAAGTCGAGCAAGACGCATCTCGGTACAGGGCTGGCGGCCAAATGCCCTGTTGCTTGAACCTCAGAAGCCTTTGCTGCCTCTCTTTACACGTCTTTCGGGACGAACAGATTAGAGTCTGTCGCGCTTGTATTTGCGCTCGAATTCTTGGTTGACCGTCATCAGCTTGGTCTGAGTGCCGGGCTGAACATTCTACGGGGAGGACAGAGCCGAAGCGTTGGGTCAGCGTTGAAAGATCGAGAGGGCAGACACGATACGGTGTCGACTCACGTTCCAAGGGGTGGGGTTGTTCTGTGCCCGACGAAGCGCAAGCAGGGTGAGCAAAGATCATTGAGGAGAAGCAGTTTCACTCGACCAGTGGTCTCCTGATGTGTTTCCATCGCTCCTGTCTGCCATTGCCAACGCCACACTGTGCCACGGCCTGAGTAACGTGACAGCATTGGCAGACCCTCTTCATGCTCCGGCACACCATGGTAATGATCACAGCCCACATGCGAGGGCCATCACCGATGTCAGTCCCCAAAGACTCACCTTGCGGTCCCAAATGACATCCGGACCACGTGCCAGCCTAGTGACGTACCAAGCAGCGCCTCCAGCAGCGACTGCGGTGACGAAAACGACTGGAATTACCTCTGGAGAGTACCTGTCGGTCGAACAAAAGACCAAGAATGGACAAAGAGGATTGTCAGCAAGGGAGAGGAGATGCGCTGAGGAACGCCGGACGCCGTTCGCGAGCGTTTCGCACAGGTGTGGCAACAGCTTGCTTGACCTGCGCAGACCCGGCTGGCCTGCTCGTGTCAAGCTCAGCTGGGACTTGGCGTTGCTGCAGCAGAGGAGACTTGGAGACAAAGCCTGCATCGAATGCGCTCCCCATGACCAAGGTCTAGCCACCGAGAGGGACGACTCGCAGTGCGTGTGTGGCCTCGACGCCAAGCATGCAAAGGCACACTTGGAACGCCATCCCCCATCGTCACTCCTTTTCCTATTCTTGCGTCTGCGTCTATCTCGTTCCTCTTGCCACAATCTCAGCTCGCAGCACCATCTCATGTGCATCGAGCCTGGGCGCCCAACAAAGGGACGGACGAGTAGACGCACCAGTTCTTCATGAAAGCAGATCTCGCCTTGCTAGCCATGCTGGGCAACAATTGCGCGCGGGTTCTGGAATGTCAAGTGGTTGTCGAAGTGTGAGTTGAAATGTAGGGCAACTTCGATTGGCTGCTCGACGAGTTGCGGAAGAATGTGCTGCGAAGTGATCAATGTGATGATGGTGATGGAGGTAAGACGTGCAAGCCCTCGCATCATCAGTCTTGAGTCGCGCCCGCTGCTCAAACCTTCTGGTCCAGTCGTGAGTATGCCTGCACCGAAATCGCGAGTCCATTCATTCAACATTCACTGATTCAGTGATTCACTATTTCAAATCGTGAATGCTGTCTATGCGCTCAACTGTTAAAAATTCGAACGGGCTTTAAGCGCCAGCGGGGTTATGAGGCACTTTGAGTCACGAGTCCTATTATCAAAATCGAGCTCTACGCTTGAGATCTTGGACCACGCTCAATGGACTACACCGTCAGTCTTGAGTCTGAGTGCTCAGGCGCATCACGGGCTTTCTTTCGAATCCATATGGAGCCCTGCCGTCAGCGCTGTGCGTGCGTGCGTGCGTGCGTGCATGCATGCGCTCGCTTCGGCTTTGCTTCTCACACACAAAAATGCGCACGAGCTCGTTGGCCGGTCGGGCTGGAGCGAGCGTTTTTGGCGCGACAGGGGGGGCGGATTGGGCCGGGCGGACCCCGCGTAGCATCCCAGAGACATTCGAGACGATTCTGAAGATCATGATAACACGCGTGTGTGCGCGCGTCTTGCCGTCTGATGATGTTTAAGTGATCGAGGCGAGAGGCGCGACGCGTCGCTGCGATGTTGAACTCACGATTGAGCATTCAGTCAGAGTGAATCTGATGCTTTTCGAAGGCTGGCGATCAGCCTCGAGACCTGCATGTTCGCCACAACTTCCCAGCTGAGCGGTCTTGGCCTGCTCTCCACGACATAGATGGCAAAAGGTCGACAAGCCATTCTTCACACTCATCGCGGCTCAACACTCTGTTTCGAGCGGAGAAACATTTACCTGACGAGTGTAGCTGAGCAGAGGCGTTGTAGGCAACAAGTTCACTTGGATACGCACCATCTGGCTCAGAAGCGAACAAAATGAGCGGTGGGTCTTGCGAGTTGGATCCGGATAGCTCTCTTTTACGCAATGCGAAGTCGCCCTGACACATCCCGTCCCTGACACTCTCAGGCTTTGGCGGCGGTAACCCGTACGGGGCAAATTATCAGACGGGCGGTGGTGGCGGAGGAGGCGGCTTCATGGCTGGCAGTCAAGGTGACAGTCCGAGCACAAAAGTGGGTTGAGTTTTCGCACCCATATAGCACGTCGATGCGATGCTGAAGCTCTTCGTGTACCCTTGTGCACCGATAGAAAAGTGGTGCCAACAGTTTGCGCCCAGTGACCATTCGACAAGTGCTCAATGCTGAGCAGTCTCACATGGATGCAGACTTTCTCGTTGATGGAGTGGAAGTTGGTCAGGTGAGCCTCGTGAAAGCTGCTCCCGTCATAAATGCAGATAGTGGACATGCTTGCTGATCATCCATCAACTGCATTTGCCATCCTGAACAGCTCACTTTCGTCGGCGTGATTCGTAAAGTGGCCGCCTTTCCGACCAATGTCTCTTACGATATCGAAGATGGCACGGGCGCTATCGAAGTGCGTCAATGGCTCGAAGGAAGCGACGAATCGGGAGACAAATCAAATGATATACGAGAGAACGTTTACGTGAGGGTGCTGGGTACGATCAAGACGTTTCAGAACAAGAGGAGCATCAGCGCAGGTCACATCCGACCGATCACAAACTTCAACGAGGTGCTGTTCCACAAGTTGGAAGCCATCTATGTTCATCTTCAATCGGTGCGCAGTACGGGTGCTGGAGGCGCTATGAAGTCGAGTGGAGCTGGAAATGCGGAGGGAAGCGGCGTAAACGAGGACAAATACACGCACATTGGAGATCCCTTGCAAAGAAAAATCTTTGCCCACGTACGAGAATTGTCCACCTTGGAAGAGGGCAGTGGTGTAGCTATCACTACAGTAGCTAGGCGTATCAAGGCTTACAGCGAGGAGCAGGTGCGGTGAGTCAACGTGGTGACGATAGACGTTTGGTCTCTCATGCCGATCCTGACTGTGGTCTGTGCCCTATCCAACTCTCTTATTTCAGCGAGGCAGTCGACACCCTCGTCCTGGACGGCTACCTCTACACTGCTGAAGACGACGAGCACGTCCTTGCAACGTAATGTGATCGCTCTGACGAACCACGAGTCTCAGCTTGTATAAGTACTCTCTCTGGCCATGTCCTGTGCAAAGTTGTTCTGCGACAAGGTGAACTGGTGCGCGGCCTCCTAGTGCAGGAGCAGTGCAAGAGCGCGCGCGCGCGCGCAAAACATGGTGATCATCGCATCGCATTTTGTGCATCTACATTTTCAAGCTCTGACCAAGCTCAGGGTAAATTTGTCGTCACCAATCTCTTGTTCCTCCTCCGTGATGAGCTCCGCGTTCGGAGCTCGCTGTTCGACACCCATGGGCACTCTTCGAATGACCTTTTGAAACATTTCTTTCTGCTCCTCGAAGGCTTCTTTCAGAGCTGCTCCGACGCCCTCGGTAAAACTGTAAAAGGCGTCGATTTCATCCGTCGGCTGCAGTCCAGCTTTTTTCCGGAGTCGTTGGATGCGGTTGACGAGTTCTCTAGCGTTGAATTCGGAGACTAGGGCGGGGCGGGCTTCGATGTCGAGCAAGACGACAGCTTCTCCGTCTCCATTGTGGTCCCATTTGCCGCTTCTGCCTTCCAGATCGACATAGCGCAATACCTTGAGGTCGCCTTCAACGAGATCCACACCAGCCACGTTCAGCTTCTTTTTTTCCAAGTACTCTTTTGCTTGATCGGATGTAACTTCTTCCAGTCCCTTTTTGACTTTGCCCATGTCCTTTCTCAACTTGCGACCGAGGACTGGCCAGTCTGCGACCAGCTTGTACCTGACCCCACAAGCGGTCTCGTCGCTCGTGAATGTCAAGTCTCTGACGTTGAGCTCCTCCGATATGTAAGAGGAGAGACTTTCCGCATCCTTCAAGAAGTCGGCATCGGCATGGAAGACGACCAATTCTTGCAAGGGCGACCGCAGCGGTATAGTGTTGCGTTCTCTGACTGTGCGCGTCAGCTCAATGACGGTTTGCAGCGCCGCAAATCTCCTCTGAATGATGGGGTCCAAGTAGAGGGAATTGACTTCGGGGAAGGGCAAAAAGTGCACAGAGCGATAGTCTTGTTTGTCGGAGGCAGGGGCCGCAGGCAGGAAAGGACGCAGGCCTTGGTAGATGGTCTCTGTCAAGAAAGGCGTAAAGGAAGACTAGGGCGCGACGCATTCGGCGCGTCAGCTCATGAGCCAGTCACACTACATTCCAACAGCAGAACTCACCATGGTGCGACACAGAGTATACAGCGTCTCGAAGAGGGAGTTGAGAGCAGCGTAGGTGTCGTCCACTCCATTCACACCCTTCAACCTCTGTCGATTGAAACGAATGTACCAATTCGTCAACTCGTCGATCAGATTAAGCAATCGGGGCATGACAGTATAGAGTCGATACCCTGCGGACCAGCGCATCAGAAGGGGACGGCGTCAGTACTTGGTTTGAAAGCGGCGCCAAGGGCAACAGGTACGGCACACAGCCGTGCTCACCATCCATCTCATCTCTGACCCATTGAATGAGACTCTGACACCTAGCTAAAATCCACCTATCAAACACGTTCTCGCTCTTGGGTGCGTTGACGTCGTATCTGAAGTCCTTGCCAGTCAACTTTTTGAGCAGGGCAACTTGGCCGAGGAAGAATCTGAAGCTGTTGAGCCAAGGAAGGAAAGCCATTGCGAGAACGTCCTTGACTCCCTCTTCTCGGAACTTCAGGTTCTCGCCACGGACCACGGGTGAATTGACCAAGTACAGTCTGACCGCGTCGGCTCCATACTTGTCGAACATGAGAGTTGGGTCGGGATAGTTCCTGGCACTCTTGCTCATTTTCTTGCCGTCACCTGCGAGGACAAGACCAGTGACAATGAGGTTCTTCCAGGGAGACTTGTCGAATAGATGCGTGCCCAGAATCAGCAGGGTGTAGAACCATCCTCGCGTTTGGTCCAGACCTTCGCAGATAAAGTCGCCGGGGAAACCCGTCTCGAAGGTGTCCTTGTTCTCGAAGGGGTAGTGACCCTGTGCGTACGGCATGCTTCCAGACTCGAACCAGCAGTCAAACACTTCTTCGACGCGCTTCAGAACCCCTTTGCCCTTTTGAGAGGGGATAGTGATGCCATCAATGCTTTCTCTATGCAAATCTTGGATATCGCTTCGACCAGAAAGCTTCTCCAGCTCTTCGACCGACTTGACGCAAACGATCTCTTCCATGTCATCGCTCGCCCACAGTGGAATAGGCGTGCCCCAGTATCGATTACGGGAAACATTCCAGTCCCGCGCGTTGGCGAGCCAGTGATCAAAACGACTCTCCTTGACCCACGTTGGCACCCTAGTCAGCAAGCATCGAATGAGCAAAGCAAGTCAGCTTTCGGGCCCATGAGGTTCTGCAGCACGGCCAGCACGCAACTTACCAGTGAGTCCCGGCATTGTGCGTTTGCAGTCGGTCCTGAATCTCTTCGACTCTGACGAACCACGCGGGAATAGCGCGGTAGATGAGGGGAGATTTTGATCTCCAGCAGTACGGATAAGAGTGTCTGAGGGTGCTCTGCACAATCATCCTCCCGGATGCTTTGAGATCTTTTTGAATCTGCTTATCGGCTTCTTTGACGTTGATGCCTTTGTAGTCAGGCACCTCGGCGGTAAAGCGACCACTCTCGTCCAACGGGCAAGGTGGAGGCACCTCCCTCGTGACAATGCCGTTGGCTATAGCAATGCGGTAATCGTCATCACCAAAGGCGGGAGCTTGCTGGACGATACCGGTGCCGGCATCGGCAGTCACGTAAGTGTCCGAAACCACGCGGAAAGCTGTTTCTTTGTACTAAACGGGCGAGCATGCCGATCGCAACGTGACGTAAGCACGGATGTGATGTACTTGAGGCGGGATGCGAGCCAACTCACCTTCTCGTAGAAGTATGGAAACACGGGCTCGAACTTCCATCCCACCATTTCCGAACCTTTTGCCTTAGCGACTTTTGAGAACTTGGCCTTCTTGGGATCCTTGTACAGCGTGGTCAGGAGCTTTTCCAAGATCCAAAAGTTCATTTTTCTCTCTTCGTCGTAGATTTTGATGTACTCAAAATCGGGATGTACGCACAAGCCCAAGTTCGAAGGCAAGGTCCAAGGTGTGGTTGTCCAGGCCAAGAGAGCGGTGGTGGGATCGTCAACAAGGGGGAAGCTGATGGTGACGGCAGGATCTTGAACATCGCGGTAGTCCAAGCCCGCCTCAAAGTTGGACAAAGGAGTGGTGCAGCCCATGGAGTACGGCATGACCTTCAATCCCCTGTAAACCAGACCCTTTTGGTAGAGCTGACCAAAGACCCACCAAACCGATTCCATGAAGGTCTTGTCCAGGGTCTTGTAACCTCCATCAAAGTCGATCCACCTTCCCATCCTCTCCACTGTCGTCTTCCACTCTGCTTGGTAACGCATGACGATGGCTCTGCATTCCGCATTGTACTTGTCGATGCCCATCTTCATGACATCTTCCTTGCCTGTGATGCCAAGCTTCTTGTCAATCTCGTGCTCTACCGGCAGACCATGGCAATCCCACCCGAATCGTCGCTCCACATGGTGTCCCGTGGAATGAGCGTGCCGTGTGACGATATCCTTGATGGTACCTGCTAGCAAGTGTCCATAGTGAGGCAGACCGGTGGCGAAGGGTGGACCATCAAAGAAAGTGAACAGAGGCTTGCCTTCAGATTGCCGCAGCGAAGTCTTGAAAGCATCGATGGATCTCCAATGAGCCAGAACCTGCTCCTCTTGTTCTGGAAATTTGAAAGGTGCCGCAGCGTCGTGAGGTGGAAAGTTATCCGCCGTGGCCATGGCGCGAATGTATGCGTGGCAGAGGAGCTCGCTGCTCTGAATGGACCTTGGCTCTCCGCTGAGTCGCGAGGGTCAGGATGGTGGGACAAGCAAGATTGTGCCTGAGCAGTGCTAACTCGATCGGATGTGCAGCAGGCGCAGAGCTCAGTATTCTCTGGCGAGCGCTTAAGGAGCAGTTTATACGTGGCTGTCAATCCGTCTCGAGTGTCGGTGGTGAGATCCGAGAACTAGCTGTTCGTGAGTGACTCGAAGGAAGCTTTGCATCGAAAAGAAAGTTCGAGGTCCTACAGAACTCGATGAGAAGCTCGATCAAGTTTTCGAGACAATCAACCTGTGACTCGCGACTCGCGACTCTTGACTCATCAGCTGTGACTCGTTCCTGTGACTCAAGACTCAAGACTCCCATGCGCCATTCACGATTTCTGAGTCAAGTGGTGAATATTCAATCGTGAATAAAGGTTTGCCTTCTCATCGCGCGCATCATGCCGAGTCACGAGATCAGTTTGATTCTTTGGCAAAGTTCGAGAATGATCGATAGACGCAAAATCGACAGTGGTTCCCATGCATACACCGGCAAAACGTGCCTGCCGTTTGCGGTGCAACAGGGAGCGTGCGCCGCAATTATATAAGTGGACCCGAAGCCAAATTCATGATCCGAATTGTTGAACTGTGAACAATCTTGGAGCACGATTCGCCTCGATCCGCATTCGTCCAACTCTGAATCATGAATCAAGAATCCTAGAAGCGTTTCCAGAATATGGCAATCGAATTCAAGATTGTGTGTCGAGAACACAGGTTTGCAGGCCACCGTAATTTAAATTGACTTTGCCATGAGTAGAAAGGCTCTGCATGCATGCAGCATATGTGCTGATTCAAGATTGCTTTGGCTGCCTGCCACTTGACTTGCATGTCAAGCATTCAAATTCTCTGATTTTCATGCACCGAACAAGCAAATCACTTCGCTCGAACGTTATACATTCAGAAGTCAGATTCGTGATTCTTGATTTTTAATTCAAGATTGGTGATTCATGATTCTTGATTCAATTCGCGACGGTGCGGTCTTGAGCTTTGAGTGGATCGCACGCACGCTGTGCGAACTGACCGTGCTCTCTGCTGCTGTGTGGACAACTGAATGTGGGTGCGGGGCGGAAAAGCCAGTCGCGAGTCGCAGTCAGGAGTTGAATATGATGGCGATCTTAAGCTTGCTGTCGGCTCTCGCTGTTCGCCACGCTAACAGCAGATACCGGACACAAGTCGCTAAGTGATAGGCGCGGCGGCGTACGTCTCGCACTCATCACGAGCACCGCGTGCCGCGCAGCATCTGCGGTGGGGCCAGCAGACTGTTGTGACTGTAGCACGTCGTGCGTGCGCGCGCTGATGATTCACATTGGCTTTCGCTCGTGGCGTGCCTGTAAGGAAGTTCTAGGCACGCACGCATGCGCACGCTGAATTGGTTCGTGACTGGCTCCTTTTGAGACAGGCTGGACCCCGCAGCCAACATCGGCTTTCTTCCTGATCACCACCATCTCCTCTAGCGCCTGTGGGCAGTCGCTCGGGTCAGATGGCTTCAATGACGCTCGGACTTGTCACAAGCGACTAGACAAGGCAAGATTTCAAATCCTCGTCACTTGGTAACACTGAGTACCGTCAACACCAAGCATTGGCATCGGCATCGTCACCGACCTTCCTCAAGATCACGCCCCAAGAGGGTGGTCGTGCCCCGTCAAGGAACGTGAGCTTTAAGCAGCAGACGTTACGTAGCGCGCGCGCGCTTCCTGTTTCTCTCTACACATCTCTTCCTTCCCACCATTCTCCTCATCGGACCTCAGCCGCTGAGATTGGAGCGCTTCTGTGCCAATCAGCTCGAATGCCACACAATTTTGTCTGAGCTCGGGCTCACCCGTCCCTTTCCTCAAGGCTAGCTCCAGGCGATCCGAGCAGCTTCAAGCCCTCCTCGAGGTGTGGTGAGTCTCGGGATCCCCTCAAATTTCGCACCTTCACACGCATGATTGTTCGTCCACAGAAATGCATCTAATCAGCTTACCTCGCTTTTTCGGTTGCGTAGCCGCCATGGAGGACATAGCTAGCGACGATGATCTGCTGTCCGACATCTTGCTCGAGTGAGTTTACTTGCCTGATCCCTTCAGATGGCGTCTGCAAGTCACCGCTGATGAACGTACCCTCACTACAACCTGACAGTGGCCTCGAATTTGCGCCACCTATCTCGACGCACAAGATGAATCAGACCTACAGGTCCCCTCGTTACGAGACAAGCTATATACTCGCGCTGCTCAAGCAGCGCGTGATCCTCGAGGCCGACATCAATGCGGCCTTGGAGGAGCTCAGCAGGTACGTAAACGAACTTGAAAGGAGTCGTTCGGTATCCGCAGGTCCGCCGGTCAAACGTCTTGACACACAGGTTTGGGCGCAACAAGAGGCTGACTAAACTTGCGTCCGTATGCCCTCGACAGGCTGCCCACCATTCAGCGGCATCTAGCAAAGAAGACTGAGCGTCAGGCTCAAGCGTTCTACGCGTAAGTGCTATCTGCTGATCTCAACCAATGTCTCTGCTCGCGGCACTCATGCGCTCAACCCACTATAGGCATGCGAGACGATACTTGGAGGCGTACCTACCAGACACTGGCTATGAGTTCGCGCTAACCGCCAGGTACAAGCGCCAGCACCCCAGACGCTCCAGCATTGCTTCAACCAGCAAAGCTGGACCATCGATCTTCAACGGCGACGCAGTTTCGAGCGCCGATGGATCGAGCAATGGCCGCAAAGCTCGCGGTCGTTTACCAGCGAATGGCGAGATGAATGGCGTGCAGCCGCCTGGGCACCCGCGCGCCGACCTGTGCGTGGTTGCGGTGCGCCCTTACAGAGCGGGTGACATCGTCCTGTGCAAAGGCGGACTAAAAGATCTTACCAAGGATGAGGATGTAGCGCTGCGCGAAGAGGCGGCTGCTAGTCGGGAATCGAGAAGCACCTCCAAGGCCTACAATGGAGTCCTTGGTCCTGGTCGAGATTTCTCCATCATCAGGAGCGCTCGGAAAGGCTGCAGCCAGCTTTTGCTGGGGCCGGCAAGATTCGTCAATGTGAGTGCAGATAGGCGCGTGACGCTGTCCTCGATGGCCCTGGCGATTAAGGCCGCTTATGCTGCTGATCTCATCTCGCATCACCCCGCAGCACGACTGCAACGCGAACACCGAATTCTACCGCTTAGGTCAAACCCAAATCGCTTTCAAAGCACTGAGGGCTATCGCAGTGAATGAGGAGGTGACCACATACTACGGCGATAACTACTTCGAATGGGGCAATGCGGAGTGCATGTGTGCGACTTGCGAGGAGCGGGGCAAGGGAGCGTTTGCACCTGATCCCCAAGCAGCTGGCGCGGGAGCTGTGCATGGTGTTGATCGGGCTTCAGCGGAGGCCGATCTTGCCAGCGCCGATCTATCAGCGTTGACCAAGGAGCGGTCACCACCAGAAGAGGACGCGACGCCGAACGCCCGTCGATCACGAAGGCGCATCTCCATTCGCAAGCCTTTCACTCCAGACGAACATTCGCCCTCTCCTACACCCGCGCCAATTCAGGCCAGCGACAATTCGTCGTCTTCCTCGCTCGGCTCAGCTCGAGCACGAAACTATCATCCCTCGGATCGAGAGGATTCAAGGCTGTTGGATGCAAAGCCCGCATTAGGAGAGCACTTGACCTGCCTCACCTGTGGTGCTCAATTCTGGGCCCCAGAGACATGGTGGAAGCCTGACGAGTGTCGGCGCTGTGAGAGGCATTACCGAATTTTTAAAGCGGACTGGCCTTCTCGCAAGCCAAGGGAACCGAACTTTGGAGGACTGGCTGAGTTGCGCGCGTACCCTGGTCGGCCCTCCATGAAGGGTCGTCAAAAGAGAGGCGCTGCGGAGGGCGACCCAGATTTCGACGAGCCCGCCATCAGTCCAGCGTCGTTTCGACGCGAACCTCGAATCCTCACTCAGCAAGGCCGACCTGCGAAACGGCGAGCTGTCGCCACACATTCTCCCGCCGAAGACACATCTTCGACGTCCACTCCGGTCAAGCTCAGCCCTCTCAGAGATCCAGTCCCGGCCTCTTCAAATCTGTCATCACCGCCTGCGACCTCCTCGAGCTCAGACCACATTAAGCGGAAAAAGGCGCGAGCCGTAGCGGTAAAGACTGACATTGCAGATGAAGGGACGCAAACTGACGAGGATGCAATCGATCGCGCGCTGACGACACAGACGTCGATCCCGCGAGACCGGCCAGCGAACAAGCCTGTGGGTGACTCTGATTCAGAGCTGTCGGACCCCTCAACCGGTCACGGAGTTGACGAGGATGCGCGGCAGCGCCAAGGTTCGCAGAGCGCACCACGCGCAAAGTCGCATCGCAAGCGCGAGCTTGAGGTATCCGATTCGGACAGCGACTTACCTTCAGCGCCTAAGATGTTGGGTCCTCAGGCTCGGACAGAGGCGCTTGCGATGTTTTGGGGAGCAGAGCCAGGTGGTCGACGCGCTCGCAAGCCAGCACCAAAAGGGCCCGAGAATCTTGCCGCGTCCGTGCGACGGAACAGCGGGAGCACGAGTAGGGACAAAGTCCCCAGTCTCTCTTCTCTTTCAGGCCGGGGTCACAAGCGAAGCGGTAGTGGTACCTCAGTGCAGACTCGCCGATCTCTCGAACCTCCGCACCACTCGTCTCCGGACAAGGACGATGAAGACGTGCAGTCCAAGCGCAGTGGACGGAAGATGCGCATAGCTTCATCGGCCTCTGCTGAGGAGGACCCTGACCTGACTGCACCGACGTCGGCGCGGACGTCGGAGCAAGCCGAACTGCCCCAGCGCCGCGAGGGCGATGTGGACGAGCCGGTTGGGACCTCTACGGGGAGCGAGCGTGTCGCCGGAATCGCTTCATCAGAGGCGAGCACTGAGTCGCTGGACTCTAACGGGATGAGGGTAGGTCTTGCCACATCTGGCACTGCGCGCACATCGATCAAGAACCTTGCCCTCTTTTGGTCGGCCGGAGTAGAGGAGGGTGGCAGCAGACTTCGTCGCAGGACGCAGAAGGAGCCTGCAGCTTTGACGCCTCCTCAAGAGCGCGCAATCAAGAAGACCAGGAGTTCCGCGAGTTTGACTGGCTCGAGAGGAAAGAATGGCTCACCCACTTCCAGCGAGTCTGAGGGTCGCAGCGCTACGCCCGATAGCAGGGCCTCGAGAATGAGCAACACTTCTGTCCGGTTGCCCAGTGCTCGCCCTTCTTATGGCGATGGCAATCTGGGGCACGGGGCCCAAATTTCGCAGCCTAGGAGCCGCTCAGGCTCACACCAAAGTGGCGCTCCGCCCAATGGGTTGGAAGACCTTTCTCCAGCGAACAGCAGCATGGGCTCGCGCAGTGCAGGTCCGTCTAGCAGCGTGGGTTGGCACTCAGCTTCGCATGCTACTGGCAGCGCCCACAGAACTGCAACAGCGGGTGTCACAACTCCTTTACCTGCAACGTTGGTTGGGCGAGCATCTCAAACTTCTCCTTTAGCAGGCCCGCATCCGAAGCTTGGCCCAGGTCGACCATTGCAGCCTGGGCAGCCGATGCGGAAGAATCTGCGGTGGGGCTCTGGAAAAGCGTCAGCGAGTCGACCTTTGCCTTCTGTGCAAGCCGCCTCATCCACAAGTCCTGCTCCTGGTCTTCCTAAATCGTCGGACGCTAATTCGCGCCCAGCGCACGAGGAAGCGAGAACGGACTTGTCCAAGGCTGAATCAGTAGGCACGAATGGCGCGAGTAGCAAAGCGCCAACTTCGACAGCACCTTTGGGTAGCAGTATGCATGCGCAGCAGGGATCGCTCGTCAGCACCACGCATGGTAACGTTGCGATCAAGCAGGGCTCGCCCGCGCTACCGAACGCAGTGCCTTGGTCAACCTCTATGAAGAGCACGTTTGGGCAGCCACATGCTGCCATCAAATCAGAAGATGTGGAGCTGTCAGATGATCATTTGGGCATAAGCGGAGCAGCTGCACCCTCAACATTAGCCACTGTCCAGGCCCACGATCGCGACGCGGTCGATGCCGGTCGGTAATGAGACATGGGCTTAGAATTGGTTCGATACGCCTGATGATTCGGCCATGCAGGCGAGCGTACTTCAACATCTCATGACGAGTTTTGCAAGACGACCTCTTGTATCACCACAAATGCACACAGCTGGGTTTGTGTCTTTTCAAACGTGATGTTGACTCCTCGAATTGTGTCGACAGCATGGGTAACAAGTAAATCATGGATGCGTGACCAGACAAGTATGCAAAGCGTATGAAGATGCTGAAGGAAGTGGTCTGATCGCCAGTCGCATCAACGCCCCCCATAACCGTTGGGCACGCGTTTCTTCTGCGAAGTGGAGCTGACCGTCTTCTTGCCAGCTTTCTTGTCTCGGCGTTCTGTAATTTAAGAACAAGGCGCGATGTTCAGTCGAGGTCCAAGTTACCGTATTGCCACAAACAACGCAACGGGCAAGATGGCACTCTTTCAACTCACTCTGCGCTCGCATTTCTTTCTTTTGCCTCCTATCGACCAATCTGTAGCGGCCCTTGACGCCTTTGGGTCGGCCTTTGAGACCCCGATTCGGACCTCTGGCAACGACGGTGGTGATCTGTCTTTTCTTTGTGGGTTTATTAGCCTTGCTGAGTACCTTTTCAATGTCCTTGGCCTTCTCTCTTTCGGAAACGTCGACGGTATCGTTCAAGTTGTCGGCCTTCTTCCTCGCCTTCTCCAGCCTTTGGGCAGCCTTGAATTTTTTGCGCGCTTTCGCTTCCGCAATCTTCTTGATTGGTCGAGCATCTAGCGCTCGTTGACGAGCCCGCAGAGCGGCCATGGCTTCCTTGGTGATTGGCACGTTGGCCTTGTAGTGCTTTCCTTCATCCTCCAAGAACCACGCTGGCAGATCTGCAGTCTTCTCGGCAAAGTTATGTTTGGAGAAGCCCATGTCTATCAAATCCGACTTGGTCTTTTCACGATTCACCAACTGCTGAGCAAGCGTCATGGCCTCGGCGGTGGTCAGGCCTTTCCCTGTGTGTGCAATCAAACGCGTCCAGTCAGCTGTCGGCTCTGCTACCTGCCTCTGTCTCTCTGACCGACCCGCTCCTTTGCACTCACGCTCAATCAGCTTTCGCTTCACTTCATCTTGATCCTCATCGCCATAACGCCATTCTCCTTCAAAGTCGTCCATGTCTTCGTCGGCCACGTTGCGAGGCACTACTTCAACATCAGAATCCATCTCTTCATCTTCATCTCCATTACCACCCTCGTCGTCTTCTTCTTCTTCGCTACTATCATCTCCTTCTTGCGGGCTGCCCTCCTCCTCCTCATCCTCGTCATAATCGTGATCGCCGGCTCCAAAGTCCAGACCATTCACTCCTTTGAACAGAGGATTGTCGAACCATATGGCGGCCTGTCTGCTTTGCCTTGCCTGTCGGTCCGTCCCTTTTTCCAAGGTCGTAACCAGATTGCCAGTCTCAATTTCCTCGTCATCCGAGTCTTGCTCCTGCGCCTTGGCTTTCCTTTTCAAAGCACTGTTGGGCTCTCGACTTCCATTCGAGGCTGCAAGCACTGCCTTGCGGTGCTCCAAATCTTCAAGATCAGACTCCTCATCGTCGGTGTTGTAAGTCTCTTCCTTCATTTTGCGCCTCGTGACCAAGTCATAGCCGCCCTCGCTCTCTTCTTCGCTGTCATCGGCTTGCCCTTCCTGCGCAGGCTCGCTGAACCCATTCCACTCCTCTCTATTTTGATTGGCTTTCCGCGCTTCGCGTGCTCTCCACTTCGCGTCCCGTTCCGCCACCCTCTCCTTGTACGCAACATACGCGGCATCGAGTCCTCCCTGCAGCCTGTCCAGTCTTTCCAGCTCATTTTCGGATTTGTCATCCTCTTCCGACTGGGATTCCCCTTCAGAGCTGTCGTCAGAAGCGGAGGATTGCCTTCTATGAGTCAGGTCAAAGACATCCTCCGTGCCTCCTTGCAAGGTCTCATCAGTGATCTCCTGACCAATGTCCATAGGAGTGTTCATGTGAAGCTGCATCTTGAGGACTTTTCTCGCTCTAGCTTCATTCCGCTTCCTTCTCTCCTTCCTCAAAGCTTTGTTGCGCTCTTCATTGAGCCTCTCCAACTCTTCCCCGATCTCTTGGTCTGAGTCCACAGGCTCCTTCGACTCCTCTTCAACCACCTCGACTGTGCTCTCTCCGGGTTTCTTGACGGGTGCTTCTAGACCCAAATGCTCACGCATGGCGATGCGCCACCTGAGCAGATTCCTAAAATCACCTTTGCCCAGCACCTTGAGATCTGCACAGCATGCTTTGATGTCCTCGGTAGTCTTTTCGTGTGCCAAAAGTCTGATATTATTGCAGGTGCATTCAATCAGCAAGAGAAACTTACGTCGATTGCATCATGGACAGCGGGGCGACTTACTCCTTATCTGCGGCGTCCTTAAAGGTGATCTCATTGTTTGCGCCAAGCCCATCGATTGCGTGAGGTCCTTCCACCCACTTGCGGGCCGGGAGAGCGGAGTACAGAATATGTACGCCGTCGTCATATCCTTCCCTCTTCCTCCTCTGTTTCTCGGGCTGAAGCACGTTGATTTGCGCGCTGGCACCCTTTTCCCCCTTGAGGGGCAGGACGGGTGTGGAACCTTCGGCTTGTCCGTCTTGAGCAGCTGCGACAGCGTCGACATCCCTCAAAGCGGCTGGATCCAGATCTTTGAAGACATGCTTCGGATCCAAGAAACGGGGATCAACCCTCTTGGGAGCCTTGTACTCCGTGCATACCACGAAGATCTCAGCGGATACGTTTCGACTAGAGGGCGGCTTGGTTGCTTCCACTGAGCCAAACAGCTGATTGAAGACCCAGAGAAGATTGTTGTAATCTTTGGATCGGAAGACCTTGGTCACGAAGGATCCACCAGGAGCGAGGAATTCGACTGCAAGACGCAATGAGGCAAGCACGAGCTCGGCTTGCTGATATGCATCTTGCACCCAAGCTGTACCAACATTTGGAGCACCATCATGCAAAACGCTATCGAACGTGGGATGAGCCTCAGCGTTGTCCTCCAAGACAGCTTTCTACGTGTGCTGATGCATCTGAGACTTACATGTCAGCTTTCCAGTCCTTCAGCTCATTCCGCAGCTGATCACGGCATCTGAAGCTGTTGATATCCTCGGCAAAAGTGACGCATCTAGGAATTGGCTTGATCGGTACCAAGTCCACACCGACGATCAAGCTGCTGGGTGGCATATACTTGCTCGCCACTTGCAGCCAACCACCAGGTGCAGCACAGAGATCGATGCAGCATCGGGCTCCCTCCAAAAAGTTGAACTTCTTGTTCAACTGTACCAGCTTGAACGCAGCTCGAGATCGGAAACCTTGCTCCTTGGCAAGCCAATAGAACTTGTCCAGACGACTACAAATCGGGCACGCGGCGTTAGTCACCTTGCAGAAGTGGACCACTTCGGCTACTTGCTGTCAGCTCTTGAGCCGCACTACTTACCCCTTGGCCGTCTTCTTCTCGTGCTTCTTACCCATTCTGGCGTGGGGTCGTTGTACGAGAGGAGGTTGAGTCCTTGTGAAATCTCCAGCACAACTCCCGAAGGAGAGGCTTCGGCGAGCTGTAGATCAGGCGGTAGCAGAGGGAGCTTGACAGGTGGCAACAATCGACTTGCTATCGTGGACTAGCGGTCGAAAGGGGATCAGGTAGTGCACCGCCGCCGAGATGATGTCTTTGAGATCTGCTGTCAGAGCCAAGACAGTCACCAAATTCCGTTGGAGACGGTGAGGTGTAGTTGCCTAGACGTGTATGCGTGTAGAAGTGTGGCCTTGAATGCGGGCCGATCGCGACAGAGCCTCCGCTCGACACTGAACGATTTGGGGGCGTTGTCTGCCAGAAGAGGATGATGAGCAAAACGGCTCATTGCAACTCATCTGAATCACCAAATGTATCTTCGAATTGTTGTCTAGCTGCTATGCTGTATGACCGCTCTGTATGCGTGCTGTGCCTGCGTCAAACAAAATTTGCCCAGCGCGACGGCTCTCGTGCGAGAAATTGTGCGCGGAGCGCCACAGCCCGCCGGCTCCCGCATGCATGTCATTCCGACCCAAGGGGCCGCTGGTGGTTCCTCCTGGCTATAGATGTTTCGAGCTCACGAACCACATGTAGCGTGCTCCCGCTTCTCAAAACCGAAGGGCGTGTACATTCGCACTGAGTGGATAATTAGTCCTCAGCAAGACTCACTTCGATCATCAGCTTGGCACTCCCCTGATCTGGCCAAGCCAAGGCGAGCGCGTGAAGCCTTTGACTCTCGAACTTTCCCTCGTCTGGCGTCTTCTGCACCCGGCAACACAATCAGCTGTTCATGAACGCCCAAGTGTCCGTCTTCCAACCATACAGCACGCTGCGCTTCGAGAATCCGAAATCATGTCGGCCTCTACACCTCCCGCAACACCGCTTACGGGACTTTCGGCCACGACAGCCGGCTCAGGGATATCTCGTCCAGGCACTCCGGCCACCATTCATAGCGCAGCTCAACGGGGAGATGTAGGATTGATTAAGCATTTGATACAGACTGGCAGAGCAAGCGCAAACGACCGAGATCAAGAAGGCATCACGCCTTTGCACTGGGCTGCCATCAATGCGCATGTACCTTGTTGTGCGCTTCTGATAGAGAAGGGCGCAGAGGTGGACGCGTTGGGCGGTGACCTGGTCGCCAGTCCTTTGCAATGGGCAGCAAGGTGAGCATCTGTATCCTCATCACCTCGGATGGCCTGCACGCAAGAGAGTCACTGATGGTCAACCCTCGCATACATGCAGAAATGGACACCTGAACGTCATTCATTTGCTGCTCAAATCGGGCGCCGATCCAACGATTGCAGATGCGCAGGGCTTCAACGCATTACATTTGGTGACGCACAGCAGTGCGGTGATGCCTCTTCTATTGCTACTACAGCACGATGCATTCGCCGCACCTTCGGCACTGGATATTTCTGACTCTCAAGGGCACACTCCCTTGATGTGGGCAGCTTACCAGGGGGATGCACTATCGGTTGATCTGCTACTGGCTCATGGTGCGAACGTGCACGCCAAGGACGCTACAGGTCTCACGCCCATGCACTGGGCAGTAGTGAAGGGCAACAGACTTTGTATCAGGAAGCTGGCTGGAACAGGAAGCGACCTTTGGGCGAAGGAAGAAGGTGGAAAGACTCCAAGAGAAATGGCGGTGGAGCTCAAGAGCGAAGCTGCATACAGGAAAGCCCTTGCTGATGTCGGTTTGTACGAGGATGGGAGAAGGAAGAGTAGAGTAGCAGGAGAGGTGAGTGAATCAAATCATTCGAATGGCCAAGCTGGGGGCAAATGGCGGGGTTCCCTTGTCCGAAGGGACGATCGTGCCTGCTCTAATCGAGCGCTGCCATGCTGGCGAAGAGCTGCTCTTCCGACCTGACGCTTGCCTCCTTGTCGCTCCTCAGCGTTCCGCACGGATAGCAATTGTTTTGTTACCATTCTTCTTCTTGGGCTTGATGTTCACAACATTAGGAGCCCTCCCCTGGTTCGTGGGGATGCCATTCGTAGCTGCCGAATTCTTCGGTATGCACCACGTCATTACGCGCGTCTTGCTTGATCCGCTGGAAGTAGACAGTCTGCAGCGCAGCACCTACTTCTTGGGCATTGTGGCGGGAAGTGTTGCATGGGTCGGATGGGAGTGGGCGCGCAAAGTGGTTCATGGTGAGCGTCACGAATGCCGTCTCTCTGCCGCTTTGCTTCCCCACTGTGTCCTAGATTTGGCTCACGCACTGACAACGTCCCCTTCAGCTACTCCTGGCCACGCACTTGCCAATCTACTATTCGCGATCGCCTTCCTGAGCTGTTCATGGAACCTGTTCAGAGCAGCCACTTTGGAAGCAGGTTTTGCGCCGCTACCACAGACCGAAGCGGAACGCAGAGACGTCATCCTGCAGCTTGTAGACGAGGGAAAATTGAATGGAACGACATACTGCATCACTTGTCTTGTGAGTATGGCTGTCAAGTATTGACATGTAGCAACGATTTCAGGTAACGTGCTTACACCATCGCTGCACGATTCCGCAGACGAGGAGGCCAATGCGGTCGAAACATTGCCGCTTGTGTAAGCGCTGCGTAGCGCGACACGATCATCACGTAAGTAAGCAGAGGCGGGTGACAATCTTGATGTCACTAACATCAAGGCGACCTCTTCTTCGCCTGTCTGTGGTTTCAGTGTCCTTGGGTGGCTTCGGTGAGTGCTGTGACTGCTGTCGACATTTGGCGCTTTGTGCTGATCCTTCTCCTCCGGCAATGGCAGTGCGTTGGCATGAACAACCATCGTCAATTTATCGTCTTTGTTGGCTCTCTCGTCATCGGTATCCTGCTCTTCATCTATTTGGTCTATCACTGTGGGTACAAGCAGTGCTGCGAGCTCACGCAGGGCTTCTCAAGTATCACTTACGCTTGCCGACTTCCGTGCTTAGACTATGCTCTCAACGCGACGTACCCTTACGTGCCTTTGATCACTGCCTCATGTCTGCTCACGAACGACTTGTGCAGCGCAACAGACTACGACTCTTTCCTCTTTAGCGTCACTCTATGGGCTACTTTGCAGCTCACCTGGACCATTATTCTTCTCGTCGCCCAGACATGGCAGATTGCAAGACAGATGACCACCCTTGAAGTGTCAAATCTCGGCCGGTATGGCTGGATGGGAGGTAAAGGCGGTGTGAGCAGATCTTGATCGCGTCTGTCTCCATTTTCCACTCAAGCTTGACCTGACTTTTTCGCTTCGACGTGCGTATCAACAGAGCTCAATGACTTCTCAGACCAGTTTCATGGAAGCGAGGGCCGCAAGACTTGCAGCACAAGGCATCTCGACCGACCAATCCGACGCTACCGCAGACGATGACTTTGACGGCACAAGGCCTGGTTCGATAGGTCCCGGAAGCCCCAACATTGGTGCAAGACATGGACATTCTCACGGTCCTGTAGCTGCCTTGAAGGGCGCCGGCAACTGGCTGCTGTCGATCGTAGGCCTGGACCTCTATACTCGGGGCAAAGCTGGAGAGGGATTGAAGAAAGCGTCCGCAGCTGGAAACCCTTTTGATTTGGGACTGGTCGGAAATTGTCGAGGTGAGCTTGACTATCTCTGACATGTCACAAAAACATCATATGATTGACGCTCGAGCCTGCCCTGGCACAGACTTTTGGACCACCGGCAGGGAACTCGGAGTCGATTACGCAACTCTGTACGAGATTCCGGTGGGTGGCTTCCAATCTTCCGCAAGGCGGCGGAGAAGGCGAAGAGTGCGCACAATAGACGGACAAGAAACCGAATCAGGCTCAGACGATGAGGAAGACGAGGCTTCCGAAGGCGGTGCGTTGGGCAGAAGCGTCAGTGCAGGCAGGAGGAGATGGAACATGTGGAGAAATCTGAACCTCAATTTGGGCAGCGCTGCGGGGATCGGAGCCTCTGGCAGTGCGAGTGGATATCAGCCTATACAGCAAGACAATCTCTCCGATAGACCCGCAGACCATGATGCTGCGAGCAGGATGGCTTAAAGCGGCGGAGCAAAGTCATTCGAAATAGCATCTGAATATTCACGATCAAGCGTCTGGCGTGACACGTCCACAAACCGCCTGTCGTAAATGAGATGCAGAATTTGGTGAAGCTGGGAGGCCGGCTCCAGCTCTGGCTTGAGCCATAGCCAGAACGCTCGAGAGGTGCGAAAGCCTCTTGAGTCGTGTCATGCAAGAAGGCACTTGTGTTTCGATGGCCAAGGAAGGGATGGATGGAAGGCAAAATCAATGTCCAATCCTCGACTGTCCTAATGCGAGACCGATGCTCCTGAAGATCAACCCGGAAGGCCCTTGCACACCGGCCACCCCTCAGGGACCGTCCTGGACCTAACTGTAGGTGCAGCTACGCCTCTCGCTAGGGTTGGACCAGCTCCTGTTGAGTCAATTTTTGAGAGTGTGCTATCACTAGCGCACACACGCTTACCAAGTAGATCACTGATGACCTCGAGGATACAGGAAGGCTGGCATACGTGGCTACTTATGCGTCGCATGCTGAGTAAATGAATCTAGCATGAGCAACAGGAGCGAAGCGAATGTCTTGCTTCATGACAGAAGACGAGCGTATGGGACGCAGTGATCAGCAGTCAACGGCAGCCGTCAGGAGTAGCGGCGTGAGTGCATTTGAGCTGCTGATGGCATTCTGATTCAAAATTTGGAAGTGGAATGAGCGGTCACGTGCAGGCAACGTGCGCAGACGCTACATCACCCTCACTTAATTCTTGAAGTGATGAGCGGGGCGGAGCGCGAGTGAGTCATGCGGTGGCAAATTGATGGTCATAATTCACGGTTGCGGTGCATGAGTCGAGGCCGGCTGGCCGGATAAGGCAGGCGCGCCAGCTGCAGCTGCGTGCGTGGGCCGTGAGGTTGAATCAACCCATCGAGCTGCATCGCGCAGGCGCGGCGCATCGATGAGTCTACAGCCCGCCTGTCTCACGCTCGGTGGATGAACGCCCCCCACACTTGAATTGCTTCCACCATTCACCACTGGAACTCATCTTCGAGGTATTGGTATCCACCACGAAGCTCCAACGCAACCTACACAACATGCTCGCAATGCACAACACAAGCATACAATCCTCTCGTATTCCGCAGTCTCATTTCGCGCACAATCACCAATCAAGGCCGAATTCGAGGACTGGCAGTCAGCACTCCAGCGGTTCGGTCACCCCGCGGCCGAAGCAGCGAAATACCCACAAGAAGTCATCGAGCCAACGCGCAGAGACTGATGTCACCGATTCCACACAGTCGAAGCCTATGAAGCAACAGCAGCCGGGTCTTCTCACACTCAGCCAGCCCGTTGCTGCCAGCTCTGCTGAAAGTTCAAGCAAGCGCAAAGGCAAAGCTGCCAGCAAACCTGATGCAGCTACAGCGAGTGGGTCCAAAGTCGACGTGCATACCAATGTTGCTCTGACAGACGAGAAAGACAATTCCGGTGGCGCATCGACCAAAAGCTCCAAACGCAAGAGCAAGAAGGCGCCTCCTCCCCGTCTCCTTGACAGCCACGGGAAAGACGCTGCGCTTGTAGGTGCCACCGGATCCATCTTGTCACAGTCAGCGCCGTCTGCTGCAACACCGCTTGCGTCCGCGTCTGTCTCCGAAAAGAATGCTCTTGCAGAAGCCGGGAATGGAGGAGGTCTGACTTGGCAGCAAGAGCTACTGAGTGGAGGCAAAGCACGCAATGCAGAGACGGTGTCTTTGCGCAGCGTCAAGAAGAATAATAGCGTAAAGCGGCCGGCTGCTGCCCCTGCTAGTACGTATGCTTTGCGGTCTCTCGTTCCTACACTTGGCAGCTGACACATGCACCTGGGCTCCCCTTTCACCTCAGCGAACGGGAAGGTGAAATCTGCTGGAGCGAAGGACCTGACTTGGCAACAGGCTTTGTTCAATCAGCCAAGGTCATCTGGTCCTCACTACGATTTCTTTGCGGATGATCGGGACGCAGCGACTTTTGGCTCTGGAGACGAGCGCGCCGTATCTGCTCCGGCTGGGCGCAGACGTCGTGCGGACAGTCTTGGGGCCTCATCGCGGTCTAAAGGCACAAACGCCAAGGGCGCCAAACGACCATCTGCTCTCGCTGCCACCGACAACTTGCATGTGGATGATGTCTTCGACAACTCGCGCTCGCCGGCTCGCTCTGCGCGGAAAGGCGTGAGTGTGAGCGCGGCCGCAGCGCCATCAACAGCGCCGCGCACCCCAAATTCCCACAAGAACAAGGGCACTTTGTTGGCTGCGCACCAATCTCCTGTCAATGGCAGAGTCTCTGCTTCGTCGCCCATATCGTCTTCGACGGCAGCTGCTGCTGTTGCCTACGCCGGGCCCAACTTTCACAACTCTCCATCACCCAACAGTCTGCCCGCGCCCAAATTCAATTCGAAGTTGAGAAGCAGTGCCCTCGCCTCTGTAGGTCTCAAGGGCTCATCGTCCGCTTCTGGTGGCGAGACGGAGAGTAGCGAGGACGAATCTGGTGCGAAAACCAATGGTGCAATGCCGAGGCAAGAATCACCCTCCCCCGAAAAGGAGAAGACCAAACACACGTCCAGTCTGGCGCCGACTTCGGCAAGTCGTGCTTCTGGAGCCGCTACCGATCGGAGCGCTACCATCGAGAGCCTGCTCGCTCGCATGATGGCGCCTCCACGCTCAGCGGGCATTTGAGTTTCATCAGACCTCTGCACGACGGCTTGCTTGATTTACACCTACCTCTCAGTGCTGCAAGCGTCGACACCGACTCTCTAATTTGACACGTCTCTTTAACCCGGCCCATCCTATTTCTATGGGCACCTTGCCCTGCAAATCAGGCTCGCCAACCTATCTCTCAAACATGCAACATCAGTCACGCGCAAGTTCGAGCTCAGCACAACAGCACAGCAGGCCCTTGTTCCCATTTTGTCACGCATGGGGACTCTTTCCTCTTCTCGTCACGGCCTCTGTCATGGTCACCGGTACATCCACGTGGTGGCGACCGCTCGAATCTCGTTGACTATCTGCGTTCGATTCCACAATCTCACAACCTCAGCGCAAGTTTCGCCTTGATGATGAGCGCAAATCAGCTCCTCAAATCAGCTCGGCCTGCTTGCTTGTCCTCCTCACCTTGAATTTCTCGCTTTCCCCAACTCGACACACACGTGGCCGTCTGCTTCAATCTTGCGAGTACAAAGAATCGCGTTGATTCGATACATGTGCTCGGCAGTGTCGACCGGCAGCGCGCAAGGCTTGAATCCGAGTTCAACGATCGTGTCAATCTGCGGATGGACCGCCTTCTCCCTGCCTACTGCTCGCCTATCCGGGGTGCTCTCCCACGCCTCACGCTTTGCCCATCCTCTGACATCTACCTCTCTCACAAGTTCGTCTCGTTGGGGCAAATCCAGCTTCAGCTTTGCTTGTGCAGCGCGCACTCAGCTGCTCCCCACAAATCCTATTTTACACGCCCTGCGAGCGTTCCCCTCCTCAACGCCTTGCCTCACAGAAAGATTCAAAAGGTCTTTTGTGATCCGCTGAGTGTCTCACGTGGCGTTTTCCCACAAATACATGCCCCTATGCCTTTTGCCCAGTGCGATCTCCAGCCCCTTGTGACGAGGTGATGCCTACCTCGTTCGAGCGCTTTGATCGCTTTGAGCCAGTCGGATCTATTCGGCAACGATTAGTCTGGGGTGAATTGCGTATCGCTTTGCTCGATCCTGCCGCTGATATGCCAAGAAGCGTACGGGCTAAGGACGTCATGCGACAAACTCGCGCAGCTTCTCCTCCGAATTGCATCCCTCATCATCCAGTCTGGCCACCTCTTTGCCCTGAGAACAGGGCAATTTGGTGAGATTGGTGAGCGTCAAACGTACCCACCCAGTACTGCGTTGGAGACCTTGTGCCCTTGTCATTGGAACAGGCGCGTAATGGAGCAGTGCTTCATCCTGTATCCTGCCTGCCATCCCC